CCCGCCCACCCCCCCCCACCCCCACCACCCCCCCCCCCCCCCACCCCCCCCCACCCCCACCCCCCCCCCCCCCCGCCCCCCCCCCCCCCCCCCCCCCCGCCCCCCCCCCCCCACTTCCCCCTTCAAACTCCATCATTGCCTCCCGCTCTCGCTCCTCTCCTCCTCTATGCATCTGTTGTTTTCTTCTCTATTGCTGTGGTTGGCATGGCCCGAATTGTGAATTCCTTTCGTATGCGCTATACCAAAATGGTTCGTCCAATCCCGAAGAACGCCAGCATAAGTGTGGATCTGGCTATCAAACGCCCATCTTGTGTAGGCAGGTAAATGATAGGTATGTAAGCACCATGCACGACGAGCTAGCCCTATGTGTTTCGATTTTTTCTTTGTCTCGTGTCTAAATAGCATAGCTCTACAACTTCGAGTCTAGCTCCTCAAATTCGCTCAGGTCATGAGCTGGACGAGCTCCCGCCGTAGCGGCCAATCTAGCCTTGTAGTCTCGTACGCTCGTGATCAGAACAGGCTGGGTTCCGTTCGAGATGGGCGTTGTTTCTTCGTCTGCCTTCGCACTTCCCTCCTCCCCTTCCTTCTTGGAGCTAACACCCTGAGCAATCAACTGAACTACTAGCTTGGCCCGTGTTGGTGATGTGGGATCTATGGAAGTCTGATAGAACTCAATCATTTCACTCTTGGTGAGCTTCTCTACCTGGGCAGCATCCTCCCGGGCTGGTAATTTCGTTAGTCTAGGATTGTACTTATTTGTCATGAGGAGTCATAAGCGGTACTCACCGGCATCGAAATCATAGTACTCATTAGATATCTGTGCCCAATGTCGCCCAGTCTCTTGGTCCAAGTTCTTCAACTTTTCCAGACGCTTGTTAACAACGCTCCGCTTGTGGCCTTCGAAACTGGTGTCAGTCATTTCCTTTATGGCCTTAGCCTGGGACTGAAGGAACAAGTCGATGCGAGCCTCCAAATACTCTGATGTCCTTTCACTTTGAATGATAAAGCGGAATCCATATGTAGTTGCCGACCCTCTAAGACCGCTAAACACTATGTATCCCAGCTGTTCCTTGGTTCTCAGTTGGTCAAATGCTGGCTCATGCAGAATCTGATCCAATAACTGTGTTTTGGCTCGTATTGAACGATCCCCTTTGTCACCGATGTGGAGGTAATACTCGAGGCAGTGGTTCACGTTTGCTGGGTCTTTTAGGGTCTTCTTGTATAGATAGTTAGATCCGGGGGGAAATGCGAGGGAGCGCATAATGGGCCATTCTTCTTTGGGCAAGACACGGGGTTTCAGGATAGATTCTATCATATCCGTCAGCTTCAGCGAGTCCTCCCTATACAGGTTGCCATGGACGTGAGCTTCAATGTGCAGCTGCGACATGACCTGTTTGTGGAATGACTGGACATCCTCTGCGGTGATGGCAGGTAATTCGACTGAGAGCTGCTCCACAACGTAGTCATGTTCAGAGGTCAACCATGACACGTAATCGCCAATCTGGGTGAAGGGTTGTTGCAGCTCGCAATTCTTGTAGCCCCGCGATAGACGTTCCTTGATAATCTCAAACCGGTCATCCTTGACAACAAGGTCACGCATCGTGATGAGTACTTGTTCAAGCAGAACTGCTAATTTATCGTTGTAGCCCGAGACTTCCACAAACAAACCTCGAGAGTCAAGTGTGACGTTGTATTCCAGCCCTGCCAGTTCTGCGTCGTATGAGTATTCTTCGAGTGCGTCGCGGACCAAGTCTGTGAAGAGCTTTGTCTTTACGGAGTTCTTAGCTGACGCGAAGACGATTGGGTTCTTCATGCTGACGATAAGGCTTGCTTTTGGAACCCAGAAAGTGTCATCTTTCTTCCACCAGGTTCTCGCGATGTGATCATTTCGGATCACGCGAGGTGCTGTTGCGGGCTTCTCAACCTCCTTTTTCTCAACTTCAAGTTTGGTTGGAATGAACTGATTCTTGTGCGGCAAATGCAAAGCAGACAGCTGTTCCCCAGGAGGCGTCTCTAACGCCTTCGACAGTTCGGCTAGAAACTCTTGGGGTATACTTTCTGACCTGTATTCAGTACCATACCACTTTTCCTTTTGGTCCCAATCCCCTGGGAAGTCCCGAGATACAATGGTCATCCGCATGTTGTCGGGGCGTAAAAGACTGATTCCTTTCTCGATCAAGGTGGGGTCAAACTTTCTTAATCGACTTTGGCCACTAAGAAGCCATTCTCTCGGCAGAGGCTTTTGCATCACTGACGATATCTTACTCGTGAAGCGACTGGCGGGCGTCTTCTGCTTAAACTTAAACTCAACATCGCACATTTCTTTTTGCTCATTGAAAATCCACTCCTGGGGAGGTGTCTGACGTAGTAATGAGACGTATTGGAAAAATACTTTTGCAACCTCCTTATAGTTTATGAGTCCCTATACATCAAGTTAGCTGTCTGATAGTTTACGTTCTTTCTAATCGCAAAGATAAAAGCTTACCTCTTTAGTTAAGCGGACTTGACAATCGAAGATCCCTGGTGTACCCGGACAGACGGTATACGCACCAGCACTTAATGAATTCGCCCAACCCTTCGATTTGATATATGCCATGATACTGCCTGGTCCTTCGTGGCCGATTAAATGACTGATATATCGATTTGGCTGACTTTCGAAATGCTTCTCCTCGTCAAGGAATGGAAAGAAGAGGTTTAGCTCCCTAGAGTCCATGACCGGCTTTGCGAAACATTGCATTGCAAGATTGTCCTTATTGAAAGGTACCTCATCCTCCCAGCGGTTTTGAGGCAGATTTTTGTTTGGCACGCTCGAAAATAGGTCGGCCACCCAAGTCTCTAGCACATCTAGTGGTTCCCTTCCCAATACACAAAGCTTCATTCTATTGGCAGAGTAATGCTTTTCATAAAAGTCGATGAATTTCCGTCTCACGTCAATATTCTGAGCTTCAGGATTTGTCTTGAGAACTTCTAGGTTGCCAGTTGAAAAATGACAATAAGGATGCTTGGGGTTAGACTGCGATTTCTCCAGCTGGTGTAGGCGCCATTGGTCGCTCTGTAAGTTTTTCTTGTTTTCGGAGTCGACTGCTCGGAGCTCGCGATCCAGCGTCGAAGGAAGGAAGAGGGGCTCGATGAAGAATTGCGCAAATCGATCCAGGCCGCCATGTAGGGGAGATAGATTTGTTTGAGAAGGTTCTTCACCATTGCTCGGCTTAGCTGCAATATCGAAGTAATAGTTTGTTGAAGTAGCGCCGGTGTATGCATTTGAGCTGCCTGAGTGTGAGGAAAGATAGACGTTATAAGCGTTCTCTTCGGGAAATTTCTTGGTGCCCATGAATAGAAGCTGAGTAACGATCGGTCAGTTATAATAGGCTGCAAAGTGCGGCGAGGGGGATTCACGAACATGTTCAACGGCATGGGCCATGCCTGGCATAGTATCCTCATCGCTAAAGTTCCCAACATTGACATCCAAAGCAGCGCTAGCCTTGTCGGTTTCAGGATCGTGGACCAAAAGCGCCTCGAGGTCATTGGGTAGCCGAATGACACGGTATTGCCTGTCATCTAGCGAAGGAATCTCTAGTTGATCAGTCACCCGCTCGACGGGTTTTGAGTATGGCTCTCGCTGCAGCGAAGGAGGCAAGCCCGCCTCGTCTTGGCGCGGGGTCAAGGGACTCATGATGAGCAGTTGGTTGTGGCTGCGACGACGTAACTCGGGTCTTGGAGCACAAGGCCGGATACGAGAGGACAGGTGAAGGAGAGAACGTGGCCGCAAGATCAAAGCTGCGGCGCAGGATAACATAAAAACCACACAATCGGTGGCAACGAAAGCAATAGGTAGTGGCAATGGCAATGGCAATGGCAGGCGGATCAAATAGGTAGATTTGGTGCCACACAACCTTACCTAAGTAGTGTAGGCACTGAGGATACTGGGAAGGGGAAGCCGGTGGTCGGATCTGGGGCGGGTAAGACCTACTTGCACCGCTGCTTTGCCGGGGCTGGCTGGCTGGTTTGGTCAGGGTCGCAACAACTTCGTGCGCAGTCTCTACACTCCTATCATGTAGGGATACTAGCACAGCGTCCCGACTCGACGAGGAGTTGGTGGGGACGCTAATGGCCCCGGGCGACAAGGTCCAAGGGTGGTGCCGGCGAGTTGGAATTGAGTACGTTCAATGTTTGGACGGACCGCATAAGCAAGCGCCGCCTGGAACCAAGTCAAGCAACAGAGGCTATCAGAATCACTCTCACAGGTACACCCTTGCTGTGAGCTAATCCACCAACAGTTCACTTACTCGATTAACGGTGCCTACGCCAAACCGCTGTTAAGGGCTTTCCGGCTTGGGACAAGCGTGAGCAAGGAGCTGCCGAGGCAGAGGGATAAGCAGCAGGGTTGGAGGCGTGGTGAACAAGTACTCAAGTAGGTATGTGTACAAGGTGATCGTGGGCAAGGGTTAAGCGCGGCAGAGCCCCTGTTATGGCCCACGTGTTGTGTCGACTACAGCTGCGTATCTTGCTATATACGCATGGGCCTGTGTAGATCAGCCACCACCTATTTCTGCCTCTCTGCAATAGCTAGAGGAATATGTGAAGGGTGGCTAGCAAGGTGCGTTGTACCGAGAATAGAGGTTGGTTGCACCGAGTAGACCAGGCGATGGCGGCGGCAAAGGTGGAGATCCAAGCCAGAGGCCTCTCTGCGAGTTTGGTGCAGGTCTGGAGGCGTTGTGAAGGCACGACGACTGTTGGGCTAGACTGCGCGCAACCTGTCGAGTTTGAGCAAACAACTCAGGTTGGGTATTAAACAGGCACGTTTGCACTCTCCTTCACATCCCTTACTCGAGGGCTCAAGGATATATCGGCCTGTCTCCCTAGGCTTTCTCGCCAATCAGCACGAGCAGCCACCCCGGGTATGGTACAAACAGAGAGCTGTCAGAAAGCCCACAGATAGCCAATGATGGCGAGGCGAGTAATGACAGCTAGGAGACCCTGACAGAGACCTTGCCTTGACTCGAGCGGACTCTGTGCGATGACGAGCGACTCTGACGATGAGGCTACCTGCGGTTAGCGGATAATTGATTGGGTCCAGTGCCGATTAGTCAACACGGATTTGCCTTGCGCTTATGCGGTCTTGCGGAGCTGCCGCGGACGGACCCCTCGCCGTGAGGATTGGCAGTCTATCCAGATGCGTATCTCGAGAGCAGCCTCCGCACACCACCGTATATCAACGCCACTGTATATCAGATTCTTTGATATAGCTTACGCATGCGATTTGCGCGTGGGCAGCAGTGACCAGAAGCGCCAGCTGGCAGGGTGCTCCAACACGGCCCCGCGCAGGAATGGCGGTGATAGGTGGACAGCCGGGCAGATATAGCCCAAAACAGTGGTCTTGGATGGCTCGGATGGGTAGGGGATGGGTATGGGATGTTGGGTAGCGTCAGGAAGAGATGCTGCTTCTGGTCGGTAGGGTTGCTGGACCAAGTCTGCCAGGAATGCTTGGCAAGGATGATTTGGGAGAAGGTCAGTAGATAAGCCTGCGGAATCTCACGTCCTAGCACCACGAAGACAGACAACGTGACCTGTCGAAAATGCTGGATAGCTTCCTGGTCGCTTAACCGGATGGCCGGGTGACGTAAGCTAGGTAGGCCCAATACAACGCAACACAGGGTCTCAGATGGCCTTTGTACTGACAAGCGGACTGGATTCAGATGAAGCACAGCCCGCTCACGTTTCATTACAACGGCCAAACGGCGAACACGATGTAACAAGGGATGTGTGCCTATGGTCTGGCAGGGCACAGCCCAACTTAGGCAGAGCGGATCGACTTTCAATCAGAGCACAGCATCTCAAGATGCACATCATCCGTTGGGCGTACTTACTCTGCTACACCATCGATTGTCTGGATGACAAGGACAAGTCGCGGGGATGGGGGGTTTGAGGGGGTACGAACAAATGCCTGTCTAAGCGACCAACATTATGACAGCAGGGCCCTGAGACCAGGTCTTTCCATCGATTTATATAGACACCTACTTCTAACAAGGCAAGCGATCGCCCAATCCTTGCAGAGCAGGTCTATGCGAATGCCCTCATTCTCTACTTAAAACTCACAGGGCCATCGTAGACGGAATGGTCGAGCAACACGTGGCCAACGTGATTATGTAGATGGCATTAGTTCTGCGCGAGTATGATACAGGTAGGCAGCCTGCTTCTCATGAGGAACCTCCCCTGTTGGTAGTATTGCATGCATGAATGACATGGGATATGCGGTCGGTCTGTATGTCTGTCTCCTGCTGGAGAAGACAACCAACAAACCGAATTCAATGGCTAGAGACGACATTCGGCGAACTTACTGAGAGGTTTGAAACGGAACATCCCTAGACCAAGGCCTGGATTTTCTGGGCTACATACGTACTTACTGTAAGACTACCAGAGTACTGTAAGACATGAAGAATAAAAGAAACCTGCATTTCACATCGTTTGCTCCTCAAGGCTCTTCGGCTATCCGTGACCCAGCACTAAGCTGTTTACAGCAAGAAATTCGTCTCATCCATGTTTCCGTAACAGAATTAGGTATCAGATATCACCATGTATGATTTCATGATCTGTCTTGCTTGTAGTTTTTGTATCACTGTTATAGCCACTTGATCATGTCTTTCTGATCTTGTGCTGCCAGGCTGGCATTGCTGACGGGAAAGCTTTCACGGCTGCCATTGGCTGGGAGCTGTGCCGGGGATTGTTGAGAAGTCTGCACAAGCTTGTCGCCAACTGTTGAAAGCCGCAAACCACAGGCTACCCCGAATTTCGTACGACCAAAGAAGCCGTGAGGATCGTCCGCCTCGACTCCGGGCATAAGCGAAAATCAGATACGGGGTTTGTGCATGGAACCTATTGCTATATGTTGCTGAGAACGTCTGTGAGGTGGGTAGCTGCAAGCGCCCGCAGGGCTTTTAACCTAACAATGAACCCGGCTCCCGCACCCGGACCGCGTATGGATTATCCACGGGTCTGGTTTCAAATTCTCTGCGATAGCTGGCAGCCGTCTTACTCGGTGAAGGAGTCTGGCAACTCTCCGATCTCTCCACCGCGAATTTGTGAATGCCGAAGAATGGTCCATCCACTAATTGGTTGACGGCTGCACGTCTTTTGTTGACGTGTCACTACCTACTTACGGCCGCTTCAAAGCCTTCAGGAATCCGGAGATATCGACGGTTAGCCCGCAGTCCTTTAACTCGGGGTAAACCCAGCTATGTCGCAAGATGCACTCATTACCTACCATAACCCAGATATTTACTGGATACCTTTACAGCGATACTAGGTAATCAATGCAACAGGGTCCCTCCCCGAGTGGACGCTCACACTTTCATCAATAAACATGAATACTGATCTCGCAAAGGAGTTGCGCTCCTCAAGAAACGCCCAGGTACGAGCTTCCCTACGTGGAAGCCATCAGAGAACCGAAAAATAAAATAAATGCGTCGTTGAGTCATGTATATACTGCGTCTATTTCTTATGCTCGGATATGTGCGGGAAAATCGGCATATCATGTGCCAGCTCTCCAGGAAGCGACAATTAGATCGGCGAAAGCCCTGATAACCTTTCTAACAACTGTATACAGTTCACAGACCTCAAGGTTGCCTTGAGAGTCTAAGAATGTTGTGCCCCATGTCTCGAAGGGATCCACTATCATCATTGCGAGAGATGAAAATGGCCGAAGCTTGACTCCGATAACCCAATGTAGCCATGTCACATGAGGAGATCCGAGACTTAGCTACGAAGGGATCCTGGATATTCCATCCAAACAGGTAATCAAAGCGCTTCGGCGTTGACTGTGGGTCTCCGGGACCTGGCTCCTAGCGTAGGCGTCACGGGCAAAGGAACCTAGATCGTTGACACCTATAGAAGTAGCCCGAACTATACGACGAGTTGCCAAGTCAAATTGCAAGGCTATGCTAGTCAAAGTATGCAATGTGTGTTGAGTGAGTGGACGATGCTCCTCAGCGTGCTTGCCGGCTTCCAGGCTTCTTACAGTCTACGGCCCTGTGCCCTGGCTGATTGCACCTAAAGCAAGTGAGACTCACAGGCTGTCTGGGAGAGGGGCCACCTCCGGATGAGATTGAGGATATACCACCTTTTGGTTTATTCAGCTTGACCTCCTTTTTCCTGCGCCTCTCGGCAAATTGCATAGCTTTGAGCTGTTCTGCGCTTTTCTTGCTTTTCAATGTCGCCCGCGCAGTGGACTGAGCCATAGAGCCATTCCGTGACTGGGAACCAAATGATTGTCGTCCAGTGGTTTCTTCCGAAGACAATTCTTCAGAGTCAGACTCCGAGTCAGAGTCAGATCCATCACTGGAGTCACTGCTGTGATTATGGGATTTCTTGAGTATCTGTTTAATTCTCAGCATAAAAAAGAATTTGGCTGGCCAGTTGCCTGACATCATTATGTGAAATTGGAACGCACCTTTTTTTTATCCATGTTGTATCGACGAAGAGCCGGAACGCTATCATATGAGGTATTGGCTTCGTCGACGTCGTTCTCCGTAGCATCAAAAGAGTCAATATCTGCAAAGCCAACCTGAACAACCTTCAAAGGAGCTGGCGCCGGATGGCCCTTTTTCTGGCTAGGGATGTCGAGTACCCAGCGTGCGTCACCTAACTCCTCAGCACGCTTGATTATGGCGCTTTCCACTTTCTTCTCCTCTTCCGCGATAGCCGCCCTAATAGCTGCTTGATTCACAAGTGTATCTACATTCTGAGGTGGTGTGTCGTTATGCGCGACCTTTCGACGCTTGTTGGACTCGTCTTGAGAGGGGGGGGTACTTGGGGTTGAGGCAGGCGAGGAAGCGGCGGCTCTCTGCATAAACTTCATAGTTAGTAGCCTAGAAGACATGGTCTTGGGCGTGCCTGGCGACGCCATGTTGCGTCACTTTGCTGCTGAGAAACCCTCGATGTAGAACGGAAAAGATAGGCCCGCGATAGACAATGGTGCGCTTCCACTGAAATAGGAGGCTAATTGGCCTAGAGAATTAATCACAAAGCAATGAACAGCCGTGCTTCTCTAAGGCAACACCACTTATTGGTATTTTTTAGTGCGCTTCCTGTACTGGACAGTCAATTTGGGTATCAACTGACAGGAAGCAGGCGACAACGCGGTTGAAGGAATATTGAAAAGCGGAAAATAAATTTATGGCGGTTGTCGCAGGTAGTACAGACACTATGTTGGTGGTACCTAAGTACAGCCAGCCTGAGGTAAAGTGGTCTGCATTACCTAATATCATATGTGGTCCGAGCTCCAAGCGCATGTTCCGAACTCAATGGCCTGCTCGCCCTGCTAGTTCGATCATCACCATTCTGTAGGTAAAGGGTCGGTTGCCTCAATTAACATTATATCTCGACAACAATGATCCCACGCGTTTCGGCTCGGAGTGCAGCCAGGCTACCGCGGCAAATATGCGCCGCCCGACGGACCTTCGCCGTCTCTACGCGGCTGTCTGAGGCGAACCCGATCAACATCAAAGGCGAGACGACCCCCGAGACGAAGGGTGAGGAGGACAGTTTGGGTCTGACCGAGAATACGGAGCGAGGCTTGAAACAGGCGCCCAACCGCACTGAAATCTGGTCAAGGAGCCAGAAGCCCAGGGCAGCAGCTATGCAAGGACCTCGATTTGAGCAAACCGATTTCGATCTCCAGGTGAGCTGGCATGATACCCCGCCAATCAGTCCGCCGCTGACAGTTGAATAGCCTGCATCGAAGGCAGCTATCGAGCTCATCCACAAGCAGCCCGTCCGATGGACTCATGATCGTATGGTTGCCTGCGACGGCGATGGCGGGCCTGCTGGGCATCCCAGGATCTACATCAATACAGACAAGCCGGAAATAGCTACTTGTGGCTACTGTGGTCTTCCATTCGTAGGTTCTCGTTCAATAAAGATCTCTGGTTCAAACTGTCACGTTTTATGGCCGGTGGAAGGGATTATATATCAGATTGTGGAGGTTAACATATTGAATCTTAGGCCAATGAACACAACCGAGAGCATCTGGAATCTCTCCCTGAAACGTCATACCCCCTTGCATAGATCAAGGCTACATTTTAAAGGGAAATTAGAGCACCTGTGCAAAAAATGCCATGCTTTAATCATTCGGACTGGCTATTTAACGCAGCATGAGGCCAGCGATGTACATATTATTTCACAACAAGGCAGCATAGACCTGGGGCTCAAATGCTCATTTCTTCGTTCAAGAAACTTGTGTTGCACTAATGTTCATATTGTCTACAAGAGCGCCATATAGTGGCTTTAATTCGCATGCCCCTTGTAATGAGGGAAGTAAACAATGATTGGAATGATTAAGAGGCCCAGATATGGGCTGTCCATTTCTGGTGGAGCTCCAACAGCTATCTGCCTATAGTTGTCTGCCTATTAGAAAGACAGCTTCCCACATCAGTCCAATGCAAGATACCCCACCAAAACCACCAAAATAACTCCAATGCCGTCATCAAGAGCCACTCCGTCTTCCTCGCAAAATCTCTGGACACTTGCGCTTTTCTTCCTTCTGCTGATAGCATTGTTCCCGGATCTGTTCCACTATCTCTGGGTACTACCATTCGCCTATTTGAATCCCTTCAGCCACGCAACGCAGTCCCCCAAGCCCAAAAGTGACATAGTAACTCCACAGCAGCCAGCGACGACCATGTGGTTCCAGAAGCAATTCACGCTCCCGGCCCGCTCGCGCGGCTCCTACCTCATCACCTCTGAAGTCATGGAGGCGCTTCCTGAGATAGGACAGTACAAGGTCGGCTTGCTTAATCTCTTTGTCCAGCACACGAGTTGTGCGCTCAGCCTCAACGAGAACTGGGATGAGGATGTAAGAGCCGACATGAGCGATGCATTGGACAGGATAGCGCCCGAGTCTACCAAGGGAAACGAGCTGTACAGACATAGCGCGGAGGGAAGGGATGACATGCCGGTATGATTACGCTACTCGATTTCAGCCTGCCTGCCGTGATTTGGTGAAGTTGGACAGAGCTAACTGCCATTAGGCGCATATCAAGAGCGCCTTGATTGGCGCCAGTGTCACCATCCCGATCAAGGACGGCAAGCTTGTAAGTTACCGCATGTGATTTTATTCATGGTAGTAGTAGGATATGGCTGACTGCCAAAGGCTACGGGGACGTGGCAGGGCATATGGTATCTCGAATTCCGCGCTAGCAGGCATACAAGACGGGTAATGGCTACTATTCAGGGAGAGAAAGCAGCGTGAACAATGGTACGGTCAACGAAAAGAAGTTACTATAATTTAGATTTGGGGTCCCGCGCTCCTACAAAGCGCGAATTGACCGGAATCCTAGACATTACGCCGTGGTCTTAACTACGCCAAACGCCCTAGTGATGGTACAACCGGATTTTTCCCAACGCACGTGAAATCAAGGCCTATGTAACCCATTTTTAGTTCGTACCGTTCTCCGCTCTCACGTCTTTCATGTCTTCGTCGCCGCCCGACAACACCTTCGTCTTGGGCACGTATCCCTCTGGACCGGTACCAGGCGTCGCAGCCACAACCTCGCCGTTCTCATTAACAAACTCAAAGTTATATCGGCTGAGGAGGTGTGGAATAGCTGAGAGTTGCGGTCCATAGCGGGCAGTATTGTCGTAAAGCTCGAAAAGAGGAACAGCAAGTAGTTTCATGTTCTTCGGGACGCTGAGTATCTCTAAATAAAACAGTGAGGATTAGCCGCGTTCGCGCAAAACTACAAAACTGGTGTTGTGATGACGATCGAACATACTGCTCTCTGGGAGTTGGATGAAATATAGCTTCTTGCACTCCTTTGGTCGCGTGACGTGGGCTGGAATGAAAGGATACATGAAGGTCTCGAAGTTGGGCCGCCACCACTGAGCTAGACAATCGCCAACCTGCCAGTTGCCAGCCTCCTCGCCCTCGCCTAATCTACCCACGGGCGCCAGTCTCTCATCTAAGCGCGCCTTGAAGCCCTCGACCTCGTCATCTTCGGGTCGCAGGTAGTCGCCAGGTAGCTTGAAAAAGGCGTTTGCTATCTGCAGCATCAAGATGTGCGGATGGTTGTGCTCGTGGCAGACGAGGATTCCCTCGCATGTTCGGCGCATGCCATGTGCCGAGTAGTGCTCCTCCAGGCGCTTCAACCGCGCGATGACGGAAGGGTCCTCCTCTGGCTGCGTCTCCTTAACGCCAAATGTGTAGTTCGATAGAGGGTATAGGCGGATGGTCTCTGGCTGGTTGGAATTGAATGGGAGGGGTATCGTGGGGGGATGGGCGCTTTGGAGCGCTGTTGCGGTTACTGTAGACATGATGATGAGGATCTCTCTATAGCAAGCTGATGCTCATAACGTGTAATGTTCCGTAGTGTGATGATAACAGCTCTCAAAAGTGAAGCTTCAATAGAGGTCTGCTATAATTACCACTTACAGAAGTACCTTGTAGTGCGCAATAGCTGCAGGGCCTAATCAGGCAGGCGGTGTTGCCAAGAATGGTAAAGTGCAAGCACCGAGTTACAGGGGTACCTTCGTCAAGCTTGGCGTTACTTACATTGTTCTTTCCTTGGGCTACAAATAACTTAGTGACCCGGACTACCTCATCTCGAACTTGGAATTGAACTTGGGTTTGAAATCTCTCAATTCAATTTGAGAAGGTATTGTTTAGAAACTACCATCAAAGGGTCGAAGGTAGGTAAGATTGGGCACCTGACTTCGGATTCTGTTTGTTCCTGCCAGAACAGCATCCAACAGCAGAGAACTGTCCAAGCACGTAATACCCAATAACTACTTCTCAACAAAAGGCCAATTCATATCCCCAGCAGCTTTACGTCGCAAAGTATGCCGGATAATAGATTTCTACAAGGTACTTGACCTAATAAGCTTCTCGACCTACCTATTCACATTACATGCTGGTCGAGTTGTCACCAGTAGGTTGCAAGACCATCGTTTGCAGCTCACCAAGGGTGGCAGTTCCTGCCGTCTCTACATCTTCTCACATACACCCTAGACCTTTCATCACATCTGTCTCTTCCAAGGTTGGGAATTGGACTACTCTTACCTGAAGGCTCACTTTAATACACAAATCTTTCCCTGATATCTAGAACGCTTCTGGGGTCTTGATTGTGCTTTTCAGACTTACCGAAGCATACAGCCTCCCTTTTACATCTAGTCACGGTTTGCCGATCTTGTCAACTATTTCATATCAATACGTTCTATCATATACATTGCCATCTTTTTTGTCTACCACTCATTTATCTCTGGCATCGTGTCTACATTTGCCTTTGCACGGGCTCGGTTATCACGACTCTGCTGTCTTCACTCAGTGGCTGCAGTATTACCTCATACACATGGCATCAAGACCTAACTATCTCACCCCACAACAGCATTGCAAGAACATCGGGGTAGACATAGCTTCTATCTGGTAGCTGTTCGAAGAAGAAGCTATCAAAAGTTCAACATGGAAGAAACTAGCGATGCATCGTCCCAGGCGGGTAAGGTACCAGATGCGCCAGCTGACATGAGCGCTGCTTCAAGCCAGGGACCTCACTCGCACAGTGATACCAACAACGTTGCCGACTCATCTCATGTGAGGGATGCAGATAGTGATGAAGACATTCCTAACAAGGAAGAACGCCAATTGAAATCACGCCTTCACACAATACCAAGCAGTAAGGATGACCCTGATCAAGCTAACTTCAAAGCAGAAGCTGCCTCGCTCAATGCCTTCCCAAATCTCGAAAAGGCAGTCATATCGGAAAACGTTGAAGTTCTTTGCTGCCATAAAGCTGCTGGACTGCGTGTTCTTGAAGAATTAGCGCAATGCCTCAGTTCAGATGCGGAATACTGTGATCATACACGACTTTCGTCTGTTGAGGCGCTGAAGAAAAGAGGCAACACCTCTAAGACAGTCATTGGTGTTGTCGGGGGCACCGGTCACGGCAAAAGTTCCCTCATTAATGCTCTTCTAGAAGAGAACAAACTAGTCAGTGTTTGGAGTTGCCCACTTATCCCTTGAAGTCGTCTGGGACGGAGAATTGCCTGATGCAAATTTTCTATTCGTCTTAGTTGAGCTTCCAGACATACTCTATATATATTCCCTCGATATATACCAATCGCTAACTTCGAATTGATGCGTAGGTACCAACGAATTGCTACAGAGCTTGTACTGCTGTAGTTACTGAACTGTCTTGGAATTTCTCTGATAATCCAGACCATCGGTATATTGCGGAGGTCGAGTTTGTTTCCGCAGATGATTGGGGCTTGGAATTACAATATCTATACGACGACCTATTATCTGTAGGGGGCTCTAGCGACGAGCAACTCAAAGATAGTGATGCTCAGATTGCCTGGGCGAAGATCAAGGCAGTTTATCCTACACTTAACAGGCAAGCGCTAGGACATACTAGCCTAGACGCCCTTACGAATAACTCTGCTGTCAAGGATTTGCTTGGCACAACAAAGACTGTACGAAAGCAGACAGCAGCGGAACTCACCGAAGCTATTCAGGTCTACGTGGGTAGTGGGAAGAAAATGACTGTCGCCCCTTCCAGCCAGAAAAAGGACAGTGTACAAAAGATGGAAGTCTGGCCGCTCGTCAAAGTCGTCCGGATCTACATCAAAGCTGACGCACTGTCAACTGGTGCCGTCATTGTGGACCTTGTAAGTTTAATTATTTATTTCCTTCACATCGACATCAATACCATGCCTAGCTTTACTAGACTCCTCATCGTAGATTACTCATATAATAGCGCACTCCCATGCTGAATTAGAGTATTACTTTACTGACTTAAAGTAGCCCGGAACAAAGGACTCAAACGCAGGTCGGGCATCAGTTGCTGGGAAATATATTGAGAAGTGTAACGCTTTATGGGTTGTGTCTATGATCACCCGCGCAGTCGATGATCAAGCAGCTCATGAGCTTCTTGGAGAGAGATTCAAGCAACAATTAAAGCTAGACGGGAATTATTCTAACGTAACGTTTATATGCTCGAAAACAGATGATATCAACTTTGATGAAGCAGCTGATAGTTTTGGATTGGACGAAGAAATGCAGCAATGGAATGATTTGAAACAAAAATTGTCGCAACTCAAGTTGTCTTCAAATATTCAGAAGCACCGCATGAGAAAAAAGAACCTCGCAGCTTTTGTCGAGCAGATTGATGATCATCTTGAGCTCTATGAAGATCTTCGAAGCGATCAAGCGAACAGGAAAACAGTTACACCGCCTAAGAAATTCACTCGAAAGAGGGTGCGAACTGATACAGAAGAGCCTAACAAGCGACGCAAGCTTGATTCAGAAGAGCTCCAAGATACCCGGTGGGTCTCTATTGAAGATCTCTGGGAAGACATGGAAAAGAATATGCCAAAATTTGCAGCAGGCCAATTGACACACCAAGATATCAAGTCAATGACTGAATATCTCCACTCAAAAAGGAGCGCGGCAACGACTGAGAGACGTAATCTCCAGAGAATGATAGTCGATGATGAGGTGAGTATTGGAAAATTCTACCATGCTCTTCTATGTCAAGCTAGCAGTTATTGATTTCCTTCCAATCCTACCGTTTCCTACAATCATTCATCATATAATTACTGAGACACAACGTATTATTAGGCTCGCATTGGGAAACTCGAGGATGAGGTATTGGAGCTTCGAAAACAGATAGAGGTGGCATGCGTCTCTACACGCAACAATTTCTCTCGTGAAGCTATTCGCGAACAATTTGCCTCTGGGTTAAAAGAGTAAGTTTTTTGTTCCCTTAATAATTATCATCATCCTCTCGTAATAGCTCTTTCCCTAATAAACATAGACTCGATGAGCTTGAAGCTCAAACCATTGATCCCAACAACTTCGACCCAGAACAAGAGAAAAGAGACTATGCTGAAGTTGGCCGCTCTTTACCAGTGTATTGTGTTAGCAGTAGCGGCTACCAATCACTCACCGGAAACGAGCAAGTAAAAGGTTTCTGCGACGTCGGCGATACCCAAATTCCGCAGCTTCGAGAATTCACGAAGAAGTCAACAGAATCAACACGTATATACGACGCAAAATCTTTTCTAAACGATCTTGCTCAAGCGCTCAACTCCCTTTATCTGTGGTCTTCCAGAAATGGTGCTGAGCTGTATCTCACTGGCGAAGAGAAGGAAACTGAGATGCGATATGTAACTGAACAAGTCGAGAAGCTGGGAAAGGTAGGATATCTTCTCACTTGGAGTTGGGATTGAGGCTGACAATAACAGTGTCTCGAAGAGGCCAATGAACAATTCTTCAAACAGCTAAAAGACATGCTGCAAGTGCTTTTTCAATATTTCAAGGACGCAGCTGTCCAAGCACACAAACGCTCCCGGAAGATCGCACGTTCCTGGCCCTCCCAGAAGCGAGGCGACAAAGGCCTAAGCTGTGCGACGTACAAAGCAACAGTCCGTCGAAAGTAAGCTTACGCAGAAATCATTTCTTGCCAGCTACTAACCTAAGGTAGTGGCGTGTTCTCGGGCAAAAGTGGTCCTCGAAATTTTAACGAAGGTTTGTACAGCCTATAATCATTCTTATGAAACATAACTGACAGCCCTCGAGACCTAGCCGCACCGTTGCTTCAGCACCTTGGCAATCAGTGGGACATCACTTTTACCAAGAAGATCCCTGAAGCTTTGGTTGCACATACAAAAGCTTGCCAGCGACTCCAAGATGAGTATCATGACCTCATCAAGAGTCGGATTCAGAAAAACCCTGCGTTTCATGGGGTAGCGAACATGCTTAAGGATCAGGAGTGAGTATCTTGTGATCTTCATTATGCTTTTACGACGTCTATTGTTCTACATACTCTCATATTATTAAACCCTGATTGGCGATTAGCCATGCGACTTCGTATCTAACATCTTTACCCCAACAGTAAAAAGCGTGTTATCGGACTTGCGAATAAGATCAATTCATTCACCTCTGACATAACAACAATACAGAGAGAGGCCAACAGAGCATTCACTCCCGCGATTCAACAAAAGTTGAAATCGAAATACAAAGAATTATGTGAAGACAAAGGTATGATATGAAGAACGTGTATGTTGATAACATTATCTTATAATCAGTATATAGGTCCTGGAGTATTTGCCCGCATCCGAGCGGGCATGGAAGAGGTCGTCGGGAAGAAGGCAGTGTTCTCCAGTTCGTATAAGTCGCCGCACGCTAAGTTATCCGAGATACCCGAGAATATCCGCGAAGAACTTCAAATTTACGTCGACATCATGAGCGCTGAAATGAAAGAGGATTACGGAAACCTAATCCTTGGGGCTAGCACCTCCCAAGAGTCTAAGGTTGTTAGACAAAAGGTGCACGAGCTATTGAAAGATGTTGATAGCCGTTTCCAATGACGGTCTTGAAATGCTCACAGACTACGTTGCTTGCGTTGATTTTGCTTGCATTTCTTTAGCTGCAATAGGACAGCTGGCTCCTGATTCATACATGATGTGGTGGCAAATATCTTTCGCCGAACCCTATCGGCATTGGGATTGCGGGCTTGGCTAGGATTCTGGTCTCCTGCTTTTTATGGAATCACACAAGATTATCTAGGATGGAAGCTTCAAATGCGCTTGGCAATTATTTCGAGATGGATGGATTGAATGCCGTGATTTCGAGGCACATGGGCGTCTTGGTCGATACAAAGGACTACATGAGATATGCATAAGAGGATTCGGTTTCGCTATAGCCTCAATAAACTCGCGTAATTGTTTTCATAGTACATCGTTGCTTCAAAGTAATGTGACTGGCAGTGCGAGATCAGGTGATGTGCAATTCTGGAGATGGTACCCTGACACCTCACTTTCGGAGCATGTGAGGTCTAGAACTGTATTCGCTATGCCAGTGTAAGCGACTCTAAGATGTGAGTGTCAGCGGTTGTCCCCATGATAGTCCATCATCAAATCTACGGAAGCATGGTGTAGGCTATCAACTCACAAGCGTCCCGCATCGTCATGACAGAACCACGTCTGATTCACAGCTAGACTCTTGTCTACTAGTCCGAACGCAGCCTCAGTAGCAACAGTGAATACATGCTTCCCATCTGTGTCCTTCCGGTCGGCACATGCTTGCCATGTCGTCTCCGCCACGGCGCCGAGCGAGAATGCACAGGTGGTGTTCACAGCGTTGGCGGCGTTGGAGACCGCGAAGGAGACGGACTCGAGATGTTGGGGGGTCTCGCCGTCTGTTGATAATGACGTCCAGTTCCCGTAGCTTATGAACGCCAGTTGGAAAGTGGCGTTTGAAGACTTTCATTTCACAAACGGTTAGTTAATTTTATGTCTTGATGGGATGTATCTTTATAGGGTACTGCAGCTCATGAAACTAGATCGCTGGAAGAAAATAGCAATACTGGGCGACTTGAGTATCAGGATAGTGTTAAGATGCGATTCCGGGATTGGATGCTACTTACTGCTGCGCTACAGTTTGAGTTCACGGGGATGAGCATTGCGCTCGTTCCAGGGACGGGTGCGGCATACGTGGCAGAACATGAAGAAAAGGGGATGAGCAAGATTAGAGCTGCGATGAATGAATCCATTGTATAATGCGAAGCTCTTGGGAGTTTTGAGTGCGGTTGTTCGCGGTGAGATGAGCTGAGTGGACTGGCTTCCCGTCTTCAGAAGCGTTTCTACATCGCCCCTATATCAGTAACGTGTGTCGTTCTGGCGCCCAGAGTGATTGAGTGTACTTCAATATATTCAACACCGGCGTCATGTTTACGTACTGATGCGTTCACCTGGCTGAGGCGACGGTTATTAGAGGCGGGATCTGCCTGGTGCAATTTACCCAGATCGTGGTGGTTGGCGGCTCAGAGTATTAGCCGCCTACTCATCATCATAGCACATCTGATCGACATTCACATAGCAGAGGCGAGAGTTGAGTATCTTTCGAGATTTTTACTTTCTTGGTATCTCTGGGTGTTTGAGCTTCTGTAAGGTGCAGCGCCATGTGAAATAAGCGAGCGATCAAAATCCAATTTTCAAGGTGTCCAACAGGTAATGCGCATTAGAAATGTTTGCTACTTAGTTGCCTTGAAAACGAGCGAGACTAAATCTGCATTCGGGTTTTGTTAAGGCTGCATTGTTGAGCTGCTCTTGAAAATAGAAGGCGTATCGCAAGTCTCCGCACTACTAATAATTTGACAACCTAGATGTGTTAAATTTCTGTTACATCATCTAGGACTGAGAAATAGTGCCCCGAATATTTGTACATCTCCTACGGAGCCCAATTATCATGACAATGTTGAGTCTCAAGGTTGGGTATAATCAGCTTTATTCTAAAGAAATCAGAGAACCAAGGGTTCTCCCTCGCGGGATTGGAACTTGTGCTTAGCGCGTCCGACGCACGGACGGCACATTAGCGGACTCGATGTGATGATGGGCTCACCACGGCGACTAAAGTCGCGGTTGTTCTGACGAGCACGTTGGGGTCGGCGGACGCGGGCACGGGCATCTTTGGGTCTACCTTGACTTCGCCCTAAGCTGCTGTTCTCCCCCGGATCCAACATCACCATCGGGCTCGTCGCACACTTGATTTGCATTCTAGCTTAGTACTTCCCAAGCATGAATCCTTGACTTCTGTGTCAAGTTAACATTGAAGATGCCGGAGTAAGTGTATAAGGCCTTGCAATCCCCTTCGCTTAAGATCTTTGCAGGTCTCTCTGATAACAATGTTTTGATGCCGAAAAACTAAACTTTTGGAGTCTTGGAGTCAAGGATAGGAGAGGGGTTGGCATTGGCGTAAGCACGTATTCTGCTGATAATGCTTGGCTGCATTCTCATACCGCAAGATTCATTGGTAAACAGCGTCAAGAACCAGAGATTTCGGCATTCTAGAATGGCCCAAGCCATTACCGCCTGTTATCATTTCCGTAGCCAAGCTCTTAGTTCACGAGAGGTTCGCGAGAGCGGTAAACTTAATCAGCACAAGGGATTTCACCTGCTACAAACGGCTGCCCGGCTTTCCATGACGGGGATCGGATAGCCTCAATGTCTTGGCCCACCCCGGATACCTTCCACAATTGCCCTAGTGGTGATTGGCAGAGCCATGGCATTGGGAACGTGCGATACACATCGATCTACGTCGTGATGTCGCCATTAACCGAAGAGACTATAAATTGCCTAATTCCATCCGCTCATTCCAATGATGCGTCTTCTGTCTCTGTCAAGCCTTTCCCCGGCTACGCATGTTAATCTATCAATTCTTCTTCTCACATAACCTGAGGAACGTCTGAACATCATGAAGTACGCCGCATCACTCCTCGCCCTGGCAGCCACTGCCTTGGGCAAAGAGATTCCCAAGGACCCTAAACGGGCTGCTGATCTTTATGACTCTGGTCTCATGCACGAAAAGATCATGTCTCGTAAAGAGCTTTTCTGGGCAAGAGAGCGCAAAATCGGCAAATTCGCCGAAAAATGGCCTGAGTTGCACTTTGCTCAATGCCGGGATGGAAAGGCAGTTCCATTCCGTGACCAACCTAATAACTTCTATCGCTGCAAGAATGTAAGATCTTCCTCATTGACTATATTCAGATGAGATTACTGACTGATGCATGTCAGATCAACCTACACCACTTCCTCTCCCATCAGGCCCTGGGAAGCACCGTTGGCCAGGGCTCATCATCCTGGGGTTGGGTGTCAGACGATGGTCGCGAGTTTGCGATCATTGCTCAAGGTGATGGAGCTGCTTTTGCCGAGGTAAGTAGTTTATTGTTCGCTTGAATCATACATTCTGTTCACTGCATGCTGATGCGAAAGCAGATCACAAATGCTGGCAAGTTGCGGTATCTCGGACGCCTTCCTCAGACTGCTGGAACCCCTACAAGTCAATGGAGAGAGATCAGAAGATACAAGCACTATATTGTGATTGGTAGCGAGACATATGATCATCACATCCAGATCTTCGACCTGAAGAAGCTGCTGGATATCGATTACAAGAAAGGACCTGTCACCTTTGACCCAGTCAAGGATCTCACGGGCTTCTACGGAAACCTCCCTGATGGCCGTGCTCATAACGTCTTAGCCAACGATGACTCAGGCTTCGCCTACATCGTTGGTGCACGTCCCCGTACAGATGCTTGTCGCAGCGGCTTGATTTTCTTGGACCTAAAGGACCCAAGTAACCCCACCTCTCCCGGGTGTGCCTCTGCCGACGGCTATGTCCACGATGCACAGTGTCTTATCTATAAGGGTCCTCACACTAAGTACCTTGGCAAGGAGATCTGCTATGGCTACAATGAGGATTCATTGACTATTTGTACGTCATTGATTGCTCCTCTCATCTGAGACCTTTCTACTAACTGCCACTAGATGATGTTACTGACAAGCAGTGGCCTGAGGTCATCTCTGTAACCTCTTACGAGGGAGCCACTTACACTCACCAAGGTTGGGTTCTCGACACCGAGTGGCAAGAGTTCCTGATAATGGACGATGAGTACGATGAGGTCGATGCTCGAGGTCCTGCTGCAAACGGTCATGCCACTACATTCATTTGGGATATCTCCAACCTAGAGGCACCGAAGCAGACAGGCTACTACCAGTCTCCTCGCAAGACCATTGACCATAACCAGTATGTCGTTGGCAACTACAGCTTCCAGAGCAACTACGGTGCTGGTATTAGCATTCTGGATATCTCGTCCATTCCCACCAACCCCTCTGGTTCTGGTGTTCGAGAGGTTGGCTGGTTTGATATTTACCCAGAAGGTACGATCTACAAGCGCTTGTGACTATTATAGTAATGGCAAACTAACTCAATGTTTTCATAGATGATAACCTAGAGGGTGGCGGTTCACATGCTTTCGTTGGCACATGGTCATCGTATGCTGACTACCCATCGGGCTATATCCTTATTAACACGATTGAGAGAGGAGCGTGGGTTGTGAAGCCGCAGACGGCACTGCCGTAAGGGCTGGTGCTTAGTTATAATACAACTCATGATGTACCTGGCCTCGAGGCAGACAAATAATAAACCAAAATGTATCAGCACGCGTCCAAAACTTCATGTGCAGTGACTAGCTGTTGCTTTCACCTAGGGTGATATCGCTTATAATTGATGACCTATCAATTCGTAACCAAAATGGTTTCATACCACAAGTCCGTTATTCTCCTCAAACCCTTATGTAAAATATTGATCAAGCTCCTCGAGAAACTGAGCAGCAGCTTGTTTAAGCTACTATTTCCACAGCTCGACCTTCTTACCCTCAGGCAAGTGTTCGACGCTCTCGGCGCCAGGGTGCAATATCGGCCAAACAGCCAACATCATGTTGTCCTACACCCACGCTTTGCGTCAGCCGATATCTGGAGAGGGGTGCTTTGCTTATCGCCATCCCAGCAGATATTTTTGAGCAAAGAGAAGGCTGTGCCATACTTCAAACCCTAGTCAGAAAATGAATCATAAAACTTGCTTTCCTCAATCTGTCTAGTCGACTATTCATTTGCACAAGTACGGTTTTGTTGTAAAATCAGACCCGCTGAGTGCGCCCATCGATCAACATTAACCTCATTCAGCAGCTCACCGTACTGAACATGTATAGTCGATCTGAAGCACTCACCCTAGCAGCAACAAACCCCAGACAATCTGTGATTAGGCCCAGCGTGCGGAAGCTATCATCTAGTGAATGTGATTGCGAAATTGCGTGGGCATTAATGTGATGTAGAGCAGTAGAGTTGTCTGGTGGGGGAAAAGGTATACATGATTTCTTGGTGATGGCATTATCTGCTCGCTAATGAAAGTTGACCTACATAGGTCTTCTGCGTGCCGACTAACTCGGGAGGGATCGGGGTTTATCGGTACAAACATTATACGTGTACTTGTTCAAAACGTCCATGGCGTGAAACTTCGTGTGGCGGGGCTGACCCTAGAAACCTCGGAGAGTGTCTGCATCCTATGCGCGTATTGGTTACCTAGTTCCCAATGTTGAAGACAAGTATTACCGGCGAGGGGAAGCGAGCTTACTTACCTAGCAGCTTCGCCAAGGATGATGATTTCCTAGATCCACATAGGTGGCGCGTAACGGACTTAGACAACTAGGACACCCAGGTCGCAACAGATGGTCTGGCAGCTAGGGCATTAATGGCCAGCCCGATAATCGAGAGAGGCAGAGGTGTCGACATCGTGAACATAGAGTAGGTATACGCTCGGGCAAGGTTGCGGAGTCGTCGAAACAAATGCGCGGGGCAGGCCAACGCCCCTCGCTCTACGTAATAGAACCGGCAGCTCTGCAACCAGGAAGTGTGCAGTATGGTAATCGGGTTCGTCCAGCGCATTTTTGCGTCGTCGTCATCCCGCTCAGTGAGGATACGTTGGCACGTTTTGAGGCTTGGTAGTGTGTCAATTGCCTACCTGGTTTGTCACACCCCGATGTTTCAGTTGTGATGGGATGGCAGGCGTCTATTTATATCTATCATCAACTCTATTGTCTACCTACGGTATTACATGGCACGTGGACAATTTCCGGATTAGTCTGTCGATTTTTGTCGTTTGATGTTTCAACAAGGGTGTGTGCATTGCCGCCCACCACACACACACTACCCACATCCCTGGCCGTAGCCTGGGGAAATAGCGTACGAATCTATCTTGGCCGTATCATATATATCGTGCTAGTGATATATCGTGCTAGTGGTGAGGAATATCCTCAATCGCGCTCTCATGGTCAAACGGCCCAAACTATTCAAACGCTTGGAGCCTGGGCATCGTGCTGGGCATCGTGCTTGGTACGAATTTCGGCTCAAGTGTTTATTGCGGTTGGAGTGCTATGGCAAGCGACAAAGTTGCGGTAGACGTAATCCGAGTGTATTGGGATGCGTGTATATAAGATGAAGTTGATGCGCACGAAATATTCAAGCAATCCCGGTAGATTAGACTCCATTGATCAGCCAAACATTGCTTGTTTTCATCTCTTTCTTTCCGATTGACTCGGAACTTCTTCAATTCTCACGGCTGCGCTGTTATAAGTCTCTTGGGCTATTTCCTCCGACTTTTATTAGATATCATTTATTTACATCGTATTCGAAATGCGTTTCTCTTACTTGAACGTCATGGCATTAGGCCTTTCCACCTCGTTAGCGCGCCCAACGTCCTCGTCGGAATCGTCGGGGTCGTCGCTGGCTCGTAGGCTGGATAAGGCTGGGACCGACCAGCCTCGTTTCGTACAGTTGAAACGCAATCGACCTGACTCCATTCGCGTTCGCAGTATGGCCAGGAATATTGCGAGGACCCCAAAAGAGTACGAGAGAAAGGGCGAGAGAAAGGACGAGGAGAGTGACACTGAAGACGAGATTGAAAGTGATGACGAGAGCGACAGTGAAGACGAGAGGGCAAATGAAGTAGACATTGCCGGGACGTTGGACACGCCGATTGCGCTTAAAGGAGGTAATATCAAGCAGGATGTTACCTTTCCAGCGGTAAGACGCCCTTGAATGTATCTTATCCATAGCGCCTAGGGACTAATATTAAACATGACTAGGCCACCGGGAAATTTGAAGTTGAGTTTCAGGCAAAGACCGCTAGAACCCTCACAGTTAAAGAGAACAAGACACCTGCCGCAGCACCAGCAGGATTTAAACTGTTAGAGCCTAGCTCCTTTATCGTCAACCTAGCTGAGGGAGGAAATGCGTTAACCCTCGGTCAAATTGACTTTATTTTCGACATTACTAGTAAGCCCGTGATCCGCTAGTCTCTTAGACTCCGATTTCTCCCCTATTCTTGCTAACTGTTCATGGAAAATAGGTGCAGCTCTGAAGGGCGTGGATCTCAAGACATCTAGAGTCGGGAAATTGAACGCGGAGACCAACGTCTTTACCGTTGATGATTCTCTGGGCGAGGTTGAGTTCGAAATTGATGAGAACGAGACCGTGCTTAAGGTACGGGACCTCAGTGGCGAGTTCGGTATCTTCGTGCCGGAAGCCGCTAAAGGGGGAGACGACGCTGAAGCTGGCCAGGGGGGCGGTGCTGCAAAGGAAGAGGATGAAAAGGCCGGGCAGATCGAAGTCACTGGCTTGTTTGGATCTGTGAATAATGTTGAGGCGAATGTGTTTACAAACCTTAACTTCGCGGCAAATGTGAGTATTTCGAAAACATCGGCCAACGCCTTAAATCTAGCTAACAAAGTTCTTCAGGCTGCTGGTTCCCTAGAGGTGGAATACAACGGCACCAGCCCAACCACAATTCGAGTCGGGCCGGCGCTCGCGTCCGCACCACCTCCCGCAGGGCACATCTATGTGGACCCGCTCACTTTCACGATTTCAAGCTCGGCCGCAGTGCAACCGGGCGATACCCTCAAGGTAGACTACATCTTCACCGAGGGTTTGAAGGCCTCGATCGACCCATCAAAGGCAGTTGTGGGCAAGTTCGACGCCGCAACGCAGCAGTTTGTGACTACTGGTCTCGGGGAATTCGAGTTCGAGGAGGATGAGAACGAGTGGTCGCTGACGGTTACTGATCTCAATGGCCAATGGGCATACTTCATCCCCGAAACCGCTGTGCTTTGAGCTGTGGAGCCATCCTCTAGAATTGTTCGGCCCGTTGTTTCGGCTGGAATACACCTGGTGTGTATTCCTCGTGCGTGTATCAGGGATCTCGGGACGAAGGAGCAAAGAGATACATTGTATATGGTCAGAGAAGCCTGAATGCCTTCAGACTTCTGACCTTTTAGACCTTGTGTCACAATGAGAGTCTTACTGTATAGCTTGTGCAGCCCGCCTGCCAGCGTGTAAAATATGTTTGTTCGTATCTTTTCTGTCTTTATTGTGTGTGCTGATCGTGTTTTGTGCGAAAGAGCACATGCTTGAAGGTGCGCCGAAGTATAGGTATGAGATGAAGCACTTGCTGATACTAGCGGATCAGAGGTTCAAGTCGGCAGCCGAAGAAATATATAGCATCACATGTCGAAAATTACCAAAGTTTTTGTCGCTTTTATCGACTTTTTAGTTTCTCGATAACTCGAGCCTCATGCCCCGCGAAAAGGGGTTCAGATCTCTAGACGCCCGACACCCCGAGGATCGGGTGCTGTGAGGCTGCTCTGTACAGGTGGTGCCTCCGATCCCGACAAGGCAGAGTTGTCCTGATCGATGTGGGAAGCTCTCAATGGTAGCGCAAAATGCTCCCTCATTTGCTCTCCAAATATTGACGGATTAGTTACCGAGCCTGCGGCACAGCCCACGTACATGCCGGCTATGCTTATACAAGGGGTCAGTGAAGCGAGCTTGATTCCACGTGAAGAAAAGGTGCGACGGCTACAGAACATACTTCGATATTTATCACGTGTGATGACTTTACCAGAAGAACGAGATGCTAACGTTTTAGTTGTTGAGCGAAGTGTTTTATGGGTAGTCAAAAATGTCGTTCAGAGTCGTGCATTTCGCTGAAAGGCTGTTTTCTTCGCCTCTTTGAAATCAGCCATCATCCTCATCGGGGTATTCTGAGCAGAGGGCCGTTAAACTCGATGATGTCCAAGACGATACCCCTGCGGTCCTGTGCGCGCTTGAGGAAGTCTTTCTCCTTTTCGCAGTATGCCCTTACTGGAGCCACAAGCTCTTGGCGAGGGGCACGCTGTCCATCTTATGTAGAACCCCTGTGAGCACTCTACATAGGGACACCTCAAGTCGGTCGTCCTACAGTAAAACCAATAGTTTTACTAGGAGAAGTTGGGTCAGCTCACTCGAACCCCTGAGTAAACAGATATAGCTAACAATCCAACACACCCTAGCAGGCTACGACCTTTTTGCACGATTCTCGCTGAGATTGAAGTAGGCTGCCGCTCTCAGATACAAGCGAGTGTTACATTAACCCCGCAAATCATGCTCAGTCTTCTCACAGAAGTAGCTTACATGCAGGACCATCTGCAAGATCACTTCCTTCAGCAGCAAAACAGGTCACGGCGTCTGATGTAGTTGGGGCTCGTCTTCTCTTGCATGACGCAGAGCACCAACAGTGGTGAGATACGAAGCTTCAAGTTCATATTTATGTCTAGCGGTTCAGTGAACAACCATTTCGTGAAAGGCCAGAAGAGGGGAGGGTAGTGAGAGCAACAATTCATGAGAACAGGCACAGTCATTTCAAGACTTTAGTTAACAGGAGGTGAAATCGGATACTGTTCCCCCCAAAAATAGTGAGATCATGTTATTTTTTCATTTCGGCGACTCGTCTGCCACTAATCGGGCAGAATTTGTGATCTCTGGTCGCTGTCTCTAACAAAAGATAGAGCCAAATGGCATCCGTGAGCAAATTTCCCCTGGTTTCATACCAGCCGTTCAGAGTCTTCTTCCAGGTGCTTTACGCTTCTGCAATTGTTCTACAACTTCCCTACTTCGCTGTAAGAGCGGCAGTTCCCGCTCTGCGGCCGCACCCGGAATGGAGCGCAAAGCAGACGTTCATGACTTGTCTCGTCTATCGACTACTGGATCTTACGTCCCGCGTCGGTATTAAAGAGACCATCAATTTAGAGCCAAGGAAAGAAGGCCGAAGGTTTCAAATCGTGAAGCCTGCCGAGCCTGAATATTACAGCGGAATTCTTGCATCCGGAGATATCAAACCCGAGACAATCGGAGGAACATGGTTCCCGGATGTTCCTAAGGGCGACGCAGCATCCACGACCATATTCCTCTACTTCCACGGAGGGGCCTTTATTCAAGGTGATGGCCGTAATGCCACTTGTGGGCTTATCGTTAAGAAGCTTCTCGAGAAAGGCGGCGCGGATGCTGTGTTCTCTGTACAATACCGGCTCTCCGGCCACGGCGGGCAAAACCCATTTCCGGCCGCGTTGCAGGATGCACTGTCCAGCTATCTCTACCTTCTCAACAACTTACATGTCCCAGGAAACCAAATTGTTTTGGCTGGGGATAGCGCCGGCGGTAATCTTGCCATGGCCTTGCTACTATATCTCCGCAACTTTGGTGCGGCGACCCACGTGCCAGCTCCTAAGTGTGCCGTGCTCCTCTCGCCGTGGGTGGCGCCCTTCCATTACAATATGACCGATAATCCGCACAGACATACGGACTTTGTCCCGACAACGTATCCATACTGGGGCGCGAACGCGTATGCCGGCGGCTGGCCCAATGCGCAGTCTGACCCGTACATCACGCAGCTCGGAAACCCATTCCGGACCGTGCCCATCTTCGCGAACGCCGGGACGGCTGAGCTGTTCTATGAGCGCATTCTCAAGTGGGCCGAGGAGATGAGCGGGATTGAGGGGAACGTCATCGAGGTCAATCACGAGGACGCCGGCGTTCATGATACGTTTCTCAGTGCTGAGATATTGGGGTTTGAGAAATCGGCCTGGGAAGTTGCAGCAAAGGTTGGAGAGTTCGTTCGCAAGTGTTAGATGGGCGTAGTGGTATATAGTAGGTTTGTTTAGAGGATCAAAGGCGCGGTGACACTAGGATATTTAATACATCAGAAACATGTGTTGATTAATCGCCCCCTTGGATCCAGGGTTTTCACAAATTATATACAATGAGGGTCTCCTTCTAATGCTCTAACTCCTTCCTCGGAAAGCGTCCCAACATGCCGTATGATTATTAATCAGAAACTGATATGGCCAGGAATCGGTCCCTGAACGTTGAGGAGTGCAATCGCGAATTAGTTATAGATCTTGCCATCATACCTTGAGTTGAGGAGGTATATCTTGTTAAGATAATAACCAATCAATAGTTAGACATCATATCGTTTGACGAAGCCTCCCTCAACGCTTGATGCGAGGTCTGCTTGGGTTTACCCCATATTAGTCTGGCGGCCGAAGACTGAGACACAAGTTTAGGGTCTTGGGCGTTGGCGTTATTGCCGATAACTTCGAGCTTTGAGACCAAGATCACCGCCACGGTTTGTACGGCATCAAGAGAAGCTGCGAGAGTTCAAAGGTGCAGCATCTATAAACAACTCGCGTCATAGCGAAGTAGCGATGCACCTTGAAACTACTATTGCAGTTGTTAAAAGCACCCGCAGAGAGTCTATCTACAGAGTACAGTCAGCATCAAAAGTCGGTACCATCTGTTAGTACAGAGTAACTAATTAAGAAGGTCCTATTTGGAGTAAAATAGTGTAGGAACGCTGTTTAGCTGATGACCTACGTCGTATGAAAGCCGCACTAGAATATCTTAGCGTTCTGTACCTACCAGACTCCGACAAGTGCTTTCTGTTACACGTGTAACCTCTGTACTAAGCTGAATATGCAGTTCGCCAAGCACTTCGACCGTACGAAGGACCTTTGCAGGCTGTTCATGATGTTTCAAGACATGCAGGCAATATTGGGCAATATTGGAAAGTGAGGTTATACAGACTTCGCTTCTTGAAACAGACCCCAGAGATCTAGGCGGTCTGTGCTGGCAGACCATTTGTATATAGAGTCAAGTCAAGCCACCGACAGCCGAGAAGGAGTTGGTTGGTCAAGGACTTATGCAGCCCTAGTTGTTCATTATATTCTAAATTGCCTAGATTCCAAGCCCAGTAATCCTGCCCTTGTTATACTTTCCGCAATGAAACCATCTTGGATTATTGTATGATCTCATGATTGCTACGAAGATTGCAAGTCATCATTCACGTTGCTATTTTACAAGGATCCATGCGGTTAATACCGTTGCCCTGATTGACTCTTAACAATTAGTTTATTATCTCTTGCAGTCTTTCATGATTTGACAGCACTTTGTGACCACCGTACTTAGTCAAGGCCCCTGGTCCAAACGGGCATTCGTCTTTGACGCTTCATGCTATGCAAACTAGCTAGCCGGTGATGACGTTATTTGGCAGCTATGGACCTGATTGTTGCGGGTGTCTTGACAGATGTGGTTAAGGTGCCAAGAGATGTGATTGTTCTCAACTACACTAGACTGCCGGATTTCTTCCCACAAATTACCTAAAGAGGCTCTATTGCCCTACTTGGCAGGGGATTTGTTCATTCCCTACCTGACTCTGGCCGTTCCAAGTAAAGTTTCTCCCATTTAATCGAGATGTCTCACCAACTTCCATCCACGGCACTACTACGGCCGACTAAGCATCATTTAGATATTGGACTAACTATGCGATACGCTAAGGTTGAACATTGAGCCTCGAGACACCTAACTGTCACTTAGACATATGGCGACGACTGGGCCAGAGTTCTTGCGGTACGAAGAATGCTACCTGCTAACTCATAATCTACCAAGTCTAGAAGTTTGAAGTATACCACCAAATGGATGTCAACGGTGCACATGAAGTTCTAAAGCATCAAGTTCGAGTAGTGCAAGTTAGATGGCTAGGTTACTCTTGGCATGAGATCCTACCCCCACGATTATTGAGAATTAATCAGCACCCCAAAGCTCTGAGCCAAGCGACAGAGCTCCACCTCGGCCATGGAAACCAAACATGGCAATATTCTTAATTATGAGACCTCCGTTGAATGCCTATTGTAGAAGGTCACGTTATTTAACTTTAGTAGAAAGCCTCAAGGCAGGGTGGAGACGAAGACTGCTTATAAGTACTAGAATGCTGCGCTGCCCGAAGCCGGGAATCTGTTCTATTATGACATCTCAATTTGACAAGCCAATCCGTGCCAGATCTCTTCGGTCTCAAACAGACCAACCGTTAATTAGAGATGCGTTCCTTTGGCTTCCTCACGGTTTTGGCAGCTATTGCGGCTGCCTACGATGTCTGGGTCAATGAGGTGGACACTGGACTTGAGAAATTCCTGTACAGCACCAACTGGACCGAGGGTACACAGCCAGCGCTGAAGGACATGCGAGCAATTTCAGACTTCGACTTTGCCGCTCGTCAAAAACTTGAAGACATGCAATACAGCTTTTATAGAACGGCTGCTGGTGGAGAGTGGAGTGAGCCTGGGCCCCTCAAGCGGCGAATTTCAATATCTGAATCCCCTAAGTTACTGAACTGATTGCTTCTCATCCTCAGGCTACCGAAACAACCTTGAGGTCTGGTCTAAGGTTCGGTTCCGACCTCAGCAGCTCAGTGATGTAACGAAAGTCAACGAAACTTCAAAGTAAGTGTAGAATTTCCCCATATGAAACTAACGTTATCATTAATCAATATCAAAAGGACAACCATCCTAGGTTACGAGTTCTCAGCGCCTATATTCATTGCCCCCGCTGCTCGAGGTGTCTATGGGCATGAGCGTGCTGAATTGAACTTTATCGACGCGGCAGCTAGCGAGAACATCCTCTACATCGTAAGACAAGATACATACATCTGAGGTGTTTTACGTCCAGTTTCTAATGAGAAGTATGCAGCCGTCTATTTATGCTTCGAAGAGCATCGAGGAAATTGCTGCTGGAAAGAAGCAGAACAACAACACTTTGAACGGTCCTCAAGTCACTTTCCAGCAGGTAGGGTGGAATAGCCCACAATTCAAGTAATGTCGACTCTCACACATTTATAGCTATATACCAACGTCAACTTGTCCGTGACATGGGACCAGATCAAGCGAGCTGAACAGGCCAACGCAAAGGCTTTAGTATGGACCGTTGATGCCCTGGCGGACTCTACTCGCCACCGAGCTGCCCGTTACGACACCACGAATGCGTAATTTCTCCGGCCCTGCCGTGAAATATTCTTAACGCTAACCATCTAGTTTAGTAACTCCGTCACCTCCAAAATAGACTGGGAAATTTATGATCAAATCAGGGACCACACCAAGCTTCCCGTCATCATAAAGGGTATCTCATCTGTAGAGAATGCTATGACGGCAGTTGAGAAGGGTGCCAAGGCCATCTATATCTCAAACCACGGTGGGCGTCAGGTCGAATACTCCCCATCCCCGCTTGAGATTGCCTACGAAATCCACCGCAATGCACCGGAGATTTTCCAGAAGGTCGAGGTGCTCGCTGATAGCGGTGTACGATATGGTACCGATGTCCTGAAGCTACTGGCTCTCGGTGTCAAGGCTGTCGGTATGGGGCGGCCTTTCATGTACGCTAACACCTATGGTGTCGAAGGCGTTGAGAAGGCAATTCAGCTTATGAAGACGGAGATCGAGCATGATGCTGCCCAAATTGGCATCAGCGATATTCACAATATTCCTTCAAACATCGTAAGTACATCCCAGTGATCATTTACAAGCGCCTGGCCTTGCTAATATGCTGAAATGCACAGCTGAACTTGCGCCAGCTCGAAAATGAAGTTTACCTTATTAATTCGTAAGCGATCTTTGTAAGATAGAATCCGTATAGAGAAAAATAAAATTGTCAAGGATGGTAACGTGTTATATTGTCAGAACAGAGAAAGATCTGTTGCAGCTATATAGTACTTAACAACACGTAATATAAATAAAGGGAACGATGATAAGTTAGGCAGCTACAACAAACAATTGCAGATCTTGTTCGAGAGTATCTTGTATGTTATGCTAAAAGCCATTTTTATTGAAATTATTAATTGTATACAAATTTGATGGATGATAGAATCGCGCAGAATCAGGACAGCTTTTATGTCAATGTAATAATCTAATGCTAAGTAGGTTATTTCTAAGGTTAAAGCATGCTGAATCGCAGGAACTCCCTAGTTCTCTATTTGATGTTTGGATATTCTGTAATTAGATTTACTTTCTTCTCTAGCTTTAATTTTAGGCCGTTGCATATGTGATGTATAATCATCAGTCGAACCTCTGTCGTAAAAACAGTTCTGTTTCTCTATGGATCAAAAAGCTCTTATCATTTGCTATTTCTAACCAAATATGTCAATATTTTTATGCCAGCTGGCAAGCCACCGCACATTTCCAATCAAAGATAGGTACACATATGATATGGAGGAGGGGCCTTAACCCGTTCGAAACCAACATTATCATAGCTTCAATCTGGTCAAGTCGACGCGCTCGCAAGTTGGATTATGTGGCTTCCCATATGTAATCCAAGATAGCGTGAATCCGGTAACGGTGTACCTCGTTTGCCAGCAAATGGCCCAACCATCTGGACTCGTCAGTCATCAAGTTACCAATCCACCTTTTGGGACACGCGACTCACAAAGATTGACCGATGTCTCAGGTCCCGGCTTCCCCACGACCGCTGTCGAATCATCGTGCTGTGCGTACACGAAGGCCTTTTCATCCTCACCAAAACCTACGAATTGCACGTTGTATGGGTCGGCGCCTTCACCGAGCTCCAATATCGCAACATTCGTATCGGGGAAGTAAGTCCAGAACATAGCCTTTCCTTTATAGAGATTGGTCGCGTTGCTAGCATGAATATCCGTAACCACAAAGCCCAAACCGGAATCGTCATCAACCGAGGTATTGAAGTAGAAGCGGTACGACGAGTTGCCGGCCATGGGCGCGGGAACAGGGGCATAGTGGAGCACAGATACCCCAGTGTCCGGATCATGGTCCGTCGAAAATTCATGGACGGCGTAGAGGTACCCTATATTCGTCAGCAAAGTGTCGTCTATGCGTTGTGACTTGCGGTGCAGCTCTCACCGTCGATCGAGCTGTTGCATTGGCCCTTGACGTGTAGTGCGTACGGGCCATCGGACTTCAGAGGGGGGTACTCATCGCTCTGGGCAAGGGCTCCGATGGCGGCGGCAAGGCCGTACAATGCGGCGGTAAGTCTCATGGTGCAGTAGAGGCGAGTCGAAGTTACTGGTGAGAAGTTTGGGGATGTAAGAAACTATGAACACAGCATTCGGCTTGCTGCTTTTCAAGGCAACAATGACATGTTGTAAAGCACAATATATAGAGATGTCCGAAATGCTGCTGCCTTACAATGCCTTCAATCCTTTCTACTTTTGTATGATCCTTTCCAGGCTGCCATATAAACTAACCTTTTTAATTGTCAGATAATTTTAATTGCTGATCTTAGCCCTTTAACACCAATACATAGGTAATACGGCGTAAAGGCCCGTGCCGCATACTAGCGTACCCTTAACCTAAACATAGCCCTGTGGACCTGAAAAGACGGCTTACGAAACTGTCAAATGGAATACGTTTAAGCCTGCTATGTGTAACCAAGATAAAGGCTTTGACCACTACTAAGGAATTGTCATGATGGTTGACTTACATACTTTTCTGACGACCTTGGACTCGTGCTATTGGGAGAAGTTCTTTCTATCTTTCTCCCAGGCTCCTATTCTTCATGTTCAGATGCAGCGGCGATTGCAATATAGCTTATACTCGTAGCCTTAGAGATAAAACCCAGTTCGAAATTGCAGTATGTCTGACACCGAAACAGTTAATTGACTCACCGGCTATATTATGTTAGAGCACTGTTTAATCTCCATTATTTCAAATTACCCTAGCAAATCATTATCCCTTCATCATGAAACAACAGCATATCTGAGCAATCCCAACACCGCCCCCAGGATAATACACACAGGGGCCTTCAAACGGAACCATGCTCCGCCCGTATAGCTTGTGGCGGCGATCACAACCCAGAAAGCTTCGTTTCCCAAGCTGACGCCTTGCACAAAATCGACGTCGATATAGCCAACCTGCCAGAGGCGATAGACGGCAGTATATATCAAGCCCACGGCGGCAGCGTTGAAACCGCGCAGGGCCGACCTGACGATTCTCAGGCCACGTAGCGTGCCCCAGAGGCCTATTATGCTGTGACAAAGGACCATGCCGGGAGTGAAGATGCCGACAAAACCGATGAAGGCACCGGCGACGGGATGATAGCCGAATTTGGATGCTGTCAGCCCCCCAAGGTAAACGGCGAAGTTGAAGTTGGGTCCCGGAAACGCCTGAATGACGGCCAGACCTATAAGGAAGTCTCGTGGTGACACCCATCCCTCAGTGACTATGTATTCGCGTAGCAGCGGAACCACCACGGGCCCGCCGCCAAATATGATAGTGCCGGCCAAGTACAGGTTGGAGAAGAGGCTGTAGAGGATAGGCTTGTGGGTCAGCGCGGCTCTTAGGGCTATGATAACGATGAAGGATACAAAGAATAAACCGGCGATAAAAAGCCCGGCCTTCCAGGACATATTCAACTGTCTATCAGGCGGTACTATGCGCGTTTCATCATCCCTTTCTGGAGTGGTGTCAATATCCATCGTTGCACGGGCTCCAAACCCATTGACGCGTTCCAATTGTGACGATGATACATGCCTCTCTCTTTCGGGGGAGTCACGTCCGTCCTCCACGCTGGGCCTCCGACTTCGAGTGTTGTCACCGGCCAGGATTCGCCGACCCCGTTCAAGGAGCAGGCGAACCCTCCGCGCAGGCCCGTGAAGCCAGCGAAGATCGTATACTACGGTTATGATGCCAGCCGAGACGATAAGTAGGGGAAAATACCATATCGCATTATACAGTATGCCGGCGGCTCCTCCTAAAAAGACTAGACAGCGGGTCACGTCGTCGGTGATGGCATTTTGCGAGAGCTGCGTGGCTGCTAGAGCAATTAGACCCACGATAGAGGCGTTGAGGCCCGAAAGCAGGGCATAAACGGCGGGTGGCAACGTCTCGCCGACATTAGAAATTCCGATGCAGAGGCCGAGCATTCCCAAAGCACCGGGAAGGCTGAGATTAGGTGTAAATAAGAATCGCTGAGAAATACGAGACCAAAGTAGATAGGGGGAAAGCTGACCTCCAGAGCAAAAAACCGAGGACGGCTGGAACGAAACCTCCGTGTAGTAGGTTAATGCAGTAGAGCATTTTCGTGCTTCCCGGCCCAGTGAGGGCTTGAGATACGGCGAATAGTTCCTGATACTAGGCATGGGGTATATCGAATTAGAGATATAATAACTTGAATATCTCAAGGATACTCGAGGGCCGGCTTACGATCTGTTCATCTATCCAGCCTAGTTTATCAACAAACTTAGCATGGAACTAGACCCCCCCAATCATCAAATCAATGTCAGCAACTTTTACATGGAATAATGTTCGTATTAGGGTTGCGCAAATGAAGTTACACGCGCAGAGTGAGTAGACACATCCTCAACTTACAATTGTGAAATGTACAGGTGGGCCGCCAAATGAGGTGAACCCCATGTGCCAGCAGGCGTTGAGTACGTCCCATGACCCAGAACCAACACCCTCAAGTCTTTGCCTGAGCCATCCCAAGGCGGTGCCCATTTGAATTGATGGATGTATGATATACGACTTCTAGTGTCTGTTATAGTGAAAAGAATTGGTTAAGTATAAAGCTACAAAAGGCAGCTTCAGATGCAACAGTGCGGGCTATACATGACTTCTCTTGCTCTGTAGTGTTTCTTCTATTATGCTCATACGTATAAGGGTCGGATTGCGTTATCTGCTTATCTAATCTAATAGGTAGCTGCTAATAGCGGGCAATCGATATAGTAGCTGAGAAAATGCTAGTGCATGTTAATTAGCCTATCCCACTGGAGATGGCTTCATCCGAAGAATGCCAAGCACGCTGGTAAGCAGAGAATTAAAGCCACTTACATAACCACAGTAAACTGGCTCATGCGCGAGCAGCAAGTCTCGGCAGATCAGCGTTGACGACAGGGTTCCCTAAAATCATCAGTAGCCAGGTTACTATCTGTAGTTTACCTATGATGGAGAACAGTCATGACCTGCAATGATGTCTAATAGGTAATAGTAAATTGTATCCATCCTATATACAGTACTATCTTAGAGAAATACAACACCGTTAGAATGGAGTAAGTTAGACTGCATTGAATCGCCCCAGTAATCCCGAGAGCTACTTTAGCCCCGTTGTTCTCCTCGGGGCCGGGAAATCGTCGTTAAGCGTCCGGATCATCTTATTTTATGCATCGGGGGCTGCATCTCTGCAGTGCAGCGGCCAAGTGTGGAACATAGAAAGTCGTGTCCGGGCTTGGTCCGGGTCACAGCCATTGATCGGCACAGAGAAGTTGTGATCGAGAACGAACTACGATTTGACTCGTGATTGTTACAAGGTGGTTTTGTTAGCTAGCGCCTGCTACAAATAGACAGGCTTGTCCCTCCACCCTCCTAATCCAAGCCGTAGCAGTCTATCAAGCTCAGTTGATCCATCTGCATTGATGCCTTCCTCATCCATATCTCGAAGCAACTTATCAATATATTCGCCTGCCCCAGAGAGATGAAGAATATATGCAATAGCGCGGTGGACTGCCAAAAGCCGAGGCGAAGGCGGGTCAATTGATCGATCATCGGTAAGGTACAGCGTTCGTGTAATAGGAAAGGCTAGGTTCCGCATAAGGCGACGGTCGTAAAAAGTGTTGATTCGGTAGGTATGTGGTTCGTTTGGAATAGATTCGAAGAACACCTGAAAGTCACCAAAGAGAGTATGGAGGAAAGCTGTAAGTGTAACGGCATTTCTTGGCCGGTCGATATCAGTCCCATCAATTAAGTGTACAATACCAGTGTCAAACATATCGAGGATTGTGAGTGCTGCTTGTTTAGAGGGATTCTTGAATTGTATGTTAGCTACGCACTTAGGGATACCGCTATTAGGAAGGTGAATTCAACATAGAAGATATACCAATTCGCGGCCCCCATCTACTTTCATTAGGGAATGTGGAAGTATGTGGGCCACTTCCAGTTCATCAATGACCGTATCTTCTAAAAGTAGAACTCCATTATCATCCCGGGCATCGTCGCCATTCTGTTGCATACGATTTCTCGCCTCTTTATGGTCAAAACAGCGGGTAATAACACAGCGATGGCGGTCGCGGATGAGACAGGCGCCCCGAAGCCGGGACAACCTATCTGGGGTTCCAATAAAGCCTTGCGCACCTCCCTGGGCTCGCTCGACGGCCGAGTGGAATGCGGGTGAGGGTTGTGGTGTCTTTTTCGTAGAAGACTTGACTAGAATAAAGCATTAGTAGCAACAGAGCGAGGAAACTAAAGGGCCGAAGGAATTACTGGGTAGAAAAAAATAATCGAGTAGATAGCTAGCAAAACCAAAGAATAGAGAGCGGATATTCTCGAGATCGTCGAGGTCGTTGTCGTCGCCGCTCTGTCCGGTTAAAGAGAGTGTCATAGCCCGAAAGAAGGCCCGTAGGAAATTGTCTCTAGATTCCTCTGAAAGTGCATATTCGTAAGTATAGCGGACAAGCCTCGGTGGTTCGTATTTTGGCGGGGCGCGATCGATAGCACCACTAGCTCCAAAATGCTCGACAATACGATAGAATCTACGTCTCGCATCGTTTCGCTGGTGGATTCCCAGAGGCTCTTCGGCTGAGAAATCGATGATGCCCTCGAGGGAAGATTGATGGCGGTGGAGAGGCGACGGCGCCGACATGATTCGAAGCTATCGAAGCTATCGTCTACGAGGCGGTGGACGATGTGGGTGTTCCATCCAGCGACAGCACTGCGGCGGCCTGAGTAGACGTGAAATTTGTTGGGGGACCACTACAGAATCAGGGATGATACCGGAACCAAAAGCAACATGCCCTACGTGTTGTTAGGCCTGTGGGTTTGACGCGTCGGTTGGTGGAGGGGTTATATCTATAGGATCATACGGGGCAGGCTGGAGACAGGTACCAGAGTGCGGGGTATAGGCTGCGATACCCTGCTCCCTTTTCCAGCTTAGCTAGCTAAGTACACGGTACACCTTAATATGTACCACCATTTCTTCGAATTTGTCTCGTAAGCCCTAAAGGACAAAGGCGTCATCGATGTTCGTGATAGCGAATGTAAGCGCAGCAGTTCCGATCGCCTGCCCGAACTGCATATCAGGCCAAAGGTGATAGAAATGTCCGCGAGTACAGGAATGTAAGGCAGAATCATTAAGCGCTTTCTCAGACATTCGTGAAGTGGGGTTGGCCGGATCAAGATGCCGATCGGCCCGTGTTGACGGCGTCGACCTAACACAGAGTGAACATCCCAACACATCATGTTTAATTAACTGTGTTAACTTGAACTCTCCTCCCTCCTCAACATTATGGCCGTGTTGCGGCCTGGAACTGTCAACTATCGGTGATAAAACACATATATCTGATCCCTCTCTGCCTGTCTCAGATCATAATCTGTTAAGACAGAGCTGAGGTAAAGATTCTGCCAAGACTAATGCTCATTTTAGTACACATTCTATTCAGCAATTTTCGTACTTCTCAAAAACATCTCCACGGTGATCACTAGAAGTTGTGTTGCTGCTTGTATTTAAGCAGATACGAACTAAAAGAAGGATTACCAAGACTTACCACAGTTGGCCTCCCAACCCCCAGAGCGGAAAGAAATGAGTCTATTTGCGGTTATGACTTGTTTTCCCTGTAACTGTGAGAATCTTGTTGGATTGAATGATAAGTTATCATGATAGAATTTGCTATCCTGCATGATGGCTTGCGAAGCGACACACGTTATGTATCCAGGTAAGACTAATTATAGATCCATTCTTAAAGGCAGCGTCTGCAAGACTGCCCTGCGGCAAGATATAGATAGAGCCAGAGTTATGGCATCTATACAGAACCATGAGAGTGTATGCCTAATATGGTTCAAAAAGAGGTACAGTAATGCATGGGTTATAACTATCACAGACCAGTTGTATGACGGAGAGCATATTTGAATTCGATTCGATTAGATCAGCTACATATCATTCGGATACTTCACCTAACCACGAACCTGCACCTTCAGAACTCGTCTTCCTTCATGGCTCGGCTCTTTAAGTGTACCTGTCATAAGGATGTGTCCCAGAGTGAGTAGAAGGTCAGTCACAGTCAAGTAGGTAGGCAGAAGGGTAGTATAGACGTCAATATTCATTGAATCCTGAACCTTCCAACCCTCGAAGGGGGGTCCAACACCCCTTTATATAGCCAGTAGGTCTAATACAGTCACCCCTAGGGTCTATGTGACTATATCACCTGACAGTATCGCCTTACCTCGGTTTGCGACCTACAACCGTGATGGGAGCCCCTTGATGCAATGCCACCCCCCTTTCAGTTTCCTCTATAGCCTTTGAAAAAGTCTCAGCCCAAAATTCCCTGGTCATGGGCGCTTGAGATTGAGCGGCCTTGGACGGGAAATAGGCAGCGATTTCCTCCCAAACCATGAAGAAGTCTTCAGCCCAGCCTTTGTAATCCTGCTTGCGATTGACTGTCTCAAACATAGAAACATCTTCAAAGCTGTGCTTCGTAAGATGCTGGTCCAGCTCAGCTAGGAAACCAAATCGGAGCCCTCTTGATTCAGCCCCAACCTTTAAGATCTGCGCAAGAGTCTCACAAGCAGACTTTTTGAGATCTGGAACAGATGGTTCGATGAGGAAATCGGCTCTCATCTCTTCCCACTGCAGCCAGCCTCCTGGCTTGAGCATGGAAAGAACGTTAGACAGCAAAGGTGTGGTATAGCGGCGGATACCGAATATTCCATACAGCAGAGCTTTAGTCGCGTGGCTCTCGATGCTCTCAAACTGCCTAACGCACACCCTCAGGCATACCAGGAAAATATGATACTGGTTTTGGATCGGCTTCAGAAAACGAGTAAGACAATGGAACAATAGAATACATGTCCCCCTACTGACTCTGTTAGCGGCAAAGTGGTTGCTCATCTTCGATAATGTCGATAGCCACGAGGTCATCGAGAGTTGTTGGCCAGCGTCGAAGCATGGGGCCATTCTCGTGACGACTCGAGATGCCGTCATTGCTACTCTCCCTATTGACCTAGGACTCGAGGTCAACGAGTTCGGAATCGACGAGGGAGCCGAGTTCATGTTATTCATGAGTACGAAAAGAAGACGCACGGCTGACGAAGAGGCCGCTGCTCATAGAATCGCAGATAGATTAGGCGGACTACCCCTGGCACTGAGCCAAATCGCTGCGCTGATCAACGCGAGGAGTTACACAATGGCAGAATTTGAGACCATGTACGATAAATACGACCAGCGCCTTCATAAGCAGAAGAAGAGTGGATGGAAGTATCTCGGCTATGAGTATGGCCTTGATACGGTATGGGACATCTCATTCAGTACTCTGGGAAATGAGGCTCGCGCGTGCCTTGGGGTCTTAAGTTTCTTTGCGCCAGACTCGATCCCCGCGAAAGTACTTGAAGCCAGCGATTATACGCGTTTGCCCTCCACCCTCTCCTTTTGCGAGGACGAACTCAGGTATGTGTGATAATTCTCTAGGCCTGTGCTTGGTTCACCATTCTTAGAGTCGATGAGGTTCTCGAAGATTTAACGCACCACGCTCTGTTACGAAGGAACATCGACCATGGCACATTTCGCATTCATCGCTTAGTAATTACAGGCCGAATACCGATCAAGAATGGAAAACCCTCAAGAGAATTTCGGAACTCCGACGAGGTTGCTTTTGGAGAAGTTTCCCTCTCAGCGATCTAGTAAGTTTGACGACGAGGCATGGCTTACAGTGGAGCGGTATATTCCTCAAGCCCTTGCACTCGTGAAGAATTATAACGAATCTCGGTCAAAACCCAACCCTCTCCAACCTAACATGAACTTCGTCCATCTGCTTGGTAACGCTGCTAAGTATGCGTCAAATTTCAGTCACCGGAGTGAGCCCAAGCTGACCATTCCAAGTGCCATACATGACAATGACACTGTTGGCGCTGGTCCAATCTTTCTAGACACCGCCAGTGCCGCATATGTGCTGTGCAATGAACAAGACCAGCTCTTGTGGGCTCTGATCTTATACTTGCAGTGCATACACCATTTCTGTACCAGCGAGTTCGCCAAATCAGAGAAGGAGATGGTCGAGTGCCTCGAAATACGTCAGAAATTACTTCCCGCCGATGATTTACTTATCGCTCTTGCATACATTGGGATTGGTCCGGCTTTTGGGGCACAAGGACGGTATTCGGAGGGCCTCGAGTGGTTACTGAAGGGCGGCGAGATCCTTAAAGGCCCTGCTGGAGATGCCACCGCCAGGAAAATCGCCTGGGGTTATAATACCTCGAGGAATTACTATTGTATGGGACGATTCGAAGAAGCTGAGGAGTTGCTGATGACAGCGTTCAACTTGGCCAAAGCAATACAAGGCTGGTATAACCAAGTTTAGTGCGTGGTTTACATGAAAACTTCAGTATGCCTTCGTGCTGACCTCACTCAGCGGTTGTCTTACTCTGGCGTCACTTCGCACGCGAATGAACCGGCTTGACGACGCAAACGACTACGTCGGTGAAGCCCAATCAATACTTGAAACATCCGGCAGTGCTGCTCGGTTCAGCTGAATGAACTCGAACTGCGCATATCGAGCTGGTGTTATCGCAATACTGCAAGGCCGTACCGCTGATGCCATGTAAGATCCGGTCTAGGCACTTTTCCAGCTACGAGAGCTAACGATCCGACAGACGAGAGACGGAAAAATCGGTGGCTATTGGGAAACTAGTGAAACTGCCAAAGGGCATACTCTGCCGTTCCATCCACGCCTACTCGAAAGCATTAGGCATGGATCCCTGCAGAGTAGAAGAGTCCGAGGTCCAACGCCTAGAGGCCCGACAACTAAGGTCGCAGCTACCGGGCGGTGGAGGAAACTTAGACGACGAGAGCGATGCAGCATTTGAGCGGCTAGTGAAAATGGATCAACGCTGAGTCAGGCTCCTTTTTACTCTAGGACCCGGCTGGCTGAGAACAGCAAAGACTGAGATTAAGCGTGTCTCTGATAATTTGCATAAAATCTAACAAACCAAGGTCTCATTTCGAAAATAATTAATCCCAGCTTTTAATAGGCAATGGTTTTCGGCCCCTATATTTTCCTATTACGGTAGGTAAGGGTTTTGCTCTGTCGTGAAGCTTAGGCAAGTATCATAATACTACTGGACTAGGGGAACTACCTAACCATGTAGGCATTTACTTACTGTCTATCTACTTATTGATCCCATGATAAACTGATACCATACAACTTATGGTTAAAGGCTCCGATGATGATGACAATGTTGCTGTGCACACTACCAAGTTGGCTTCTTTGTAGCCTGGCATTATCCATCCCGAAGTATGGGTAGGAGGGTTGTACTATCTAACATTCTATGAGCCAAGTAACCTAAGCAAAAGACCGGGCCTCGACGGGACCGGGCTCATGGGGTATATAATAAGAGATTGATATAGCAGTGAACGACTAATTGTGGAAACTGTGTCGTTCCGGTTCCACGTCTCTGGGGAATGTTTTGTGTGTGTGTTTCCAGACCTAGATAGACCTATATGCAGCAAGTTAAGCAGAAGTCCCGCCCACATTCGAAGCCGTCTTCACTACACCTTTGTAATACACCACTATTACTAGGTGATGACGCTGCTACTATACTTGGACTCCTCATTGCCCCGGTTCCGGCTCCACGGTGTCCTTGTCTCTTCGTAGGGCTGCTGAGGAATAGACGTGTCGTGACCTTGCGCTTCAGGGGCGAGTTGTGCAACGAGCGGTTCTGCGCCGCGCCACCACTACGTCGGGTCCGGGTCTGGGTACCACGGCCTGTACGCGAGTCCGTCGCAGGGAGGTTTGGCTTTTGCGCGGATGAGCTGGAGGGAGTCCCGATGTAGAGACTGTGTTTCCGGTTTCTGTTCCGGGGAGTGGAGAGGAGAGGCGGTAAGTCGTAATCATTTGCGGGGAGTCGGAAAAGGGGGGGAATAGCCTCGACCCCGTGCTCGAGATCGAGCCTGCTATGCTCAACTCGTCTTCGATTTCGTCGTCGATGCCCTCGGGTAAGAGTGAGGTGAGGGGAAGCGCTTGCTTGACGGGGTGCGGTGATAGGTACTCGAGCGATTTGCACCCTTGGTGCCTTGTTTTCTTTTGGGTGTTGTTGAGGTAGGAGAGGAATTGACTTGTTTTAGATCGAACCGGTGTCCCCAGCTCGGGACTTGTAGACCTTCTCTATTGAAATTAGGAAGGCAGGGATACGTAATCCTGGTAGCTGGTACTATTTCCTAGAGTACTTCGGGCTTGAACACTTTTACGGGCTGTCACCGTCGGCAAGATACCTATCATAAATCGGACAATCCACGCTCATAGATGCTAGAGGTTGAAAAGGGGTCAGCAAAGAAAGAGACATAGCAATGTGAGGCTTCGTTACTCACAAGAAAGCTTTTTGTACATCTTGATCGTTGAACGGGTTGTGAGGACCATAAACAGCGTTCGTGGTCGCCATCATAACTTCTTTATATATCCAATCAATAATATTGAGCTTGAGAGGCGTCTTACTCTTGCTAAGCTTGTCTGGCGATGTTACGATGATCTGAACGGACCTCCTATTGAGTGTACTCAATTTAGGGCCAGGGCTAAGGGTGGTGCGGATACTTTGTGTGAACTAATGGATGAAGCCGCGATCGTCAAGATGATTCTCACTCAGGATCTCGACAGCATGAGCGCTGACACCCGTAATAGTAGAGGCCATTCGAACCAAAATAGGTGAGAAGGGTATCATTCGCGTCTGCCGTTGCAGGGTCTGAACTAATTTGGGGGGAATTGACGACATACAGCCGCGCAAAGGGTAGTCGCAGAGTATACACTGGCAATCGACTATAGCGCAGGCGGATGAGGAAATACAATCAAGCAAAATCGGGTGATATAACCCACCTGTGCGAGCTCCAGTAATGAAAGCCACCGCGGATCATGGTGATCATAGGGCTAATGAAAGGAATCCAGGTGTCAATTGCTCCCGGTTCCTTTTCATCTTGCGTTAGCCACAGTAGAGTTAGGGCGAAGAAATAGGCTGTCAAGATGCCCGCTAGGGCCGCTACCATAGTATATATCATAGCTTCTATGCTCTTGGGTTCCCTGCGTGAGGGAATATCTGTTGCCTATCTGCCTAGTAGATACTAGAGTTGATATTGATAGGTGTAAATGAGTATTTGGATGTCGGGAGCTGCCTTCATGCTGGCAATACAACCTTACGGGCTTCATAAGATAATCGCAAGTACTGATTAGTCAATTGAAGAGGTGGCACAGCTTGCTCCTAACAGTAGAAAAGCCTTCAATAACCGTTATATGTACAGTTCAGTAAGGGCCAATTGAACCTTGCATTCCCGAGTTCTTGGGTCGACATCAGATTATTGCTCACCCCACATGCATCCTATCTAGGTGAGAGAACAAGAAAGCTTATTATCTAAGGTGTATGTGTCTGTGTACAGCAAGTTGTTAACTACAAATCCTATAGTTCTAGGTCTTTCAGTCATATCCCTTATATTCGCCCCTGATATCTCATCATACGGAACCTCCATGGTAACCTTTACTTGACGTTGATAGACACGCCTACTCCCACTCCATTGACTCTATCGATCTTGTTCTCAGGGTCCTCTGGCAGCTCTACTCCCCACCATTTTCTGATTCGCTCCCTGAAGACCTCATAGTTCGCTCCCATACGTAGTACTCGCATGTTTTCCATATCAATGATAGTGCCAGACCGCTGATACCTATGGTATCTCTGCAGCCCATAGTCGACGACAAGATCGGCTGACTGAAAGACTTCAGGCTCAATGTCTTCAATCAGGAACTTAGCCCCTCGCCCTGTTAGGTTGGCGCTACTGCCAACCATCAACTGGCCATCCTCGTCATTCAGTCTTCCCAGCTCTCGCAGAAAGGGACATTCCGCGATGCCGATGCCAAGTGTGTCTCCTCTCGTAGTAAGGGCCAATGTCTCAGGGGTCCAAGCTGCGAGCCGTGGGTGATCCTTTCTGTAGTGTGCGATAACACCGAGCATAGAGCTCATGCCCTGGGTAATTACACGCGTTATCTCAAACTTCTCCGGAGGGAGAATGTGTAGCTGTTCGTGGGTTTCATAGGTCCCGATGACGCCGACAGTATGACCAAACTTGCGCTGCTTAGCTGCAAACGCCCGCTCTATGCCCTCTGCGCTACAGGCCATGAGGCCGTAGCCAGTGTCTATGGGCGCGATAATGACGCCGCCCGCTTTGAGAACCTCGAAGGCTTCGCGCGCGTCTCGTTGCACATCCGGGACTTTCCCAGGTGCCGGTATTACGCGTGGAGTTTTGGAAGCCATGGAAGATCTCCGTCGATTAATGAATCCTGGTCTAAAACTATGGTAAAATGGAAATGGGATCAGCTTCACAACGACAATGTTACAACTCGTTCAAAATAATAAATTGTCCGCATTCACTTGTGATTTCACTCTCCAAGTCATGTGCCGCCGTTTTCCCCGCACGCAATCTGCATCCGAGGACCAAGATGACAGACGCGCAACATGATACGCTGAAAGGAAGCTGTTACGTCCTCCCTCCCTCCTCACAGTGGAGGTTCGCCTAACCCCACCTCCAGGTTCCAGTGAGGCTTACGAAGAACAATGTTGTGACGATATATTGCATAGAACGAATGAATAGTTCATGGAGTGCCCTGGATAACTAGATGTTTAAAGTTATCTTGGCTGGTAAAATAATGTTTCATAATTCAGTTGTACGCAGCCCATGGAGAGCCCACGTCCGCTAACAGCTTCAAGGGGGAATATGACCTCGGGTTTCGCGCTTAGTTAACTCCGATACAGAGCATCTCAAAGCGTGAGTGCCTGTGTAGATATTTATTTGCCTCCAAAAATATTTGGGGTATTGAAGTACCATATGTTATGAAGTAATGCGAGCTTTTGAGATTATCGGAGATGAATTGACTTAAGGGGTCGCTTTAGCTGTGTCCGTTTCTAAACGGAAATTTCAATGGCCCAGGCAATTCAATGGCATATGATGAGGCCTCCTCGTCTTTCTTGTTCAATTAGGCCCAACGCATGTGCCTATCAATTTCCTCTAACATATCCATGTGCAGACAGGGTGGCGTAGAAAGTGCCAGTCCACATATTAGCCCCTAGAGCCCCCAATGTATACCAGAATAGCATCAGGTATGTGCTAAAAGCTTACAGGTCAGCACGATGATCGAGATGTTGCGTAGCCCCGGATCCTTGTACGGGAGAACTATAATATAAGATCAAGAGCGGTAAACCGCCTGAAACCCCCAAGATTATCACCTAGTTATCCTTTTAATCAGTCAAAGGTCCAATGGGGTTCACTTGTATCTACATCAATCGATAATTCCTTATCCATTAATGAAATGTGGGATATCACTTAAGTCGTCATATCTGACATATGAGCCCGATTATCGCAGTGGTTCAATCGCCGCTATTTGTGGCTTCACGTAAGTGTGTATATAAAGTAATCCAAAGCTCGTACTGCACAACGGGGATCGAGATGAACCAGGGGTAAGGTGTTACGAGGTCAACCCTAGTTATCCCAGACCGCTCTTCTCATTCGGAGAAACATAACTAGACGATGATCATAGAAAGTTTTGGGGACCTGAGTTGAATGAATTACGTTTTTAAATCCCTTACCTATGGCCATTAAAAATGAGTGAGCGGTCCATATTGGTTCTGTTTTCAGGGGCAGTTCGCCTGGTATGAACTGACAGGGTAGGATGTTCTTTCGGGCGCCCGTTATTGGGATATATTACGACCGGAAGCTACGCGTGCTTACTCAGAAGGCCTAAATAAAAGCCTGTAAGATTCGTCGCGAATTGTCTACGATCGCTATCAGGACGCTCAGTGATATCATGGGTTGTCTGATCCCGCAACTTCATTTGGTGATGACTCAGAACTGCTCTCTAGCCACCAGGCAAGTCCAATGTTCTCATAACCAACAGATTTGCGATCTGACGGCCAAGAATTTCCTACGAGGAGGTAACACGAAGCGAGTGCGTCAACATGATTTAATAAAGACTACAGATCGGAGACATGATGACATTTGTAAGATTACGCTATCCGAGACCAAGGGTTATAGGGGAAATAAACAACTATAAAAGACCCTAGGAGCAAGACCTTGTATGAAGTTGTCACTTGGCCAAACACAACTCGCCCAAACCCAAATCAATTCGTTCAAGATGAAGGGTCTTTTCACTAAAGCAATACCATTAATCTTGGCGCTTGGATCCCAAGCGGTTTCCTGCCAGCCACAGCCTGACCAGCCCCAGACCAAGCGAGTCGTTCAATACTACGGTCAACAAATCAACGATCAAGGCACAAAGTTTCACATAGACTTGCTCGTTAACAACTCAGACAACAAGACGTATGCTACGAATGTCTTGATGGGCGAGTTCGGCGTGGGTAACAAGACCCTGCAACTAAATGGTGGCGACCCCGCCGCGAAACCTAACGACTGGTTCTGGGACGAGATCAAGACCATCCAAGACGCCGGCGTCAAGGTATCATTGTGGCTGCGGCAAGGCTTCGAACACCTGAAAAAGGACAACAAGGACTTCGATACCTATTATGCCCTGGTGAAGAAGACGATCACGGACTACAACTTTGAGGGCATAGACCTGGACATCGAAGACGCTCTAGATGACAATGGTTGCGGCGATATGACCATGACTCTCGAGGACACTGTCCATCTCATCCGCCGGTTGCGCGACGACTTCGGCCCCGAGTTCCTTATCACACTAGCACCCGTCTCCGACGCCCTTCTCAACGAGGGAAACGTCAGCTGCTTCAACTACCAAGACTTAGAAAAGCGCGCCGCTGCCGACATTAGCTGGTACAACGCGCAGTTCTACGGGGGTTCATGGGAGGGCCTCAAGACATCGGCGTTCTACGAACAATGCATCAAGGAAGGCGGATGGAAGCCGCAGCGCATCGTGACCACCATTACTACGAGCTCCGATTTTACGTATCCGCTTCCCCGGTCGAGCTGGATCGGACTCAACGAGACTGGGCCGACTATTGAGTCTTTGGTGAAAAAGCACCCCGATTTTGGAGGTGTTGGCGGCTTTGATTATTATGATGCTGAGCCGGGTGGTTATGAGAAGCCCTGGGAGTGGTCCCGATGGGCTGCGAGGAGGATGAATGTCTGATTGTTATCGCGGGAGTAGAATATTTTGGATAAATTTGGCTGGCAGTTGGAGGGATCAATCGAAGTAGACATGGTACTTGAACAATCGTTGCGGGCTGGTCTAGAGGGTACACGGGAAATTGTTTTTATTTTGAAACGCAAAACGCACTCATAGAATAGGTAGGGTATTCGGTACCATCAATCATTCTTTACACAATCTATCAACATTTGTCGAGTATTTTCTCTTCCCCTTCGATGATTTGATATACCTAAATAACTCAAATTCAGACCCAAACAGCCGCGTTCTAAAAAGTCATGAACAGAATGTAATAGTATCGAATTATCTGCTCTGATTTCCTATTCTACATGTCATCAGAGCATATCATATACCGAGGCCGAGGACAGCTGCTCGGCATTGAAATACAGCTTTAGGGGTTGTTGTATGTTAAATGAAGGCTCTGTATAGACTGCAATAGCAAGTGGATGCACGTTGGATATCTATATTGTGAACAGGGGTTGCGAGAGACAGGGGGTAGAACCTACCCTGTAATAAATTCCTTTACGGTCATAATACAGTATCTTTACATCAATCCAGCTTCGTGATAACCCACACCTTGGCCAAAGAGTACGTATTAAAGTACAGTAACTAGGACTTCATCACGGCTTTCAATCCTACGGAGTAGGTACGTAGCACCAGGTAACTAGAGACCTTAGTGAGTTAAATCAAGATAAAATTCTTGGCATTTTTTGAGTTTCCAGTAGGCAACTAAACAGCATCCAATGATATGATGAGAGTATTTTGAATACGGTGAGTTGTAATTATTATTTGTCAATTTTGTATTAACAAAAGCCGCTAACTCTTTCTCACTTAGAACCCATCTACAACCTTAAACACTCGCATCCTAACATAGGCATTGCATAATGTTTACACCACAAAATATGTGTCTAGCCTCTTTGAATTGATTTTGACCGTAATTCCGGGTTCAGGTGAGCGTGTTGTCCACCAACCCGAGAGTTTAACAGACGAGCTCAAGGCAGTTGAGAGCGCAAGAACCGGTATTTTCGGAACACTTGTATCCCCAGCAGCATGTCTCGTACTCAGGGTGGAATGTGCAGGGAGCTATAAGCGCGTGTCAGTATTTTGGAATTATTAATGTACCTGAGAACACCCCAATTTTATGAATGCTTTTAGATGTGAGACGGGGGGGGGGGGTGAGCTGAGGCCGTACTATATCTTTTGATGCAGCTGTCACCGAGATCTGTGGGACGCGGCTTCGGCCGGTCCTTTCGCCTAATCGTAGTGGTGGCGGCAGGGTTTGCACTGACGCCGATGGCGAGAGTGACGACGGCGAGGAATGTGGTGAACTGCATATCTTCTAAGTACGTGGGAGGGCGGTGCTTGATGGCGGAGAGTTAAAGAGGTGGAGAGGAATGAGAGCAGAGGCGCAAGATATCACAACACATTTATAGTCGATTACAACTCGTATATCTTACTGTATGTTTCTCGGCGGCACTGGTACCAAGAATATAAATGCTCAGGTGTTCTGGTCAGCCAAGCCGGAGCACTGCCGTAGGCCGTGGTTTTTCTCTCCGACAAGATCAGCTAACGCGGCGCCAAGCGGTGTAAAAAGGCCGCAAGGCGCGCACTTTACGACCGCCGGATCACGGAAAACTTGCACGCCATGGCTCAGCTACAAAGGTCAAGCACTTGGCATAAATATATATGCCATCTACTTAAGACTCTTGGTTGCCGAAGAGTCCGCCTCTTCTTGGCCGTTTTCGTGCCGTGACAAGACTAGGCGGAATACGTTTCGAGGAGAGCAATTGGGTAGATTGGTAGTGTGGCGGTAGTTACAATGGTCTGAATAAGAGCAATATGTCTAGTTGCAGATCTACGCCTTAGCTGAGCGGAATAATACTAGAGCAGCCGCTCTTGAGTCCTTGGCACTACCTGCCAAGTTGTCTAAGAGGGCCTCGAGCTTTATATGTAGGCTTGGGGATGACGACGTGCGCTGGTTCAGCTGCTGTACCGAAGAGCCGGTTTACCCAGGGCCATCAATGAGCGAGTCCCCGCTACAATTCGGTGTAAATTGGCTGAGGATTATGAAGCAACAGATTCTACAACCCTGGAAAGGAGTCTGTCTCTATGCCAGCCTGATGATGGTTTTCCATAATATGTTGGACGACAAGCTGCTTCCTCTCGTTCTACGCCAACTCCAAGGATAGCTATAGGACGGAGATAATTAGAGGGTCAAATCGAGAACGAAACATAACGAACCTTCTAACCTTCTAGACTTCGCGCAACAACAAGATTCTTGCTGTATACCCCGTAATTTGCCTCTTTCACGATAGAATGGTACCTAGATCCTATCCATACACCTCTCTATATCTTCCCAAATGGTCTTTTCTAATCCATAAGCAAGAAGTGATTCAAATAATACTCATCTACAACTTGAGCCAGATCACAGCATGTACCACACCTTATACTACTTGTATATCTAGGAATCTTGGGAGGGCATTCCTATTCGCTATCCGAAAACACATCAGTCACAAACTCATAGTAACCGTGATACGCTCAATTGCGCTATGCAAAAAAAGTGCTTTCCTAGTTCTGTAGAACATATTGACCGCTAATAATCTCCAGTTACCATTGTTGGTCCGCTCAACAGTGTTAACAATGTTGCCTTGACAGGTGAAACACCAGTCCTCATATTCCAACTAATCTTAGGAGACATAACCAGAAAGTGATGATTTCATCAGCTCTTTCATGTCGTCGTCATCTACATTACCAACTTTCTCTGCCGTGTCCCTATTGTCTAGCAGGCGGGGCCAGCTTGGTATGATCGTTGCCTGTATCACCACTCTTGTCTGCTTTATCACCTTCGTCCCCTTCGTTGGTTTTGTGTGCAGGGCTCTAGTCCGTCACAACAATACGCGGGCAGACTATGTATGCCAAACCGCTGAAACATTCGAACCAGATCTGATTAACCACAGTGCCTTTCGTTGCATTTTCATCGCCCTCGTATAACCGAGTGGGTTCAATTGTATCATAGTTTTTTAAACCAATTCCTAGTGCAACTGCAAGTCGGCGCCGCTCAAGTGGTACACCCGACATTGAATTGAGGGCCACGTCTTGCTCAACCGGGGATTGCACTTTTAGGTTTTCGATTTGATGTCTGTCTAGGTGGTGGTTTTTTAAGCATCCATTATTTATCAACTCGGGTCCAGTTATAGCCTGAAGCAGAAGATCTATTCCGCTCCTGCTTGGTATCCACTGGCCATTGTCGAATAAAGACGTGACTTTCACTACACCAGGCATGCCGAACATGTCCCTCAAATGGAAGAGTAGGACTTCCCGCACTGTCAAGATCAGATATGAGTTATGATCCACCTCCCCTTTCCCGATGTAACTGTAGATCATCTGAATAGCGGCTGGTACTTCACGACAGATGACGACTGGTATACCACAAGTCGGTATGACAGACTTTTGGAAAGGTTTCCATTTCGGGAGTTCATGCACGCAGACCGCGACATCACCACGAATCCCAGGCTCGACAGGAAGAACACCTTCGACGACCTGAAAGGCCATGGCAACGATCTTAATGATCGCAGTTGCCAGTCTGCGGAAGGTGAGATGGTTGTAGCGCCCACAGAGAATGTGTTTCCATTGCAAGCCAAAGTGTGTGAGGATCTTCATAGTAAATCTCTGGCGTTCTATCGCGCATATGTGACTGGTCCAGCGTTTATATAGGACATTGGTTGTAGGTGTTCGTAGCAGGTGCGCACGCTGAGCTACTACATATTTACCGTTCTGCATACTCAAGTCGGGACTGAGAAGGAATTCCAAATGCCCCTCGTAAGTTGAACCTTGCACATGACATTGGACGTGTTTCGTGTTAAGATCAAAAAGCCAGACTGCCTGCACAGCATCTCGTTCGCGAGTTATTGGAGCCACAAAGGGATCAATCACGTCGTCCTCTACGGTCCAGGTCCGCTTGTCCGCAACGTTATACAGGGTTTCAAAAATATGGTCTACGATTGTTAGCCGACACTCCGCGGTAAAATCAACTACATCGCTTACCGATATCTTTTTTACCCCTTAAACATGTCTGAATGATAGAGGAATTGACAAAGTATATATTGCGCCAAATAGTCCCTAGCATAGTGTAGACGTCAGAGAGGTAGCATGAGGTATGATAGCTATGCTGGAAGACGTACCCTGTGAGATGATGTACAACCAAGTGTGGGTTGGGCTAAGTTTGACAGTCTTGACCATCTTGGCGACTCAAATAATTATGAATAACCAGAAGGGAGAATAGAAATGTAGACTGGCACAAGGACTGATCGCTGATGATGATTATAGGTAGACTGATTAATGGATGAAGAGGTAAAAATCCGTCCGTCCACCCAAGTTTGACCATATACCCATATACCATACCCCACACTCAGAAACGCAGGCAGTTCGTACCTCTTCTCAACAGGCAGGTAGGACTACCGCTGAAGTATGTGCCAAATTGCCAATAGTAAACAGCTAGCTACCTACTCACTCGCCGGAAGGCATCGTCAAAGAGTAGGTCCTACCCCTATCTTTCACAACTTCCAACAACCACTTCTCCTTCCCAAGATAGATTATGATGTAGAGGTGTAGACGTGAGATGTAACTTGGAAGACGTTATAACTTCCGTTTAGCGCGACAAAACATAGAGAAAGATATAGCCGGTCTGCAAACACCTACTTACCAAGATCAAAGTCTGTACCTAGCTATAAACTAAAGGGTGAAGTATCAAATGGTTAGAAATTCTAGCTCCAGCAAGCGCAACTCTTTCAGCAATCTGATTGTCATAGTCTCGTATTCTTCATTCTAAAGCAAAGGGTATCATGCAACGTTTTATAGCATATATGTACATAGGGCTCATAGAGATAATTGATCATCCTAGTGACGGGTCAATCAAGCCATTAAGCTCATCCGGTCCAATGAGTTTTCTCATCTCGGCCTCGTCTCGAAGCCATTCCTCGTCGATGCCCGCGTTGTCGGCATTCAACGCCATCAGAGTCATATCGGCCCCAACCCAAAAATCCTCCCCACCATAATCCGCTTCCCACTCCGTTATTCCCTGGGTAACGTCGCGCAAGGCAGACGATGGCTCCGTCTTGGTGCCAAAATCTTCGAGTCCGTCAAGAAGTGCTTGCTCTATTTGATGCTCTTTCTGAATATGAGCCTCTAGCTCACCACTGTAGGTGAATTTCGTATGGCAACCCGAAAATGTGCAAGGCAGTGTTGCCCGTGATTTCTCGCCAACGCCAGTTAGCTGTTCCAGCATAGTCGGGTCGGCGTGCGCTTGTGGTGATATAGAAGCCCCTGGTAGGTTTTGCTGCGGTCTGTCATGCATCAAGTGTACATAACGCACATGCTTCTCTAGTGCGGCTTTGAGAGCGAAGGCTTGCCCACAGCCTTGAGAGTTTGACCACGTCGCCAAGTCTGCTGTTTTGCTTAAATCGAATTCGCCACACACAAAAGTACGAGCGCCCTCATGTGCACTACGGATGTGCACATACATGTTGGACGTCCTAGTAAAGGTCTTGGTGCATCCTGGCCATGTGCAGGCAATAGTCTTGCGTTCCTCGACAGTCTTGCGGTTGGCATGGTCCGACTCAATATGCCTATCCAAGTCTTCCCTTCCATTACACGACTCTCCACAAAACATACACTTGATATGAGACGTTTTCATATGGGCCTGCAGAAGAACAAGTGTAGGAAATCCCACCCGTCTTGGGTTACCAGTCTCGTCAGGCTGGGTAGCGCACTCCTCACACCAAAACCGGTTCTCACCATGGTCCCGTTCCTGGTGTCTCCTCAGGGCACCAGCCGTGTCAAACCCCTGCCCACAAAGGGACCCCGATTCGTCTAATGTTTGGCTGCACTGAAATGCTGGCTTGTGTTGATGTTCGGTTCGGATATGACGTTGCAATGTCTGATGCTTACGGAAGCTCTGGTTGCAGGGGGGAAAGTCGCGGCATTTGAATCGCTCCTGGCCTTCATGAACCAGCTGATGTCTCCGGAGACGAGTAGCGGTCATAAACTTTTTACCACAACCTTCATAGGTACAGATATGATCTCTCTCGGCCGTATGCGACCCCTTGATATGTTGCTTGAGATGCTTTTCTTCTATGTAATTCTTGTCACAGTCAGGATAAGGGCAGACGAATGGGCGCTCGTTATTGTGTGACCTGAGGTGAGCGGCGAGACGGGCAGGACGGTTGAATGTTTTGTTACAGTCGGGATAAGTACACTTGATTGTCTTGAGGTCGGAAGGCCACTTTCGAGCAGGGCTGAGGGGTGTAAGAGGCGTGTCTGCGGGACCTGCAGAGGGGGACTCGGTATAATGAGACTCGGTATCAGAGATATCTTCATTTAGCTCGAGCTTGAGGCCGGCATCTTCTAGTCAGAAAACAATGTTAGACATGACAAGCGAGGATTGGAGGTGTAGGCAAGCGTGTCGAGGGGCATACCAGGGAGAACAGCGGGAGCAGCAGTCCGACCCTTCTTGGGGAGAGGAGGGTCCTCCAACTCTTGAGATGCCGCTCTTTTCATGATGAAGAATTGCTACAGTGAATCACATTGTATACACGCCGAATTGCTTGTGAAAAGTGTAATGTCGGTGTGTTGATGGAACATTGAACATGCAAAGTTGTTTGGCTTCAAGGGTCGGCTCTCAAAATTTTAGTGGAACCCGCCAGTTTTGCCGTGCATAAGGCTTCTTTTTGGACCTGTGGGTGGATTGCCAATCGGTACTTCGGTGCTCTGCTAAGTTAGGTGAGAAAGCAAGTACCTAAGCGATATCGAAGCGTTGCAGCCTCTCCTGGCTCCACCCAGCCACACCTGCGCTATGAAGACACCTGCAGGGACAACTGACCAATCATACAACTTGGCTGGTTATGGCTAGAGCAGATACGTACCCAAGTCCCAAAATCTTTTGATCTTGAATTCTTTGAGCCTCGTTGGGCTTAGAAATTTTCTATCGCATTCATTCATTCGCTTGACTTTTGCGCCCGCGTCAACCACCAGCCTGCGTACATCACGACTGCGCCCATCTCTCACCAAACTGTCAGCATAGAACGCCCAGCGACGAAAACTTGATACGATGTCGGATTACGGGGACGACAACGATCTCGGCGGTGGCGATGCCGGCGCGTGAGTCTACCTTACCCGACGCGCTTTCTGTGCCTCTTCAGTTGCTTTTTGTTGTCGTGGCGCTACTAACAAGCTCTTACGATAGCGACGAGCCCATGTACGAAGAAGAAGAGGAGGTTTTCGAGGACGAGCTGGATCCCGAAGTCCAGGAGGACGGCGATGATGACTTCAACCGACGTGGCAACGAAGAGGAGGAGAATGTGGTCATCGCAGGCGACCCTAGTGCTACCGCCAATAATGCTCAGAAAGGCCCCTCTGCCAACAAGTCCATCAAAGACAAGAGAATTCCCAACGAGGAGCGAACAACCACACCCTACATGACCAAGTACGAGAGGGCTCGCATTCTCGGCACCAGGGCCCTTCAGATCAGGCAAGACCACACAACTTCAACAGGCAAGCGGAGGAATGCATAACTAACTATGGGTGATATCAACAGCATGAATGCGCCGGTTCTCGTCGATTTGGAGGGGGAATCCGACCCTCTACAGATTGCCATCAAAGAGATGAACGAGAAGAAGATCCCTCTAATCGTTCGCCGGTATATGCCTGATGGCTAGTGCGTCTACCCCGTCCCAGTCTTGTTGCGGTATCGCCGAAATGCTAACTAGAAACTCAGCTACGAGGACTGGACCTGCGAGGAACTTCTACAGTGATTCAAACAACAGTTGATAATTATTTACGTCAAATGATTTTGGGTATGGAGGGTAGCCCGCCGAGGAAAAAAACTACCCGCTCCCCTTTTTACTCCTCGATTACCGCGCAAGGTGTGTCTTGACAAGTACTTAAATAGGGAGACCAGGGAAAAGTGTATAAGCGAGGCGTTGGGGATTGTTTCTACAGTTTACACCAAGCCTAGCTCTTAGCCTTAATGCTAACGATTCCTTGGTAAGCGCATGCACTCCCATGGTACTCTGGGATCGTGAATTTGTATTTGTGTACAATCGCGAAGAGATACATCACCTCGGTGGGCATCTGCACAGCCCAAACCCCCCTCCCTCAGTAATAGGCGACGCCGATCAACCGGGACGGACATTGGTAACACTTCTTGCTGCGCACCCTGTTCGCTTCAGAAACGCTGGTGGCGGTTCTGCTCGAGATACAGTCAGCCTTGTGCCTGTTATTGTAGTATGGAGTTGACCGGAGACGATACAAAGGTGGTTCGACGAAAATGCCCTGGATTTTACCACGAAACAATACCCCTCGATGGATAAGTGAGAAGCCCGATAGAAGGCAGCCCAAACGACATAGATAATCAGAACTGAGCGCGGATAGATACTGCATGATACCAAATAGAAATCACTTTAAATGTCAAACAGCCGCATTATAGTAGCCTTGGATGGTCTGTCACGCAACGGCTGAATACTGTGTTTGCTCTTGCTGTATCTTCTAACCTGATAGATAGGTAGCTAAGTAGGTATCTAACTGAATCAATGGCAGTGAAGTATCACGAGAGCCCCGCCGCCTCCACGTCTCATATAAAATGCATGTTGCCCTAGTAAAGAGAACCGTCACAAGCAAATTAAGAGAGGTATTCAGGTAGCAGAGCCACATTGTTTGCCTGCTCGATCATCAATATCCGTAGGTCCCCCTCCTGGGTAGATTTGTACAAGGGTAGAAGAAAATGACGTAGGGCAGCGACAGGGTAGCAGCATGGATGACGGCCAATCAAAGGCAGCAATGGCTCGAGCAATACATTCGATCATTCCTGATGGCAAGCTGAGGTCGATACGAGATGTTACATAGCAGCAATGCTCATGTTCCGCTGCTACGTGCCGTTGCCTGCGAGATGCCGCCATCAACATTCAGTAAGAATTCCTCCCTTGCTATCTCCTCTTAAGCCTTGTGTGCCCAAATAGATACTTACCTTACCTCGGTATCTACATGTATCGCGCCAGCAAACTGGGCTGCTACCTACCTATGCTAAGTCCTTCATTAAGAAACATGATTAAACCCCCAGCAGTGGAGGGGATCGTAATGCAACAACATAACATAAAAAGATGAGTCTGGGCCTAGATAATTTACCGGTCGGTCCAGATGCCCCCAATTCACACAGCAATCAATTTGCGGCGTCGCCAAAGACAGAGAGAAGTCGGTGTTTCTTTCCGAATCCCTGGGTGCAGGTCACACGAGGGGTCCGGGATCACCCCGATTTACTCTGCACAATAAAGTAGTGGCAGGGAGCTGCCATGGCGACGATCTTCCCTCGATTATTCACCCAATTTCTATGTTGCCATGCCATTTACAGCCTTGTACACACCGCGATCCAATTCAAACAGGTAGATACCATGTCTGCGGCATATTCGGCAGCCAATCTAGTCTAGGATCGCTCTTGTGAGACCAGTGTAGCGAGATAAAATGGGCAATTTCGTCACCAATATCATCAACACCGCCAACACATAGCCTGACCCCTTTAATCCCTTGTATGGTGGTTCATCGGTACGAGCGGAAAGGAAGGGTAGTTTGCATGCAAGTGCAGCAAGGATGCCTTCCATCACCCGTCATCGTCATTGCCTGCCTGCCGTCTTGTCAGGCTGTACTTGTCGCCAGAGGAGGTAGCACGGATAAACATATGTTTATATCGCAAGTGAGAGAAAAGATAGGTAACTATAGTATATATATAGGTATATGTATCGACATGCGACACCCTCATTTTTCCACCAGTGTCCTCATCCCTATGATTGACTGGCCATTCCAACATCACCTCCCTACATCTCACCTCGTTTTTCACCATAGCGAGAACTACAATCGCACGTCCGTTTTCATGTCCTAAAAGAGCCATTCGCAACGATTTAAAAAAAAAGTTTAGCTGTGACGTATTTCCAAACAAAGAGACACATACACCCTCTCAGCCTTTGTACGCATCGACATCGACATCATCGACAACCATTACTACTACTACTGCTGCTACAACCCCTTCCTCTACGACTACTACAGCTTCGCCCAGTCCCGTGTGAGCGACTATAGCATACCATTCTTCTCAATTGTATATCTTGCAATCGTATCTATACACCCAACCAATCGACCAAAGATGCAATTGACCAGCGTCATCGCCACATTCCTCGTTGCCGCGACCTCGGTCTCAGCCCTGCCCAAGCCAGCGGTAGCTAAGCGGGCAGTCGGCGGTGTAAGTCTCTCTCCCAAATCGCAAACACAATTTCGTGCTCTTCGTCGCCCAAACCTTCCATCCAGCTAACTTTCGTCTCCGCAACAAACAGGTCCTGTTATGTCAGGGCGCTAATGCGACCGGCCTCTGCCACTACGAGGCCTACGCCCTAGATGAATGCCACGACGTGTCGGCGGACTTCTACCACAACACGCGGACATTCGCCCCCGACGGCGATGACTTCTACTGCTGGCCACGAGTGTAAGGAAACTCATATTCCCTTCTTTCTTTTCCCTCTATCTTCCCTCTCTCTCTCTCTCTTTCACGGTGGCGCTCGGACCGAATGAAATAAAACAACGACTAACATACCGTGCGCAAACAACAGGAGTAAATGCTCAGATATCTGCAAGTCGCCGACGGGATGCACATTTGGCGGCGCCTTTTACTTCGACAACCCGAATAAGTACGACCTGACCAAGATCTCGTGGGACGAGAGCCTCGCGTCCTTTGACTGCCACAAGAACATTACAGACTCGACGACGGCTTAGACAGCGGTTTTCGGTCTGATGAGTCGGATTCGAGCTGTGCCTGTTGCCTTCTTGTCTTCCGGAATGTACTCCTGAGCGGATGCTCTGCGACGTTATTGCATCCCATGGATAATCGTCGAGGATACATATCCTCTAGTCCTATGGCGCTTTTTCGTAATTGATATTGGGGCTGCTCAATTATACTTATAGTGATACGAAAAGCAGTGCATTGTGAAAGAAGAATACGGGACATGGACAGCATTGTGGTGTATCCTTCCTTTATCACCGCCCACCCTGTTCACCTAATCGCATCACTGGTTTCAATCGATATGAGGTGGCATACTACCTACCTACCTACCTTAGTATGAACAGCAGGCGTTTCGGGTTTGAAAGTGATTAGATAGATAGATACCTTAGCGCAAGCAATTTTTGGTCAGAAATCAATGAATAAAAAAGATACAAATCCCACCATTCTCACCATCTTACTCGTTATCATCTTGCTTGAGTTACCTAGGCACACATTAAGCGATTTCTCCCCAATTTCTCCTTCTACAGATATCGTCTCTTGAGATTTACCTACTCTTATCACCCGTCTTAACTTCTAAGTACATCCAGTATCATGATCCGACTGATGGGTTCAGGTTTGGATTTAACCCGGGATTCGGAGTTATCTTGGAATTTGGAGACGGCGCGTCCGCACCGCATTAAACGGCTATGACGCACCGGGTCCTCTTGGCCGGCGCCTCCAATGTGGGGTTGAACATGGAGGGGTAGGCGGGAAGAAGCTTCACCTACTTACATACTGCCGTACATTACATATAATATTTATTACACATACATTTACTTACTAGTCGATATATACCTCCATGGTAAAGTTGATAAAGGGCTAGATCGAAAACTGCCGGCCGAGTCGGAGGGTTGTTTACTGGGTGTGGACGCTATTATTGGATAGGTGTGAGATGGAGATGGGAGGTGGGGAGACGAGATAAACGAAGGGGTAGAATAGAGCTGAATGGCGCACGCCCCTTATCATGTAGGTTAGGTAGTAAGAGGAGAGGAGAGGAAGTTAGATGGATACCGTACTGGAATAAGTATATAGGTAGGTAGATATATCAGCCGATAGTGTCCCGATGTCCTCGATTCTTAAGTTATCATTTTGTTCCAGAGCCTCAATTCCTAGGGTCGTTGCTCGTAATACCTGCTTTCAAGTCGCAAGCGTCCGTCGTGTGTAAGTCATGTAGTTTTTATTATTTGTTCTACCATCTATTTATCCATTCCTGGTATTTGTCCAGCTCTCTCCCCCTCTTCCCAGTACCTACTATTCCTCCAACATCAAAAACAGATATACCGTACAATACATACATACATACATATATCTATCTGTCGAGGACTACCCTGTCTCGCCCTAATCGAAAGCAAACATCATCAATACCTATACTCACATCTCTTTCGAGCCAAACAGAATCACCACAACAACTTCATCCACCACCAACAATCAACCCCGCATCATCCAACCATCCGGATTCAACAAGATGGGTTTCGAAGTAAAAGCCACAATCGCCAACTTCGGCGGCCAACTCCTCAAGCTCTCGCACGATTCCAGCACGACGCAAACCCCCATGGCCGTCAGCGTATACCTCCCTCCCGCCGCCCTCTCCTCCACCAACAATACCAAAGTGCCCGTCCTCATCTACCTATCCGGCCTCACCTGCACGCCCGACAACTGCAGCGACAAGGGCTTCTTCCAGGCGCACGCGGCGAAACACGGGATCGCCGTCGTATGGCCGGATACCTCCCCGCGCGGGGCGAACATCGCGGGCGAGGACGACAGCTACGACTTCGGGAGCGCCGCGGGGTTCTACGTAGACGCCACGCAGGACCCGTGGAGCAAGAACTACAATATGTACAGCTACATCACGTCTGAGCTCCCGTCGGCGTTATTCTCCTCTTCCTCCGACAACCCTCTTGCAGGAAAGCTTGATAGCGAGAGGGTCAGCATCACGGGGCATTCCATGGGCGGCCACGGCGCGCTCACGCTGTATCTGAAGAACCCGGGGAAATACAGGAGCGTGTCCGCGTTCGCCCCGATCAGCAATCCCAGCGTGTGTCCGTGGGGCGAGAAGGCCTTCGCGGGATATCTGGGGAGCGACAAGGATGCGTGGAAGAAGCATGATGCGACGGAGTTGGTTGCGGGGGACGAGTGGAAGGGGAAGGATCTCAAGGCCTTGATTGATGTTGGCACGGGCGATAACTTTTATAAGCAGGGTCAATTGCTCCCTGAGAATTTCGAGAAGGCGGTTAAGGAGGCTGGTGTCAAGGGGGTCGAGGTGCGGTATCAGCAGGTTAGTAGTGCTTTCTTTTCTTTTTCTTTTTCCTTTTTTCCCTTTTCTCTTCCAGATTGTCTTTCTCTTTACTCTTTACTCTGCTCTCTTTCCTGCTTCTGGTCTTCTCTTTTTTTTCGTTAAAACACGTCGTGTTCTCATGATGTTCTATTACGGATGATAATCGGAGTACGTTCTACTAACAAGAGAACTCGAAATCAGAACTACGACCACTCGTACTACTTCATCTCGACGTTCGCCCAAGACCACGTGGAACACGCCGCCAAGTACCTCTTGTAAGTAAAACATACAGATGATTCAAATATATATAAAAAAAAACAATATCACAGATTCTTGTATGTATTTATGCGGTTTTCTTGTTCCAATACGGACAGCAGCAGTCAGACAAATTCTAAACACCGATCACTTCTCTAAGTTGTGCTCGGAGACATACGGAAAGAAGTAAAGCACACACACGCACGCACGTCACGAAGATCGAGTTTATCAAGTATGAATAAAAATCATGATGATCCTCAGAGTTTCTTTCCATTTTAGCCCATCCCGCTTCGACGTAAACGTCTATATATAATGTATATACCTAGCGTTATACTATATTCACTGCATTATCAAAAGTATAAACAACAACAGCCACCACCACAACTAAATGTGTGTATGCAAGTATTTGCTAAGATATTAGCCTGTTCTGTTGCGAGGAGGGGGATATCATCATGCCAGCAGCGCAAGAGCAATGAAGTTATAAAAAATAAAAAAAATAAAAATAAAAACAATACCAATAACAATAAACAGTAAACAATAATAACATGATTCTGAGCTTGCTTGTCCGTAGGTTTTGTGCAAATAAGTAAAACTTGCAAATATGCTTTGAACATGGAGCCATGACATGACTAAAAAAAAAATTATTCTTCTCTTCAAATCAATTCATTAATTCATTCATCTTCGTTGCGTTTCGTCGTTCGGCTTTTTTCTTTCAGCTTATTCTCTTCGCCAGGTCGGAAGTAATGATGCCCTCCTTCTCTAATTTAGCCCTCATCTCGGCCTCGGCTTCGCGCCGTATGCGGTGGAATGCGAGCTTCTGGTACCGGCTAAGGCCCTTCCACCAGTGCTGTCCGGCCTCATGCTCGGCGACGCGCTCCAGAAGCTCTGAGACTTTAATGCGGACGTCGCGATCTTTGTGGAAGAGCCCGAGCGCGACATAGAATAGGCCGGCATGTGATTCGGGTGCCACCGTAAGCAGTAGACATATTTCGTCGTATGACCAGACTGATTTGGCGAAGGAGAGATATAGCTCCCGACTCTGCGCTGAGTTGAGTCGCTGTGTGCGTAGACGATCATGCATATGGTGCAAGTCCAGCCCTTTTAAGGGTCGAATAGTATATAACTGGCCAAGATCCTATGCCATGGTTAGATATAAAAGAAATTTCTGGGACGTAGGACTGTTTAAACCATACCTGAATAAAACTATAATAGCTCCTCGTGTTTCTCCAACCCTCAATCCTGTAGACATTACCGGCAAGCTCTTTCTGCTTGGCGGATTCGTCTGCCCAGACAAATCCATGACCGCCAGTGATTTGTTCATGTTCCTCGCCACCTATATAAAGTGCACTGGCACCATACACGCTCTCTTCGAAAGCAGCAGCTATGCGAGTGAACCTTAGAACCCAGTCTCGCCATTTAGCCCGAATGACTCGTTCGCCAAGCCGTGCCTGTATGCTCTTGAGTATGTCGTTCATGAAGATCACATCCCCAGTCAGGTCGGTGGACGTATTAGAGCCGCTTAGCTGTTGGATAAAAGATGGGTGTTGTTGTTGAAAGTAGCCCAGGCCTTCAGTTATTGGTGCTGGATCAATCTTGCTGCTAATCTTCATCCGTCCACTAGGAAGGTCGCACAAAAGGTCCCACCATTCAGGATGCATCTCAAACGTAGGGTTTGTTACACCAGCTATGAAACCGGGAACCTTCAGCAGGTCATCGATCTTTGTCAGATCCGTGTAGGGAAAGGCGAAGCGAGTAAAGCCTCTCAGCAAGCCACCAGAAGCGAGAGCACAAGCGGCAAGTACCGCTTCCGCCACGTCACCCGAAGGCATATTGTGACCAAGAAAAATAATTCTCTTCTGCGTCAGCAGGGCATTGGCCAAAACCATGATGGGATGTGTGCTAGGCCCATTTGTCGTCAGATGGGGATGTAATGTAAAGGGCTGCATGGACTTGGCATGTGGCTCGGAGAAGTTTTGGATCAGCTTCACGAGAGAGAAGTCGCCCACCGTCTCTGGCATGGTGGCTGTTGGAATCTTGACGGGGATGGGTATGCCCTTGTACATAACCCTACTCTCGAATTCGTGTGTATCTCGTGGTACAGAGTAGGCGGTATGGCCCTCGAGGTACGCTTTTGTCCCGGCCCTGGAGATGCTTTGAGGCTTAGGCGGACTTCTACTAGCATCAAAGGGCTCACCAACGGAGTCGTTCCTATCCTCAGCAATTCGCTTTTGCACCATGCGCTCAAACTTTTCGACGAAAAGATCCTTATTGTCACTAGACTGCAACAGATACTTCTCTAACAAGCTGAGCCTCGGCATCAAGGAGAGATCCATGTCATTGACGGCATCGTAAAGCATGGATAAAGTTTCTGGAACTGGAGATTTGAAATATTCTTCGAGCGCCAGTAATAAAAGAGGCTGAAAAGGTTAGCATTGGTCAATCAGTAACTAAACGTATCCCTGTGGAGAGATGCGCTGTAGACGAACCTTGTATATATGGAGGAACGGATGTCGTGTACATATAGCCATGGCCTTGACCACAGCGCCTCGTTTCACCGTTTTGTCGTGTTTCGTGTAAACCAAGTTCAAGACATAGATCAGCGGCGGTCCCTCCCCTCCCTCTGGTTCTGAATCGGTCGACTCAGCGTCGCTCCCATCATCATCATCTTCGTTATTACCGTTCCCCCCTCGATGGGTGTCGTTTTCATCATCAGTATCATCCTCCTCAGTGATAATCCCGGCTTCTCTATCTCTCCGCCTCTTCCTTCTTCGACGCCGTGCTTCTTTCCGTTTTTGCTCCTGCTCCTCTTCTTCCTGATTCGAGTCTTTGTGTAAGAAGAAAATGGTCCAATCCTGGGTACGTGCATGGGCCTGATCGGGTAACATCAATTCGGCCAACATATGCTCATCGCCGGTAATAGCGACGGGGAACTGGTGCTCCATGACAGGGCCGCGGTCTATATCAAAGGACGCCACTAAAATATACTCGACATGGTTCTCAGAGGACTCTCGTGGGTATTGGGATCGCAACTTTCTCGGTGATTTGGACATGGGATGACTTGTAGCCAAAATGGAGAGCGATGAATCATCCGAGGCTACGGTTTGGCTCGCAAGAGATGATGTCTTGGAATTAGAGCTCGGGTGGGATGTGCGGTCTGGGTCGGTGGTATTCGGGTTAGGAGAGTGTAGAGGTCTCGAGGGAGGTGAGATGCCGGAAGCGGAGTTGGACCGCGAAGAAGGGAAGGATGAAAGGGATGTGCGCTGGTTCCCGCCAGCACTCCCGGACCCGACTCCGATACCAACGCCGGAGCCCGAACCATTGGAGTAGGACTGGTTGGTGGTTGTTCGCGATAGATACGGCAAGGCCGACTGCGTCGAGGCCATGTTCGACAGGCTGAGTCAATGTGGTTGGTGGAGGTAGGTATATATAGATATATACAGAGTAAGTAGGACAGGTCGTGACGGTTTCGGTCCAGTGAGTTCGTATTCCTCCCGATGGCCGTCGCACGACACTATGGTATCACCAGAACCGGCGAGCCAGCCTTTATTACGTCTGTGGTTGTCATCCAATGCGGTGCAATGGTTTTGCGAAGTTGTGATTTCCGCGCTCGGGTCTTTCAGGCAAGCAATTGGTCTAAGACGATCCGATCCGACCAGTCGGTAGGTGGGTAGAGCGTGCAGTGCACCCCCTTTTCGACGATAGGACCCCGTTGTCAGAGGGCATACGAGGATAGAAGAAGGGGAATTTCGGCTCGCGGATAGAATGGAGGCATGGCCTACTATAGGACGACAGCCATGGTGTTGGCAGTGGGCACTGGGCGGTGGTGACAGGATCCTCCCTTTACGACGTCGCAATGTTTCAAAGGGTCGGCGTTGTGGTAAGGGGGAGCGGTAGGTACCTAGGTACCACCAGTCTTTGGGGTCCAATGGCGGGAATTGTGCCAGGGTTCCCAGGATGGCTGGATTAGGTAGGGATACCTAAGTCCAGTCTCTGGCCCAGTCCTAATCAGCCGCGCGCGCAACAACCGACCAACTAGGTACAGGATCAGGTCTATCTATCTACCGTATCCCTTTTTTTTTTTTTCTTCATTACCCCTCAGAGCCCCTCTGTTTGGTCAGTTTAGGCGTCTTTTTGACTTTTCCAAGCTTGATCCCCTGTACAAACTTCTACATGGACTTCTACATACATACCTAACTTAGGTAGAAGGTTATTTTCGACAGTGCCGAGCCCCGCCATTCCCAACCGCCAATCGCTATTATTAGTAGGGGCCGTATTAGATAAGTGCTGGGTAAGTGCCTACAATGGGTTAACCTCACTGTAACACAGCGTCCATTCAAGCCAAAACCCACCTACTTACATGTGGGTATCTCGTCTATCGCTTACATTCGCTGTCTTGATTCCTCGAGCACAGACACAGCGGGGTCTGTCAAGTTCCCAAGAAACACACCCACCTACTTACTTAAGAACATATCCATGATATCCATGATATCCATGACATCTATGACATACATCCATCGATGGCAGCATGTACAGTAAAGTAAGTATGCAGTCGGTAAGATGCAATCCCCATGCAAATCCCCAAGGGGAAACCCCCGACACACTGCTGAAACCACATTCAGCCAGCAGCCTCATCATCCCGCCCGCCTCGGCCGCCCAGCCAGGCCCAGCACGAGCCCGTCTTGGAAAACGAGTGCGCCCCAACTGCGCCAGCCAAGCCTCGCCAAGATTCGCTTCAGCCTATGCCAACCAACTCGGTTTTCCCAATCCGGAAACATCCCACCTGCCACATCTTTCCAAAGGTTCTCTCCCAGCTGTCTGCCTCTCTTTTCCTTACACTGCATGCGCCTCGTTTTTTTCTTTTCATTGGGGAAACATTAACTGCCAGTACGAGGGTCAGTGGTACAGCATTGCACTCTGTAACCATTCCATGTGCCTGTGTAACCAAGAACTAATATATATTTAATATACGCCCCCCCCCGTATTGGTATGTGATGTTGACGAAGCGTCGAAGCCTACCTAAGTCATATAATTAGGATTGACATTACTTAAAAAGGTCTTCCTAAACTCAGCACACACAGAACATCTGCATCGTATTCCATGCGCTTAATAAATTGTTTTAAGCTAATCCTGAATTGCCCATAACCAACTGTCGCCATTACTGATGGTGAGGATGATATATCATTATACCATAATTTCTCTCACGTTGGCAAGGGCTGATTGCTCTCTCACCGGACCATCTGGAAGACCATCAGAACCTATGCATCACATTACTCACGTCCAAGGCTTCCAACACCAGATTCAACAAATTTGCGTATCTACTTTTCGCCACTATTTACATGGCCTGTCATTGACCCAAGACCACTACTAAAAGATAGAGATAAGACCTCGCGGGTACAGCTTGAACTTCTCAGTAAAATACCCAGAGATCTCTCTTTACTAGTTACAATAACTATCGGATTTCAGTAGAACAGGGAAAATAGAAAAAGACACCACTGTGTCTAGAGTAACCTGAGTAAATCACATATTAATACCACCACAAGGTAGCGCTATCGGTCTATTTCTCTCTCTCGTTCATTATTCCACCATTGCTTGCAGGATCATATATAGTGGTTGCAAGGTGTCAGGTTTAGATTCCCGACCTAACAATCATTTTTTTCTTCTTTTGGTAATTTTATGGTATAGTACTGCACTTCAATTCCGTGAGAGACATAATTCAAACCCTCATGCGTGGAAGAACGCAACATCATCATACATATTTATGTACCTACTTAAGGGTCTTGCTGAACTGTCGTTTGGCTTCTACTGTAAATTTACAGATATCTTCAAAGGAAATTTTGTCACTGTGACGGAGGAAAAACGACGGCCGTTAATCCAACGTGCGGAATTAACGGTTTATATAGTACGTCACAATCACCATAACCCAATAGAGAGAAAAAACGTTCAGTCAGCTAACACAGCTTAAAAAATGCTATCAATTCCCAGTATTCTTTCATTGTATCTATCACAAAGCTTGATTTATCCAGATCCTTGAAGACAGATATTAAGGGTATTTATTCGGCATGCACCATGGTATAATATCTATCATGACAGCAAAGTAGATGCAGTAAATCCTGTCCTACGGGGTATATCATCCAAATCAACATATAACTGCGTACGCTCTTCCATTTTCCGATGTCAACCATTTACACCAAGCGCCTCACCTCCTTCAATACCGCAACATCCGACTTCCACATAAGCGGCAACCAAGCCGGATATTTAAACACCCGCAATATCCACCGCGGCCGCACGATGACGTGCAGATGTAAATGGTGGATGGAGATGATGTCCGGGTAGTAAATGTTGCCTAGTAGCGGTCGCCGGCCCCGGTGGTACCCCGAGATGATGGCCGAGCTGGGTACGTCCGTGCAATGCTGGGCGATGAGATGGTTCTTCACGCGGTCCATTGCTTGTACTACATCAGGGTTAGGTGGTGTTTGGTATTAAAGAAATAAGGATAGAGGAGTGTGGTTTATACGGGGGAGAATAGGAATGGCGGACTTACGTGTGTCGAGGTGTTCGCCATTGAGTGCCTCGATGTCCCGTATCCCGTGCGTCTTCGGCATGATCAGCCAGTGCGATTCGCCTGCAAGCCGCCGGTTTTCTATGGCGAGGATATCGTCATCCTACAATATTACATGGTCAGCTTTGCCCGCTCTTGATCCGCATGATATATCACAGTGGGAATCTATCTCTATTAGGTACGGAGTGAGGAAAGCTTACTTCGTAAACGATCTTAGTCAGCTTCGACCGGTCACAGAACGTGCACGCGTGTTGCACTCGCTCGGTCCATTCTAGGTTCGCGAGGTAATTGAATATCCGCTTCATCGCTGACCACATAGTCTCCGATTTTGGCGAGAAATTGATTCTGTAAATTTCTGGCAAAGCTTTCTCAAGCTGCTTAGGTATCTCGTGGCTGCCTGCTGACAAGTGCAGTTTCACAACTCGACTTACGTAAGCGTGATCGAAGTCCTTGAGATCACGACTTTTCAGCAAATCTTGGTTCAAAAGCACGTTTTGAACGGGCAAATAGGGTAGATAGCACGAAGCCAGAATGTCGGTAATATTGGGTAACACTGAGATTTAGGAATGGGATTGTGAGGGTTTTATAGGCTGGGGTTTTGTACACTTGGCACAGCCGAGAGTGGCTGTGGCACATACGGAGGGAGATTGAACTTCTGCTGATGTTAGCGCGCTTGGTCGATTGTTGGTACATACGAAGGGATAAAAGAGCACATTGTTAGTACTGATAGCCATTGTTGGCTTTATGTAGCGCTTTGTGTTCTGTCCAACTTACCAATAGTAGGATAGGCCGAGGTTCTCAGGCCCTCTCAAATCATTGAGGAGCTGTATGATAAATCTCGAGGCGCTTCGTATTGTTTTCCACTGTCAGCAGGCGGCTATTGGAAGTTAGACTTCTATTGCTATCAAGGTCTCAGGGGCTAACAGGATTCAATCTAGACTATCTATATACACCATCTGGCTAACTAGGTCCTTAAACTTCTGTCATGTTCTCATGTATGGGAGTGTTAATGGCTCTTGTTATTGCACAAGCTCCATATATCCATAATAGTTAATCGTTAATTGCATTGGAGCGATATAGGAAGAATGGCAATAGCAACAAAAGTTGAAAGGGACTAAGTAGGTAAGAAAAGTGAATAGGAATTCAACCGGACATAATGTGATGTGAGAAGACACTGTCCAGACAGATGCCGGATCAATCTAGTAATTACTTGCACTGATATCTCCCCTAGTCTGGGATATGCTGACAGACAACATTATTTGCCTTGTTCAATAGCATATTAGAGAGAAGGTTACCAACTACTTAAGTCATATCACCAAGTGTACACAACCCACGTGAGCAAACATATCACAGTCTATCCGTAAATAACAATTATTGCTTTTCTAACTTCTATTATTCGTCTTCTCTACGATGGTTATTAGTCTGTCTATCTATGTATCAATTTATATGACTCGATATATTTCGTTTTATCATCTATAACTTTCACTTTTACAGACTGAAGAATCTGGGGGAGATACCATCCTTCGTAGCTGCTCTTTTGAGATGCGCAGTCTTGGGCTGGGCTGTTTTATTTAATTAGAGGACAGAATCTGTAGTGTTCACGTCATCTACATTGTCTGAGATTTCACTGGAAAATGGATCTAGATCAGAACCTTGATGAAGACGAGGGGATGAAACGGTGGACGTTTTCGAAGTGGAAGCGGAAGGAGGTGAACCACTCCGAGAAGAAGAGTGACCCCGTACCCTTGGAATCGGCGACAAACCACGCTCGATCCCGAGGCCCTTTTCCATGTTATCCATGTCTGAGTAACTATACAAACGAGGCCGGACATACTGTTTCCGTCTGTGCCGGTCTGGGGCTATGTATGCTGGTGGAGGCACGGCGATAGACTGTGGTGCAGAATCATTTGAAGGAAGTTGTGCTGGAGTTGAGACCGTTTGAACGGGAGCAGCGGAGAAATCAGGCTCAAGAGACATGGAGAAGAAAGGCCTGTGTAGCATCTCGTCTAAGCTTGCATACGTTACCCCCGTCTCACCTACTGCTCTGTCTCGGTGGGACGATATATCACCTGGAGATGGCGGAAATCCATCTCCAGGCGAGAACGATAACGACAAGGAAGAATAAATATTCTTCAGATCCCACTCTTCCTCTTCGTCATCATCGTATCTCTCCGTCTTCGTTGCGGCAGCTTCAAGCCTCTCAACCAAATTCATAGGAGTAAGAACGCGATTATCAGGGTCATATTCCCGAATCTCACCATCTTCAGAATATTCTGGGAATGCACACCCATCATCTTCATCGTCCTCATTATCAAGCCAACGCTCGATTTCATCGTATGAATCATAATTGATGAGAGCCCGTGCACGGCTTATGATCCAATCGTTAGTTGCATACACGGGAGGTGTAAGGGGCTTGTTGGGTGAAGACATTGTAAAGTCGTGATTGGGATAAAGGGGGGCTTTATCTGGAGATTTGCTAAAGCAATTCGCAAAACTTTGTTAGTACGTACTTGAAGGTGTTTTCTGGAACAATTTTCAATGGAAAATATTATATTGGCATATCCCATAAGTGGCCTTGAGTGAGAGGGGGGTTCAATTGCCCTACTTAAGTACTTCACCAAATCGTACCTAACAACGACCATGATCACAATCAAATACATGCTCGTTCATGCCGAGTGACAAGTATGATGTGCGTGAAAGAATGAGTTCAAGGGTGAAAGAACAATCTATTGTAAGAGACAAGAGTCCCTACAAAGAGCTACATCACTAGGGTTCCTGTAACAATGTAGTGTAGATTAGCTGGCCATGAACAATCTGATTGTTACAACAAAAGCAGTTACAAGATTGTCGAACGTAGCTCTCAAAACCTTCTCGAGAAACAGAGGGCTTTATTGGATGAAGGATCCTACAGATGCGCATATCACAACTAGCATAGAAGGATGGATATTTCGAATCAGATTAAAAATCATGGTAGGTGGTCTTTGGTGACTCACAAATAAGCCTGGCCATTGTAGCGATTTGGCTTTGAGTGACAGGTCATGCCCCTTGCAAGGGATGTCGACCCCAGGCTTCGTTATCGCATTGACTGCGAACAACATGCATAAAGGTGTGTGCCTAGTTGTCCACCTTGGTATCATCTCGGCGAATAAGAACTCATAGAGTGTAGATAATCATTCCACCTTTATCATTTCGGAGAAGAGCAACAGCACTCATAGAGGAAATATGCCATAAAGATATGGAATGGAATGGGATCAGCGATAAAGGGCTGATTAGGGTATGATGATGCAATGAGAGGGAAGCATGTATAGGTGCTGTTAGTGAGCAGCGTCTCAACCATGACGAGGTGCTTCGTCGTCTGACCAAAGATAAAGGCAGCGACAAAAGGTTCTGGCCTATAGGGTGCCAATTTACTCAGTTTATATCAGAAAGGCTGTATAAGATGCAGTAAGTCTCTCATTGTGGTACAAAGTCTAAGGGGGTCAGAGGTCTAAAGGTCTTCAAAGTTCTCTAGCTACCGGTATATATAATGTAGGTATCTGTATTGGCATATATAGCGGTACTGCTAAGTAGTTGAGTACCTGGTGCGTCGGTTTTTACTCACAATCTCTTTTTTCCTCTGTCACCAGACCCCTAACAGTTAAAAGTAGCCTGGTTGGAGGAGCCCTACAGTCGTCTATATAGGCATGAAAAGCATAGTGGTATGCCGTACCATACCACCCTCTAGGAGTGATCAGGAGTGTGACAGACCTTATTGCTGGTTCGCTGGTGTATTTGCGCGCTCGCATTCTTGAGTGGTCTCGTGACTCCTAGGTCTACCCTTGATCATTGGCGTGGTCGAAGGCGAAAAGGGTGAAGATATAAAATTGGAAGATATAGCAAGGCAAAAAGCATGTCTAATTAATGCGGACCAACCACAATGGCGCGTATCACAAAGTTGAGGCGAAGTTATCATGGAAGCTATAGCTCCAAATACGCCATCCATCCAGCCAGCCCTACCAGGCGGCGGGGACGAGCGGGATATTGGGCGTAAATCGGCGTCGTCGGTTACCTACTTCATAGGCAGAGAACCATCAGCTCAGACAACAACCCAGCCACTCCCCGAAGACTGCAAGGCTTGGCTGAGACAGGGCGAGGGTTCGTGGGAAGAGTTAGGGACACGCTAGAAGCATTCTAGAAGGTGATGATGGCATTCCGGTTACATGTACTTGGTAATGTCTGCTGTACGATTTACCCCAGACACGGCGCATTTATTGCCCGGATGTAGGTACCGTAGGCAGTGTAATCCTACTCAGTTACTTACTATATATACGTATGGTACTCTGTACAGAGAACACATTAGTTAGGTCCATGCATCCTCCTGCTCTGTGCATGAATAGCGCGTGAAGCCTACATAAGAAAAGCAATGTGATGTCCTGGGTAGATCCTGGGGTTGTGTGACCGGCGGCTCCAACATGGGCACTGCGTTAATCTACAGCCTACAGTAGGTACTGTTACAAAACCAAGTCTACTAGGTAGTAGCTACTACAACTTGAAGATTCCTTAACGTCTGAAGACGGGTATAGAAGACGACATGGGCGATGCGACGTGCCTCTTACATTACAGGTGAACTCGATCGAACAGTGAGTGAGTAAGTAAGTGAGTGATATGACGCGATACCTATAGCAATAGGTAGGTAGGTAGGTAGGTATTTCCAAGCAAAGTGCTCAAGAGAACTGCCAAGGCCAAGCCGACGAGCCTAACCATATAGGGATACCCCTCATTCCTCTTTCGGAAGCTACGCTACCGATGAAGACCAATGAGAGAGCTCCGCAAGGCCCTGTCGCCCGCTTATGCAGCTTATGCAGCTTATGCAGGCAGCTGCAAAGAGGAAAAAAAAAAGAGAGGAGCAGGGAGGGGGAAGCGATGGAGATGCGTCGTATTCTTCGCCTGGACTTCCCTAATCTTTCCCAGATCCGCAAACTTCTAGAAGCCCTAGCAGACCCTAGCACTATCCTGGCACTATTCTAGCACTATATACTATGTACTTACATACAACCTACTACTAATCCTAGCAGCATCCCTAGCTCCCTCTACAGAACCCCTACACTACCCGTCACCCTTCCGTCACCTGGCCTCCCGAGCACAAAGCCCAGCAGTGCTTTTCAGTGCTACCTGCTCCCCGATGGTCGGGATTGTCCCTGGCCAAAACTTAGAGTTATTAGGCATGTACTAGGTATGTACTTAGGTGTTGTGCGGTCCCTCCTACTGTACATATGTAGTATATATGTAGGGCAGGGCAGGTACCTTGCTGCATACCTACTGTACATAGGTACGGATAGGTACATCCCATGCCATCTGTGGCTGCGCGCAGGTGGTGTAGGTACTTCAGCATCTGTTTAGCTCAAGTGCTCTTCAATCTAGATTTGTATGTAAAGATACTTGCCAACCCCGATGGATCCAAGTATGTGTGTTTGTGCTCCTCGGAGATGCAAGATGCGAAGACGACCTCCTCAAAACTCTGACCTGGGGCGTATCCCTGGGATTTCATCTCGGCACTCAGGTCCTTGCAGGTTGCAGGCCGAACATGCGCAACTCCCATCGTCATCATCCCATTACACCATTACACTCCCATCAAATCATCGTACTACTGCTGGGTAGCGCAGGCTGAATGACCGTCGGAGGCGGCCGGGACAGCCAGCATCCTTGAGCAGATTCCTTCGTCCTCGAATTCGATGACCTACCCTCCCGAGCCTCCCTCTCTGCCCTCCCTACCCAGACCCTGCCTACCTACACGGTGAACCCTAGTAGGCATCGGGATATCCGTTTCAAATCAACAACCAACCGACAGTGTCCATCACAGATTTGGCTTGCCTACCAGACTCTGGCATGGACGTCCTCACGTACTACCTGAGCCTCGCCACCTACCTATTACTCGCGGTGTCCGGTCGTTTCAGATACCTTCGGACCGACCAGCCTCACCAATTGCTCTCTTAGCAGATATTGCGATTCATGCCGGAGAGAGCTTCGACGGTCTAGGGTGGAAAAATCAGCTCACGGGCTACCGTATGTGAACGGCAGCAAGAGTCAGGTCCGTTGTCGGCCCCCTGAGCCTGCAGACCATCTAGCGTCGTCTGCTAGTACCATGCACGACTTGCCTAGTGCACACCACACTGAGTATAGTCCCGGCATGCACCCTATTCCTCCTTGGTATTCAGCACTAAGTAGTGATGAGCATGTGGTGGGTTTTTCTCTGGTGGTCGTAGGCTTTCAGCGTTGCTTTGCATGGCAAAGACTCGAAATTCCCGACATCTCCAACATCGTGGGAGTTAGATTGGGTCAGGAACTGGTGGCCATACTCCATGGCGGCAAGCCACGATGTCGTATTGCGTTTTTTGTGTTAAGTCGGGGACACGACTCGGACCAATGCCAGTTACGGACGCAAAGTGTTTCGCGGGGGAAAAAAGCTGTGTATTACCATGTGAGCACGACTTACTACGTATTTCCCCGACGATGGGAACTCGCTCGGGAACTGCAGAGCCAAACGACCTGTCAACAAGAAGGCAGTTGTCTCCCTACTTGCTTGGTTTCCCTGCTCAACACTACTGGATAACTACTCAAATACCTCGGAAGTTGAGTACATAGTTCTTGTCTTGTTGAAGTTTATGACTACAGGTTGAGAGAATGCGTGACTGCCTACCCTGGGCCGAACAGATTACAGTGCCAATGAGTACGCTCTTGGACTTTACTTCTCTATAGTACATAGTAAGTACTATGCATTCTCGTGGCAGTATTACACACTCAGCAGTAGGAGAATCTTGAGGGGATGACGTCTAGCTCGAGGCATCAAGATGACGATGGCAGTGATCAGGTGTTCTACTTGCGGCTTGCCAAGGGGGTGGTGCATGACATTCGCCAAGGATCGATTCCATTGCCTAGCTGCCCCTCGTTGAAGTGTGTGTCGAGCTGACAGGCCAGCTGAGGAGAGGCTTCAAGACCTGACGCGCCCTCACTGTTGGGCTATATCAAATCTGGTGCATTACCAAGATATAGCTCGTATGAGAGATATATTGAGTTACCTCGTGACAAGCCGGGCAACCCGTTAACATGTTCGGCCATAGGTATGATTTCGTGGTTTCTATCAGTTTTGAAGCTGTGCTGTTCACTGCATTCGATATGGAGTGCACTCTCCTCCAGTCCATCTATTACGATAGATCGTATTGACAGCTTGATATAAGACTATTACATCTATGCCGTAGCACATCCCGAGGTTGTATGCAGCGTCTCTACGTCTCTAGCTTCCTAGCTTCGGTACACCATATGGAAGTATGTAGACATAACGAACGAACGAACGAACCAACCAACCAAACCAACACCCGATAAAGCTTCGCAGACAAAGGCTTACATACAACGTCATCTAACATTGTTTCTGAAACTGTTTCCTGAGCGGTGTGCCATGCCTCAAATGCACTTTGTTACCATTATACACCGGAGTTTTGGAGCGTACGCTGCCCAGTTTTAGACAGGCGCTGGACAGGGCCCAAGACGAGTGGAGCTTGGAATCTGTATAAGCATGTAGGTACCCAGGGGTAAGTAGGTACTGTGTACTTGGCCAAGCTCCCCGCAACAATGCCCTGTACCTACCTGTAGCCTGCAGTTCTTGCTGCAGGTATCCAACAGGTACCTAGGTACTGACTACGAGAGGCCCTCCCCTCAAATGTACGAGATATACAGATATACGACCCCAGGCGAAACTCATATTACATACTATGTATGTAGAGTGCGAATTTCGTATGTATTCTATGTCCTTGTAATTAGTGTAGGGCAGAAGAAACAACGGTGCGAGGCTAAGGTCAAACAGAAATCACGAAAGGTCCATCTTGGAGGAGCAGCGACAGTGCTGGTAACTTAGCAATGAGATACAGGGCCCAATGCCCGCGTCTCATACTTACTCTACATGTGTGTCCTATACCTATGTACTCAGTACTGTAGATGAGGGGCAAAAGTCGAGCAGGGTAGTGACTGATACTTCAGAGGTACTTATGGGAGCACTCAGAGACGGAGTGCAGACATTTTCCTGTCAGCGTTGAATTACCAGTACCAAACTGTAGGATACTTGCTGTGAAATATAAGTATAGCTTGGGTAACTTGAATACTGTTCGATGGGTCGAATACTTACCCAGTAAACGCAGCCGAAAGAGGGAGAGAAAAAAAAGAAGAGAGAGAGAGAGAGAGAAAGACAGAAAATAGAGAAGAGAGTGAGGAATACAAAGGACGCAAAACTAACGGGAAATTCATGCAACATCACTTCAATTTGCCATCTGCTTAGCTCTTGCCTCACTATCATCACCATCATTACTGTTAAAGGGCAGGCACAGCGAAACAATTCAAAGTGAGGCAGGCAGGGACAGCCGAAAGGAGCTAACGACCAACTGCACACACACGCAACACGCAACAGGCAAAGGTCGCCCACCTCGTCCACATCATCCACAATTAGGAAGAAAAAAAAATACTAACAAAGAAGAGACAAACCAACCAAGCCCGCATCCACCGGCTCTCGGGTTGGCTCGGCCAGTGACTTGGTTCGTTCGCGGGCGGGCTGACTGGCTTACTTGACTGACTGACTGACTTGACTGGCTTGACTGGACTGGACTTAGACCTGACCTTGACGGAGCTCGACGGAGCTCAACGCTTGGCCTGGCTTGCCTGGCTTGCCCGCCTGCCCGCCTGCCTGGGCCGCTGGCTGAGTGGCTCTCTCACCCGCTCCTCGCTCGCGCTCTCGCTATTTTATTTCAATTACATAAAACCTTGCTGCGCATTTCCTCACCTCTTACTTCACCCCAAACCTGCCATTGCCTGTGCCCCCCCTTTTTTCCTTATCACTCGTCGACACGCGGTCTTGCCCATTGAAGGTTGGAGAGATACACTGGATCGCCCTTATCTCTGCCACTGACAGCTTCTGTGTCCTGAGCCGTGTCTCTGTTGGTCTCTTTTGAGCCTCTTACATAACACAATCCAGGCCGTTGGACCCAGTTCCCCGGATTATGTAGAGTTTTAGCGCTCCTGCATCCGCACTCTTGCTTGCTTGCGTGCGTGCGTGCTTCACTTACAGCCAGCCAGGCCAGACCAGACGAGGACAGACAGCCAGAAATAGGGGAATACATACCGACAGACAGACAACGACAACGCCTGTGGTATCTGCGAGTACTGTCACCTACCTATCATTACCAGATATCACCAGCACCAGCACCAGCATCACCAACCACATACCACTAGTACCACTAGTACCACTGCTGCTATTACTATTATCCTTCATTGCTCTAATTAACTTTCGCCTTGAGTACTTCCTTGCTCGTTTTCTGGTCCCGTTGTTTTTCACCCCAAGAAATTGAAGCCCACTGTTGTCCGCTTCTACTACCCCTACTCCTGTCTATGCGACTGCCATACCTAGATACCTAGGTAGACAGACATATATACACACACCCGACGGCTCGAACGTGGGCACCAAGACACAGGGTGAAGAGCTATACTACTACACTGGGGGACGGGGGTGTCACCAAGTCGTTATTCGTCCCACCAGAAGCCAAACAGCAGGCATCCGTCTAACGTGCTGTGTCGACTTTAGTATCTGACACAAGTACTCATCCCTCTTCCAGTGAGAGGCGTTTGCCGCGTCGTCGGCGAGCGTCTCGTATCAGTTTTGTCATGTCAGACAAGATGTCCATCGATAAGCAAGAGCAATCTCAGGAACATTCAGATGACTCAGTAGCTTCTACCCCGGAAAATGGCGGAGAGCCCACACCTGCGCCTCAAGACACTCAACCAGTGAAGCGAAAAGGTGGCCGAAAACCTGTAGGTGAATTTTCATTATTTGGAGCTAAAGGGAGGGGGCTAGGATTGCTGAAGATCTGCGCACGATCTGTCAAAGTGTCGGCTACCAAGAGCAGCTGGATATAACACATGATAAAGACACGTGGTTTAGTTGGAGATGTGCCAATGCTAACGAACGAGAAAAGATATATGCTACCTCAGAAGAACGCAAGCAAAGGAACCGCCAAGCGCAAGCAGCCTTTAGAGAGCGGCGCACGGAATACATCAAACAGCTTGAGGACACTATACGGGTTCACGAGTCGAATCTGACTAACCTGCAAGCGGCCCATCGCAGCGCTGCGGAGGAATGTCTGATGTTACGGTACAAGAATTCTCTCTTAGAACGAATTCTTCTCGAAAAAGGCAGGGCACTATATCCGTCAAGTTAATCTACAGTCATTCGCTAACAACTTAGTAGGCATCGATGTTCAAGCTGAACTTCAGGCTAAAACCGGCAGTCCCAACCTTGGCCCGACACACATGCCTCAGAATATGATGCAACCACCACCTATACAACGGGCCATTCTCAACAGGCACCACAACTCACGTAGGTCAACGTCGAGTATTGCACCAAAACTCGAACCCGGTGTCACATCGGTGCCAGCTCAGGTCAACATCCAACCATCAGTAGCTTCGCCGAAGGCTCGGCCGACACCACCATCTCATGCAGCTTCACCAACCAACCCAACACCGTCATATAACGGTCACATTTCAACAGCCTCCCCTACGGCTGTGGCTCCGGATCATGGAACTATACGGACAACAATGCCTCCCCCGATGAAGCAACCCATGGCACCTATGTCCGGAATACTACCTAACCCCCGCCAACAGCTGATGCAGCAGCAACAACAACAACACCAACACCAACACCAGACCACTTCCGGGCCTAGACCGCCTTCGATATACCCAAGCTCATCATTTCAAAGCCATTTCCAGCAGCTCGGCAAGTTTGCCCGTTTCTTTGTTTTGTATGGAACTTTGTCGTCCTAGGATTAACTCGTGAGTACAGAACAGGAGTACGATGCGTCAACCGACATGATGGAAGAAGCCGAGTCGGAGGCACCGCCCCAAAACCCGTATGCGCCTGGTTATTCGGTTCCTCCTCCACCCAGTCTCTCTATGCAGACACAGACAAGTGCGCCATCTGGACAGCCGCCTGCAAATGCTACAGATCATGGTGGACAGACCCAAGGCCAGAATTATCCGAGCATGACTCAACTACTCGATCCTGCCTTAGACTGGGACCCTTTTGGCCTTAGCGCGTCCATGGCTTTTCCGACTCAGTTTTCCTTCGACACAAGCAACATGAGGTAATGCAACGCCAGATTGCAGATTGAGTGCCATAAGACGTGATTTTAATAATCTCTTTGGGAACGACGTCCACGAGTAATAGATTACGAAGCATTTGACTGGACATGTATCCCTATATTTCGTCGCTTTATTTTTTTACCAGGCAGGAGAGCAGTATTGCTTTCCATAACGATCATCCTCGGGGAATGAACGGTGAGATACTGATACCCCAATTGGCGGTTAGGCATGAAAAGCTAGACCGTTTATCTACGTTTTCGGCTCGGACTACAGCTCCAGGGCGTTCAGGATAAGGGCATATTGAAGATTCAATAATGAGACGACCAAACCGACCCTTCACCTACTAGCGGAGTTGGATTCACAGTTTTACGAGTTATTCATTGGTACGACTTTTCGAGCATCATCAAGGTGGGAAATTATTATGGTTTAGCAGTAAGAAAAAGCGGGAGGAAGGGGGGAAAAAATCTACGTTAAAGGAGTTTTGGGAAGAGAATCGAAAAAGAAAAAAGTTTTGTGTTGTTTCTTCTTCAGCAATTCACTTGCCGCGAGAACAAGCGCTTGCGAGAGAAAAAAAAAATTGCAGAATATGTATGTCTGCTTGTCACGTTATTTCAGCCACATACCCTTCTGTTTACCGGAAAGATGAACACTCGGCTGTTTTTAAGTCGAATTTCTACTCATATACTTCATGGAGATAAGTATGTGGTGGGTTAGGTTAGGTTGGGAATGGATGGGGGTCTATTTATTGGTTGTGGCTAGGCTTGGGCTGTGCTTCACTTTTACCACGTTACGTACTATTGATTGAATCTGCCATTGTGGAGAAATCTGGAAGGGAACCAGTACAGGACTTCCAACAACTTAAATTCCTTTTTTTCACTCTCTTTTCTACTTCTATATCAATCAGGTGGTTGTCTTGTCTACTTCTATTTTGGGTGGTGCTGTGCGGTGTTCTTCTATTTCTGGCGTTTGCGTTAGATGCTTATTCTATTACTTCTTCCTTCCTGGTGTGGGAGTGTAATGATTATGAGTATGTTGGTTTGAAAGCCGTCTTTTTCCCCTGTCTTCTATCTCTCCTACCTTTTTTATTGTTCTCACTCTCCCCCCCTCTCCCTCTCTTTTTTTTTTTTTTTGGAGGGAGTGCTTTGGGGTGGGTGCATTGTTTTTTATTCTTTCGACCAACCACCTACTTATGCTAGGTAGATGGTCTGCATGATTGACTGGGTTGATTGTTAGCCTGAGGGGTGAGAACTTGGGGAGGCAGGGGAGTTATTAGGTTTGCTGAAAACGAAAATTCGTCGGGTTTTATTCAGCGTAGGGAACTAGGTAGGTAGGTGGTTAGGTAGATATAAAATAACATTAACTAGTTAGTATATTTCTTGTGTAATAAGTAGTGTTGCATGGTGTGGTGTGGTATGGATATATATGGTATGTGAGTGAAGCGTGGAGAAAGGGGAAAGTCGTGGGGGAAGAATAGGTGTGATGTGTAGGTATGTATGTGTGTGTGTATGGAAGGTCCCCCAGGCAGAGCAGACAGAGCCCGATTCATGGCCGGGGTTCCGCCTCCGTCACGATGCCTCGTGCTCTTTCTTACCTAGGTTTTCATCCTATCCACTTCACTATACACTACCTACTACTTAGCTTCTGGAATCTGGATCTGGGGTTTGGGGCCTGGGGGACACTGGTTTGTGATTGCGTAACTTTTTGGAATGTGCTGTATCCATTTCGTTATTCCGCCTACCTACATACTTGTAAGGTTAGTTGGTTGGGCTGGGTTAGGTTAGGTTAGGTCATGTCAGGTCATGTCTGGTCAGGTGTTACACGCGCGGTAATTAGTCAAGTTGGAGATGTGTAAGTAAGGCTAGCTAGGCCTACTCTTTTTTCGGGTTTCCTTATTTGGGATTTGTTTTTGGGGGCTTTAGAACGGCCTGTCTTTGATGTGAGTTAAGGAGGTGAGTGAGTGATGGCGAGGAGGTCAGATGATAGATATAATTGCTTTATAAGGAATGCTGTTTACACGGAGTAAGTATGCTCTGCGGCTTTGGTCATGGGCTGCGAGCGAGGCCTGGGGTTATTTGGTATTAATTGATATAGATGGGTTGAGAAGAATGGTGTCGCGTACGAGTGAGTACCTATGAGGCTGTACGTAGTAGTGTATTGAAGTAAGTATGTTAACAGGTTGTATTAGTGTAAGATAGCCTGGCGAGGATATTGTCTCGGTAGGTACGGAATTCCTGCTTGCTTGCTTGCCCGCCTGCTTGTCTTCCTCCTTCGGCTGCTCCCGAGCTTGCAGTGAAAGCTCTGATGCTTGGTCAGTGTAAGTATGGTAGTAGACGTTACGTCGTCACATTCCTTTCGTCTGTACAGAAGGAGTTTTTGATCTTGCCGTTGTTTTGCAGTAGAGTATGTATGCACGAGGTAGGTAGGGGTTATGTTGATAGGTAGCTAGTTAGTCAGGCTGAGAGAAATCTCAGATTCCATATCCCGATGCAACGCAGTTTCCTCCCACCCACCATCTCCCGGGCTTATCTGATTTAGATGACTGGACTGATTGGTATATTGCGTTTATCATAAGTATATGTAAATTTCACAGGCTTCTTTCTGGTTGGTGTTCACATCTTGGATTGGTTCTCGGGCGTGGCTCCGAAGGAGCTGGGTTTGATTTGACCTAATCGCAATTTTCCATTACCGAATAAGAATTGAGTAATAGCGACAATTTATTTTATTCTATTTATTTATTATGGACGATCTCCAGAGGAGCAAAGAGATGAATTGCCACCTTCTTATGTTGATAAACTACAGTAGGGAAATGCTAGAAAACGAAATGTCCTGCTTGCGTTCAAGAGGATAACGAACGCTCGTGCTACTGCCGGAGGACGAGGATATACTATGCTGTTATCTTACCTTCTTAACTTACTACTACACCTGGCTAACTTATGTATACAGTAGGTACCGTAAGTGCCTGGGTGCCGTGATCCAGCGAGGAATACCTCGGGTGTAGGAAAGGACTTGACCAGCGCCATATCCAGCCAAATTCGCATAGCTCAGACACGTTGTCTGTCATTAAATCGTCCCCCTTTGTCTCGTGTGAATTCTGTCAAGTTGCTGTGCTCAGCTCACCTTGCTCTGCACCATTCACCGTCCAATCCTGCACTGGCGAGTTTTGAGTTCGGTATGAAAACCAGGGAAGAGTGAGCAGAGTGTCATGCAGCGTTCTTTCTACTCTCGGACGAATGCCGGGAAGTTGTGCAATGGAACAGAAGAGTTGACGTAGACGGCATGGTACTACACTCCTTGTTGACGTGGAGAGCGCGAAGAGCCCCTTGTCGGTCCATCCGTGGGAATTCCACATCCCTCCTTTGCCTCCCACGGTCCCTTCTCAGACAATCGACGGCTTGGTCGTGATAGCCCAATAGTTGTAACCGGCGTCGTTGCGAGTGGTTCGAGACTTCCCTTGGCTCGCTCGGCGCGGCTTGTGGAGGGTACACGTAGCGCGCATTGTAGTGTGATGATTTTGTTTGGGTCAGCAGATGGACCGTGGGCGGTACACTAGCCTGCGTGGGGAGTAGAAAGGGACCTTGGAGGATTCACGATGCTGCTCTCCTCATTTTCTCCAGAGCCAGTCGCGCGTAGTGAGAGTGCCGCTCATTGTACTATGTATTGGGGCGGGCCTGTTGCCATTCGCAGGGTGGTTGGGTTGAGTGGATGGGCCGGTGGTTCGAGGTATTTTCCCTTGTATCGCCCAGCGACGCGTCTAGAGGCGTAGCTTAGGTCGTAGGTTAGGTTGTATTTAGGTGTGCGGTGGCATGGCAGCGTTCGGATCCTGGGAACCGTTTCACGAAACACCGTTTTTCTCCACCTTGTCACTCGGTTTTTACTGTTTGTGCCTCCTCTTCCCAGTTTTTCCGTGGCTCTCCACTGAGTACAGTACTCGTACTCTTCTCCTCATCCTTCTGGCGTTGTTTTCCTTCCTTCCCTTTCGCACCAAAGCCCCGTTCTTGGCCCTGCAGTGCAGGTGGGCGGTCACCTGCTCAATCGAGATGTTCCGCATTCGGCGTGAGGAAATGAAATCGGATGGGCGAAAAAAAAGGAGAAAGTGGGCTGGACGCGCGGGATCCATCCTTTCCAGCCTAGATCAGACATCAGACCAGACGGAGCTACGCTAGATTGGCCATTGATCATACAATGTACCATGCATGAGTCGATCGAGCTGTACAGTAGTACCGTCACCTCCACATGTAAATGAGCTGTCGTGCCGTCAAGTTTTCATGACCGGCCGGATAGACAGGAGTCTAGTCTAGTAAAGGTCTGTGTATCGTAGTGACGTTTCTCGGCTTCTCGAGAAGCTACTATGGAGCGTCGATGAGATCCCTTGGCCATGTATCCCATGTAACTGATGCTGGCGGATCAAACCCCGAATGTCCGAACCCTGCCACTCACAGACAGCGATCGACTGTTAGCTGCCTAGGTATATAAATTAGTAGATGTAGTGTAGGATACCATAATGTGCCAACTTCCAGCGGTCGCCGACGGGCCATCAGGTGCTTGCTGTGCTAGGCGTGTGCTACGGCTGTACTTAGTACCTGGATCAGAAGGACCAGACGGACCAGACGGATGAGACGCCTGTTGGTGGTGTTCTGGTGGTGTTCTGGTGATGGTGGGTTCGCCGTCGTTGGCTGGTGGGTTCATGTATGCATGTAGGTGCCCCGACACCAACCGCACCACGCTACGGCACGCAACACCGGAACGTGTACCCGGTACATCTGCATGCTGTATCGTGAGCAGTGATGTACAGTAGTAGTTTCGGAGCAGCTTGGAAGCGGAGTGGCTGGTAGTGCACTGCACTGTGGCATCCCGCATATGACCAGTCTACTGGTAGGTAGCTTGTCCAAACGAGAGTGCTTGAATGCATCGTAGACCGATCGCCCGCGCGCCGGCGTCGGCGTTGGTGTCGTCTCTTGTTTGGCCTTTGCTCTTTTGTCTCAAAGCTCCTCCCATCACATGAGCCACCTTAGCAATAAGGACCGAATCGTCAAGCTCTTCGCATTGGTCTGGTGTTTGTTCACCACTTCGCTAGTCAAGACGGTGAGAGATCCGTTTCGCAGTGTCCAGCAGTAGCCTGTATAGCAGTAGGGAGAGAAGATGGATGATGGATGTATCAACTTCTACTAGCTACTCGATAGTAGGCCATGGTTGATGCATTGGACAGTTTGAGTCTGGTGACCATCCCCACTGGAGATTGGGTACGTGTTCTATTCAGAGCACCAGCGGGTATCGTGGTGAACCAATTGATCAGTCAATTAGGAACAAGATAATTCTCTATACCGCAGCACTTGCTATGGGAAAGAGAAGAGAGAGAGAAATAAGGCAGTTGACATTACAAAATATATATCAACGCTGTACCATTTCACTTGTAGCAACGGCCATAAAATGATATGGTCATTTCCAGACGGGAGAGCCAGCCTGGAGACAAGCAGTCTCGAACACAATAATAGCTATAGTATATAAAGAAGTAGATAGATATCTCTGCAGAGGATGATAGAGAGGCGCTCGGTTCGTATTTGTATCTGGGATTCCGGCCTGCCTGGGAGGGAGCTCCTTATCTCTGGTCCTGTGGTCCCGGGACGTGTCAACATAACATGTCATTTGGCTACGAGAGATAAGCAATAACCATTATCAACAAAAACCAAATCGAAATCCCTCGCGGCCCCGAGCACGACGTCACATCACCCCACGATTCAAATGTTATGTATTGATTACCTATGCCATGTCTTATCTTTTGCTTTCGAATTGTTTTATCGTTTGTCACCGTTGACGAGCTATCGTCACTTTCCCCTTTCGGTGCTGTCTTGAGCAGGGGGGTTTTTAAACCTCTCATTATCTAAGTATATCCGCATCTACTGTATTCGGCGTAATAGTTATACATGCAATTTATCGATTATGCCAATGTCCATGTCGACCTTGTATTGAGGCCCATTACTAATCTCAGGGATACTCATGCCCATCGACGGAGATAAGGGTATATATACGTCCCTGTTGTGCATCTCCAACATCATCCCGTGTATATTCGGCAGTTCCTGCAGAGAGATAACATCCCACGCGGATTGAGCCGCTGACCAATGCAGTTCCGCTATGATAATCTGCAGGTCATCAGTGTCTGTTCCTGCATGCCCGTCTGCCGTGACTGGCTAGGTATCGTGTACCCTCTTGCCGGATAGGAATATAGTCCCGCCGCCCCTGAATGCTTGATTCTACTCGTGGCTGATAGACTTGGTGATCTGAGTCTTGCAGCCAACATGGAAATATCTAGCCAACTAGGTAGTTGAGAGTAGTGGGCTTGTGAATGATCAAGGTTGCACTTACATCCACAAAAAACGCGCATCTGGCTATCGCATTATGGTAATAGAGTAAGCTATCCGTAAAGTATGGGTCCCAGCTTTCTATACATGGTCTCTCAAGTAGATATGTCAAGAAGCCTCCTTTAGTAACCGACCTACAAAGTCCCTACGTGACTGGTTTGAATTTATGGTATAAGGAGAGCGCTGTTGCTTGCACCTTCATGTAGAATTACTCTCAAGAAAAGTAGTACAGCTATTAACCTATCAAAGGCTTCATGATAGTTGCTGTCTTTCAATGAGGTATGTTTGATCACGAGCTGGTAAATGCTCTATATAAATAGCTAAGCCATATAGATAGTGAGACAATTGTTAACCAACCAACCAATTTGCCATGTTTGTTTTACAGCTACCGAAGTTGACAGGCAAATGTGATCTGTTGTGCAACACTGCCTTTTTAGATTGGTCCAATAGAAGCTAACTAACTAGGGAGTTGAACATGCTTCATTGAAGGATTGAATTCTATATGCGATGCAATCTACAGAATGTGAAGGTTGAGTTGACAAGATGTCATAATTGGTGACAAGCGATGCTTTGAGCGTCGGCTACACAGGCACTTACAGTACATACATAGGTAAGTATGTAGGTAGGTATTTATTTCATAACCCCAGATCCCACCGTAATTCAACTGCCGGTTGGCTGCTTACCTGCTGTAATACATAGAACTCTCAGTCATCTACTTTGTAGGTATCTTACTTAGAGGTTTATGTCACTCCATCTCAACTCTCTCTCTCGTTACAGATCTGGGGTCAAGATGTACGAAACAATAGAAACCGGCAAATTCCGAAAGTTGTCCTCCACCATCGTCATGGCTGCATTTCCGAGATGCAAAGCCCTAGCTGCCTATCTCCGAAAGCTTATCAGTGCATGGTCAACGGGAGATAGCTGAGTCAGCTGCGCACTAATGAACTCTGAAAATTGCGGTAGGCAAATCAAAACTCCAAATCGATAGCTGTGCTTTCCCCTCCTCTCACAGCCTGAAACCTGCCACAAAGGTGGAAAGCTAGGTATCTACAGGGGGGAGCTACAGTTAGGTACCACTGCACCAGCAATTAGCCTAGGTACTGTTACAGTAGGTACCTAACCCCACCTCGCGCCCTCGGTCTGTCTGCTGTCTGGCGCCTGCTCAGCAACTGCCAATACATTTTCCGATCCCGCCTAAGCGACAGACACCACAGTGAAAGATGGCGAAGACCACCCACCACCAGCGCCACACACAGCGGCGAAAGTGCGTGTGTAGCCAAAATTGGCAGTAGCCGTCATGGACTGGCATGGAAGAATTGGGCAGCTGGCTGAGAGCTTCCCTCGCTCGCTCGCACGCACACAGCAACAACCCACCCGGCTGCCTCTATCAACAACACCTCCTCCTCCTGCTCCTCCTGTCCCATCCCACCCGAGGCTCAGGGCAGATTTCCCCCCCTACGACGCACTTTTTTACTTAATTTTCCTCCTGGGATATGACCTGTTAGGCTGTATCCTCCTCTCCTCTGACATCTGCATCGCCAAAGCTCGCTTTGATTGAGGTTCATTAAGTTACGCCTTGCTGAAAGGCGATTAAAATTGGCGACATCATGTCGGTCGCCTCAAAGGTACGTGTGTGTGTTTTTGTATTTCGTGGGTTGTGTTTCTGTTGTGTTTCGAAACATCTCTATCTTATGGTTTGTAATCATGTGTATTCTACCCCCCAACTCTCCCACCTCGAGTAACTACTCGAGCTTGTGGGAGGTTGAAGAGAGGCTTTCAATGTCGCCGTAGACGTCGTCGTCGTCGTCATCGTCATCATCATCATACTCGCAGCCCACTATCGCTGTTATTATGCTGCTCGCCATACGACATGTTCAATTGGCATGATATGCACGCCATCAACTTCAGCTAACATTGTCATCTCTTCACTAGAACCTCTTCGCCCTCCTCGGTACGTTGCTCGATGCCGCCAATATACATAGATCCGGCTAGATGAAAAATCTTCTCTACCCTGGGCTTCCTTCAAACGAACACCTTCACTAACGACGATTCATCTCTCCAGGCAATGACGAGGAGGATGACAAACCGTCCGGCCCTGTGAAGACGGTCGAGAAGACCCTCCCGCGCACCACCAAGCGCAACGTCGAGCCTCAGGCCCCTACCAAGCCTACTGGCACTGCCAGCACTCGTCGTTCTGGACCCGGCGGTAACGAGGGAGGTAAGTTTTCAGCATACCCCAATCAGTCTCCTCTCTTGTGACCGTGATGTGGCTGACAGTCCTCGTTTACTCTATTAGCTTTCCGTGATCGCAACGCTGGCCACAGCGCCAACCAGCGCAAGCCCACTGATGAGGTTCCCCGAGGCAGTCAACGTGGTGGCCGTGGCGCCCGGGAACGAGGAGGTGAGCGTTATTAGGGTCCTCTGCATACAGTTCTTGGGCTCTAACAGTATGGATTAGGCCGTGGTGGTCGCTTCCCCCGTGATCGTGATGACAGGCATTCTAAGGGTCTGCCTACGTAAGATACATGCTCCCTACACCATCTGATGGTCATGATGTTAACACACGATCAGTGGCGGATCAGAGAAGCAGGCCGCCCAGTCCTGGGGTGCTGCTGAAGGCGGTGCTGAGGCTAAGGACGAGCAAGCCGGGGAAGAGATCGCCCAGACTGAGCTGAAGGAGGCTACCGCTGAAGATGCCGAAGAGGTTGCTACCCCTGCTGAGCCCGAGGACAAGAATGTTTCCTACGCCGACTACCTTGCTCAGCAGGCTGAGAAGAAGCTTGCTCTTGGCGACAACCTCGAAATCCGCAAGCCTAACGAGGGCAGCAAGGTCGATAAAAAGTGGGCCAGCGCCAAGCCCCTTGAGAAGGAAGAGGACGACTTCATCGCTGGAACCGGCGGCAAGGCTAAGCGCGAGCGTGAGCGCAAGGCCAAGCAGCTCGTCGAGATCGACAACCGCTTTGTCGAGTCTGAGCGTCCCCGTGGAGGACGTGGCGGTCGCGGAGGTGCCCGTGGAGGTGCCCGAGGTGATGGCCGTGGACGCGGTGAGGGCCGTGGTCGCGGAGGCCGAGGTGACTTCCGTGGCGAGTTCCGTGGAGGCCGTCCTGCCGGTCGCGAGAACGCCTCAATTAACACCAGCGACGAGAGTGCATTCCCTAGTCTGGGCGCTTAATCGCTAATTCATGATCGACGAGAGGTTCTATCGGATGTCTTCATGTAGTCCATAGTCATGTTCATACGGCAAAATTTTGCCATCCTCGCCTTATCGTCCATAAAAGCCCATCAGTCTGATTATTTGGACCGAAAACACCAAATTTCTGGGCACGAGATGTTTAGAAACTCATTCAATTTCGGGTAACAATTCCTGAATCCAAAAAAGTTACTTTCAGATTCAAAAACGGGTTGCAAATTGGTTGAATTGCTTTGCTTGACGTGAAATAAACTATGGTAGCCGTTGAAGTTGATATTGTTCGGTAGATTTACTCGTAGGATTACTAAGTCGCTCTCCATGAAAGTCTTTTTTAGAGCTATAGGCATCCATATGGCATGTAGAGGACACAGATTCTCCGTATCTCACTTCTTGACTGAGCAGCATCTGATATATGCGATGCAGCTACGTTTGCTACTGAATTTGATTCTTACAAGCCCCAAAAAGTCCTTTTACTTAGGGATTTGAAAGGATGAGGAGACTGGATACGATGGCGTAGTTGCTGCTATCTTAAGAAATTCATCACAGTCTTTGATGAATTGATATCGCGTTGCCGTTGTTGGATTCGGGCCGGAATTTCGATTGTGTGGCATGGGTAATAAATTTCTTGCTGTCACTGTTGTACCTCTTGCGTTCTCGGAATGAGAGTGTATTAAGTGTTCTGGATAAGGGCGCGCAGCGCTTAGAGTTTTGCATATTAATGCTTCTTGAAGCCGGTGCATCTCATTCAATTCATGGCTGTTTTAGCTTGAGGAGGTATTGATTGGCTTTACGTCGTACGCCCCCTTCCTTTTCTGTAATGAAGATAAATGGTGAAGACAGTGTGTATGGTGAGCACATGGAAATTCATTGATGTACGTGACGCTGCTTCGTACAATGATCTATCGGCTTTATATTATGGAGATCTTAAACAACCATTTTGCCGGAAGGGGAGGAATTCTTGATGTTGAGATGTGATCTCGTATAGTAGCTTCATGTTGATGTCTTCTATGTATCGTATCGTGCATAACTATTTTGGAGGGTAACTCAGAGTTAAATATTTTATAACTACGACCACCCTAGCAAGTAATTAAAGGTCTCATTAAGTAGATGATATAGAAAACGTCTGCTTTGGAATACTTGTTGCATTATAATTGCATCATCTAGTGTTGCTGTTTAACATTCCGCGATTCCAAGATTAAAAAACAGTTTAAGAGTGTGAGTAAAAACCGATGCACCGGGTACTCAAATACCTAATAGTACTGCTATACATGCCAGCAAAGAAGTTTGCATAAAAATGGAGGGCGTATATTCAACGTGACTATCTACTTTGACACGTGAAAGCCTGTGCATCACCAAGGGCTCGTAACACTTGTATAGTGCTATACTAAATGTGAGGGGGGTATCTGGTCCTATCGCTAACCATCGAAGAGAAATAAATATACAGAGTTAGCCCGCTGACACGCACAGGCAGCCCAAATAATAATCACCCTGACTGGTAATATTTATCCAGCGCGGGGTAGTTTGGGAGTTTCCATTTGCCGATTGCCCCGTCAATCCCAAACCGCTTATCAACTCTAAAGTATGCAGCCCACCCAGCGATCCAATTCAGAATCGCAATACCAAGTGCCGTCCGGGGCGCGAACATCGACTCGGTCCAGTTACTCTCTCCATGACCGGCAAGGGCCGCGGGCCGGAATACCTTCTCGTATTGCTTCGCGGCTTGGACAATAGCCGCGGTGGGCAAGGGCTTGTCGTCCTCGTATAAGCTCGCCAGCTCGCCGGCCAGGAGATACGGCCCGATCAGACCCCACGACGTCCCGTATCCGTTCGCCGTGCCACTGTGCGCTGCGTCCCCGAGGAGCACGACCCGCCCTTTCGACCACGAGCCGACGGGGAGCGAGACCTCCTCGAACGGCGTGCAGTATAGGTCATCTGCCTCGGGCGCGTGGAGCAGCGCCTCCATGAAACGCTTCGTTTGCCATGCGCCGCCTTCGTAGACGTCGGCTATTGCCTTTTTCAGGGCTGATAGTTCTCCCGATTGGAGTGCGGCGTCGATGGCTTCGTCTCGCTGCCCGATCATCATGTAGATCCGTAACAAATCGGGACAGTCCTTCCGCGTCATGAGGCCTCGTGCCATGCGCGGTCCGGGCAACCAGCACACCGTCAGTCTGTCTGAGTCGTCGGGTTGTGAGGGTATGCTGAAGTAAGCGATGTAGCCGCCTGTCCTGCGTCGCGGATCAGGGGCGTCGGGACCTAGCATGCTCTTTCGCGTCTTCGACCCTGTTCCGTCCGCAGCGAGCACGAGGTCGAAGTCCTCCTTGCGCCCGCCTGAGAGGGTCACGTGGACTTTGCCATCGTCCTTGCTCTCGTCGTCCTGGACGAAGCTCTCAAGCATCGTGTTGTACACGTGCTTCACGTTCGGACAATCGTCCGTGAGCTTGTACAATATCTTCACCAAGTCGGCCCGCATGATCTCGTACTCGGACGTCAGGCTCTGCCTCGCAGCGCCGTGCTTGGCGGCCGGAAAGAAAGCTTTCACGCGCCCCTGGACGTCGATGATCTGTGTGCCGGGCTCCCGACAGCTCGCGGCTCGCACGGCTGGCTCGATGCCCATTTTCTTTATCATGTCTACCCCCGCGACGCGGAGGTCGATTTGCTGGCCTGATGCGCGCATTTTCGAGGATCGCTCGATGAGTGTGATTTCGGCGCCCGGGATGCCCGATAGCCAGTATGCGGCGGCTGGGCCGGCGATGCCGCCCCCCACGATGAGGACTTTGAAGGAAGTCATGATCCACTTGGATAGATTTTTTTTCAATATTGGGAGTAGAATAAGGAATGTTCCGAGCCTTCTCAGTCTCTCCTAGTGAGATAAATTATAGAAAGAGTGAGGTTGACTAGTATATCATCTGCAACGTCTTCTACCAGCCTGTATTTGTATCAGTATGAGCGCCGTCCTGTCCTAGATTGCACTAGGGTACCAGAATCTCACCCTTTGTGGTCAAATTTTGTCCGATGGGACATATGTGCAATATCGGCTCTGAATTGCCATACGTAGGTTGCCTTGCCGCTATTGTACACCCTGTTATGCCACATAAAGCTTCAGCCCTCGGTGATTTCGGACGCAGATCAACGAGCGGCCCTCAAACTTAACCGAAGACTTGATTGATGTGTGACACATTCTGGTTCTTTTTTTTAAAAATTTGACGGCATATTCTTCTTGAACCAGGAAAAAGGCCCAACCGCCTATCTTCAAAGTCACATTCGAGTCCTTGTCACCCCTTTTCCCGTAAAAGTCCGAGGCCGAAGTGCGAAGTGCGGATAGGTTTCCCAGCTCATTGGTGGTCGACTCATATCTGACTCATATTGATTGCGTGTCCCTTGCTACCCCCTCGTCCAGACTCTATGATCTGCCACCCATGCCATTTCTAGGTCTTAAAGCATGAATGTCCTAGACGGTAAAAAAAGAACAAGACCGTGATGCTTTTTGACTATACGATGGTGAGTGCACCTGGACTAAGCCCGTTTCATTTCGCTTTTCTAGATTGTTGTCATGAAGGCGCTATGCACTACCCGTTTGGAAATGGGAGTGTAGCAATCTTCTCGTCGCCTGCACTGAATGACATAGCTTTGATAAGTCAGCTAGGTTTTTACCCCTCCTTCATTTGAGACATGTGATAGAGCTGAATTATGTGTATACCTGGAACATCAGCCCTATTCGAAAGAGGCTTCTAGCTCCGTCAAAACGTCACACCATGGATAGTGGCCATAAAGCTAAGCTTTTCGCAAGATAGCACTTGATAGGCCTTGTTGTTGCCTCATTCCAACACTGGACACATCTCGCTATTGGATGGAGTGAGATGATCAGATGGTCAAATTGCCCACTATCTCGTGGCGTTTAGACTAATGGTGTGAGAACGCATTCTCATATGACCATTACCTTGGATGAATTAAAGAATGAGCCTACTGGGAGCGTTGCCTGCTGGCGACTAATACATAAAGGCGAATGACTAGATTTGTTTCTTAGGAAGCGCCGAAGTCGAATTGAAGTTGTTGATATTAGATAAGCTTTATGCCAAGGGCCCGAGAAACCATTCCCCATTGCCAAATAGTTTACCCATCTCACCAAGATGTTAGAGATAAGACCCTAAGTGACGCACTGCTGAGAAGTGATTGGCTAACGCTCAACCAAACAATCGCCAAGACGGAACAACTGCGGAAGATTGAAGAAAGTGCCGGCCTTGACATGACAACGTGAGAGTTATCACGGAGAAGTATATATCTTAGACCCTCTATCTAGCAACGCGGGTCTCTCGATGGCCACGCTTGGCGGCATACTTGACTGATGGCACGATGACGTTGGCGTCTTGGGACGGAGAGGTGTGGTTCGGTCAAAATCAGAATGTCTACCGTGAGACGGAGTGGACCGAATATCTGGGGCCAACATTTAGCGCCCCGGACCCCAGCCAGCACGAACATGGACCATGCTGAGTAAGGTTAGAATTTTGGGAGGACTTGGCTGTTTAAGACTGGGAAAGTTTACCGTATTAGGGATGGCAACTCTGAGTCTAGAACCTCATGCCGCCTCAACACCACCATCCCACTTCCGCGCAGGTCTTTTATTGAGGCAGACGACGTCGGTTCTCATTGATTTGCGACGGAGAAGTCAACTGCAGGATGCCGACTAAGAGGAAGCGCCAGCGCAATGCGCAGTCCAATCTGCCGAACAAGAAGAGTGCCGTCAGCACGACTTTGCCACTGTCGCCCTCTCCAGATGCACCGTCCGCGACCAAAAGTGCAGACCAATTGGACTCCAAGAGTCTTGCAAGCGTTGTTTCCGAAGAAGAGATAGAGATCACGGTCGAGACCCTAGAGTCGCTCGCTCAACATCCCGCTCTAATCAAGTCCAAAGCTTGCCGGAACCTGCGTACTGCTGTGTATGGATTCAAGCAAGCATGTACTACTGGCATGAACACAGTTGGTAAGATTACTTCACCTAAGCCCCTCTTAAATGAGGTCTTTCAAAAGCTAACAGTGAAAAAGCCGAGACGAACCTCACCTCTCGTGTATCGGCGGCCCTTGTAGATGGCAAATACGTCGATGCTATCGTCCTGTTAGCCGAGATGCGAATACGGAACCAAGCGCCAAAACTAGGTGCCCTCTGCCGATGGGTACGAGATCTCGATGTTGTGAGTGGGCTGTCTAGTGAAGCGCCTGATATTCGGACCGATACACAGCTCGAATTACTCAGGGTGATGGATATGATACTGAGGGTTACTGGGCCGGTTGACGAGGTATCAAAGGTGCCAGCGCTTCTTAAAGGCCCCTTATCTATACAGCCAATCTGGGATAACGGTGATAAAACACCGCGGCAAGCTGTTCGGCAGGGTGTATTAGATAAGACCATCTTCAAGGCTTGCCCAGAGGGTATCAAGGATAGATTCAAGATCCTCGAGACAACAGCAGGCTCCGAGCGCAAGCCCCCAAACCTGCATCCTGCTGTTCTGTATCTCAGTAACGATAATGCTGTCGAACTGGCCGCAGACGGACCAACGGCGACACATCACAAACATCCGACTGTTCCTGGACTATCGCTCATGAAAGATGTCTTGACGCGCCAAGAATGCATGTCAATTGTCGCAGCAATGGAAACCATCGGCTTTTTGCCGGACTGTCCTCTCCGTGACGACGGGTCTGCTTCCAGCATTCTCGCGCACAATGTTTATTGGGTTGTAGATCAGGCTTTCCACGACGCTCTCTGGAAGCGGGTTTCTCCACATATCCCTGCATCCGTTGGTGGACGGAAAGCTCGCGGCATCAACCGACGCTTTAGAGTCTATCGTTACGTCCCCGGCGCCGAGTACCGGTGTCATTTTGACGGCGGCTGGCCACCGTCAGGCATCGATCCCAAAACCGGCGCCTACGTCTACGATGCTTCGCCCAAGGATGCCAAGCAGTCGAGCTTGTTTACGTTCTTGGTCTACTTGAACGATGAATTCGAGGGAGGCGAGACGACATTCTTCACTCCAAGTATCAGAGAAGGTGTTATGAATGCCCATCCTGTCCGGCCGACGATGGGAGCGGTCGCATTGTTCCCACATGGTGATGCAAAAGGTGCTTTGTTGCATGAAGGAACCGGCGTCAGGAATGGCGCGAAGTACATCATCCGAACTGATGTAGAGTTCGATGTTGAGCCTAGCCGAGCTTGATAAGGCGCATGGGAAAGAAGAGAAAACCAAATGTCCCTCGTTAAGGCAAAGCTCGTTCAAGAATCACCCTCTCTAGATATGAGAATATCTAAGTCACCTTCCCAAAGGATCCACGTCTATGAAAATTGCGCCTGCGAAAACCGGGATTATCCATGCTAGACTTATAGTCATACTTGACAAGACTATCATCACTCGTCGGCCTGAGGGCCTTCGGTTGATTGGAAGAAACCAACCTTCAATCTTTATCTCAAGCCAAGTCGACTTTTGTTGGTATTACACTTGGATATGAATCTAGATATTGGCGGTTTGGGTCGTCAAGGTTCCATACTAAAAACGGATATATATCATAGATGTATTGCGACTAGATTATATACATTCGTTATATCTATATCTACGGCCTTTGCCTGAGTGGCTCTCGTCTTCAATGTCGCAACACCTTTCTACAAAGCTGCCTTTAGTAAAAGATATCATGGTTAATATTGATAGAAGAAGAGCGCAATGCTTAGATACCTGATGCCATCACTATTTGGAACATGTAAACCTTGTGAGTCTAGACCTTAGTTGCGCTGTTTCAACTTCAGGCTAGAGACATGAGACTACAATTGAAAGAAAACTATAATTAAATAAGTTGCTGCGGGACTCTGAGCACCCTTGGTTCCGTGCCGTCAACGTCTGCTTGTTGGTATTGCTGATGGGAGTTATCTGGGCTTAAATGACAAGACTCGAACTGTGAATACGGGCGTAAGGTCCTGTCATGGTCCAGAAAAGCTGATACAGCAAGGCAGTTTTGTTGAAGCAGGCTGCCTTGGCAAGGTGTATGGCTCTGCAGTGCCGCAGTGACCAATCACGATTCAATGGGAACAGCCATTGCAGCAGTTCTGAAATTGTCACCGCCCATAAGCTGCTAGCTGAGGAAAAGGTAGGTATAAAGGCTTAGCCTGCTGAAGGGAGGGGGTGGCTTACGTTTGATGTCAGAGTGTTAATCAACCTGAGCCGTTACCAATCTGTCAAGCGTATTTGCCTCCAAGTTTTACCGCCTCTGATAGCCCTCTTTTCTCATGCAGCTGCATGGCGCAGTACTTCTCATTGACAGCGAGGAGCCGGGATCAATATTTGACTCCTCCTCATTCTATATCCCAGCGCCGCCAGCCCTGTTTCTTGTTTCCCTTGTGCGGTTTCTTTCACGTCTATAACGTCGGGTTTGCATCATGGTCTAGTTAAAGGAGTGCCGTTCCTCACAGCTCACATCAAGCCGGTGATCATGCCGGAACGCAATCTTCGCCTCCTGTCGCTTGACGGGGGCGGGGTTCGCGGGCTGTCCTCGCTTATCATCCTGCAGCAACTCATGTCCACTATCAACCGCGACCATCCTCCCAAGCCTTGTGACTATTTCGACCTGATCGGCGGCACCAGCACTGGAGGGTAGGTTTCACCCACAGTGTGATCTCATTTGGACTTGAATCTCAGTTATTGACCATGACCAAACTTCATTGTAGAATTATTGCGTTAATGCTAGGTCGCTTGCGCATGGGCGTTGACGAATGCATAGATGCTTATGTGGCGTTGTCGGATAATGTCTTTAAGAAGCGTAGACATCGGCTCACGCTTAAAGGCAAAATCCAAGGCCGTTTTGATAAGTTGGCTTTAGAAAAGGCTATAAAGTTGGTCTTGGTGGAGCATGGGTTCAACGAAGATGAACTACTTCGGGACAACTCTGATTCAGTTTGTAAAGTGTACACCTAGGCCCTAGTCCAATCAATTTGATGTACTTTTCAACTGACCATGGTACCCTCGACCCTAGTGCGGTCTACGCAACCTGTAAAGAGACTGGAGATGTTGTTTGCTTCAAGTCATACCAGGCTACGTCGGTCAACTCACACCTCTTCAATTCAACAAAGATCTGGGAAGCCTGTAGGGCCACATCCGCCGCTACCTCATTCTTTGATCCAATCACCATTGGGCCCTTTGGGGAAAGTTTCGTCGACGCAGCAGCTGTGGGTGTCAACAACCCAGTGTACTCTGTATGGAATGAAGCACAGGAGATTTGGGGTGCTGACCACCTCGCCGAAAATCTCAACTGTTTTATATCCATAGGAACTGGCATGCCGGGTCTTAAACCATTCAGGGACACCATTTTTCACATCAGCAAGACTCTTGCTGCAATTGCGACGGAAACTGAGAAGACTGCGGAAAGATTTCGATGTGATAAGTTCAAGTTGGCCGAGGATGGACTATACTATCGGTTCAGTGTGATGAAAGGTTTAGAGACTGTTGGGTTGCAAGAAGCGGTCAAAAAAGCTGAGATCGCTGCCGTTACTCTGCGATATATTCAGTCGCAAGAAGTCTTTCGGCAGTTCGGCGCCTGTGTTTTGAGAATGTCGAAAACGAGTCCAGTCGAGAGCAATACAAGCATATCCGCTCAAGTACCTCACGGGTTATTGCAGACTGACTTTCCGCCAAGAGCGGACGAGCCTACCACCATAGACCGACCGGCAGAGAGGTCTCAAGAATTTCAGGGAAGCCTTAGTCTTGCAGGCGTGCCAATAACGCAGAACTTCGTTCCTCGTTCGGCAGACACTGCAGAAATGGAGCAGGTTCTCCTGTCTGATCGGAGATTTTCTGAACAGACCGTATATGTCCTCCACGGCCTCGGAGGCATGGGGAAGACAACGCTTGCTGCTGACTTTGTTCGGAAACATCACACCAAGTTTTCTGCTGTATTCTGGCTAGACGGGAGAACCGAACAGAATTTGAAGCGCAGCATTGCGATGTGTGCGATTCGAATCCCAGACCAGGCCATATCAGAGCAGAGCCGCAAGGACTTATCGCATGGCGATGTTAGCGTCGATGTTGTTCTCACTAGAGTCATGAGTTGGCTTGAGCAATCAGGCAATTCATCGTGGCTGCTCATCTTCGATAATGTCAATAAAGACGCCCACAATCAAGATGAAGATGACTATGATTTATCTCGTTATTTCCCCGCTTCCCATGGATCGATATTGGTCACAACTAGGCTCTCACGCCTTGCGCAACTAGGCTCGTCCGGAAGACTGGACAAAGCGAAAGACGTGGAAGCTCGTTCCATTTTCGAAAAATGGTATGGAAGCGAGTTATGTGAGTTATCCGTTCCGGCCTACCTCTGCGCGTTATCGCATAAATAAAAAGTGAAAGCTCATTCGCAATGTACACAGGCGACGTAAACATCGATAGACTTCTTAGGGAGCTCGATGGGCTGCCACTGGCTGTGGCTCAAGCTGCTGCGTATCTTCGGGAGACAGATATGAAATTCGCAGATTACTTGCTATACTACAAAAAGCAATGGAAAGATTTGATGGAATACCAGGGGGCTTCGATACTCTACCATGCTAACCGGAATATAGCTACTACCTGGTTGATATCGCTTCGGACAATACAGGCGAAGAACCCGGATTCCATTAACTTGCTCCGTGTTTGGGCGTTTTTGGACAACAAGTCTATGTTCTATGGACTTCTCAGTGGAGCGGCCAAGGCCAGTAGCAACGTATTCCCAGAATGGCTTCGGGCCCTCGCAACGGACAAGCTCAAGTTCATCGAAGCTACCAGGCTGCTGTTGAGTCACTCCATGATCGAGATGATTCAAGGAGACTCTGTCTGCTATTCCGTACACCCAGTGGTCCATAGGTGTGCAGCTGAAGTTGATCTAACAAAACCCGAACAACTTGAGTTCCTTAAAACAGCGATCTCGCTAGTTGGGCTAGCTGTGCCCGAAACAAAGAACTCGGACTATTGGACGGTATCCCGGAAGCTACTTCCACATGCTACCTTCTGCTCACAGCTGCTTCTTTCGGCGCAAGACCGACTCGGTGAAAAGGTGGAGGCTTCCTATGGCCATCAGCCAACTGATGACCTTCAATCAACCGAGGGGAAGATTGAAATTTCCCCTATAGCCGAAGCAGCGCATCGCTTGGCAGACTTCCACCGAACTCATGGGAACTTGCTATTAGCTTATGATTTATACAAGTATACGCTTGAAAGCAAGAAGTCCACTGGTGGCCCGAAGCACTTGTCGACGCTGGACACTGTGAACAACCTGGGTGTGCTTTGCCAAGGTTTGGGAAAACTTGATGAAGCGGAATCTATGTGTGTTGAAGCGTTGCAAGGCAGAGAGGAGCTTCTAGGACCCGACCACATGGCCACACTTGGCTCCGCTAACAACCTCGCACTAGTATACCTCGACAAAGATAAACTCGAGCAGGCTGAGAATTTGTTCCGGCGCGCTTTCAAGACTCGAGTAGAAGTCCTTGGGCTGACTCATCTTTATACGCTCAGGGTTTGGGCGAACCTTGGCCTAGTCTACACGAAGAAAGGTGATTTCAACGAGGCAGAAGCCACGTTACAACAAGTTTTAAAGGGGTACGAGATGACGATCGGGCCCGACCATACCTACACGCTTCGCGTGGTCAACAGTCTGGGACACATTTTCGAAGACCAAGGAAGGTTGGCGGAGGCGGAAGAGATGTATATGCGAACGCTTGCTGGACGTCGGACGAATATTGGGCCTGATCATATCTTGACTCTGCATACCATTAATGATTTGGGCCACCTCTACCTGCGCCAAGGGAAGCTAGACAAAGCTGAAGAGAACTTAAAAGTTGTCATGGAAGCGAGGATCAGGGTTCTTGGTCCAGACAATGAGTCGACGACGGAGTCGGTAGTTGATTTAGTCATGTTTTACTTAGACCATAATCGACTGGAAGAGGCATTATGTCTTACTAAAAAGGCAAAGGCGCGTATGAAGAGGTTGAAAGAGCAATTAGAAGAATCAATAATCGCGCCCGACAGTCGAGTCGGGGAAGAGGAGAAAAAGAAAATGCTGTCATTACTTGGACACGAGGACACTACGGATAATGCAGGTATGTACACACAAATGCTTGGGTTTCTTGGTGGGTTATGGCTCAACTTGATTACAGTCAGTGATAGCATTTCTGCCTCGCAGGAACAAGAAGGCGGCTATTATAGGGAGTATTTACAATGTAAGTTACCCCGTTGGTGTTTACTCCACGTCATGTCCAAGCAGATCAGCCTCCGGCTTTTCGAGTTTGACTTCACTAACCCTCGTACGCGTCAGCTTTTTGCCGCCGTCGTGGGTGGCCAGATCCCGCTTACGAATGTTATAAAGACGCGAGTGGCTATTCATGTCTAGTTTTAGTGAACGGACGCGAGTACACAACAGACCTCACCTACGGCTCGCCTGCATTGGCAATGGAGAACGCGGCCATGAGAGCATTCATGATAGTGCGGAATTTTTCACTCAATGGTGCAATGCTCGCGCGGAATGGAATAATTCAGGGACTTCCAGCCATTAAGTACGGGAGAAGAAAGAAGCCTGGACAGTCACTCTTACATACACAATCTCCATATCGTGGTGCTCGACGTACTCGTCGAAGACGATTGGGGAGCCGAGGTAATCATTCTAGCTCTAGCTCGGAGGCTGCTTCGTCAGTCTCTAGTTTGGTTTCCAATAAGTCTGAAAATTCGATGGTGATGTTGTAGATTTGTAAGTTGGAAGGTTGGTGGGTTGGCTACTTACATAGCTGTACGTGACGTATAGATCTGTAGAGACCCCCCTACCCGAACACAGCAAATAATAATTTAATGACTTTATTACTTTAAATATTAGCTAAGTATATACTTTATAGTATAAAAATAGCCTTAATTTAATAATTTTATTTAAATATTGTAGAGTGAGGTTTATGTGAACATCTCCGCCCGATAGGGCAACCATAGTATGGGGGACTCCAGTTTTGGAGGCTTCCATACTAACACTTAAACATTTGTATGCAAGATTAAGAAACATTAGCCGTGAATGAAGAGATAGGCAGATGAGCATACATCGCACAATACTCAACACTTTAAGACAAAGACGAACTCTGCCACGACATTAAATCGCAGGTACTAATACTGTATACACAAGTCGCGAGTTGATGATTGCGAGAACTGAGGATACACAGCGCTATAGGCTTAAGGGGTAAATTAATGTCTGTTACTTTGGGTGCAAGAAGAGAAGGGAGACATTCACGGCGCTTGAAGACGAATCTGGTAAGGATATATCGAACTTGAATCTCGATAGTTTGTAGTTCGAGAGAAGTAAAATCTATATCATTACATCTCTTACGACAAAGTGGACGGGGTAGACTGGTCTAGCGAAGCATATGAGAATCGAGAGATGGGGTTGTATGCTCCATTGACGCCCAAAGTTCAATTCCTCGTTGGCCAGCCTTCATCTGTCATTTTCTTTCCTCACCACTACCCTTTAAAAGGGACCAAAACTGAAATGAGCCCCCCAGCCACTAACAACAGATGAAACGACATTCACTGCGAATATCCATTCGCCCCCTTAACACACCCAAACGCACCCCCTTTCTTCCCAAACATATCTCTCAAGTCCTTCACAAGCTCACCGGGCCTTTCCCATGCAGCGAAATGGCCCCCGTCCTCATGATCCCTCTCAAACACGACGTTGCCCAGCGTCCGGACCCACGTACTCGGTAGCACGACCAAGTCCATAGGAAAGTGGCTGTATCCGAGCTTGACACCAGGGGAATACGCCCGTAGCATATCGCGGGGCACGGCGCGCGGGTTCTCGGGGGTGCGGGTGGTATGATGTGTCTCGTAGTAGATGCGTGTAGATGCTGCCGGCCCCGCGACAGAGAACCAGTATATGCTTACCCAGGTGCATACTTCGTCGTCGGTCCAGGGGTAGTTGTCTGTCCAGTCGTGAAGTTTCTCGTAGATCCATGATAAACATGCCACTGGGCTGTCGACGAGGGCGTACCCTAGGGTTTGGGGTTTTGTGGATTGTTCGAGATTGTAGCCTCGGCCTTCTTTCGTGAACCATTCCGTGCGGGACTGACCCTCGCGCTCCCGCTTGCTGTAGGGCGTGAGCATGTGTTGGAGAGTGAGGACGGGGTTGGCGAGGAAGGAGGGCGGGTTCGCCGCGTCCATGCTTAGGTGTGTTGCTTTGCAGGTTTGGGGGTAGAGGTGCGCTAGGGCACGGGATATGTGTGTTCCCCAGTCTCCTGTGATATGTTAGAATATGATATAAACTTTACATGTGAGGAGGGAGAGTTGTATCTGTTTGGAGATACTCAGTAGGTATGTAGTTAACTTACCCCCCTGCGTGACGTATTCGTTATACCCCAATTTCAACATCAACTTATTCAACGTCTCAGCGTACTGCGCCAGCGCGAATCCCCTCTCCTTCGTCCCCTCAGAAAACGCGAAATTAGGCAGTGATGGGACGACCAAGTCGAACGCAGGGTGTTCCACCCCGTCACCTTCAGTCAAAGGCTTCATGATCTTCACGCCTTCCCAGAAATGTCCCGGCCATCCGTGGATCCAGAGCAACGGGATGGCGTTCTGCACTTTGCTCCGGATGTGCACGAAGTGAATGGCTAGCGGCTGGAACCCGTCGCATTGGATATCCGTGATGAAATGTGGGAGTGAGTTGAGTTCCGCCTCGGCGGTCTTCCAGGAGTAAGATGACTCCCAGTGTCTTGTTAGTCGCTTGATGTCGGCGAGGGGCGCGCCCATGTCCCATCCTGCGTTGTCGAGCTCGTCGGGGAATTTAGAGAGTGAGAGGCGCGTTTTTAGATCTTGGATTTGAGACTCGCTGATTGAGATCTTGTAGGGGCGTATGTTTGCCATTTTTTTTTTTTTTTAGATGTGATTGAGCAACTTGTGAATATTACTTATTTGAGCCTGAAGACCTTGAGGTGTGGATGAGAGAGCTGAGAGATACTGTCAATGCTTCTTCCAGCCTGATCGGGGTTTATATGTGTATGCTGTGTGATATAAGCGGTTCGGGTATCCTAGCTGATGGCCGTGTCGGCTCCGAAGGGATGATGTCGGTTTCTTGTGTCTGATTGCTATTGAAACCGCATTTCGAGTCAGGGTGAATTTTCACTTCTTATATATCTTGATTTTTGCTCTCTTTTCTGGTCGAATGACACCGGTGGCTGTAGGTTGCCATCTCCTCACCATGACGCTGTTGATTCCCTGCCGTTGTGGGGGAAGAGATGTCAAGGCCAATGGATTGATAGCACGATAGTCTTGTGTTACATTTACCCATACGCCCTATCGACGACATTTAAGCGCACGCCTGAAGCTCTTCACCATATCTTCTTTGAACTGCTGAATAATGTATATCTGCTGATTAATGAATGCGCCTTTGGTCTACCTACGTCTTGCTGGTAAGAGTTCGCCTTTCCGTTACAAGTATGTTGATCGCTGGGACTTTGGACACACCTGTTTGCGATCCTCGTCAAAATACCTACCTACCTACTTGAGTAGGTATCTACATACATACATAAAGTAACTGAATTCAAGTTTCCATTGCCACGGTTTAATGTATACAGACCTCCGAGTAACCTGTATGGGCTACTGTCTGTGATATCTATGGCACTCTGTGGTAGGCATCCAATCATGGAGCTTCGTTGTGTTGGAGCATTGTGCTATTGAATTTAATTGTGTGGTTTTGCTTCATTGAAGACTTTCAACAGTACATACTTCGTAGTCTCATGTACCTATTGAAGGACAGGTACCGGATAAGAAGGGAGGATGAATGGTGTTCATTAAGTGCAGGTGTTTACTTATGACGTTGTGCTGATGTGACGGCTCAGTGTTTGAAACTGCGGGGGCCGAAAATAGTGGCACCACTCACTTATGACAGCGGCCTATGACGGGACCTACAGGGGCCTGGACTCACTAAAGCTACCTACCTTAGGTAGCTGGAGCACAGGCCACTAGATAATCCACTGAAAGCTATTTACCGCTCTTGGTGGTTTGTTTTCTTTTCGAGCGTCACGTTGTCTCCCAAGGAACAACGCTCAGCTCTCCGCCCATTTTTGCCGGTCCTCCACGACCCTCAAATCCAGCCCTAGACCAACAATGCTGATGATATCGCTTCATTGAATTAACCATCTGACGTCGTGTGTGGGAAGTGTGTGTACCTCGTGACATCACATTCCACTCCCCCCATCTTATCTTCGCTATCATAGCGCCGTCCCTTCTTAAGTCTCACATCCCTTCCATTATCGCCCCATCTGTCCCGTCTCGACGAGACACCGCTTTATCGACTATCACTGTCTTTGGCCTTCGTCGTCGCCGGCCTTGCCTTTACCAACTATAGCTCTACACACACGAATACACTTCGACACCGCTGATCAAGATGGCTCGATGCCGCCGTTCGGCGCGCATTGCCTCGGCTTCTAAGGTAAGTAAACACTGCTAGATAAACAAACCTCGCGCGCGCCCACCTCTCACCGCATCTTCACCACATCTCCACCACTAACACTTAGCATCAAACAGAGAAGCAGAGACTCTCCTGCGCCACAACTGACCTCTGTTGCCGAATTCAATGAGCCAGATGAGCTCGGCAATGAGACCCCTACTCGCGTCACCCGCACCGGTGGCGACGGCCACAGCAAGAAGAAAAGGCGCTCTAGCAGTAGAACCATGTCTTCACCCATGCCTAACCCGGCCACGCCCTCGACCTCGATGCCGCTGAAGCTCGCCATGTCCGAGATGCACCCCAGCAAAGTCCATCCCACCATGGCTCCTCCTTCATCTGGTTTGAGAAATGGCTTCACCGACATCGACTACAGCCAGACTCCCACGCAAACCATGATCCAGAACACCCCTTCAAAGACGCCAGCAGCCCCAACATCCGACTTCACATTCCGATCTGTTCGGCCTGGTGCTGACCAGGAGCTTGGTCCGGAAGCCCGAGAAATGATAGCCTCTCTCCAACCAGAGACTGCCACGATCAAGGCTCAACTTGTTGCTGAACGTGCTCGCGAGCGGGCCGAACAGCGAGAAGCTGAGGGTCGCAGGATCGCAACCGCCAGGGGAAAATCCGGCCGGTTTAGTGCTGCTCACATGGCTGAATTCAAGAAGATGGACTCTATCGAAGGACATGCCTCATCATTCCGTGCTGCTCCAGGCCGGTTTACACCCGTCAAGGGATGCGCTTCTGCCACCAAGCCAACAACTCCCCTTAAACAGGGTATCAAACGCAGCCAATCCAAAGCTAATCTGGACGAGCCTGATTCGGCCCGCCCCAAGAGCACACCGCGTCCTCTACCCAGATACGTAGAGAAGGATCGTACTGCATCTCAGCACCCTTCAAAACGTATTCGGCAACGCATCGAGGATGATGCCTCTACCCTGCGTCCCGTATCTAGAGATGGAACCTCGATCCCGCGGCCCAAGAGCAGCGGCAACGATTCTCTGCGTAGTGGCATTCCCCGTTCACAGACGCTTGGCAGCCTAATGACTCCAACAAAGTCATCATTGGCCCGTCTCACCTCGTTAAAGACACCTACCGTCAGTCTTATCAGATCACCCAGTCAGCCAGACTTGGAGAAGGTCAATAGCTTTTCCGCGAAAGTCGGTACTTCCTTAATCAGGTCCCCTAGCAAGATTGACCTGGCATCACTGGCCCGATCACCTAGTAAGAAGGGTTTTGGAGGTTTGAAGATGTTCAGTACGGCAAATGATACAGGCGCCGAAAACAGCAAGATTCCTGCACAGGTCGAGACCCCTGGCCGGTTCGGCAAACTCAGATCTATTTTGAAACGCCAACCAAGTGGAGCGAAAACCAAGTCAGCCATTCCTGCACCCTCTACTTCCATCAAGACGCCCACCAGACCCAATGTAACGGATAAGATATTCCCTTCTGTCCCTCTCACAACCCCGGGGCGAAAGCATGGTCGCCATGTCGACTTCACACCGGATACAAAGCAAGCTGCGCTCGCCCAGGAATCTCCATCACCTATCAAGCCCAGTCTCCCACTATCCACGACGCTCTTGAAGATCGCGCCCCCCAGATTCGTTGCTGGCGGCAAAGGAGCTGTCAACAAACAACCTCAATCTACCGCGGGCGAGGTCAAGTACCCTGATCTCTCAGCTTACGGAGCTGATGACGAGGACAACAGACCCCAACCTCCTCTCCAGGAATCTTCTGTTCCAGGCACCTTTACTTTCCGAAGTGATCACACCATTTGCCTTGATAATACCCCGTCGTCGAAGGGATTCGGTTCAGCGGCTGGTCAGGCGAGCCTTCGTCAGGTTCGGAAATCGACGGCTCCTTCGATCCCTATGCCCGGCGCTTTTCCTTCCACCTCGCCAAATAAGGAGAATAGTGATCCCCTTATTATGAGACGTAGGAGTATTCCTCATGGAATGAGCAATAAGAAGCGCCATAGAGCCGATTCAGACGATGAGGATGAGGCAGACGAAGGAGACAAGAGAGGACGCAAGAAACTGCGGAAGAATACGCCTGAAGGGCATGCTCTGGTGGCTCCGAATTTGGGAGCTCAGAAAATGGTTGCCAAAGAATCACCTGTGAAGAAGGCTGTGGCCGGTAACGCGACGCCGAGTCCGCAGAAGAAGAAGAAAACGGGAGGGTTGAGTCTGAGTCGGTTGAATATGCTTGCGCAACCTAAGATTCGGAGATAGGTTCGGAGATGACTCTTTGAGTGAGCGAGAAAGAGAAATGAAGTCAGGAGGTTGTGGAATATGATGTTCAACTGGCATGATATTGCTAGCTATGTGGAACATGGTCCTTCGAGCCTATCAGTGCAAGGCCACGACTGCTACCCTCTTGCTTCCCTTGCTCTACTGTACTCCACGCTGTTGTGTAGTGTACTGGTAGGGTTAGAAGGGCTAAGTAAGATTTGTGATAGAACATGACTTGAATGTGTCATAATTCTATGTCTGTATAAATAGTTTAAAATGGAGTTTGGTTGGTAGGTGTGTTTGTTTGGGATATGGATGGTTGGTTGGGTGGATGGATGGGCATGGGGAGTTAGAGGACATGAAGGAAGGAGTTTCTTCAAGGTTGAAGGTTAGGGACATGGTTGGCGTTTGTGGGGATTACATTGATATGAATTACTTCGAGATGAATTCAATTGTAACTGTGAATATTCATTATATGCTTGACTCTCTGCGTGGAATATGATGAGAATGATGAGGATTATGGTGTGTTGGCGGATGTGATGAGAAGAAAATGTAATTATGTAATTATCATTCCTTGATTCTTCTGCTTGTATGAATATACCGGGCTCGTCCGTTATTTAGGATCAACTTGGAGATGGGAGGGAGGGGGGAATATATTGATTCTATTGATAATGATAATAGAGCACTTGCCTATTACATCTTTCTGCTGAAGAAGCCGAATTGGGGGGCACATTAGAATGCGATAACTCGGGGATTGGCGATATGGATTTGGTGTTTATTCAACAAAGCGACTGTTGGGTACTTAAGTCGTGCGTTATTAGTATACTATGCATTGAAGTTGAAGAGGCACGGATATCACAAGATGTAATGAAGACTACCTAGGTGCCTAGGTAGGTAGGTACATAGATATCGCGGTCGTTTGCCGACCGTTCTCCTCTCTTGCTATAGTGATGTGCGAGTGAGTATTGTAGTGAGAATGGTACTCAAGAACGCCTGGATAGGTAGGCATGCTTACGTAAACTAGATTAGGGTATTAAGGAGATTATTCGATGGCTGCCTACATACGTAATCAGTCGTCTCTTCCTTTTATATCCGCGGGACAGGTCGTGAATGCTTCGTGAGATGTCTAGTATGTTGTATCATGCTATCCTGATGCAGTGTGGAGGTGAGTATGGCTTCCTGGGTCTGAGGAGCTGGTGAAGATGATGGGGAAGAGCTCCTGGGATATTCATCTCTAGGTTGGTGAATAATGTCTTCGGTGAGGACGAACGAAGATGGCTAAGTAGGCGGTTCATGCTCTGGTGGAGTGTATCGAGTGTTATTACTGTCTGGTGTGTGTCTTGGACTTGCCTCTTTACTCATTTATCTACCTCTCTGCTTGCCTGTCGTCATGCCGTTGCTCAATATTAGCTACCTCTTCATCATCGGGGCAGGTACTTACCTAGATACTTCCCTAAGTCACTTACATTACCTTTATCCGGCGAAGTATACTCTCCCTTACCTCTATCTATATTGACGGCCCTTTTATCTATCCACCGAATTTCATTATCCTAATCAATCGGTCGATCTATCTATCTATCTAACTCCGCCGTTCCCTACGATATCAGAAACTGAAATCTCGTTTTTCCTTCTTGTCTATATATTCAAGACCATGCCCCGTCCTGATCATGGAGAAAGTAACAATGGCGATCATCAACATCCGAACCAAAATGGAAGTGGAGATGGAAAGCAGCTTTTCACATGCACCTTCTGCTGGCGTCTAACCCGCGACAAGCCCCACGTCCTTGGACAGTCGGCACGGCTAACCTGCGAGCAATGCTTTAAGGCCATACTAGATCTCGCTGTGTGTTAGGTGTGCGGTGAGATCGTGTTCCAGGGGGACGAGTGCGTTAGTCTTGGGTGGTGCTTTTGGCATCGCGCGTGCTATGGGTGTTTGTTTTGTGGGAATAAGAGAGTCGTTACGGCGCCTGCGATTGGGGAATTATTTGATCAAAAAAAAGAGAGCAGGGCAAGAGAAGTTGGAAATGAAGGAGAGGTGGTCATGGGGGGAACAATAAAAGGGGGAGGAGGGAAGGAGATTACGCAGATTCCGATGTGTCTGAATTGTGCTGTTGCTTGCGGAAACGAGGATGGGAATGCTTTGGTGGAGAGAGCCATGAGAAGGGTTGATCTCGTTGATGGTGGACTGAGTCGTGCTCTATGGTATGCTGCGACTACGTATAACAGCAAGAGCAAGAGTCGAGGTATAAGCCAAATCCGACGTCCTCGCGCCACGACTATGATTGCGAATAGACAGAGTCTGCTGGGCGGCGATAGCTCCATGGATATTGTGTCTTCTCCTCCTCCCGATATTCCTCATTCTCCAATTGTTACAGCTCCCCCTAGTCCCAATCGAGAGGGAACAGGAGACGAAGAAGACGAAGACACGTTGGCGAGACTACATTACCGCCGCTATAGAGCGAACCCACGCTTCGCGAAACTCGAGTGCGTAGTCCCTGTCGATGCAGCCCTGTATGTGTCTATCTTTGACCCCATGGGCTCCCCGGCCTTCAGACCGCGTCCGGCAAAACCACTGCCGAAATGGATGAGGCTGCTTCCTCGGACTCACGAGCTCGGGCGTAAGAATGATAAAGAAGGAGACTGTCTCGAGAAGAATTGCCCAGATCAGGATATGGAAGAGGTAGAGGAGTGTTATCCATCACCGCGCTCCGTTCTAGATGTCCATTTCCCGCCCGCTTCGACTTTCAGAGCGAGGCAATTAGTTGACAATGGGGTCCGTGAGACTCCTGAAAACCCGATGAACGATATTGTAAGAGAGAGTGCAGTAAATGAGAAAAGAGTGGGAATGACATATCCAGATGCGCGTCCACCTCTTCGGTTTGCATGTCTGACTCCTCCCCTAATGCCACCACCTCGATCGGGAGCGATATCGCCATCCCCGGGCCCAGCACCAATTTTAAAACCAGCGCCGCCTCGAAGAAGCTATGACAGAGAAGCAAACGAGTCGGTTAACTCGGATTTGTCAGAAGAGTTATCCCAATGTCAAAGCGAGGGTGCTGATGAGGAAATGCTCAATAATGACAGTAGAAGATATAGTTCTCCGCAATCAGAGTCGGGTTATATTGACATAAAGCCAGACCCAACTGCCTTACGTCCCACACAGACACCCCACAAGCGACCCTCTATCGTCTCTGACGAGCCCCTTCAACAGCCTTCTTCTAGACTTGGCGGCGTAGGGTTACGCAGCGCGTATGCGGGCATTTCAAAGGACAAAGAGACTTCTTCTATCATCGAGGCTGATAACACCGGTAAAACCACGCCACGCAGGAATTCAAAATCTTTGAATCCGATTCTACAAGATAATGAACAAGAAAGCGCAAGACGGAAGATAGGAGGGGATAAAGAGAAAGGAAAGCGCAAGACGGTCGTGTGGCATGACTCTGTCGAAGGCGGCGAGACCGAGAGCGAACGCTGCGATAGCGAAGAGAGTCACGATAGTTGTCTGGAGATGCTCGATCGAGGATGCGAAGGTCAAAAGAATGACAGTACCCAGGATATAAATACCCAGCACGACAAAAGCGATTGGGAAGCAGAAATAACGAATACAGCGGAAGAGAAGCTCTATCCTGAAAAGGCAGACACTTGTCTAGAATGTGCCCCGAATCGCTCCCCTTCCTCGCCCATGTCTAAGCCTACTTTGTCAAAGTATAGGCAAGATGCAGATGCAGATGATGATAAAGCGGGCGCGCTCTGGAGACGTGTTATCCGCGCCCAGACACCGACGGCGCAATCCAGTGAGTTTTTGGACTTGTATCGGTCTAGATATCTTACCCGTCGCAACGACCCTTACAAGACGGAGACAGAGACAGTGAGGGACAATGATCCTTGCAAGAAGGCGGAAACGGGGAAAGAAGAGATCAGGTTCGCTCATCCTAGTCTTGCGATGCCGGGGAGACGCCGGGAGAGGGAGATTGGTATTGGTCTTGGAAACTTGGGTGGTATACATGTCGGTGTGGGCGGTGGAAGTGGAAAGAGTGGTGTGATGGAGAAGATGTGTCCTACGTGTGGGAATACGACGAGGGAGTGATTCTTAAGATTGGGTTTATAGGGCATTATTCGGTTTATTGGGTAGAGTGAAGAAGTAAGGCGAAGAAGGCATGTTGTTGGTATTGGATGAGTAGGAGAGGGAGTATGAATATCTGGTAACTTTGCAGCAAGTATCGTTAGAGGTATTGTTAGATAGAATGGATGCGTACATCACTCACTCACTCACTCACTCACTTACTTACTTACTTACTTACTTACTTACTTACTTACTTACTTACTTACTTACTTACTTACTTACTTACTTACTTACTTACTTACTTACTTACTTCATGTCACATTACTTGGAGTAATTGGATCTCGCGTAGTTTCGTCGGACTTATCGATCTGAGCGCAAGGAATGCATGCAAATCAGATCACGCAGGGAAAATAGAGTCATAATCTAGCTATAATCTAGTGAAAAGAGCTCCTTATGACAGGGGGGTATGTATAGTGCAATCAGACTAGTCGTACACAAGAATTCTCAAAGATGAAAGCAAGTACCACTTGTGATAGAGTCGTGTATTCATGCCGTTTATAGTCGTAATGAAGTACAGCAGCATATATAGTACACGTAATATCCATCACGCGAAGCCAAATCAACGCTTACATTATATACTTCGTGGTATCATGTCCGCCCGTAATATTATCCTAATCCCACTACCAACGATTCCAAGCGAATTCCATCCGATACAACACCACCGTTACCGGAATAATAAAAAAAAGAAGGGACTGTAATTAGAAGGCCTTTCCTTCGCAGGTGGGCTGTGTGTGTTTCTCTCGGTAAAAGGAAACGCAGCGCTGTCCGTCGTCGTGGCAGCAACAAGAACCACCGACTCATTCAAACCACACAAGCCGATAAATAAGTCGAGTTCCTTTGCGAGTTTTCTTTGCTTTACTTTGATTTGCTTAATTCTTGATCGCCGTCGCCGTGCCCTTGCGATGCTGCTGCTGCTGCTGTTGCGAATACAGCATATAGCCCAAGACAACAGCTGCCACGGTCCCGAGGATGAAGAAATTGTCTGCGCCGGGAGTTGGTCATCTCTTCGTTTCGAAGCAGAAAGTTCAAAGTAAAAAGAGTATTTATATGTTGGGAGGGGCGGTTGGTAAACTCACGAATAGCGAAACCAAGCGTGCCCTCGACGAAATTCACAAAGCCCCTGAAGACGTCCACCACGGCGTTCAGCGCGAACTTGAAGGTCGACAAGATTGTCGCGAAGATGCCTTGGATCATCTCCACTATGGATTGGAAGAGGTGTGCGATCCCGGATGTTACGCCCATTTTTGCTATGTTTTGCTTTTACCGTGGATTCGGAGAAGGGTGTTTTATCGTCGAGTGTTCTATTTAGAGCGTGTTGTGATGATACTCGGAAGATGTTGCGCTGAGAATCTAGATTATTCGGAGATTTTAAGTTTATTGGGAATAGGTAAGCGAAATACTATGAATTAAATATATAGATAAATATATAAATAAGTGCAAGCAAGAAAGAGATCGTGATGTGATGTCTGCCCCTTTGCTTTGCGCCACACCACATACGCCACGCCACTGGGCAACATCTTTGATGACGGATAAGACATACGTCAGTCTGGGACAAGATCAAGGCAGCACATGTTTCCCCCGTGTAACCCACCAGCCCTGTCTATCCCATGTCCCGACAAAGAATAGCTGTGATGAGCGATGACGAGTGGGCATTATGGTGTGGTTCGAATGATGACGTCATCACTTGGGTTTGTCGAACTGGTTCGTTGGGAGATACAGCCCTACAGTTAGTTCCTTTAATTCGGGGGTCGGTTCTGGTAAACTACGATAGTGGCTGCTGGATTAGGCGATGGAAAGTTAGAGATCGGTATGTGATTGGTTGAAGGTATATTCTTCATACTAAGAGGAAGATCTCAGATTAACATGTCAAGTCTTAGCCCGTTCGGAAATATCGACATCACGTAGGAAGAAGAACATGGAAACATGTGTCTATAATATCTGGATTAGACTCTACCCAGGTATTGTGTTTGTAACCCTTTATGCGATTTGACTTGCTGATATGTGCGAATATACGCACACGACACGAAACGGGGTTTCGCCTCGTAATGCCGAACTAGACGTAAGAAATATAAAGTCGAGCGATCTACTGTAGGTATCTTATCATCTCATTCTATGCCCTTAGGAAATCCCCAGGATCTCGGAGAAATAAACAGTCCGGAGTGATGTACTTGAGTGGTAGCTGGGACATGTTGATCATGCGTAGCTGCAGGCCCAGCCTTAGTATTAGAATATATATTCAGTCACCTACCTACCTCGCCTACTCCTCAGGTAACCCACTACAGCGTTCCTAATATTTCGAGAATATTATATATCTACTTGGGTAGATAAGAATGTTCAAGAATATGAATAGAAGTGCTCACTTGCATATATGATCGCATTCTCTTTCGAGAAGTGATAAATAGGTTATATCGTCTGCGACCAGATTTCATCCGTCGTAGCTTAATGATACCGTTAGAAAGGCTGTATAAGAAACAGTAAGACTCTCATTGTGGCACAAGGTCAGAAGTCTGAAGGTATTCATTCAGACTTCTCTGGCTTATATGCAGTGTATCTCTTTGTTCTCCGTCTCCAGACCCCCGACAGATACCATCTATTCGTCGCCGATATATTATCATAAAAATAATATCTAAAAAAGGGTATTAAAGGTAGGTGGTAGGTAGGCATACATCGCCTTGCCCTACAGGATACCGAGCATAGCGATGCCTTTTCATTTCATGCCGCATAGGTAGTGAGTCAGTCACATCTATCCATCCATATTCGGATTTGCTTGACTTATAGGTTCGATAGATATTTATGTCATTGAGTGGTTTCACAGATCTATCTACTCACTGATTACTTGGGAAATATAGTACTAAGCTTAATTTCGGTTTCGTTGTGTTTTTATTCATTTGTTCACTTACTTCCTCACTCTCCTCCACCTTCCTCTACTTTCTTCACTTACTTACTTTTAATTAAATGCCATTTCTCAAATCGTAATCGCTATCATAATCATCATGATATTCGTGCTGTAAATCTGCTTGTTGACTACATATGCAATGCGAGAATCTCCTGAACCCGATGATGGACTGAATCGTTTCCAGCGTTAACATCTCTGGTCTTCTCTGTCTGCTTCCCACGCACTGCAGACTGCAGAGGTATATCTTCCACTCCCACTTCCTTTCCGTCGGATCCTCCTCGCTCTCCTCTAGCATCATCATCTTCGTCCTCATCTTCATCTTCACTATCATTCTCTTCATCCTGCACTCTTCTCCCACCATCATGCCCTTCCCCATCATCATCCTCATCCTCGTAAATTTCGCAACCCAGCCAACCCCCATCAAGCCGCATCCGCTCCAGACACTCCCTCGCTCTGCGCGCCGTCCACTCGGTCCGCGAGTGTGGCGAGGGTTGCACGGGACTACCGCTGACGAGATCTGTGGCGAGGGGCTCGGTAAATGTGACGTGTCTTTCGAAGATGATGTCGCATTCGCTTGCATCGTCGTCTTCGTCTTCTTCCTCCTCCCAGGAATATTCATCTTCTTCTTGTGCGCCGCCTTTGGTATGCTCTTCATCATGATAACTTTCGTTCCCACATTTCGTATTACAAGTAATACTTTTACCCTCTTGCGCGCTGCTATGGTCAACTTGCGACGACGCTTGTTTGCTATTAGAAACCCGCCTTCTAGTAGTAGTAGGTTTAGGTTTTTTCAGTATCCCGATGATGGGATAGCTCTCGTCGGGCGACGACGAGTCTGTCGTAGACGAGGAATCATGACTACATACTGAGTATGTCGATGTCAGGGATGAGGTGGATGAGCAGCGCGATAGCAGTGGTGCCGGTGCCGGTGGTGGGGCTGGCTGATGTGACTCATGTGAGGAGGGTATTATCCCCCCGTGATACCAATCCGAGGTGTCTGGCAGTATGCCCTGGGCGCAGATATCGGCCGCCATGGTGATTTCTGTTATGGATATGTTGATATATCGATATATCTGTAGTCGCTCGGGAATGATTGTTTGTCTGGTGTGCTGCGCTGCGATGCCGGACAAGCGCGCGGTTTCACGGGCGGTAGAGTGGCGTTTGGTTGTAAGCGCGAGGCCGGGAACTAACAATTTGGATCCAAAGATATCGATCGGTGAGGTCGTCGGTTGTGTAGTATGTGGATTTGGATCTTGGATGTTGCTTCTAAAGTAGATGAAAGGTGATTAGGTGCTGAGTAGCAGTGTCTTGATCTCTTTTGCTGGGGGCTCTGTTGGGTTTTGTTGCGTTCTGACGTAATTGCAAGGTCGTATGTAAGGGAGGGAGGGAGCAGTCAAGTTACTTTGGCGGGGTGAGCTTAATGTGAGTGAGAGAATGTGTGAGGCAGGTTCTGGGTAGCGAAACTTGAAAGTATGTACGAAGTAAGTAGGTATGCACCTCGGGAGAAGGTACCGGTTGTACAGATCTATTTCGATGTGATTACCGTAAGCCGCGCGATGCGATCAAGGTTCTACAAGGTCCAAGGTATTGGTATTCTAGGTGAAATAGGCAGACACGTAGGTAGGTAGGTAGGTAGGTAGAGAATCGTGGAATCAAAGATGACAAGACACAATCCCCGAGCACAAAGTACGCTCTGATCTCTCTATTGCCGAAAAAGGTAGGTGAACATGGAAATACCTCGCAAGTCCCGGATCGTTGGCGCTTGGAAGGGTCTGAGATGTACAGAGTAGTAGACTTTATTGTCTTAGGTCCTTGCATAGTAGACTCGGGAAAAGCATCGGGACGAACCTAAACAAACACATTAACACAAAATTACATGCAAACCAAAGCTTGAGATGTTCAGGCCTCAACGCTTCAAATGTTCGTCATTCACGGCCATCCCGAGAATGTGCTTGTTTGGGCAGACATTCGTTCTCGTTCTTTTGCAGGGCCCGAGTCGGACAGAGGCACCGTGACAGCGCATGCAAAGAAGCCAGCCGTTGGGTCTCCTTGTTCCGGTACCACCTACCTATGTACTCCGGTAGGCTTCTGCTAGGTAAGTAGGTACCTAACCCAAGTACAGCCCTAGGCAGTAGGTAGGCATTGAAGCCCCAACACAGCCCTATCATTCCGCCTGATACTGGTATTGGTGGTTGAACAGGAACAATAGCCACCTACCTAGGTAACTTTATAATAGGTAGGCACCTCAATGCGAATACATGTACCCATGCAGAGACTATGAACTTTCATTTTTATTCCATGTCAAGTTCTCAGCACTTTATTACCTCTTAAAGGAAATGCGATGACGATATTAATGTAAACCAAAATACCTCCAACACCTCCAACATACAGCACTGGGCAAGGTAAGGTAAGGTAAGGTAAGGTAGGGCTGAGTTCACTTATGCGATGGGACGCAAAATAGAAATCAAATAGGTAAGGCAGGGCAAGTAGAAACTACCTACCCAGGTAGGTAGAAAGATAGGTAGATGCCCAAGCATCACGCACGCCTCACCACTCTCCGCATCGCATCAGTAAATCTCAACCATACTTCCGCGCCAATCAGGCGTCTTTCACTCCATTATTCCTATTCTTTACTCTTACTCTTGTTCTTATTCAATTATATACAGAATCTTTTGCTTCGTTGGGTCTTGTTCCCTAAATCGCTCATACCATGCAGTAGGGGAAACAACAACTTGCTTTTTGCTTTGCTTTGCTCTCGAGCAACAAGCGCCTTCTCCTTAATTTCCCTCCACATATATGTGTTTGCTGTGTGGTAATGAATTAAGGTAGTTAGTCGCGAGACCTTTTTGTGTCGTGGATAACCGACCGAAAAACCTTTGCTGCTGCTGCTGCTAATAATCTAACACGAGAACCGGGGGGGAGGGATGGTTGGTATCACAGTTAATGACTTGAAAACAGATGTCCGCGGGACATCGAGGAAGAAAGAAAAAAAAGAATAAGAAAAAAAAACGAATTACATGCTGTCGAGCAGATAAGCAGATATGCCACCTCCATCAAATCCACCAGTTTTAGGGGGCTTGTTCCAGTTTCATGCTTCCGCCCCGTGTAAAGAAAAATGTTGTAAGGTGCATGGCATATTCGGATTATACAAATGAGAATGCAGTATGACCGCCATGAAGGACATGTAATGAGGAGAGGAAAAGGCGTGTTGGGGTATCTGTCATGATAAAGGTTGATGGTGTGGCCTGCGCCGTAGGAATGAAGTCGACGTCCGCTCAAACTTCAGGCCGCATAACCTTGGTGTGCCTCTTGAAGAGCTAAAGCATCATCTCGTTAGTTCTACACGCATTGATACGGTGGAGTGGCACGGAGACACTTACTGCGCAAGACATTTTGCTGGCCTGCACGATCGCCACAGGCAATTTGAAGGCTAGAGCCTTCCATAAAGTCCAACACGACGCTGTTGGGTAGTTCTTGGACTTCGACGTCAGGGATATAGGGTCGGCGGAAGTCGCCGAGATGGAAACGCTTCGTTCCCGCAATGTCTTTGCCCTTGGTGGCGCCGCCTTGCACTGTACTAAGGAAGATGAAGCCCTGCGCGTCGAGACACATGCTACGACGCTTCCATAGGAGGTTGTCGGGGAATTGTACGTTGACATCGCCCAGGAAAGCAACAATCGTCGGCGACGCTACTTGCTGGCTGGCGATGATAGATGCCTTCTCGAGCTGGTCCGCATCCTCTTCCTTCACCGTTGGTGAGATGGCCGCGCTGCCGCTCTTGCGGGCTCCACCAAACGAATTAGACAATCGCCGCATGAAGCGCGAGGTGCGATTCTTGCTTTTCTTATCACTCAACGACTTGTCATCGTCAGCTGAGCCGCTGTCACTGACACGAGACGAAGACCTCGTCGTCATAGACATGAATGCATTGTCTACCTCTTGCGTGAAGGACGATCGGCGGCTCGAGGTTGATAGGCGTCGAGCAAAGCTAGGCGAGGTTATCGGTGATTGCGGACTAGGGAATTTAGGGGTTGTAACTGTGGGAGGTGTGGTAGTTAACTGCTCAGTCGACTTGTTGCCTAACGGAGCGTGCTCCTTGATGAAATTCTTCATGAGACTCATTGACGACCGCCGCCTCGCCTGCTTATCAGCAGCTTCAGGTATCGGCTTTGGTTCGTTTAGCTCTGAAATGCTCGTCTTTGGACGCTCCGCAATGGGATTCCGTTCCAATAAAGGTTGGGGAGTAACAGACTGGGCCCTGTGGATGTCTACCAACAAGGTGGATTGCCTCAGTTCCGCAGGGGCGACATCACTAGGCTTTCTAGTGGCTAGGTTGGCGAATGGAGACCCTGCCCCTCTTATGATACGGGCGGTGACCTGGATAGATTCAGGACGTCCTCGGGGCGCGTTCTGTCCCTCAAACATGTTTAGTTTACTGGCTACTGAGCCTGACCTCTCGCGGGTCGTGCTAGGCGCATCCGGCGTCGTTTCTCGCGAACGCTCTGGCGTCGGTGGTTGGCGTGTGAGCGAACTTGCACGATCCATGACCGAGGGCGATTTCGATGGCTCCCTTGTGCTCTGTTTCCGAACGGTAAAGAAAGTCGAAGACGGCGTCACCGGCCTGGGTCGGTCTTCATTTGAGTTACCAGACAATGCCTCCAAGGCCTTGATGCGCTGCGAGATGCTTGATCCCACATTGCCCTTCTTTGACTGTATGCTTGCGTTGGATGGATTACGAGTAAGATTATTCAAATATGCGGCACCACCTGAAGAAACGCTTCTGGGACCGTTGCCCTGGGATATGTCCACGGGCATGAGAAGTGAGCCACGCATTGGGTTAGATGCGGCACGCGGCAGAGGCGCGTTCTTTCTCGTTGGACTACTTGAATTGGGGAAGACTGGAGTAATTGGAGATTTAGAGACGAGCATCGACTTTGCTTCTTGCACAGTAGCAGTCTGCAACTCGTCCATCAACGCATCATCATCCAATGGGTCAGGAGGTTCAGTTGAAGATGCCCTTTTGGCCGGCAGGTCAGTGTTAATCGGTTCAACTGAGGCCTTGGGTCTGATAGGGTTTGGTGGGGAAGCCAATGAGATCTCCGGCCTTTTTCTCAGTGGTAAGTCTTGTTTGGGCGAAGAGTCGTCAGCCACAGAAGGAGCGGCGGCCGTCTTGTCGAGAATCGATGGAGTAAGCTCTGTAGGAACATCAATGTCTTTCCTAGAGAACTTCGATTTCAGGCTCGGAGTTGTTGGTGATATTGATGCTGCCAAAGATTGAGGCTCCTTAGAAAACAATGCAGACTGTTCGTCAGACTGAGTGGTGGATTTGGGTTTGTCGACTCCAGAAGGTAATCCGCTTCCATGCGATCCACCAGGATGTTGGCTGTCACCCGAGGTTGTTCTCAAGTCAACAGTAGAAGCAAATTCATCAGGTTCGATCGACCTCCTAATCATGGCTGCTGTGGATTGTGAAATGTTTATTCCGCTCCCTGGAATTTCAACAAATTCCTCGGCATCTGCTATAACTTGACCATTTGAGACATTGTGCGCTGGTGTTTCAGTTTGTGACGTAATAGCCTGGTGTGCAAAGTTGTTTTTCTGCATGTCTGAGAATTCTGGTTCCTGGGAGGCTTGAATCGTCTCATCAGTCGAGTCGGATATCGAGGATGCTTTCGTGGAATCACCAATGCCTGTGGATGAAGCAGCACCGGGTGAGGAAGGGTGAGAATCTAAAACAGTATCCAACGAATGTGTTTCAGGCTTCGTAGAAACTGACTTCTCGGAGTCAGTGTTTGGTGCTGCGCCAACACTACTTTGTGCGGGCCTCTTTTTGCTAAGATTTAATAGCTCTACCTTGGCGTCCTGCATCTTCTTTTCCCGGAGTTTCATAGCCTTCATTAATCGAGTCTTTTCAGGGGTCATCTTGTTTTCCCGCGCGGGCGCCATTGAGTTCGTTGACTTAATAGAGGCTCCGGAACTGGTGGCAGGTCGTGGGGGAAGTTGATCATCAGTAGACAGTGACAGCATCCCAGGTACTGGTGTAGTTGTCTGCGTTGCAAAATCTGCTTGTTCGCTGTGCTCCTGCGACTTGCCCTTCTTCGATGCTTTGAAGAACTTGAACCCCGCTGGAAGCGCGGCAATGGGGCGGAAATTTTCTGCAGTCAAGGGTCTCTTGTGGGCATCTAAAGAGGGTCGTGGGCCAAGTTTGACTTTCCTCCCTTGCATATAGGAAGCAGAGCTATATACCTCCAGCCGAGCTGACTGTGTAGATAGGCGGCGATTGAACTCGGACTTGGTAGGCGACAATGGCGCTGGCGCTCCAGTGAAATCCGGAACGTTCTTGGTTGAAGCAAATGTCGTTGCTGAGGGGTCCTCGATTTGGAGGGGGTCCAGGACGACCGGAGGTTCCACCGTTGTAGGAGAGACGGGCCTCTCCGAGTATATGGACGACGACGGGCGAGCCTCTTCTTTTACAACCGACTGTCGTTTTCTTTCTCTTTCTTCCTCTTCCTCTTCCTCCGCAATCTCGTTCAACCTTCGCCGACGCAACGAACTATTCGAAGAGGACTGGGATCCCGAAGCAGCATGAAGAGAACAAGCTGCCGAAAGCTTGCTATCCCTCAAGTCGTGAGCATCGGTGATTTCGAAGGTGGTATTATGACTGAATTGGTCGCAGACTGCATTAAAGTGGACGGCCGCGCGAGCTAAAAGCAAGCAAACACGCGCTCTGTTAGTCTATCAAGCCACCTCGAAAAAAAAGCAAAAACACGTGTGTCCTATACCTTGTACAAGCCTCGAACAGCTCTCGGGCATATATTTTACAATTACACTCCTCCGCCTATATCTCAGGAACCCATACAGTGGGGAAGGCTCTGTATATTCTGCAATGGCATTACGTATGTCGGAGATACCACCACTACCAGTACCTAGAATGTCTACTTCATCGCGACTCGCGTACTTGAGAAGAAACCTACGCGCAAAGGCAGTACGTCAGCGTTTTTCAAGTCATCAAGGCAGCGCACGAGTTGTCATAGTACGGGCCACGGCTAAAGAGGCTCAAGCGACTGTGCCGGGAATACCTCTTTCGCCTCGGCATCCACTAGGTAGGTGTATACCCGGTAAAAGGAAGTGGCACGGGAAGCAGAGAATGGGACAAGGGAAGCGCGGGACGAAGCCTTACCATCCACCGGGTTCGCCATTTGCAGCCTCGTGGGCTTCTTTCACCTTGACGTCTTCAAGGCCATTCAATGACATCGTGGGACGCAATGGAGGCCCACGCGGACGGCGGGGGGAGCGGTTTAAAGTTGGTCACGCCAGGACGGTTGATTCGCTCGATGGGAATTAGAGGGACAGATGGGATTGGAAGCTTTGGATGATCCAGGCAAGTTCGGAGGCTTCTACGAGATGCTAGGCGAGTTGACAGGGTGGAATGCGATCTGGAGGCAGAGGCAATTCAGGGGTCCGAGGCTAATTGGAGACATTGGGGCCGACAGCATGGGAGTGGTATACGAATCCAGTCGGCACGGCGCAGGAGAAAACGGCCGGCGACGCAAATCGGGGATGTTGAATCAGCGATGAATGCAAAGGAGATGCCGAGTCGACATCAACATTCGGCGCTCGGTGGCAATGCACGGCAACGCATCAATCAGTCCATGATCCAATGCGTAATGAATGTGTGTGTACGTGTATAGGAATTATCACTGATGAAGGTGGTGTAAGTCGATAGTCAAGTCGAAGGATTGGCGCTGAAACAAAAAAGGCGGGATGGATGATTGATCGATTTCCACAGGGGCGGGTACACAGAATAGGGATTGCAGGCATTACCACGTTGGGAGCGACAGTCGGCTTGGCTATGGAGAGGTACCTGCTCGTGCCTGTGTGCCCCGATCGAGAGAGGTATATCTGGCTAGAACATCCCAGGACAGGTACATACAAAGTGGAGCGCAGGGATATCCCGTCATGTATCAATATATAGGGGCAAAGATGGCCAAGTAACCAGGCCGGGCATGTAGGGGGGTCAGTTACCTACCTAGGTATAGTGACAGGTACATATGTATTCCATATATACTACGTAGGTAGGTAGGTATTATTAATGGTGGAGTATTGTCGCGCTGGAAATCTGGCACTCTGGAATGTTGACAGCTGGCGCTAGAAGAATTGAGGAAGCCATAGGGGTCTTCATGCACTCAATACAGCATACTACTTTATCCAAACTTTATGGATTTCAGACAGGCCGTTACCTAACCTGATTAGGTAGGTAGGCCTTTCACATAATAATACCTAGATACTACGGTACTGCAAGTTCGCCATAGGTACAACCTTACAGCCTACATACTATTACATCGTGAACTATCTCAATTGATCGTACCCATTAGATAATAGCACAAGATAAAAAGGACTTGAGAAGGGCATAGGCAGGGGAAAGGAAAATAGGAAAGCCAGAGAGAGGTGCAAAGGAGAGAGGGGGACGACGGGAGAGAGAGAAGAGAGAGAAGATCGAGACCCTTTTCCCCCTCTAGTGTAAATTATAGTTCGACAGAGAATGGAAAAAACATTGTGTTCCTTGAAAACGACAGACACGTTCCTTAACTTTAGGCATGCATTGTAGCGTAGACAAGCTAGTTTTGATTCAGATCGACCTCAGACATGAACCTACAACCCTACCCTTCAGCACACTCAATATAAAACGCATATAGGTGGTCTGGTATCTACACGTCTTTCAACTTCGTCTTCTCTCGCCTCCTACATATATACACACATATACTTATACGGAGTACATATGAAACACGGTGGGACTGTCTGGATGTGGACTGGCGCGAAGCTTGGAAAATCGATCAGACGCGGGATGCATGGGATGACTGCCCTGACTTGGAAATTAATAATGGAACCCTCCTCGCATGCTAAAAAGTACTAGAGCTGTGGTGTTAATCTTAATTGTCCCCTCTATTACTTAGACTACTCTACATGTACGGTACCTACACTAGGTACTCTCTTCATTCCGGTCATGATCGTATAACTATAGGTATGTTTATTATTTATGTATAATAAGTACTTCCATCAATTGTTGTACTTTGCAGTTTCGTCACGAGAAAACAACTGGCTGAAGGGTTGATGGATGGTTGGTATACACATACAGCATGACGCTTGAGTTGTCACATGTGCCGTGGTGTGCATGCGTGTGAGGATTCATGTAAACCACCTGCATCTCAGTACAACTCCGGACGGTGATGTGTAGGTACTTACTTAAGCCATAAGTACACGTACGAGTTACACGTCTCTCCCATCGAGCTCCAATGTCCAGGTACATGGCGGCCACAATACGGATGACCGAAAGCTTAATCAATCTCATTATCTACACGTAAGTAAGTATTGATAAACATTGAACTCAAAAAAAGTCCAACCACAGATCCCAGAGGGCATAAGTATGATTGTGGTGTGATAGCTTGAGAGGTAATGGACGAGACGAGCAAATGCAATGTAAGAAATGGGCTGTCGTAACCCATATCTGCTTTCGGTCATGTCCAGCCAGCCAATTCCGTCCAATCTATCAAACCTGCCGACCTATCAGCCCGTTTTCTCCCCCTCCCTCTTCTTTTCTTCCATCATCCCCGGCATTATACCTATGTACTTCTTCGTAGGTATTCTCGAGCCCGACGCTCTTGCACAGATCCCCCTTGCCTTTGCCTGCATTGAAACGTGAAGTCCACGGTGCACCCTACATGTAGTGTAGGCACCTGTTCGTGATGCCATACCCTGCATCCCCACGCTTTGACCTTCCCCTCCCTCTTCTCCCCTCTCGCAACTTCTCTCGCCCAGCCCCTCTCTGCCGTGGTGATGTTAGGATGCTACCTCTCTACGGAGAGCCAATTGCCAAGTAGTCTCTCTTCATATCCCCAAGCGCACACTATGTAGATAGGTTCCGTAAGTATGGTGGCCAGAACCCCGCAAGGTAACAGGACTTAGGTTACATATATTCATGTTACCGCCGGAAGCGCCTTCTAGTCTCATCATTGATTTGTTACATGTGATGCCATTCATTCCCTTTCGCATTGCTCCAAGCAAGTGAATGAATTGAGATTCAAGGCGTATCTTAGTGGTACATCCATGGCTCCGATACTAGATCTGGTCATTCGTAACATACTTTCATGACTGCTACGACGAGTTCGGGTTGATTTCATGATGCTTCATCAGATACCGACTGTATGTAGCAGATAGCTGACCGATCGTCTCAAGACTGCCTATCTCTTAGTAGCATGGTCTTTAGCTGTGCCACATACCGTACACTCGGGCCCAGTTACAACGGGCTAGATTTTCGTACTGCCAATATACCAAAAAGTAATGTTTTTCTTACCTTGTTGGTATCTAAGACGGGATTTTCTTCGGGAAAATAGGAAACCCGCACATGTTGAGTTTCTGATTCTCTCAGCTTGCGTATTATATTGTCAAATCCTCTCTGAATATGTCCTAGATGCTCCCCAACAGGAATGTGGATGGATGAGTTAGTCCTAATCATTAGGTAGTGCGTCAAATATCATAATTACCTGCTGACAAACAGACCCTCCCAGTCCATGAGCAACAAAAATGATCGGGCGGTCGTCCTACAGATGTTAGAACGTGTGTGACCAGGGATTACTACAGTACTATGAACCTTCCTATGTTATTCCAGCAAACTCAGCAAATCTCGAGACAAATTTTCAATGTTATCCATTGAGACAGCGTTAATGATATCGCATTCTAGCCTGATTAACCGAGCTTCAGAGAGTTTCGACAGTAGTGAGATCCTTGGGCCATCTCCAGTTCTTGTCTCGGTCTGAAGTGAAACTGGGAATGAGGATAATACTAAGCAGCCATACCGCAATCAGGAACTAATGAATGAGATCACAGCCGAATTTTGACCTGGAGAATAGCATACTCTTGTAGAGGATTCTGCGGTTCAGAGAGCTTTTCGAGTCCGTACGAATGAGAAGTTGACGATCCGAAGGGGCGAAACTTTGTCCAGGGCTTGAGAACCCCCATTGCTCTTAACGACAATTATACTGTTGAGATGACGACTGATCAGTGATGAAATGAGTCTGACTGATGGTGGAAAGAGGAAAGAGCTCGTACTGCTGCGAGGATGCCCTTCGACCAAGACGTGATGGATGTTCTCAAATCTCACTTTCCCATTGAATCGTACCTGTTCGCCGCTCAATCCTCCAGAACATTTCAGCGAAGTGGGTTATCGCGGAAACTAGTTTCAATGCAGAATCCAACCGAGCAGTATACTTTGACATATCTCGAAGTTGATCTATTCGAAGGAACAAGTAAATGTGCCATCTGCCTTCAAAGATTCGCTGCTGCTGAGTGGAACATAGCCCTGGACTACCTTGGCAAGAGAGTACTTGAAATTCAAATAAACATGTGGGAATACGAGGAAGATCGAAGTCAACAAGACCTAGTCGACCACCTCAAAGAAACGATCCAACTTGCCACAGAATGGTGCAGAAATGTGCCGTGTTTCATAGAAGGCGTTGAATGGAGTCTCGAAACGCTAGGAGTCTGCGGCCAATCTCAGATTCAACCAGATCAGGACTATGGTCTCGTTCTCCTGCGGCTTCAAGGCTTGAAAACGGGACTCGACTCGATCGCCACAGGCGTCATCAGTATACAAGGAACTATCCAGGGACAGGTTTCGTTCGAGGTAGTAGAGCGGTCCAGGAAAGAAGCAGCGCTCTCGAGACAGCTATTATGGATCGCCTTGATTTTTATCCCGCTTACATACAGCACGAGTCTTTTTGGCATGGAAGGCGATTTTCTTCCGGGATCTCGGCTCCTCGGTATCTACTTTGCTGTCGCCATTCCGCTTACGCTTTTAGCTTTCTTGGTATTTTGTCTACTGGCTTTACATGTAGTAACTGAAAATTTTATTTTTATTTTTACTTTTTGGATAATTTTTTTTTAGGTATAGGGGGTGAGACAAAAGGGAAGAACTTTAAGGAACACAATTTATAAAACACTATTCATCTTTGGGTTAACTTACGTTGGTGATATTGAAGTATTTAAAGTGCCTACATTAGTTAACATTGAATTTAAACTCAGAGGTACTTGAATTAATTATAATAGCAACGTTAGATATATTTAAAGGCTACCATGCCTACATAGCAGTTTTATCCCAGCTCAAAAGCATTTCTTATATATGAGGCTTTTGTATTTTAATATATATCACTTCATGTCCAACAACATTCTTCTGTATCTACTAAGTATGGCGAAACCTAGTGTTGCGTATACTACTTCTATCATAGCTATTTAAAGATTGTTTTCAGCATCTGTGGGCTTTTTAATGACATCCTGGCGCTGTAATTGATCTCACATTTTCGGTACCCACTGTTGAGGAAGTAGGAAATCAACATGAGTTGGCCGACTTTTATGGTATTATTGTTTATACTACTTTAGGCACGCTGAGTTTTCCTGGGACTGGGCGCTGGTAATCCAGGAACCTTCTAAGCATGCCAATATCATGTCTATCTATCGCGGGTTAGCCCGGGGCGCGTAGACCATCGGGTGTATTTACCTCTTTGCCACCATGTACTATGAATGTGCACGAGGCTTTCTTTCAATGTATTTTTAACCCAACTTGCGAGTGATGTTGCATCTCCAGGCGGACCAGGGGATGTTTCAGGTGGAGCGATATTTCACTGCATTTTTAGTCCAGCACGGGAGCGATGTTGTATCCCCAGCTCGCCAGGATTGACAGGAAGGTGCTGGAATTGCCACCATCGCCCCCATCTTCACTGCTTTTTTAGCCTACCCTCAGGTGCATGCTGCATCCCTAGTATACGTGTAAACGACGTACGGCATTAGTGATTTGTTCGCCAGAATTGCAGTTGTACTCGACCTATAAGCAACGTCATACCCCTAGCATGGATATGCATGACTTACGAAGTACACTACGGTGGGGGATCGGTTGATCGAAGATCTACCGTAGTATCTACCCTTGTGCTTTCACTGCATTTTTAGCCCAACTCGCGAGCAATGTTGCATCTCCAGTATGGGTATCCATGGTTTACTCGATGCTTCTAGCTATTGACTTTCACTGCATTTTTAGCCCAGCTCGCGAGCAGTATGAATCCCTTGCTTAGCTAATTCGCATTTCACTGTTTCAACATTCAAAATTCAAACTAGAGGCGTAACGCGAATTGTTCGTTATATACCGGAATATCGTGGCAGCGAAATGGTCAATATGAAGTCAACTGGACAACGTGTGGGAATCCTTCAGATATTGCCGTCGAAAACGTGCCTTCGTCGCGATGACTCGACATCTACAAGTCAGCGGCAACTGACTGCATACCTAGGTAGGTAGGTAGGCGTCTCTGCTTGGAGTCCTGCAACGATGAGAGTGTGCAGACGGTTGGGGAACAGGTTATCAATCTTAAGAATCTCAATTTGATAAACAGTTTCTTCATATCTCTTTGATGTAACAAGAAGTAAGCGACAACTTATGTAGGGTTTTTATGTACCTAAGGTAAGGTAATACCTATCTCATTCAAAGATGTCTGCAAGAGATCAATCTAATTAGGTAATACAGCCCCACCTGTCACGCATGGATGGTGGGCCACGAGCTCTTATCTCTTATCGCCTAGCTAGCTACGGTAGCCTCTTCCAAATTTTTTTTTCCTTTTCCTCTCCTTCTCTGTCTTCCTATAAAGTAGAAGCTTCCCCCAATCCTTGAACGTCCCAATCTTTTTCTTCTGCATCATCGCAGAATCAAAGATCTGCGTCCTCTCTCCATCCCTTTCTCTCTCACATATGTAATCTGTATGAGAGAGAGGGTGCGCGTGTGCTAGGTAAGCTCTCCTTTCCCAGCGCAATTTTCCAATGCGAGCGAGCGACCACCGCTTGCTTGCCTTTTTTGTCCAACATGATTCAATTTTCCAAACCTACTATTCGCAGTTTCCACGCTAGCCGTCGCCTTTCAAGCCCTTTTAGACGTGCTGTGAGCGCTTTAATTATGCCTTTCTTGGATGTATGACTTTGGACGTCAACAATATTTGTCTTTGTCTTTCTGATTCGATCTACTCCTCGACGCAGGTTTGCTAATATGTGTTTGGTCGTTCAGGTAACAACGCGCGATTCGCTATCATGTCCGATTAGCAGTGCGAGGATGGCATGACCTCGTTCCGATGGGCGTTGCTTGGTTCCGAGAGATGTTGATAGAGGCTGGCCTTGTATCCCATCTAGTCGTTGGTTCCTGGTTGGTTATTCATTCGACGGCAACAGTGGTTCTTGGCAGATACTCGCCATGCCTTGCACCACGGTGTGATCGAGAATCGATTCGAAATACAATGTTTTCACTTGTGCCCTGGCAAGCTCTGTTGAAAAATCCTTCAACATCCTAGCTAGGTCGATGCCGTAAGTATATAGTGTATATAGTTGTAATACATTCAATCGGTCCATTGAGCCCCTTCGGCCCTGGTATCGACTATCTTTGAGAAAATCACTTGAACGTTCCCAATCGCCAATGTGACTTTTCCCGATTTTACAACTTAATGTGAGAATTGATCGTTAACGGAATCAATCATGGTTACCCAGCCGAGTTAAAGCTTGAGTACGTTAGAAACTTTATGGAGCATCATGTTACTGTAGTATGAAAACATCGCGACAGCCAAAAACTACAGTCATACATAGGTAGGCAGGACGCTCTGCTGGTTTCTCTCTCCCTCTCTGTCTCTCTGTTTCTTTTTTCTTTTCTTTTTATTGCCTGCCATTTGTTTTGGTAGATAGGTAGGCAGGTAGCTCGCTCATCTCCTGTCATTGTAGGTATTTCGACTCATCTTATCTCATTTACTCCATCCAACACATCCCATCCCTGACTTTCCTCACCCTTAAAAAGTGATTAAAAAAAATCAACAAATCTCCTATTGTATCCGATCTTCACACAGCTAGCTAACCACAAAATACATGCATCCGTCCATCCATCCATACATACATACAAAGACCTACCTAGGACATAACAGTAAAACACAACAGATAGTAAAACCCATAAATGCATCAGTCAGAATATGTGTAAGTAAGTGAGTAAGTAACTTATATAATATACGTCCACTCTATATCCATCACCATCACCATCACCATCACCCCAACATAAATGAAAATAAAACGAATATAACTAAGCTACCAAGCAAGCAATGAAGCGCCCTAGTCTAAGTACTAAAGAATAGAATATAAATCCCAAGATAAAAAAAATTACACTCCCCTCAGAAATAGAAAAAAAGAAGCAATGAAGCCCCGACGAATGGAAATAATAGAAGATCCCAGCTGCTCGATTCATCAATCGATCGATCAATCGAAAACCCGCTCCAAAGTATTCATTTCATAAACGCTCCCCTTTTTCACCCTTCCGTACTCTATGCCATCTTCCAACACCTCCATCTCCGCACTTGATTTCTCTCGCATAAGATAGGTAGGTAGGTAAGTAGGGAGTAAGCACATGTAAAACCGAACCGGATACCACCAACCCTGACCACCTTCAGATAATGGAGGAAAATGGGAGAAGGTAGGTAGGTAGGTAGATAGGTAGAGGAGGTAAAGAGGTAAGGTAAGGTAAACTAAACCCTAAGCCGAAAAGCTTGAATAATACAGCATAGCATAATCGTCATCATCATCGTTCACCCATCCCACCTTGCTTCATGAAAAGGACCAAAAACATGTAATTCATGTAAGAACGGCTATGGTTACAATATTCTTTCCGCCGAGACGGTCTTGGTACCATCGACATCAGCCGTGTCGTTATCCTTGGCAGCGGGAGGAGTATCGCCACCTTCCTCCTCGATAGAACTAGGCTCTTCTTCGACAGATTCCTTGATTATCGTAGGCTTGAAAGTCTCCCCTCCGTCATCGATGGGTGTCGGATCGCGGCCGCGACCACTGTTGCTCGCCGAGATGCCCACAGCCGGTGTGTCGCCCTCGGCGATTTTCTGCTTGGTCGAGCTGACGATTTTGTCCGCTTCACTGACTTTCCCACTTTCGCCCGTGCTATCGCCTTCTACCCCGATATGGCGGTCCTTGTTGTTTTGGTCGAGTAGGGCAGCCTTATCGAATCGGATGATCATACATGATAGATTGTCAGTGCTGAAACGAGCGAGGGCATGGTCTACGAGAAGTTTAGAGGCGGCTACAGGATCCGGCTTGTCACGGATGAGGTCGACTGCTTCCTGGTCGGAACATACATCCCAGAGCTTCAAGGTTTGATGTTAGCACGTCGAAAACAAAGGAAAGGAAAAGGAGAGAGAGAGAGGGTAACGAGACTAGAAAGCCGTTTAGACATGTGTAAACTCACCCCGTCACAAGCAATGATGATGAACTCATCTAACTCAGGCTGAATGACTGTCTCTGTGGTATAAGGATGACCAGTTACAAGATCCTTCATATACGAGTCTCCAAGCGCTCTCGTCACAGCTAGTACGCCATTCACCCGGTTGTTGAGTATCAAACCCCCAGCATTAGCGATACGTTTTCCTTCATTCTCATCGCTTCCCTTATGATCGTAAGAAAGCCGCAATGCCTTGCCAGCCCGGCACAGAATGATGCGTGCATCGCCTACGTTGGCTGTGTAGAGCACTCGTTGTCGCGTCGCGGTACCTTTTAATCTTGCGTGAGTTGATTCTGGGATGGTTATGGTCTTGCCGTTATCCTCGGACTTACTATCCTTTGGTTTTGATGTGTCCGAAGTCTTGGAGGCCACTGCAGCGGCCGGCGCTATGGCCTGGGAACCGGTAGCAGAGCTCGAACTAGGAACTCTATCCTCCCAGCGTAGAACGGCGATCGCCGCTGTGCATCCACTGTTCTTAAGCGGGAGCTTTTCCAACTGCGTATCCACGCTAGTAAAGGTCTGGTCCAGAAGTTCGGGTATAGGGGCGTTGGGATTGCGGCGGATAATGTCTTCAAGGACGAGGTGAAGCTTTTTGCCACACCAGTCAGCAGCAAAAGTGCCAGCATGTCCATCGAAAATGGCGAAATATCCATTATCGGTCTCAATCATATCTTGAGATGCCGATTCGGTGTCGTTATCCTCTGACGAGCTTGGCCTCTTTGAGATCTTGTCCGTGGCATCTCCGGTCAGAAGAGGAGCAGGTGTAGGCAAGAAATTGTACAAGAAAGCGTGCGTATCTTCCATGGTACGTCGGCATTTCTTATTCCTATCTTCCCAAACACCCACGCGAAAAGTAGATCTCGGACCGGGAAGCGATTCGCCTGCCGAGTTGTTGTGTTGGCCTTGTGGCACGGCTAGTGCTTGGTCCTGTTTGCCGAGCTTTTGCAAAGGTGTGCGTGCAGACGAATCGCTGTTAGACCGGCTAGACTGGAAGTTGAGGGTATTTTTTGCGCTGGCTATAAAGTTGCTCGCTTTGCTTCCCACACCACTACTCCTACGTTTCTTCTCAGCGGCGCTGTTGTCAGAGTTCTGTCGACCTGAAGGGCTGCCATTTCCACTTCGCTTTTCGCCGCTTGCGGCCTGGTTGGGAAGTTTCGGCGCGCCGTCAGGGGACGAAGACGTCTTGGAATCTTCGGAAGGGATGTCGGATTTGGAGATGGGGTCAGTAGCCGCGGGGGTGTCGGATTTGGCGCCCGAGGAATTAGAGCTGCCACCAAACATCCTATTCAGCAGACCTCCTTGAGAGGAGAGACTGCGACGTATATTTCCTGCCAGGGTTTCGGAAATAGAGCGGAATGGTATGAACAACTGTTGCGCACAGCTCGTAGCACGTGGGGATGTTTACAGTAATAGTTAAAAAATAATAATAAAGAAGATTAGACGGTGTCAAAAATGAGATATAAGATTGGAGATTGAAGTGCAACCAGGAGCGAGACCACAAGAGGCTATAGGTGCCTACTGGGAATGGCAAGCCAATTCAGGGGAGTATATGGACGGGTGTGTGAGTGGTCTGGGTGGTCTGGGTTGTCGTCATGCGTAGAGGGGTCGTTATGGAGAAGGCAGTCGTAGAATGGGACAGGGTGCTTGCTATCTTTCCTAAAAAGTAACAGAGCTAGTCACAGCGTTAGATTTGGGCGTAAATGTTCTTTGAGGACGGGCCGCGAATGCAAAGCAGCACATGAAGAATTAAAATAGAATGGATAACAAAGGGCAAAGTGAGGGGAGAGCGGACGGTACACAAAGGACGGGATGGTGGGACACGGAGGCAGTGGGACGGGTCGACGGATGGATGGACAGACGGACAGGACAATGCAGGATTGACATGACACGGACAGATGAGGCCGTGTTAACGGGTATCTATGTTTGTTTGTATGCCTTGGCTGTTTGTCGGCAGGTCTTTCTGCCTTGGGTTGTGAATTTAGGGTTCTTTAAAGAAGGTGACACCACAGTAACCGGGCAAGGAGGCAGCAATTACTTGTGACGGACGGCCTTTATGTTGCAGACACCGTAGCTGCAAATGGTGAGGCACGCAGAAGTGGATGTATAGTAGAAGCATGGAATATGGCAATAATCCACGAAGGTAGTTTTTTGTCTCGGATACGCAAGGAGGGAGGGGGGTAGGTGGTTAGGAATATGTGTGTAGATGGTAAAGGATAGGTTGGTAAGAGGGGGGTAGAATGGGAGTAGCGAGGTGTGTAGTCGGTACAAGACAAACAATATGATACGACATTCTCAAGCTACGGTGTTATACAAGTACTTACGGGTGAGGAATATGGGCGAGAGACACGGGTGAGAGACCAGGTCAAGAAACGGCAGACGGGAAGCAGACCGACGTCATGGGAGGGAGTGTTTGTGAGGCGCAAACGAGATGACGCAGTGGCCCAGACTGCAGAAGCATGTGGCAGTGACACGGAGAGGTGGCCGAGGAACGCCTTTATAGGGACCGTGTTCGGGTGATATCTCGACGTGTGAAGGAGGGTGTCGTTGATGTTGCCGTCGTCTCTTGTCTCGTAGGGGAAAGTCGAGAAGACAAAAGACAAGACGGGGAAGCATGGAGGTAGGGTAGGGGTAGGTGGTAAGGAACTGGTAGGGTGACCGGATGATAAATCGTGGGGTTGAGGGCGATAGTTGGGTACCTACCGCGCCTCTGGGTTGCCGCCTGCAGGGGATGTACCTCACTATGTAGCTAACTAACTTTGTACCTAGGTAAGTAACTCAGCGCTTTCTCTGAGTGGTGGAGAAGGGGCAGCAGAGTTGGAGGAATGGCGGGGTTCATCCACTATAGCAAGTACTACCTAGGTATGTAAGTACTTACGCGAGAATAATTAGGTACATGAGGTAAACTGAGCACATGTGGTGAATTCCATTTGATCTAATAATAGCTCCTTGATTACGTGTTTGCAAATACCTGTCTACGAAGTAAACTACCTAATCACTACCCTTCTTCCTGTAACTTCTTGAATGCACGTTGAGGTATGTTATGATGTAGCTGGGTGTCGCGTTTAGCCTGCCATGTAAAGTACAGTGCCTACATAGAGTTTCATGAGTTCGATAAGTCAAATACCGATGTAGTTCTCTGGTCCATGATATCATAGTGCCTATAGTCACCAGTCTAGGGTCTGGCAAAGGCACATTGAAAAGTCCATGGTTGGTTCGCAGCTGACTGCGCATCGTGTGGCTGGCCCAGGAACCTACTCGTCTAGACAACTTATAGGACTCTCGCGTTGTGATGAACTTGATTAGAACTCTATCTTCAACGGAAGGGCTCTCTCTACATCCAGATCACCATGAACGTTCAACCTACCCCAAGCATTACGCTTACCTTACCAAGTTAGCATCCGGAGAACTTTACAATGGGCATGTCCGTGAAGAAATACAACCCCAAGCGCAAGTATCTAGCCCATCAAATTTGAATAATATAATCGTTCATGCGAGTATAGTCATAGAGTATAACACATTGATTTTTCTTATCATATACATTGTACACATAACGCGAACCATATCTGCAACACAGGTTGTCGCCGGCTTTGTATTTTCTATCAGGTAACCGGACTCTGACGCCTTCGCTGACCTCCCATTCTATTTGGTTCCTATGCCGACGCTTCTTTTCATGCTAAAATTGCCCGTTGTTCGCCCGAGCAATAAATGGCAGTAGCGTTTGCTCTTGGGGTCACAGATTGCGTGTCAGGCCATCGTATCACCAAGCGCGGAACAGCGGATAGAGATAGCTGATACTGTGTTGATCATTGGGTCCAGACATTCAGTCGGGTTGTAGATTCTGTGCACAATAGTGTGGTCTCGTCTACGGCCATAAGCCATGCTTCATATGGCTTCTCGAGGTATCTTGAGATATAAGAAGTCCTATATGGCTTTGCAAACTAGCTGAACAATTTGCTGAGTCGAGATGCCTCTATGAAGGGAACAACCCCGGGACTATGGGTGAGAGCCACGGTTTCAAATGCCTCTTAGGACCCATGGAGTGAAAGTCGGAGGATGAGAACACTTTTCGCAGCCCGGGTGTATGAAAGCACAATTATGAGAAGTAGGCAGATGCCTATATTTTTATAATAATTGAGGCTGGCGCAAATGATAACCCTTGCCATCATCCGTGCTCAAGTGTCTGAGCGGACGCTGAGGGGAATTTATTTAGCATCTGGGAACAGTCGCATGTAGACAGAATCTGACAACAGGCCGTTTGATAAAAGGGGTGTACACAAATTGAGCACGCCTAACTCAAGGAGTGATTTGGCGTTCAGATGTTGCTCGGGTGATTTTGTGCCCAACGTATTGGTAGATAGAGACATGAACAGGTAAAAACGAAGCAAGGTTCGCGGTATTAAAGGGGTATCATGGCGCCTCCTGATCCCGGGGTAGCAGTCATCACATTTCTCATATCCCCGCTCCCGTAGCAAGCCGCCCTCGCTCGGAAAGCAAACCAAGGAATACAACAGGTAGCATTTGATTTAGCATAGGGGAGATACAGTGCTGGTGCATGGCGCGGCGTCTTCACTTCCTTAGACTGTCAAGACGAGCCTGAAGGTCGTCATCCGCAGAATCACCGCCTCCGCTGGGACCTCCGATGGCCTGGGCCACTCTATTCTCGGCAACTTTATCGGATTGTAGACCTGTGGGCGTCTCCCCGAGCTGCACAGTCTGGTTAGAACTCACTCTACACGAGATCGTTAGGCTAATACTTACGGCCTGATTCAGATCGACGCCTATCTCCTCCAACACCTGCTCTACGACTTCGTCACCCTCTTCCTCGACACCAACATCCATGGCGTCGTCGATGGCGTCGTCCATCATCTCTTGCCTCTGCTCCATTATGTCGTTCTCGCGCTCAAACTCCATGGCAATCCGTTGTAAGGCGGGGAGGTTCATGGTTCGGTTCATGCTTCCCAGAGCCATGGTGGCGCCCTTCATGGCCTGCATCATCTGCTCGTTGGTCCGATGGGTCTGCAAGTGCCACGCGTTAGCAAATGATGATATAGAGGAGAAACATCAGCATACCTGAAGCCGCAAGGATATCTTTTGCAGATTGCTCTTGAGTCCGTAGAACTTTTCAATGTACCTGTAATGACGGATCATGGTCAGTCATGGGGTTTCCTGTCGTGTAGCAGGATTCATTCAATATTGCACAAAGCGCGCGGCGGCCGACCTTCGTGTGCGCACCAAGTCCTTTGCTTGTATCTTGGCCGCTCCCATCTGGCCCTTCTGGGCACTCTGCTTGATCTGGGTGACGAGCTGTTTCTCCTGTCTCTCGAGCTTGACTTTCTGCTGATCGATCTCGCGTATGGCCTTATCGAGGAGGCGTTGGTTCTTGCGCAGACGCTCGGCTGGCGTCATGCGTTTGCCGAATGCCCATTCTAGGATCTGTCGCACATGTACCTGTCAGTGGCTATCTGGTGGGGGGGCGCAGATATAGATGGAGAAGGTGATGATGATGGACGGTGACTCTGGGTTTGGCGTGTTCGTTCTTACATACGTTCATGGTCGCTTGTGATACTGGGTAGGTTGCTCAGCAAGGTGCGTGGTCTATCTAGAATCCAGAGCAGAACGAGAAGGCCAATGTATCTAGGAAAAGAGGCCTATATCGCCGTCAATTGATGCGCATTCGGCTTTCCTCGATTCTAAAAGAGATAAAGGTTGGTTCATGTAGCTAGGCAGCCTGATTCCAGGTACGGGTTTCTGTCTAGTACTACCTACTGTACTAGAGCAGTGGTCCTTACGTCAGTTTGAGGTTGGGAAGCATATGATTGCCTGGTACTCCCTCCTGGTACTTCCTGAGGAACATTGGAAGTTCCCCGCTGACAGTTAATTGCCCATATGCAGTTAGTTCTTTGGGACTCCAGCGTGCACTATGAGATGAGAATAGATACAGTAATATTACTACGCATAGGGTGCTATGCACTGTATTTTAGCCCTCAACTCGTGCTTTGCATTGTACCTACCAAGTACTGCCGCTATTAAAGCCGATATATGGACTCTGTAAGTACTACATACCTGGTAGCCGCGGCAGCAGTTTAATACAGTCTGTACAGTGAAGTGGCGGAACGAATCTTTCAAGCATAGCGCTGGGCAGAAACTGGGTCATTGGTGTCCGAAAGCTACCTAGCGGGTACTTTATAGCCCAACATGCGATGCACACGTAGTTTTGGCTGGGTCCACTGCGGTTATAGTGGACGGTCCAGCGATGGTCTAGTGGTCATCCCGCCGCCAGAATTCGATTTCGATACAGCCAATACACTTCTCGCGTCACTGACATATTTTTCCCCAACCACACCACCACCTCCGCCACCATACTTACCTAAGTATTCACTCACTCGCCCACACGCTGTCTTTCGACGACGACGACGACGACGACAAACCTAGAGCACACCTGCAACTGACGCCGCGAACCTCCGGCGCCCGCCTGTGTATACCAGTTGTCCCTATTCATGGATCCCGACATCTAGCGATCTAGCCATTGCTGCAATTGCCATGAGCCAGGAATACTTCCCGCCCATGTCCAAGGGCAAGTCCCCGGCCTGCGACGACCGAGACGGCCAAGACGCACACGACGACAGCGATGATGCATCGGGTCGTAGAACACCAAAGACCCCCAAGTCCGGAGCCGCAAATGGAGGTGGGAGACCTGCATACATGACCGTCGGCAGTGGGTCTACTTCGTTCCATGCAACCAGGTTACAGTCCCTCATCGATCATGACTCCGGCTATGGTGGAAGCAGCATAGGTGGCGATGATATCGGCTCATCCAAGCTGCCCTTGGGTTCTCCAAGAACCGACCCAAGTCTTGCCGGGGATATAGTGTTGCCGCGCCAGTCGGCTGGGAATCCCGAGACCGACCAGCGAGCCCACGTCACCGCCATTTCGCAGCTATGGTACAATCAGCAGCGAGTTGCGCTAGGCCGCTCCATCAACAGAGTCATAGATCTTCTTCAAAGCCTTCAAGAAACAAACGCCACCTGGCCTGCTCACTACCCTTCCGTCCAGCGCCCCGATGTCAGCAGCCCCGAACGAAATGGTCCGGGCCCCGCTTTGCACCGGACATTTTCGGCTGCTCCCGAACCTTCCCACCATCGGCGCTCTCTGCGACGCTCAATGACAGCGGCTCCTGACGATGAGTCTGCCGAGTCTAGCAAATCAGCCGAGAATAAATCGTCAGCAGAGGCACCGCGGTTATTCTCACATCAGATCGCTCAGGAATTCTCTATTCTCAAACTCGACCTCAAGCTGGGGGCTCTGCATCAGTCAGAACTCGTTCACTCGCTGGAAAAGGCCTCTGTTGCGTCATTATTGGATGGCAAGATACGTACAAGCATCAAGCACTTGGTATCACTACGAGAACGAATAGACGATACATCCAGCAAGGTTCTAGTTACTGGAGACCTTAATGCTGGCAAGTCGACCTTCTGTAATGCCCTGCTCCGACGCAAGGTGCTACCTGAAGATCAACAACCTTGTACAAGTATCTTCTGCGAGGTTCTGGATGCCCGGGAAAACGGTGGGCTGGAAGAAGTGCACGCAGTACACAAGGACGCTATCTACAACCGGCATGACGAATCAACCTATGATGTATTTCCGCTTTCCAAGCTTGAACAAATCGTAATCGACAACTCGACCTACATACAATGCAAAGTGTACGTCAAGGATGTACGTAACGTGAATGAATCGTTGCTCAACAACGGTGTGGTGGACATCGCGCTCATCGACGCTCCCGGCTTGAACTCGGACACAACCAAAACCACTGCCATTTTTGCTCGACAAGAAGAGATTGATGTTGTTGTCTTTGTCGTTTCTGCTGCTAACCATTTCACACAATCGGCCAAGGAATTTATCTGGGCTGCGGCAGCAGAGAAGGCCTATATCTTCATGGTTGTGAACGGGTTTGATATGATTCGAGATAAAGAACGATGCCAGAAGATGATACTGGAGCAAGTCTATGGCCTGAGCCCTCGCACGTACAAGGAGTCTACGGAATTGGTACATTTCGTGTCGAGCAATGCCATTCCAATGGCGCACTCCCCACCGGGTGGTCCTGGCGGAGCCGGCGGTAGTGGCAGCTCCAGCGGAGGTGGCGGAGGGGACGAGCCAGGCAATGACCCCAAAGGGAAAGGGAAGGAGAAGGAAAAGATTCAAGACTTCCATAAGCTGGAGCAGTCCCTGAGACAATTTGTTCTGGAGAAACGTGCACGCTCTAAGCTTACACCTGCCAAGACCTACCTTATGAACATCCTAAATGATCTTTATACCCTCGCCACTGTCAACGCAGAGGTTGCGCAGTCCGAGATAGATCGTGTAACGAAAGACTTGGCAGAGATTGAGCCGCAGCTGGAATCCTCCAAGAAAGCTAAGGCCGAAGTAGGCGATGAGATCGATCAAACTATTGAGGCTACCTGCAAGGATATCTATGACCACACGAGAAACACCCTCAACCAAGCTATAGGCCATGCAGGTGACAGCACCCTGGGTGTTCCATACCCGGGGCTATTTGGCGTGTTTGATTTTGCCGACGAGCTCAAGGAAGCGATGCTCGACCAGATCTCATCTGCTGTCACAGATTGCGAAGAACATGCTCGTACGAATACAGTCGGTGGAGTCAATGCCATCAAGCAATTAGGCATCCTTCACCTTGGCAATGAATACCACGATCTGAGTTTCCGATCAGATGTCATGTTCCGGAGACGACGAGACCTCTTGGCAAAGGAGATCAACCTGGAGACCCAATTCTGGGATCTCGTCGACTGGTCTACGCTCATGCAACGCCAGGAAAAGGTGGCCGGCACTGGTATGGCCTTGACTGTGGCAACTGCCGTAGGTGGACGAATGATTAGCGGATCTAGCTGGGTAGACCATGCAATGAGTGCTGCCAAGATTGTTGGAAACGATAACCTCAGGAAACTGATCATTCCTGCCGTGGCTATTGCAGGTATGAATTCTCCTACGCGGGATACTCTATAAGCTGGACAGATTTGCTAACTACGTATATGACAGTTGTCTCTGCCGCGGCATATGTTCTCCAACAGATCCCACAGTCGCTTCCTCACCGTTTATCCGCCAAGCTCTCGGCGCAGCTGAACTCGATGGACTACGTGCACGCAAACAGCACACGCATAGCCAGCTCGGTACGCAAAGTGCTGCGATTCCCTGCCGACAATCTCCGCGTCGGCCTGACGCGATCCGTTGAACAGCTCGGTTCGCGCAGAGATGAGACGCTGAAGACGCGAACCGAGAGCGAGGTTGCTTTCAAGTACTTCAGCAACTTGGTCCGTAACAGCGCACACCAAAGGACGCTTGTCGCGGACGTGGATCTCGACGCTCATCCTCAGGTGCAGCAAATAGCATGAAGAATGAAACGTATATCTGGAACGAAACGTAAAATATCGAAACGAGACACGCAGGTAGCAGACAAAACAGGCATTAGGCGGCGTTTGGTTACAAAATATTGCTTTTTGTTGCAACTCGTTATAATACCAATTGTTTTTTATGTCGAGTTCTTTTTCTTGTTCTGACTCTATCCCCCACTCCCCCCTAATCACTCCCCTTTGCTTAAAATTGGAGTTGAGTTAAGACCTGGAAATAAATAAAATCTATATTCAGGGTAAACTGGAAGTGGCTTTCTTTAACTTGAAGAAGGTGATGGGTGAATGGGAATGTGATTATGAGGCGCAGGGTTCACGGGGTTAGAGGTTGAGAAATGATGATGACGACAGTATTGGCGGCTCCAGTTCTTCACTCCTGTTTCCCTTCCCTTATCTTTGATCCCCTGTAGTTGGCTGCGCGAGTTAGCGAATAAAAGAAGAAGAAAAGTCTCCGCTTGTAATTGATATCTGGGACGTTATGAATATGTGTGTCAGGACCTGAATTGTGAATGATGTTTATAATTGAGTAGAAAAATTATATGTATGCTGAGTTAATCAGCTGTTTACATTACCTATTACAACGTCCGTGCATGCATGCGGGGAATAGATGAATGAAGAGGACAAGAGGCACATGAAGCGTAGCGTCAGTTCGCATCATAACGTATGGTAGTATAGGTTGAAAGATTCGTGCGTTAGATAATGTCGATATCTTGCAGCCATGTCACCTCATCTCGAACAGACGCAGATCCAGATGCAGACAGAGGTGAGAGGACTGCAGTTTCAGGAAGGAGCCAAGAACATAGCTCGAATGGCGAAATCCCGTTGCGTCGCATTCACTGTCGGATTCGGATGAGATGTTGACCCCAAGCGAGGAGGGGAGTAGATGAAATGCAGACATTACTTACTATTGCTACTTGATATGAGGTATGTGATAGGGTTGTGAGTAATAAGTAAGTAGGCAGTGGGTATAAATATATCTATACATCGATCACATTCGAGTCAAAGCGAGATAGATATATCGACTCTCCTACTCCTCCTCCTCTGCAACTTAATGCCCTGCGCCCGATTCCTGTGATTATACATGTGAGCCTCTATTCATAAATAATCAGAACAGCAAATATGAAACTCACAAGAGGTCTCTCCCTCCTCGTACTCGCGGGCTTTGCCCTCGCAACCCCCATCGACAAACCCGCTGTGTCCGAGAAGGTCAGCTACGACGGGTATAAAGCCTACCGCGTCTCCCTGCCCTCCTCCTCTGATGCAGATAACGCTTTCTTCGACGACGAAGACACGTCATTCATCGAATTACACCGTCGCCGCGAGAAAAGCGGGACATGGGCCGTCGATATCGCTGTCGCGCCGCGGGATATCCCCGCCTTCTTCGAAGTCGTGGGACGTGATAATGTAGCGGTGTCCGTTTTATCGCACGATCTGGGCGCGGATTTCGCGGCTGAGAGTGTTGAGTCTGTTTCGAAAGGAAAAGAAGGAGAGGGAAAGGGAGAAGGAGAAAGAGAGAGACGATTACCTGGTCTAGAATGGTTCGATGCGTATCATCCGTATGCTGACCATGTGACGTACTGGGCGGACTTGCATGCTGCCTTTCCGAATAATTCGGAACTCATTGTTGCGGGGACGTCGTTTGAGGGACGGCCTGTGCAGGGGATTCATCTTTGGGGGAAAGGTGGGAAGGATTCGAAGGAGGCGATTTTCTTCAATGGGAATGTGCATGCTAGGGAGTGGATAACTTCTATGGTGAGATGATCTCCTTGTCTTTTTCCGTCGTATTCTAGGTATTTGTGTGGTTTCGTGGGTTGAACCTTGGGGGTGAGAGTAGATTTTGTTGTGTGTGAATGTGAGCTAATGTATTTTGTGTTACTAGGTCGTCGAGTATATCCTCTACCAGATCGTCACTGGGTATGAAACCGACGAGTTGGTTCAGAAAGTTTTGGATAACTACGACTTTTACGTTTTACCTGTCGTTAATCCCGACGGTAAGTCACACCCCCTATTCATTCATCCTCAATGAACTAGCACGAGAGAACTTCCAACTATCACGATAATATAAACTCAATCAAACCCCTTAACTACCTACCTACCTAACTAATTACACGCAAGGCTTCGTCTACACCCAAACAACAAACCGCCTCTGGCGCAAAAACCGCCAAATCCGTAGTAACACGACGGCCATCGGGACAGACATCAACCGCAACTGGGCCGTAGGCTTCGGCGGCGACGGATCCTCGCCGAACCCGTCCTCGGAGACCTTCAGCGGGTTCGCGCCCTTCGATGCCCCTGAGACGGCGGCCCTCGCCACGTACACGCGGAAGCTGAGGGATTTACACGGCATCAAGCTCTATGTCGACTGGCATAGTTATGCGCAGACTATACTCCTCTCGTACGGGTACACGTGTACGGATTTCCCGGGCAATTATGACGAGCAGTATGATCTTGCGCAGGGTATTGCGAGCGCGATTAAGGGGGTGTATGGGACTGCTTTTGAGTATGGGTCTGGATGCTGTGAGTTTTCTTTTTCTACCCCCTTTTTATCTAGAGTGATTCTCTTCTTGGCCCCTATTATTTTTACTTCGTCTTTCATCTGGGGTAGATATACGCATATGAGATGATTGGGAACTCTATAGATCTGATATGGTAACTAATTCCGAATGATATTTTAGTGGTTCTGTACCAGTCCAGCGGTAATGGCAGGGATTATGTAACGGATGTCGGCAAGGCTCAGTTTGGCTGGGGTATCGAGCTCAGAGATACGCAGTACGGCTTCATGTTGCCGCCGGAACAGATCTTGCCTAGCGGGATTGAGATTTGGGAGGGCTTGAAATACGCGTGGACTCAGTTCTAAGGTCTGAGGACCTAGAGGGAGTGAGAGAGCAGTAGTGCCTTGGTTCTGAGATGAAGATAGTTTGCCTGCTTATCTAGTCAGTCACCTCTTTGCGAAGGTGGACAGAGAGAAAGTATCTAGGAACTTCACGTCAGGATAATATTAGCGAATCATGATCTTCAGAATATTGGTATCGAACGGTAATTAGATTTAAATAATTAGCTAGCTGTGATATGCCCAGTACCACTCCCCAACTCACTATCCATTCATCTACGTCCCTTTCCTCTTTGACCTCCTACTACTCGTCGGCACTATTTCCTCACTACCACCACCGTCATCCGCCTCTTTCCTCCTCTCAGGGTACATCTCGATCTCGCCCTCCGCCCCAATGACCCCCGTCCGATCGAGATTCGTCCGCGACCGCACGTACGGGTCGAGTTTCCAGTAATTAGACCACAGCGCTTCCACAGCGTTGATCCGTAGCTGCGCTTGGATCGCGGCCTCCTCGTGCTCACCGACTTCTTCGTGTTTGATCCACTCTTGCGTCGCGGATAAGAACCGCTCGGCGATCTCGCGCCGTTCTGAAAGGATTTCTTCGCGCTCGACCCCGCCCAGTGATATCTTGATGTCTTCATCTTCGCTGGGCTCCACGTAGGAATACGCCCAGTCGTCGCCGCCGCCGACGTCTGATATGATGTTCTCGCGCGGGATGTACTTTTCTAGTCCCTCTGTGTTGCGTGTGAAATCTACTTTGGCGGCAACTACGGGATCGAGAAGACCGCGGATTACTTTCCATATTCCTTCATGTGAAATTTAATTTAGTACGCGCTTTTTATATGGGTGAGGTGACTGGGTAAGGGAGTAAGTGAGTGAGTGGGTGAGAGACGCACCAGAAAAGATCCACGGAGCGTTGTGAATCAGCAGCGCACCTAGACATTCAGGGTAATTGGCCTCAAAGGCACGAATGATGAACTTGACGGGCTGCCATTCCTACTCATAAGACACATATAAATATCAGTCGATTTGTCCCGCTTACCGTGTTCACATTAGACGAAAAAGCATACCATGTTTGACAACGAGAAATCAGTCAAGTCGAAGACGACGCAAAACGACTCGGTCGACGGCGCCGCGAACAGGCACCGCGCTGTCTCGATCGTCTGCACGATGAGCTTCTCTAGCGTCTCCTCGCTCTGCGCCCCGGGCTTATGCAGCGCGATGCGCACGTAGCCCACGGGCCGTCCGCGCCGGTCCGTCCCGCGGAGGTACACCTTGCCCAAGCGCAGCTGCTCGAGGAAGTCATGCGCGTCTTTCTTCTCTTTGCCTTCTTCCTTCTTCTTCTCCATCTTCGCACACCACGCCTCGCCCTTGGCGAGGACTTCTTCGTCTACGTGCAGCTCGTCGCGCCGCCATATCAATGCGTTCCTGAGCATCGTGAACGCCGCGTTCACGTCCCATTTCCGCGCCCGCAGGAATCGCAGGAGAAACGCGTCGGGGTTCTCCTGCTTGATCATGCTCATCCATGTTTGGTGGAGTTGGGCAGCCTGCTCTGATGATGAAGACCCTTCTTTCAGCGAGCTAGTCGCTGATGATTCTTGTGCAGAAGAAGAAGAAGAAGGTTCTTCACGATGTTTGGCACTACCGAATTCAAAGGCGGAGAAAAGGAGACGCCATAACTGCTGCAGCTTCGTCTCCTGCTCGCGCGTGAGATTACCCACGTATCCTGTCTCGATGGTCCGGGCGCCCTCGACTGTCGTCGTCATATTATCGCTCGCTAATGATTAGTATTAATTATTCACCGATCACGGTGTCTGATGGCAGAAGTGAGTGTACATGTATACAGACATCATGAGGACAGCAGCCCAGCCTTATCGTTTTTTTATTTAATTTTCCCTTTCCCTCCCTTGTGATTTGCAAGTCGGTGAGACAAGGTGTGTGAAATCGGCTGGAATCAGCGGTATGGGTACAGTAAGGCTGGCCTATCCCACACAAATATTGCCTATTATTTCCCCCCTACCTAGGTAAGTCACTGGAGCGAGTTGGAGCGGGGTATTGCGCACTATTGCTGGAGATCCTAAGCTACCTCTTTCCTGCAATGGGAACGTCTCGGCTTAAGAGACCTTTGCTAATTTCTTTTTTTAAACACTTCCAAGATTGACTTGGATGTCGGGTCTTAGCTGAGAGGTTAGCTGATAGGCTTGATCAGAATTAGTGATTTAGTAGCTCATCTTCACAACGGCATGGTAATATGCAAGTGAGCAGTAGACTACCTGGAAGAGGACATCATCATTGAACAGGGGTGGTGGATGGGTTGGGTAAGTAAGCAATGGCATTGTACATAAAACTAAATGCCCGCGCGCAGACCGTACTTCGTACGCGTACATGTAGATAACTACTAGGTAAGATCGCGCAGGCTACTCCCAAGAGCTAACTTTTATTCGAATATCCGCCTCAGCTCTAATTACACTAAGCCAATACATCCATCCTAGATAAGTAGGCGTATATGGGCGGATTTTCGCCATCACCAATGTAGACTGTGTGTGCAATCGTCGGGGCTCTCTTTGATCCTCATGCTACCCCCGTTAAGGGCAGCCTCGGAGCGCGACTCACCAGACCTTCACTACGGTTATCACCACTGTGTGGTGAAAACACGGAAGGAAGGCATGATGGTCATCGCGTAGGCTTTCGTCATCCGATTGTCTTATCACGAGCACCTCCCAAAACATCCCGACTTAGATAACGTATCTCTAAGCTTTACATGGTGAGACATTTGCCGCCGTGTATTCTAGCAGGTTTGTTTAGCAGGGCTCAGACATTCGCAAGCGGGTTGAAACTGTCGGGGTGAGTAGAGTGATGCATTGAAGACATTGCATTCAACTAACAGCTTCGGTTGGTTAAAGGTCGAACGAAGTAGCCAAACACAGGTTGTTGGTATTTGGTGCGGTCAGATACTTGGATTCTCCTATTGTCTATTTCTTCTTTCTAGAAGTAGTAGCTACTAGACGCTTCTTCAAGTGTTTTGGCATCTTTTCTTTCCGCTTCTCGCTCTTGGCCTCCTTTGTGGCTTGTTTGCGTAGCTGTTATTGTCGTTAGTTGGTTATAGTGATTTTTGGGGGGAGGAAGAAAGCAAAAGAGAAGATGCGGGGCACTTTGTCAGGGATGTTAGTCGCGTTCATTTCAGCACTGACCTTCTTTTCTTCCTTATCCTCGAATCTCTTCCCCCTAGGTGGGCCCTTTTCGAATTTGCTCTCATCATCGGATCCCTCGTCACTTTCACTGTCGCTCTCTAAAGTTGCGCCTTCATCTGATTGGTCCTCTTCTGAAGGCTGTCCCTCCGCCCTGGGAAGGACTACCTGATCAGCTAAAAGGTTCCGATACACTAACTTGTCGCCTTCACCGTGCCCGATCCGCTCCGCATCCTTCTCAATATCATAGACCTGTTCAAGGGTTTGGGGAATGTATTGCTGTCTGAACACCTCGTTGTCGACTTCCTGCTGAGCGACTGCGTTGTCATCAGTTGCCGATTCTGCTCGCGACCTATACAACTGCTCAATGGCCCTCTTCAAAGCAGGCTCTTCAGTAGGACCCTCGGGTGCAATGATGAAGTCAAAGATTACTCGGTCAGCCAGTGTATCGACTCCTTGCCTCCGGAAAAAGTCGCCAGTATTTTTGATATCCATGCGCAAGAACTCGAGAGACCGCGGGTGGTCGTGTTCAACACTCTGCGACACGTCTATAATATAGAGTTGCTTGTCGTGATATAAGATGTTGTATTCACTCAGATCGGCGTGAACCAGCTTACAGACCTGGTACAGGCGTCGCATGATACCGAGGAGTTGGATGTATAAGTTGCTCCATACCTGTTCAGCTTCATCGGCGGGGATGGCGGCGTCGCGGAGCCGGGGGTAAGCCCATCCCCTCCGGTCACCTAAGAAGCCCATGACAAGAACATGAAGCTTCAGCTGAATGGGCTCTGGACAGGCGATTCCTGCAGCGTGGATTCGGCGCAGGTTTCGAAACTCCTTCTCGGCCCACAGCTTTACCATCTTTCGGTTGTTGCCCTTGTCGGCACCGGCTTTGAAACGATGTTCACCGGTAATGTACCTCTCACGATCCTTGAAGCTCAGGATGGCGGTTTTGTAGACCTTGACAGCGCGCTGGATCTTTGAGAAGTCATCCTGAATGGCAACAGCGCCGTAGACGTTGGCTTCCTTTCCTGTGCTAATGGCACCGTGGACCTCGCTGACCACACCACGGTTGATCATTTGGTAGAGGATCATGCGCGTGCGCTGATCCAAGACCTGCTCGCTCGTGGCGCGGTCAGCCTTGTCCTTGTCCCTTGTCTGGCCCTCCTTGACATCGTCGAGACGAATCTTGGCGGCATGCTTCGAAAGGGTGGCTATTTGATCGTCGACACTGTTGAATGTGTTGGCAGAGGGTCGCTGCTGGTTTGAATGAAGAGGCTTCTGCCTGTTGTAGTTTCGCGCTAGGTCAGGTTCGCCGTCTGGGCCAAGCAAGTCGGCATCATCATCGTCATCGTCGAAAATGTCGTTGAAGTCATCATCGTCGTCTTCGGCCATGGGTATTGAATGGGCGCCAGCTGTGGTGGCGAGAGCACGTGGTATCTCTTGTTCTACAGAAGCATCGTAACCGTTGTTATTTGTATAGACGTGAGGCGGTTCGTGAGGAGCCGCAGGAGACGCTGAAGACTCCATATTCTGAAAGGTAGTTTGCACTATCGACGCAAGGGAAATCTTCAGTGTGGCGGTTTGCGATTTAAGGTTGAAATGTGTGGTTGTAGCAGTGAAGCTCGAGATCCTTAGGGTTGGGGGAATATTTGACTGGGTAGGACACAACTCGTTATGGTGAATATGTCGGTGAATATATATGCGAGTGGCAGAACTAACTTGCACGCCAGAGAGAGGCAGTGATTTGAGAATTGGTGAGTCAGCACATGTCGATCGAGTAGGTATGAGGTATGACTGAAGGCTAAGTGAAGTGACTAAGTATGATTCATAGGCAAATCCCCATCATCGATAAATTTCACCAGAGCTGGAAAATTCCACCCGGACACAGAATGACCCCGCCATCCCAGCACTTGTAGAAGTACCGACACTAAGAACATGGGTGGCCGAGTACCTACTTACCTAACAATGAGTTCCCTAATTTTGGCCCCTCCATCACTGCCAGATCCTTATCTAGGTATGCTTATCGATAGACCACACCAGACACCACACCTAGATCATTACCTTGCCTTCATCTACTCGCCTACAACGTATGCGTGTTGTTTCGTGAACATACCCAATGACTCTTATAGTAACCTACAATGTGTATTACATTCTCGGTTCCATTTCAACACAGGCACCTACAGCTCTGATTGTCGACCTGCCTACTTGGTAGGATCAACCTTCATGCTTCTCGGCATCATCATCGTAACCATGGCTTTGTGGGGGTTCATTGATATCAGTCCTCCCCGCTCGCAATACGACACAGGAATTCTCCGCCTGTGTCGTCTGCGCGCATCATGCCTCCGCGTATAACATCCCCAAGCCCCTCGGACATTATTCTGTGCATGCGTGTGAAAGGACCATGTAGTGTAAAGCATGGGCTGCCAATTTCCCATCCTTCAAAATCTTGAGTAGCATCTCTAGTCAGCCCATAGCAGTATATAGACATATTTCGGATATGCAATGGCCTGTCTTCGTCTTAACTACCTGTTTGCAGTGGCCATTCTGGGTTGTGAGTCAACTCTAGAAACGACACTCAATTGGTCTTCATACTACGTGGATGCTGATCTAAGTTAATTCTAGCTGTGGTGTCATCGGCCAGATTGATAGGAATACCAACTCTTCCTTTCAATGCCTCGGCCGTTGGACAATATCCTGTTTCGGCCATCAAGTCGATACTAGTCGATCGTGCATTCGCAAACCATGTAGACCAATCTGGAGAGACCCTGATTCCACCAACGCTACGCGACTTTGCTGGCACTTTTGCCTCAGACCTTCACGATATTTGGAGGCTTGACGTCAGTGTTTCCGTGGCTTCGGAGCCCGAGCCTCATGCCATATACCTCAGCATTGCGAAAACACCCTTTTCACGGTATGCCAATGGAGTGGCATCTCCTGAAGGCTATGCCTTTGAGGTGACAACCTCGGGCATCATAGTCCACGGTGCATCGCCGTTAGGCGTGTGGTGGGGAACTCGTTCACTTATACAACAGGCCATTCTTTCCAACGGGAGCCTGCCTCTTGGGAAATCAGTTGATTCCCCTGGATGGAAGACAAGGGGTATGATGCTCGATGCTGCACGCCACTACTACCCTCCCGAGGTAGGTCAGCTCCTCCCTTTCTCCCTCGGAAGATGGCAATCTTGTTCTACAGCCTATTCAGCTCCCTAAACTAGGACTCATAATTGGAATTCTAGTTTGTTATCGAGCTATGCTCATACATGAGTTTCTTCAAACAAAACACCCTTCAATTGCACCTTAGCGACAACCTATACAACTCTCCCAGATATACGCGAGAACAATCGTTAAGTCTTTATGCTCGATTTCGACTATGGTCAGATGCACCCGGGGTTGAGGGCCTCGCTCGATACAAAAATGAGTCTTACACGAAGAACCAATTCAAGTCCATTCAATCAGAATGTGTAGCCCGAGGGGTCACCATAATCCCCGAACTAGAGGCACCAGGACACGCTTTACCTATTGTACAGTGGAAACCAGAGTTGGGACTGGCTGACGACTTGTCACTCCTGAACATCTCACACCCTGATACTATCCCGACTATGAAGACTATTTGGAGCACGTTCTTGAGCTGGTTTGATTCCAAAACTGTGCATATTGGCGCCGATGAGTACACTGCTGGAGTCACAGAGTACAATCGTTTCGTGAACGAAATGGCCGAGTTCATACGCATCAACGGCTCCAAGTCGATTCGGATATGGGGGACATTCCCACCCAAGCCTGAATATGACAACATCACGACTGACGTCTCTATCCAACACTGTAAGTCGTGTTCTACCTCGCTGGATCCTATCTACTACCCCTGAAGCACTTAGACATGAATAGTGTTTCTTATACACATCAATGCTTTGGTGGGTAGACCGACCAGACCAGATCTAACCAAGACTATTCAGGGGAGTTCTTCGAAGACAATCCGCTCTTCGACTACATCAAGAACAACTACTCAGTCGTCAACTCCGACGACATCTACTACGTCGTCAACAAATACTCGCAATCCTATCCCCCAGCGGTCAACATCGCCAAGACATTCCACGGAAACCCAGGCGGAGGACCCTGGCAGCCCTACATCTTCGACACCAACAACGCTACCAATAACCCGGACCGAGCAAACAAGCACGTCCTCGGCGCCATCACGCCCCTGTGGAACGACTTCGGCCCTAACGCGACCGTGTACAGCGAGACGTACTACGCGTGGAGAGAAGGCATACCCGCGCTCGCGGACAAGCAATGGGGCGGCGACCTGCGCGAGGACGAATTCGAGGGGGTGTTAGAGGCTTTGCAAGACTATATCCCGGGGCAGAATCTCGCGCGATCTATCCCGTCCAAGAGCTCTGAGATTGTTCATTACGGCGAAACTTCCTTTACAGATGTGGATGTAATCAGTGAGAATATCGCAAAGGATAAGAATATGATGATTCGGGATCTCTCGGGGAACAAGTACCACGCTACCACGGACTGTCCGCGGACACCGCGCAATACACTGCTTGTGAATACGTCCTGCGCATTCAAGACGCCGCTGCAGTCGAAAGGGAGGGAGTACACGCTTTCGATGATCGTGTATGTTGATGCTGTTGCTGCCGGACGGGATGCGACGCTTATTTCTGGCGCCGACTCGGCGCTCATGCTTACGCCTACTGTGTCGTTGTTCGCTTCGGGGAATTATTATCGGCTGGTGAATGTCACGCTGCCTGTGAAGACGTGGGTGGAATTGAGTATTATCGCGAAGGGAAATCAGACGTTTGCGAGGGTTGTGGAGATGGGGGGAAAGGATGTAATAGAGGAGGAGTTTCGCGCTGTGGTGGGTGTCAATGGGATGTTCCTTGTTGACGCGGAGATTGCGGTCGAGGCACCGCTTGCTGAAATTCGAGGCGAAGGGTGGGAGGGGGAAATCGGGGGGTTGATGCTTAGGTCTGTGGCTGAGTAGGGGTGTTTTTGGATATCGCAGGGCGGGTGTTTACGAGGCAGGTTGTGAGATGAGATAGACGTTGAGCGGGATGACTCTCGTGGTGTATGCATCATGTACCTTGAGAATGTCCTGTGTGAGGTCGACTGTTACTCATCTCAGTCACATCCTTACTGAGCCCCTCATCTTCATTCACATTCATGCTTATAAGCTGTTGCTACATGTCCTCGATCATCACACATCCTAGCTACCTACCTACTGGCAATACATCTCCAACAGGCAATTTCGTTTATTTCATCGCGATGAAAAGCAATTGCTTCGAGGGGGCAGCTCAACCATTCACTGTGAGCCTTGCTTATTCTATCCATGGGCGTAGCGCGGTAATCTGCATATTATAGAACAGCATAATATCATCACATCGCTTTCGCTGATGTTTTTCTCATATAGCAATTCAGACATCTCTATTTATAAAGAAAACCGTATCGTATCGTATCGTATCTGTGCCGTCTTTTCGTTTGTCTCTTCTAGGAACCAGCCGTATCCTACCAGCGCCCGCTCATAATCGTTACTCATCATAGGTAGTATATATATTAAGCGCCGGCCTTCGTGTTTTTGTGTTTGTTTCCCTTCGAGGGAGATATCGTCGCGCGCATCTCATATCATGCCACTAAGCCGTTCGTTCATCTTCATTAATCCCTCTGTCTCTAATATAACTCGACAAAGCGCGGCAAGATCTGGCTTGGACCTATGAACACCGAATATTCATAGTTGTGGATGCTCAGATCTTATGTTTCTCGCAACTTAGTATAAACATTACACTGCTTTCCTGCTTTCATATAGAATACGTCTTTTGGCCTGCCTTAGATAGGATCGATGCTCATGGCACAGACGCTGAGTGAGTTGTTGGTGTAAGGGTTCTTGTAGCCCTGTTTGTTTGATTGTTTGTGGTTAGTTGAGATTTTCAGCACTGTTGGGGAGGTGTGAAGGCATGAAATGAAGAGGATATAATGGATTTGGGATACTGAGTGGAACGAGGTGGGATGGGATGAAGAAAGAAAAGAAAAAGGGAGAACGCGACTTACGATTGTCTGGCAGCATCCTGTGATGTTGTACACGTATAAGTTGCAGCTGTACATGGGGTCGTACACGCCCATTAGATGTGCGCCGATGCCTGTGATGATGGGTGTGAGTCTTTGTATATGTAGGCATGTATGTCCCTGCGAGCCGAATGACAGAGCCCTAAGTAACAACTTACAATTTACCCCGACTTGTCCATTGATATCCGTGCAGCAACTAGGCGAGAATCCAGACGCCGATGTGGAATTGCACGTGAAATACACCCGCGCCATATCTCTCGTCATCTCCGTCGTTGTCGGCGCCGATAGAGCGGTACCGAGGAGGAACGTCGCGATAGTTGAGACGAGATACATGGTTGTTGATATAGGTCTATTACTAGAGTGTGCACAGGTGAAAATGTCTAGGTAAGGCTTTTGGTGGACTTTCAGTAGATAGGCAGGACTTGAAAAGGTATTCCCGATTTGTAACGAGTGATAATAAGTCCTGACTGCGTAAAAACGGTTGGAAAGAATAGGGAATGTGTATGTACATCAAGAACGAGAAAGAGAGTCGGAAGTGGTTGTTTAATATAGAAAGCCTCCTCGTCCTGTTAGTATGGGCATAGCATAGCCTGTATAAGCCCAACAAACAAACAATCCATCCATCCATCCATCCAATTTGACCCAACGGCCCCAGCTGCGCATTCCGCATGATTATGATGATGATGATGAATGATACCTAGGACTACTACCACTACTACCAACATGGACCTAGACTCAGACTCGGCTGTCGGATAAGATGGAAGGAGCACTTATGACGTTGCACAAATAGATAGACAGACATGTCGACAGACAGCTCTGCCGTGCAGGTACGGTCTAGATACTACTCTGCGCACGCGAGGGCAGGGCAGGCGGGATTACGAGATACAGGCAAGGGGGTGTTCACGGAATCGGCCCAGAGAGGGAATTTGGAAATGCGTGGATGAATCCATACTACCTAAAGCAAGGCGTCGTTGCAGGGCATGACCCGGACAATAATTGTGGCATTGACCAACTCCCACTCATGTTCAGAACGTGGGAGTTGATATACGCCTACGTATCTGAATTGCCCAGCCCAGTCCATTTTTCTGCCCCATTGAGCGAACAGATGGGATAATGCTGCTTGCTTGCTGTCTTAGATAGTTGGTGCGCTAGCTATCCTGTACACTAAACCTACCGACGTCAGCACGGACGGTGATCTTTCTTTCTTTCTTATCCCGCGAAGATGAGACGGGTCTAGATAATTAATCCCTGGCTTTGCCTGGTTATAACGGTGGGAGATATAGGAACCGTTGGGCAAGCTTAGCGCTTAATTCACGACGGCGAACTGTTGCAAGATCTCAATACCTACGTCACGGTTACTAGTAAGGTAAGTAGGTAGGTAATTGGTGAACGGTAGTTGTCTCACTTCAACAGCCTGACAAGCTGTCGGCTACACCAGATCCCATCCTTCCATCCATACATCCTCCCTCCTTTTCCAGCCATCTTGTCTTGTCTTGTACAACTTTTCGCGCATATCCCAGCGATCGGGAAAAATGTGATTGATGGGGGTGCGGATCAAGTACCGTGATTCGCCGCGTCTTTTTTGTACTAGATCTTGGCGAATTCGTATTTGCCGATCCCTGGACCGCATCCAGATACAACACACGCCCCGTTTCTTCTCGTATTGGCCCCGTCAATCGTGTACCTATATCAGTACTGCGACATGCATACTAAAGTATGGTATGTATTGGTTAGACGGCAGCCAATGGCTAGAAAGTCGGAAGGAAGATATGTATGGCAGTGTAACTCTGAGAGCGATGATACTTCGGGAAATGGGCTCTCTATCTACAGTATCAGGCCTAGTTGCTATAAAAAGAAGGGTTGCAATATAGGTAGTTATAGTGTCAATGAAACGCTGTATGACCTTCAGTCAAACCACCTCTGTCAAAGTGTTTTTCGTTTTTTTGTCTCATTTTGGTATGTGATTGTTGGCTGTTCACGATTGCGATGCAATGCTACTGTTGGGAGTGTTTCTCGTAATCGTAGGACTTGCCCCGCTAGTCACCGAGTCTCAGCCACCGGACTCACTTCCTTTAGGCTTCAGTGAGAAATCTACTTGTCCGAGCAATAATGGCGGTGTGGGTTATGAGGTGGGACTTTAGGAAAGGTAGAAGGGGGCATCTCCCCGAAAATCGCATGTTATCTGCGCTACGCTTTGAATTGTCGTCAGTGCTGTTGTTCACTGCATGTCTAGATCGTATCCTCATTCTAGGCCTTATCATGTCAACCTTGCCACGAAGCAGAGCTATTCGAAAGGCTGTATAGCTGAACATGATAGTCTAGCGCTCCCGCTGTTTGAACATCGCTGTAAACTACTTATCCATGTGGCTCCAAGTAGAGCGCACCACCTATTTGATAAAGTCTCTTCGAATATCCCACGCGACATCGAGAAGTCATTATGAATCACCTATAAGCTCCGAGGGCTGTTATGCCCCAAACAAGTCATCTTCATCACTGAGATCTTCGATGACAGAGCGCTCTTCACTGGGCTGCTCATACCGGCGCCCATCGTTCAACGCGGATACAGCACGCACGAATTTGGCGTCAGGCCGTACCCCAGCATACATCTGCGGCGTCACAAGCACCGGCCGCGCACTTATCCCCTGACTGACTTCAACGCATTTTAGATAGCCTAGCTGATAGCCAGCCATGAACCACACAAAGGTCCCTCGACTATAATATAGTTTGAAGCAGTATGACGCCTTTAAAAGGTCGAACCCGGATAAGCCAACGCCTGCAAGACCATTGTCGAAGAAGGCCCGTATCGATCTGGTATTGGCTTCAGGCTCGATTGCTTGCCATTTCTCGTATGTATTGGTGAGTTTAGCATCAAATTTCTCTGCGGTAGGAAAATCTTTCCAATACTGGGCTACATCGTGGATATCCTGTTGAAGTTTTTCGAGAACCTTGTTCCAGGTAGATTCCTTGGAGGGTCGCTTGAGTCTCTCGAAGGATTCGAAATACTTGACCAGGTCCACGTCATACTTTTGGGCGCCCCTGAGACATCGATCGAAGTTCTCCATCTCTCGCTCGACCGTCGGCTTGCCTACCTTGAACTTCAAATAGTCGATGATGTGGCTTGGTGAATCACCGGGATAATTATCCTTCTTGTACACAGGCATTGGTGGGTCCAAGCGCTGTTTGGCCAGTTTCGCATCTGCTTGCGTGGAGTTGAGGAATTGTCGTTGTTGATGCCAATCCTGGTCTGTGAAAACAATGCCCTGTTTCGCTCGATCGACTAGGTTGCTGATAAGGGTGCTCAAGAATATAGCATGTTCATCACTAACAGAGTTTCTTGAGTAGCACAGCTTCTCCTTATAGTTGGTACAAGTGCCGAGGAGGTTCGGCTCCATGTTGAAACGAAACGCTTCGTCGAGGAATCTCGTCGTGGCTTCATCTACCGACTCACACGATTCAGCGAGTGATCTGTAGGTGTCTTTCTTTTTCGTCAATACATTTTGCTGAAAAAGATCTGGCACGTCGGGAGGCGGTGCGTTTACAAAGTTGTTTACGATATTAGGCTCCCAACAGACCCAGGCGATATCACCATCATAGTCACCTCCTGAAAGCTTGTCGGCTAATGGGATGTTTCCCTTGGACGGGAAAATGATGACGTCTTTTAGAGAACCAAGCTCTGGTTTGAACACTGCCTTGACTCGCTGTATATCGCTTGGATAATGCGCCGGTATACGTGCAACTAGTACGTCCATGCCGTGTAAAAAGGTCTCCGAGAAACCGGACTGTTCGTCAGTGAACTTAGATGAAAAGCCTAGGTGCACCTCATCTTCTTCCAGGATGCCCTGAAAGTCTATGACCATATAAGCGTATGTAGATCGTCCAACCTTAACATTGAGCTTAGTCTGGAGTTCGTCACACTTTTGTTTGCGTATTTTATACGAAATCTCACGCAAGAACTCGAGTTTGGTCGGATCGAAGCCTTGTGATAAGAGAAGTTCCATTTGGTCTTCTCTACTGGTAGGAAGGCCAGCCACCCATGGCACATGGCCAAGTCTGACCCGCTCCTGGCGGCGTTGCGGAGCGGTGTTCTCGTGAACCCACACTCGGAAATGGGCAGGGTCTTGCATCGCTTGCTTCTGCGATTCCATTTCCATCTCAAGGCTCTCCTTCATAAATTTTCCAACTACCCTCTTCATGCCGGATGCGGCGATAGCTCTGTCTTCAAGAATCGGTAGTAGTTGGAGATTCAAGGCCGCGGATCTAAGCTCTCCTGGATTGTTGCGAACTTCAAAAGTCCGATGGTCCTCCTCTTCATAATCACAATCCCATTTTCTTTGAGAAGGGAAAGTCTCAATCCAGATGTCGTCGCTAGGATCTTCGGTGTCTCGGATCCAAAATCCCTTTGCACTACCGAAACGACCTTGGTACCCAGCTGGTAATTCACTAAGACCCATCATATCCCGGATCTTTTTCACGAGGGCCGTTGACATGCGACCTATGCCATCGTTCATGACTTTACCTTCCGGCGATAAGATGTCTTCATCACGATGGCGGATCTGATTGGTCTGGAGTATCACGGTCGGACGGGTCCGACTAAGTCCTGGGGGTTATTAGTCAAGACAATCAGTGCTATAGAAATAATCAGTCATACCTAGCGCGATCCTCGAGAATAGTTTGTAGATCGATTGATTCTGATTTTTCTGGCTTCTTTGAATCTGCAAAAGCCAGTCGAGTAGATGTTCCCGCTTCATTTTTGTATGCCCGTTGCTTGGCTCAAACTTAGGGGACACGATTTGTGTCGCATCTGCACGAAGAAAGTCGTTGCCATCTTCGGCGAACAAGTATATTCTTTCTTGCATTATTGTTTTTGTTTCAGGTCTGAGAATATCATCACTTTGGACCTTCTTCGCGGTAGCTTGTTTCGTGTTAAATGCCCTCCATGATCGGCCAAGTATGAAATGACAACTTTCAGCCAACCAGACATGAACGGCGTCTATGATGGCAAGCCTGTTACTTTTGCTGATATCTTTTGTTTTTTTTTCGTGTGGCGAGGGCATAATAATTTCAAGGAAACGGTCAGACCCAAAGCGGCGATTAAGTCTGTGTGGAAGATCTAACCTAAGGGGCTGGAGGTTGAGTTTGAACAGTGGCCCAACTTTCTTTTCATTGAGGGTCAGCGATGCTGTAAGAACTACAACTTGATCGGTCGAGCAAAAGTGGTCGTTTATCGCTGCGTTCCAAGCCTCTAGTCTTGACCTCTCTGGAAAATTCTTGCCCTCCAACGCCTGAAGATGATGGAGCCTTGCCCACAGGTTGTTCTGATCATTCATGCTGGGTTCGTATTCGAAATCCAGCTTTTCCATAGGAACGCCGCAATATAAGGCTACGCGCATTACTTCCCAACGCACAGCTAAGGGTATATGATGCAGGTGGGCGGGAAAGATAGCTGATTAAACATGATTAGTTATAATAAGTAAAATTGGTGTGTGCACTTACGCCACACATCCTCGAGTCGTTGCTGGAAGCTCTTGGCGGGGGGTTTGGTAGTAGTAGTGCTGCGGACCTCCGGAGGTTGCTCTTGGGAAAGAATTGGCTTGTTGGGTGTATCAAATGGATAATCATGCGAAGCATCATCCTCCATAGAAGGAATAGGATGATCATGGTGGTCAATGGTCAAGTGTTTGAGGCTATCATGTGACTGTGGGCGGTTCAGGCCCACGACTTGTGTGGGTAGTTCTTTAGCAGCCCGTTCACGAGCAGTATATTCATCAAATGAGGATGCAAGGAGACGTTCCGTACTTGTTGAAGGAGCAAGGGAATCTACCAAAGACGAAGGCGGCCGCTTCAGCCTTGGCCCCGAACTCTCTGCGACATTGGTGACTTCGCTCTCCTGGGATGCTGGGAATACCTGTTCCTCGGTGTCGGTAAACACCTTGGATACGAGGGATGACTTGCTTGTATTAGACGAGGTGGGGAAGCCATATACATGCTGCTGCGGGCTAGGCTGTAGATCTCGGGCCACAGACAACACGGGTGATTCAGGAATGGTGGAAGAAGACCTGACTTCGCTAACATCCAGGCGTGAGACAACGCTTGGAGGTCTCTGGATGTCGATAACGCCTCGAGAACGCTTTGGGGATGGAGAAGTTCTAGTTCTGCCAGCCGGTGGGCGTTTCGAACGTTGTTCGCGGGGTTCATACATACTCTCGAGGAGATCAAGAATGTTTTCCAGTTTTTCCAGTAAGCTGAGACGTTCAGTCTCGTTGGACGCGCGGGGCAGGTGACCTGAGGAAGGGGTGACGTCCCTTTCCCCCCTCGGCTTCCTCACCCATTGCGAATGTACCGCACGAGCGGCTTTCGCGAATGCGTTCAGGATAGCTCTGGCATTGCCTTGCTCATACTGGCACTGCAAACGCTCGTAGAAATGCGAATCGTCGTAATAGGATGAGGTTGAAGGTTCGTTTGATAAGAAGCCAGAATCAGGCCTACGTAAGTTTAGATTGTAAGCATTGGAGAATTCCAGGAACCAGATGACGAAACAGCCATCATCCTTGGGCTTGTCTGGCAGGTCTGCAGCCAAATCGGGGCTTTCGACACGCCTAGACCCATGGCGGCGATTCGGGTCCATGCCTCAGTCCGAGGGCTATCCAAGGGATCCAAGGGCTTTCCAAGGCTTGTCCACGCACAGCACACACCGCACTCGCGCACATACAGTAGACGCACCACACAGGCAAAGGCTCCATATAGACCCGGGCCGGGCCCGAGTGACAGTGGCCACCAATGAATGGTCGGAGCAGTGGCTGGCTTGGAATGATGCAGATCTGCCGTCTGCGGGTGACTACAGAAATAACCGGGGAGGCAGCTCCAGTGGCACGCCCTATTCCCGTTAGGTTGGCTGTCGAAGTCGGCTAGTTAGCTAGCTAGCTAGTAGTACTATGTAGTTGGCAGAGTTTGAGTCAAGTAAAGGCAGTCGACCAGTTAAGCAGCGAGCAGTAGTGTTTGGGACGTGTGGACTAGGTAAGCAGATAAGTGCGTCGTATCTAGCACGATTACAGGTAGCAGGCCGGATCGTGGCGAATGAGTGAGTGAGAGAGTGAGTGAGTGAGTGAGTGAGTGAGTAATAGCTAAGTGAAGAGGGCCATATGAAGCGTAGTGAGGATGAAGGACTTGGATGATATTGGTTGATGTCCACGGTTGGGTTGTAGTCCTGGATATATCTAACCTAGGCAGTGAATACTACCACCAACATGGAAGGGGCGGGAGGAAAGGGAGTTGGAGGGGGAACCCGGGTTGGCAGAGGACCCTCATGGGTTTGCCTAACACAAAACAGACAGTGAAGAATGCCTGAGCTGTAACGGGCTGAAGGGCAGGGACGCTGTGTTACCCGTCGCCTGTTTGGTCCCCTCAGCCGAATTTGTGATAGATCACACAGTTCACGATAACTCTACCTACCTACTTACCTATCAACTAAGTACCTATCAACTACCTATTAAGTACCTACCTATTAACTAACTACTTACATAGTTAACCTAGGTATCAAATAGTAAGAATTGCATGTTGAATTAAGGTAGGTTAACCTGGGTACATATATGTAGGTATGTACGAGCAACCATGAACTCTCTCCCTTAGTCTCTCCCTTAAGTACCTTACCTATCTGCATGTAGTTACTGTTTTTCCACATCTGCTTTCCCCTCGTCAAGTCCCCCATCTACCTGCATTAGCTGATTCAGGGACATATGTAGAAATAAGTAAGTACATACTCAAGTAGGTAGGTAGGTAGGTTAGGTAGGTAGGTACCTAATGGCGTTGGGGATGCTATCTTAGAACCCCAGATCCCCACCTGCATGCTGTAGGCAGCCTGTAAAGTCCCCTATCCGCATGCTGAATCCCAAGCCCTTTCTAGCCCCTTCTAGCCTTTAGAGTTACTGCTATCGCAGCTATCACGGCTACCTATCACAACCATCACATCCGTCACAGCCGCCCCCCTCACAAACCCCTCACTCCATGTACATGTAGAAACTCGAACCCTCGCCTCCTCCCCTTCTAATATCTATCCAATTACCTATCTCGGATTGGAGAATCGGCGGGCCACTCTGCCCTCCCCCGGCTTCTTCGTGTCTGTTCGTGGTCTGACTAAGTACCAGATGGCTCCCACTACCATTCATAATGCTTCATGATGGCTTAAGAGAACTTCCACCCCTTCTCGCACTTCGGCCCTCTCGGGATCTTCGTCTCTCTCCACGAGAAGCTCGATCTGCCCTCGCCGGCTTCTGTCCTGGTTCCGCCAGTCCCCTTCATGCGCCAAGACACACGCACCGTTGGTTCTCAGCCTTATAGTCCCTTATCAGAGTCCTTATCCAGCAGGATCCCCATCACCTCTGCCACGCGTGCAACCAACCGACCGACCGACCCGTAGGTCAGGTTCCCGTCAGGTCAATCAAGCCTTAGCTACTTGCGCCGTACCTAGTCCGGTGGATAGCATACCTACCTACCTCCCAATCGTCAGGACCCTTCGGCGCTTCGGCATTCAGACATTCACCACAGCCCGCTTTTGCCGTCAACCGACCGTCCTTGCTGTCTTGTGTAGCGTCCACCCAGGCTCGCCAGGTCCCTTTCCGCCTTGCCTCTGGGCTTTGTTGCTGCTGTCTCGGCCCGGCCCGCCCTGACGCTGCTCCCCAGGCCTCCTCACCCGTGCCAAGCTTCGACGCCCAGGTCCATGAGCCCAAGGCGGGGGGCTGGGCCTTGTCTTGTTGCTACCAGCAATGTCGGAACAGGACATTAACCAAGTCCCTGTTGAGGACCTCACGCCCGAGCAGGCTAGTCATATAATTCATTCTCATCGCAAGGTGAGATATGGTACGTGAACCAATCCCCACCACCGTTCCTTACCTCTCGACCATACCGAGTTAGCCCCGTGATTTAGCTTCGCCGTATCGCTTCGTTGTCTAGCCTGGCTGTTTATGAAGTGATGCTGCGGCTTTGGTGCGACATTTGAGTGGTGTCAGGGTTTGCCATGTAGTTTTTGCTCTCCTTTTGTCGAATGTCATCGCCTCCACATAGCTTACAAAGTTTACAAGGGACTGCCTGTTGGCCGTGTCGGCAGCGCAAGGTGAGATGCACCAACGATCTACCTTGCGAGAACTGCATCAAGAGAGAGCACCCGCAATTATGCAATTATAAGCCAAACCGCTCGAGTGCCTCTAAGCAGACCTCCATCTCCTCGGGCGCTGCTTTGGGCAGAAAGCGAGCCCATTCTCCCGATGCCAATGCCGACCATGCCCATGAAGGGGATCACCAGCCTGACGGCTGGCGACAAGCAATTGGTATGGAATCAACTGATTATATATGCCTCCTTTTATCTAACTAGCTTTCCTTCTCCAAGACCAAACCGAATCCAGTGGTGAATTGCACCGTTATGTCGGTCAGAACAGCATCCCGGCTTTGTTACGGGATCAGCCATCACCGATAGACACCAAGGACGGCATCGATATTCGTCGAGACATGCGCCCAATCTTTGGGCTTGACACGTCTGCCCCTTTTCCTCTCATGTCCGCCAAGCATCTTGATATGATGACGCAAGACATATTCTCCGAACTTCCACCTGATCGGGAGGTCATGATGTATGTGCTCATCTCCTAGCTCACCACATTCCCCAGTCGTTTCGCACAAGCTGATGTGGTGGTGATAGTTTGTTCAATGCGTACAAGGAAATCGCGCACCCGTTCTGGGGCTTCGTCGCGGACATTGACGACCTCGAATCACGTATCATCATCTATCTTGAGGAGAGAGCCAAGAGTGCCAAGGACACGAACAAACCTGGTCGACCTGTTTCGGCCTCATGGCTAGCCATTCTTTTCGCTGTAATGGCCGTCGGATCTCAATATCGCGATTCGCCTTACCATATAAGGACACGCGACTCGCAGAAATACGTTCAGATATCATTTCATTTTCTAAGGATAGGGAACTTTCTTCTGAGGTGAGCCCTTGCCTTTCACTCATTAGACTACAACTCTAATCCCATGTCCCCAGGCCGAATTTCGACTCTATACAGGCATTGCTCCTTACGGGCTTTGTACTTCTCAATGACATGAAAGCTGAGGCTTCGTGGGCCATAATTGGAATGACGTGTCGCCTGGCGCAATCTCTTGGCCTTCACAGGACCATAACACAAGATGATACCGCTCAGAATGAGACGGCTCTCAAATCCTTTGTTCGCCGCAAGCTGTGGTAAGACCATATGACCATCTACCCATATTATCGACCTGACAGTGCTCTAGGTGGACTTGCCAATGGCATGATACTTTGACATCACTGTCCTTTGATCGGTAAGTGCTCTCCAGAAGATCCAATTGATCCGAGACTCATTATGATGGTTTAGTCCCAATATGACAAACATACCATGCTGTCCGATTCCCATCTCACCCAATGCCGCAGTCGAAGGCCTGTCGTATCTCGAAATGATGTACCATCTGTGTGAACTCATTTCTAAATGTCTCAACCCCGATGCCATAGCTGATTACACGTATCAATCGATCATCAACAGTTGCGAAGCCGTTGAAAGCCTTCGTAATATGGTATACCCCCAGCTTCGGAGTAAGGAGGCCTGCAAGAGTGTTCTTGACAAACTACAACATTATGCCACTCGTCTTCACACTTCTTTCGTCGTCTCAGTGTGCTGTCGACCTGCACTTCGTCGGGATTGTACCAGGCTAAGCGCTGAAGAGCAAAAGACGTTATCGGACAAGTGTAAAGCGAATCTTACAGAAACAGTGCGCATGTTTCTAGCCATGCACCAACTGTCCTTCATCCCGACTCGCAGCTGGGCATTCACTTACCACGGCCTGTCGTCAGCTGTTCTTCTTGGGATTCTAAACGAAACTAAACAAGACCGTGAGATTAGACAGCTACATGGCGACTTGATAGCAGCTCTGTCTGCAGCAACCGCAAAGGAACAAGACAGCCCTTCACCCGAGCATATCCGAAAGACGGACAAAGACATTGAACTTTCAGGGCCGCTTTCGAGAGCCTTGGCCGCGCTGAGAAACATATACGATTATGGTACCCTTCATGGCTTGACTGGAATCAAGAGCGAGAGCGCATCAGGAACGCGCACGCCAGTTAATTTCACCAATTCACAGAATTCCCAGATGGTGAATAACACCCAGGCCCGTCCACAACCTGGATATGATAGGCATCAAGATGCTGCATTAGCTATGACGGAGTTACAAAACAGCAATCCTATCCAAGAATATCCAAAGTAAGTCATCATGTGTTAATGGGTCTCAGCATGATCCTTGGCTAATTTTATCGCCAAGTCCGATCCCGTACCAGCCAACAACGATGGCTACGCCCGTTGGTCTACCGGACCTGAGCCAGATCGACCCATCGACGCTCGCCCCAATGGAGCTGTATGACTCCATCTTTTGGGGTGAGTTGCTCTCTTTCGCCTCCGTTACCCCGCAGCATTTGTTGATGACAGTCGCAGAATCACCTGACCCCTTTTACAATGTCGCGGATATGAATTTCGATTTTCTACCCCGTGCAGCTCCTGGGCAGTCGGGGCAACAGTATTATTTCTGAAGCAAACAACCTTCCCATAACGAGTGAATGAACTAAGGAATGCATACTATTTGCGCTCTGGCTGGGAGTGGGGATAACACTGGTTGGTGGGTATTACGCCGTTCAGTTAGGGAGTGAGGGAGGGAAAAACGGCGATTGATGTCAAGTGTAAGGATAGTAGGGCTTTATGATGTGATTATTCTGATGATTTAGGTATTGTAGATTCTTTAGCGTGGTTGTCGTTGTTATTGTTCGATTACATGACTGACTATCTTGGATAAAGTAATACCCAGCTATATGCCTTAGCGTTCAGCCTTGTCGTATGTGTGGAGGGGGTTAGGAAGCTTCGCGGAAAACCTGGACTGTGTCAGGTGTGCTTAGCGAGGAACATGTGACTTGTCTCCTTTCCTTGGGTTTGTAGACAATGTGCTTATTTCGATATCTATAGTCGCGTGAGGTCCAATCACGCAGTGCTGCAAGGGATGTTTTAATCTAGATGTCTGCCAATAACGAGGGGCGTGAGGTATTCGGGGGCGAACTCTCTCTATCAATTTCTACTATCTAATGCTAGTCTTCCGAGTCGGAGCTCTCGCCAGCATGGACTCTGATTGCTGTCAAGCGAATTGTTGTCGGAGTTAATTTATTCAACCTTGAATAAAGCAGCGGGTCGTATGTTTACATAGTAGGTATATAGCTGTTGTCCGTGTTTCAACTGTGCGAGGTTGCACCACCTGCTCCATAGACCAAACATGGAGTGCTCACACACATCTGACTCTCTGTCCGTGAAGATGATAAATGGAAGAGGTTTTCTTGAAAGGGTGCCTAAGGAGGGAGTATGCCAACTCTGGAATTGAGTGCAGGGGAGCACACCAGTGAGCGGGCGTGACGTCCCTCCCTTTTAAACATCAATTAACACGCTCAATACCATTAGTTATCCCTCCACGAACCTCATTTAACATGGTCGCTTCATTAGTTGTATCCAACGATGCCTTCTGCGATGGGACCCACGCCTTTCTGCGTCCAGACTGATACTCTGCGCCCAATGATACCATCACTCCCAACCTCTATCTTGAAGGGCTGGCCTAATTCTAACCCCGCATGCGTTCTATCGTCGATCGTGCTCTCTCCAATGACGGGCTGCAATGTGAATGATGCCCATGAAGGACTTGTCGACGCGGGTTTTGTCAAATCCCCGGTCTCACTACAAGGCATGATTAACAAGCGGGGTTCAATGTGATCGCTCCAGATCAGATGATTGGTGTGATCTTACTGTATTCTCACTAGGAAGGATTCCTTGGTACTGGGCCGAGATGAGTCGACTGTGAGCATGGCATGCGTAGCGATTGGATTCTCGGCTGTTCTGTTGTAGAAGACGAGGCGGCCGGCCATTGGTATGGAGGCAGTGGTTGTGAAGGGTGACGGACTCATTACTGCCAAAGCGCCGCCCGCGACGTCCCTGGAGTGATGGTCTCCGCACATGGTAGAGGTTTTATATGCAGTTTTCTGATTGTTGACAGATGTTGGTGCTTTTTTTCAGCATCACTGAAATGGTGATGGCTTCGGCGAGAAGTAGACCACGGAAACTAAGTCGAAGCTGTTTACAGGAGCAATTCGTGCTGGAACTCGCAAGTTGGACTGGCAAGAAAGAGGAAACAAGAAAACCACGACGCGGTTTCTGTCATTCACTGGCGTGGTGTCATTGGTATTCTGCAGTGTCCATCAAGGTCCTAAGTAAGAGCAGCCCGTTTGTTCTTCTATGCTACCTATCCTGGGACACCCATACACCTATACATCGAAGCCAAGAAAGAAACGAGTCAATTGTTTCGCATCCATGGCCCGTCTGGAAGACAATAGGCACTGACAATGCATATTCGAGTACCTAAAGCGAAGAGCAGATTAGAGGCTCTTGAGAGGTTCCGAGGCGGTTTTTGAGCAAGTTTGCGCTTGTTGCGCGATCGAGGCCCACACAAAGAAACACCACAAACCACAACAGTGCTGCTCTCCCCACGCTACACAGCTAATGAGAAGGCAGGGTCCAGAGAGCGACATGACATGATGTGACAAGATATGACAGAGCCCGAGGGGGCGAATACCGTCATTTCAGTTGACGTAACTCTGAGGACCTTGCGGGCGGCCGGATGTAGCCGGTGTTTGCGATAGGCACGGTCCGGTACGCGCGCCTCTGCCGCTGCTGAGAACCCCTTGGGAAACTGCTTAGTCCGGCGAAGAGGGGAAGGAAGAAACTTTGGGCCAGTCATTTGTTTGAGGGGAGAAACTTGGGAGACTGTTTAATGACACAACAGGTCGGTGCTGTCCCCTCTTCTCTCATTTCCTACCTCCCATCATCTCTCTTCAATCCCACACCACGAAACCTGCTTCACCACGCTGATACAGACTCAAATAAGTCAGACTCGTAGGCTAGACGAAAGACAAGAACAGAGAGAAAAGAGTTGAATCACGCCAGACTTCCACAATGGTCGCAACAACCTACAAGCTTCCTCCGCTACCCTACCCTTACGATGTAAGTAATGTCTGCCCTCCATTTTACTCTCTCGTGAGAAGAGGTCGTAAGTTTGAATACATATAGTAACACGTAGTAACGTATTGTTTGACAGGCCCTCGAGCCAAGCATCTCCAAGCAGATCATGGAGCTTCATCACGACAAGCACCACCAGACGTACGTCACCAACTTGAACAAGGCACTCGAGGCCTCCGCAGCCGCAACCGCCGCAGGCAAGTTTCACGACGCAGCTGCCCAGTTCTCCGCCATCCGCTTCAACGGCGGCGGCCACATCAACCACTCTCTATTCTGGGAGGGTCTGTCCCCCGCGTCGTCCCCCAACGCACAGCCCTCGGCAGCACCGAAGCTCCTGGCTGCGATCAATAACACCTGGGGCAGCCTAGACCAGTTCAAGTCCACCTTTGGCACGGCTCTGCTGGGTATCCAGGGGAGTGGATGGGGTTGGTTGGTGAAGGAGCCCGGGACGAACCAGTTGCGTATCGTGACTCTCGCGAACCAGGAGGCTGTTGTCCAGGGGGATACCCCGCTCATTGGCGTCGATATGTGGGAGCATGCGTATTATTTACAGTATCTGAATGGCAAGGCGGCGTACGTGGAGAATATCTGGAAGGTCATTAATTGGAAGACGGCGGAGGCAAGGTTCACGGAGAGTCGGGAGGATGCTTTCAAGGTGCTTAAGGCGAATATTTAATAAAGGAGCTTTTGGAGCACGTTAGTTGGGGGGTTTTATCAAGTAGGTACTACTAGCAGGACGGCATGGCGAGGCTATGGCAGAATGAAGATTGTCATGCAGTGAAATTAGTTTAGGACCACGGGTAACAGGGGTATTGGTGTTACTCTCAAAAGGAAATGATTATCTCGTGTTGAAAAGAAATGGCAGGCCAAGACTAAATGTGTGAGACTGTGAGAACTGGAAAAACAGCGATGAATTGCTTCTTATAACCATTAGATGTCTAATACGCCCGCGAGATCGATCGAAGTGTCACAAATGGGAGAAACATGGCCAGTTTCAAAAGAAGTCTATTCTCTTATCATTAGTAATATATGGCGACGTCAAGTCATTCGCTGCTACGTAAGCACCACTCTCCAAATGTGCTCTCGTTTATTAACCCGGGCAGATCGTCCTTTTTTCTGCTAGAGACGAGTACCGCCCGCCCGCTAATTGGGCCCTGAGAGAGAGAGAGAGAGCGACATGGATTTTCCTCCTTATAATATCAAACGCGATTCCAGGCCAGTCCAGTCCATGCATCTATGTCGACAACGCTGAGAGTCCGATTTTCTTATGTCTCTTTTTTTTCTTAAAATTTTTTTAAGATCCTTTAGATTGATTGGGTTAGATTGGAAAAGGGGAGAGGGAGAGAGATGAGGAAAATGAATAGCCTGACTCCTTCCTCCCGAGTGGGATTTCCCGTTTCCTGCCTTGCCTGGAGGGAAACCCCTTTTTTGCTTGTTTGATGATACATCGAAGTGATACGCGATGCTGTTGAATGAGTGGTATGTGGAGAGTGCGATGGCCACAGATCATTGCTTCGCATGTTGTCGTTTGCTCAGTCGGATGATTAAATCTCGACTACGGAGGGGGCATCACCTGCTCAGGCGCCGACGGCAAAAGATTGATCTCAGACATGATCCCCTCGTCAACAGACATGGTACTCCGGATCTGCTCGTGCGTAAGGCCCTCCCAAAACTGAGGATTGTTCTGCTGCGCCTTGCGCGAGCGGTAAATTTCCTGCGCCACCCCCTTTACTTGTCCACCTGCTGTCTCCGCCGCGCGCCACACGCTGCTCAGCTTATTCAGCGCCCCGATGTTCAGCCGGATCTGTTGTCGTAGGTCTTCCTCGTCTTGGATGAAGTAGACCGCGGCCCATTTGCTCAAATGCACGATCGACGATAGCGTCAAGACGCAGGTGAAGAAGTGCGTGTGGCTGGTGATCGGCACGTTGTACGTTACCATTTTGCTGATGGAACATGCTGCGCTGATGATGTGCCGCGTGTGCAGGTTGAAGTTATCCCCGCTTTGCACTGCGCGGTGAGGCGCGCAGGCTGTTACGTCGCGGGTTGGTGAGGAGTCTAGCTGCGAGAGGGGCTGGTGGAGGATGATGGTGCAGCTTTTGGATTGCGTCAGTTGGTCACGTTGAACATTTTGCGAAGTATCGGTCAAACTCACGCATGATTGATCATAAATGCCTGGAACATCATCTCGTCGAGCTGTCCGTCTTTATTCAGACAGTCTCGCTTCGACTTGGGTAGATGGAGTCTCCAGTTCGACAGAAGAGATTCGATTCTGTCGACGCTTTCCTCGGGTGAGAAGCCACTGCCTGGTAAACGCATCATACGGCCCAGATTGCGAATAGAGGCAACACGATACGCAAAAGACGAGAACTCTCGGTCTTCACCTGAGAAGAGCTGGTCGTCAAAGTCTTCCAGATACATGGGACGGGGGATTTTCTGCAAAGAGAAAAGGTGAGAATCAGCTCTGGCTTGCCCGTCATGAGGGAAAAAACACTTACCCCTGAAAGATACTCATGTTCTTCACATGGAAGTCCGACATCCGCCGTGAAATCATATAGGAGAAAGTTAGTCTGCCTATGGACACCGGCAATCATCCCGTCTACGACGAATAAATCCCACCACGTCCGTCGCCAACTTTCTTCGAGTCTCGGATTTCCGCACCCGTGCGTCGTGGCGTAGGGCCGAGTGTATAAACCAAGCTCGATGGCTATTCGTTCTGCGTCGGAGAGGATATCTCTCGCCTTGTCGTTCTGGCGACAACCGTCGAGGCCGATAATTGCGATAATCATAGCCTGCACTAGGAAGCCATCTTTAGGGGTCTCGGGGGCGTACAGGAGTCGCATCGTCTCCTCGAAGAAGGTAGCACGAGCCGGGCCAATCGGAAGATACAAGGACCCCACCCATCTCATGGCCGCGAGGAGATGTTCGATGTTCCTTTCCTTGGCCATGTTCATAATGTGTGCCTTGGGCAGAACAGCAGGGTGTCCGGGGTAAAAGTAGAAGTAGAAGGCGTCGATACATTGCTCTGGGATCGATCTCTGCGGTGCTTGGCTGTTGACGGTGGCCACAACCCCATTGATATCTTGGGCATATGGAGTCCGAAATACCTGGAGACTGTTGGTCACGGGTGGCGCCACAAACGGCGACACTGGAGCATCTGGTATGGTCATGGCCCTAGTGAAGGTTGCCATACTTGCCGGTACAGTTGTGCGAACCTGAGCACCCAGCAACATGGGGCAGCTTTCAGAGCCAGCCGAGGGCGGCGAATCTGAAGCATGTCGCTTGTTCGGGTTGGCTGTGGAATTCTTCCTCGGCCCCTTGTACCCGCGACGGGAAGCTATGTAGACACATTCAGAACTCGAAGAGAGACATCGCGAGCATGGATTAGAGCCGTCGCACTTGAGATGTTTGCCTCTCTTTGGTCATGAAGACGACCCGTCAGCACAATGCACATAGCGAATAGGATAAGAAACATGACAAGATTATAAAAAGAAAAGCATGAAAAGAAAAAAAGTTAAAAGCTTCAACAAGTCACGAATGATTTCAACTTACACAAGCTAGACAAGCTGCTGGTACGGTTTGAGTAGGTCCCCGCGAGTCGGGATTTCCCGGTGGTGAGATGGTCGGCGCCGTTTGAGGGACGGCGGGCGCATACATCTCGGGAGACGACGAATGCGACGACGGGTCCGACACACTCTGCAAGTAAGAATCCATGATACGTCACCTATACTACTATTTTGATGATGGATATAGTCTGACGACGGGATGAGCTCGACCCGGCGTTCCGGGTATGATGGGGACGCGATCTTAGTGATCTCGGGTATCGAAGACAAATGCTTGATGGGAATTAGTTGGACTGGGGGAGACGGTGGAAAAAAAGATGCGACAGTCGCGCGAGATTCAATCCGGCTTGGGCTGAAGATTGCGAAGGCAGGGGGGTGAGAGCCTCCCGTCTCTTCCCAGTCACTTTCCGGGCACTTCCCAGTCTATCTCCAATCTCCAGCGTTTAAACCCAGACCTGGCCAGTCCAGTCCAGTCCAGTCCCAGCTCAACCCTGGTCCACGGCAACAAATCCGGGGAAGCGATCGCGAATAACTGACTAATCTAGGCACACTAGGATATGATCTCAAGACGCAAGAAAGAAGAAAAAAAAGGAGAAGATGAAGATACGTATACAGGTAGTAGGTATAGAATCAAGAAGCAAACAGGTTGACGGGACAGGCATAGGCAGCTCGTCGTGTGCCCTGCCCGCCTGGTCTTAAGCTCCTCAACGCTGAAACAAACTAGGTGCCTATCCTAGACTAGACTAAAGAAACGTCAACACGAACGTTTTATTTTCTGTGGCGCCGGTCCATATGCCGAGGGGCCCAGCGAAGTAGACTCGAGCAAAACTCCAATGTTCCAAGACGACTCAGGACTAGACTCGTCTGCGCTCCGCCGGTCTAGTTAGTTTAACGTGCTTGTTTTGCCAACGGTAGCCAATGAAAAACCAGACAAGGCCCTGTCTAGATCCCGGTTTAAAGTGGATTACGGTATACCTTGGAAGTGGTAGTCATACAAGATCTATCCACGATCTGTACCTCGCGCTACTACAGTTCCATGTGCCGGTATTGTGTCGGGAAATAAAGATGACGGGAAGGGCGAGATGAGATTAGATGAGATGAGATGAGGGGCCAGGCTGATGACGTCGTCGAGCCACTTCAGACTGGTCTGCTGAAGATGTGCCGGAATGGCGTCCCAAGGGAAGAAAGATAATAAGAGCGATGGTGATTACCTATAGTGATGATGGGATGAAGGCGATGGGCATCGGAGAGATTTCCTTAGTGAGTGCGACGCTGTGAGCCGAGGAAATCTCCGATGATAACAGGCGAGCACTGTCTCTCTTTTTTTTTTTTTTTGGTTCAACTCACTTCTTCGGCCAGTTATTGCTCTCGCCAGACTCATTGGACACGCCACGCATTGCCCATGCGCCATCATAATGCATCGCATGATGAGGGGTTGGGGGGAAGGGCGTGTCTGGGTTGCTCAGGGGCTCCTCGCTCTGATCTCTGGGCGCTTTTTCTTATCCTGATCGTAGTAGCCATGTGCGACCAAGCCAATGCAGGGACGGCCGAAATCGAAGCGGCGGCATGGTACCCTCGTAGAATTCTATATTAATAATGGTTTTGATATAGCAAATCCCCCGTATTCGCTCAATTACTACGATCCAACTTACTATTCGCACACTTCCTTCACCCATCAACGGCCTGAGCAGATAGACCAGGGGTGACGCTTACTTCGTACACGAGAAGAGGTATACATAGTATCATCGCAGCACCTTAGCGAGGTCCAATGCGGTGGTTTCAGCTTCAAGCACTCGAAGGCTGCTTTGGCATTTGTGGCACGGGAGCCCAGTTGCCTCTTCCAGGGTGGATAAGCTCGTAATGACACGACTCAATACTGTGGTGTAGCCGATCTAACCTCTTCTAAAATCCGTACAACAAAAGCCTCGTTGCTTTTTTTCAGACCGGAAAGCGTAGCTTACGAAGTATGTACCGTTCGGGTCTCACCCTGGCACTGTACGGCACAATGCTGGTTGGATCGCAGCCAGTTCCAACCATGCCAGAACCCAGGTCCCAACAATCGACCTGTCATCTCGATCCGTCATAGGTCCCCCAGCTGAAACCAGCATGCGAGACCTCGATTAATCGTCAGCGCAGATCTCGCTACAGGAGTGGTGAAGCGGCGCAGGCGGGGGTTGGTGGTGGTTTATCAGGAGCCGAAAAGACGACGAGTCAAGCGCCGTGAGCGGATTGGCCAAGAGCCGCAAGAACAGGTTCTCATCGAGACAGACACCGTTTTCTCGCATGGATATGCCTGTAGGAGCATCCCGGTCGCCTGAGTCAACTCTCTGCCGACCCCCCCCATTGCAAGATGCCTATGGCATTTGGGCCTCGACACTTGACTGAATCGTCCGAGAATTCGTGGGGTGAGTCCCCCCTCCCCAATCCCCAATCGCAACAACTCGGTGCGGATGTGGCCGAACATCCTCGACCCTCGTTTAGTGCAGGCACTTGCGCTAGCGAGCAAGTGGTAGGTTCGTCCTGTCAACGTCAAAAGGATCGCTTCCGTTCCGCTGTCAACACCGACCCGCTTCGAAAGGTCCTCTTCATATTGGTTTGGACAGGAACATTGGTGGTGGTCAACTTCTCACAGGGACCAATCACACCACGACATGTCCATGGGAATTGGTTCTCAAGAGATCCAGACCTTCAAGCTATGTAAATATGACGCGGTTCACTTTGCCAAGTTAGCACGGCAAAGAATCGTCACCATGCCCGGATTACCTACAAAGCCCTAGACTACTCTAGCATTTTTACGACTAGTATAACGGCGTGATACCCACACATTCACAGCGCCTAGCCTGATGTAAGGAGTGGTCAGTGTCTTGCCTGCGACATCGTATTCACAGACATCTCAGCATGCACAATGTGTAACTTTTACAGAGCGTATAGTTGTACCTACTCTATCTAAATCCCCCCTCCTCTGCAGGCATTCACCTAGTAGGCGACCGAATCTAGTAAGATGGACTTTGAATATGTCGGAATCTCACGATTAATTGGTACTTTGTTGGTATCACCACATGGCGACCCGACCGACCGACCGACCGGCCTACCTACATACCTATATACCTACGGATACGATTTTAACCCAAACGGTTGGGCATTCGGACTTGTCCTACTTGGGTAGACCACGGTACACTAATGCACCGAAGTATCAGCTCGGGTTAGCTGGGCTTGGACGGGCAGAACTGGGACCAGGTAGCTTTGGGTAGGTAGCTTGAGCCGCTAGCCTAGTTCGAAAGTTGTAAAAGGATCTTTTATGCATTGACGTTTTGTGAGCAGAAAGCGACAATTACGAAAGCTTCTGAGAATCGTAGGCCTCTTCGCCGATACTCCGTCGAAGATGAGATATGCCATGCACCAACACACTTGATCATTCTTCTCTTAGTTTAGTAGCGGAATTAAATAGTAGGCCAGATTTAGCCACCCGTAGCTTTGGAGTTGTGAGATGATGTTAAGATCACTTCTTTATAAGAGTTAAACTTCGTTTCGCCTCTCTGCTGACTCCTCCGCTAGAAACGACAGCATATATCTATTGACTCGACTAACAAACTCTACCTACACCCCATTCCTAACCGATTACCTGTCCACACTAACATTGAATTGTTGAGTTATAATTAGTTAAGGCTTTCCTTCAAGTCCGCAGCCTGTTGCTCCTAAGCCATCAGCTTGATGACTAAGGTCGTAATAGTGTCCTACATGCGTAGCTCAACATAACTTGCATTAGAACAAAAGACTGTCACGTACGACCATAGCCTCTGGAGAACTCGGGATCCCGTCTGCTCTCCCTTAGATAAACCCGAGAGCGCCAAATTAGTAGTCGGGTCGGTGACGACCGGCGAATCCTTGGTGTTGTACGTTATTATTTTGTTACGATATTCTTTTATTTATTTTGAGGTTTCCCTTCTTCTACAGTATATCGCTGAGACAATGGACTGTGATCATTCATAGGTGAGAATAGTTTCTAGGTCCAAAGTGCACGTCATCAAATAGAAATGTAGCTTCGGTACGATTACTCGCGGAGACAAATGTCCCCTGGGTGGCGTTGGGTTTGCTAACCATTGAGCAGAACTCAAAGCGTCATTCTAAAAGGAAGTTGGAACATCTGAAGTAGAGCAATAGTAAAGCATACTTCGTGGATTTATCATCTACACTGGTTTCCAAGGTGCGACATAATTGGTGAATTCAGCCTTCACGGTATGATAGCAAGTAATAATCAAGACACATCTACGACAAGGGGAAAGAGGGTATCTTGACCTTGAAGCTGGAGACCTGTTCTTGCGTGAAAAACTAGGTTGTCTGGATGAATATCTACGCTACAAACAAGATACATACATCGAATAACCTTTGAAAGATGAATATCAAGACATGTTGTAATACTATCAGCTGCTATAGCAAAGTTGAGACATGCTAGTAAATAAAATACGGTCTTCAGCTTTGCCTCTGCAAAGACGGTATCAACCTCGTTCGCTAACGATATGTCGTATACGTGATATGAAAGCACCTGTGACGCGATTCTGGTTAGTGTTGAAGTCAATGACGCGAATACGACAACTGAGTTCAGACTGAAGCAGAGACCCTTGACTAGATGCGACTCAATGAAGCCGCAACCGCCTTCGACGACGACAGGACTCAGGGTAATTAGGGGATATGTCAGGGGTCTCTGATATAACAAAAGTTAAATCAGCTCTTCAATCAATCAACGGATAACTAAGCGGTCGGACGCTTTCTACTGCTTATCTATCGTTGCTAGTAGAGATCCGGGTCTTCATGGAATGAGAGACCTAATAGAAACAAACCTACCTAGCGGATACATTTCCTATCACTTTAAGTGACATTTCCCCCTTGTAACGCAAGGCACACTCATGACAGCCTCGTATCTTGGTTGTATTCTCCTGCCCTAGATAGGTTGTATTACCTATTTTTATACATTAGGTAATATCTCAGCTCATATACTTCGGTGTGGATAAGAAAGATATTATGAGTAATTTAGCCGCACCACATGGGGGCTTAATAGCACCGTAGCTCTCTGTAGGAGCATCCAAACGCTTAAAATATCGTGTATTGATGGTGCTGCTTGTATTGGGGGCGCAACTAGTTACGCATTAGATGTTATTCAGTTTGACTCTGACTGGGGCCAAGTCGCACTGGAACTACAATGCTACCATGGCGTGGCAGGCAGGCAGATTAGAACCGTCATGAAGAAATTGAACAGCACACTATTTCATCACGCACCTCCAAAATATTTCCCAACCATCTAGACTTCCCTATTACTGGTGCTATACTAGACTCATACTCACGGAGCAGCGGTCACATAATCGATCTTTATGACGAAGGCTCTGAAATAACCTTCTATCCCAGCTACGCATATTCTCCATTGGGTGTAAATTTGAGGCTTAAAATCCTCTGTTAAGCGTGGTGGTTGCACCAAAATATGTAATTCCAAGTGCTCCTTTACACTTTGCCATTGAACTAATTTCTAGGTATTGCTCTAAGCCCACCCCGAAGCTTGCTTCGAGATCGTGTCCCGTGCATAAAAACCAGGGTCAAAACCGGGTTGGTGTCACTTCTTCTGTGGCATTGCTCCCTCGACTGCAGCATGAAGTCATTTGGAACACACGTCTACAGCTGGCAAAGGAGAAAATGCTCGCTAAAGGTAGATGTTGTCACCAAGTCGAATACCTATCAAAGGCCTGTGACATCGAGACCTTTGCATATCTAGCAACAGTCGGCGTGTCTAAGAATCGGCTTGTTGATCATCAACAGTGCTTCCAGTACCCAACTTGCGTTGCCTATAATACCGACCTCGATACGTATACGACTCGGCATACCAATGCCGACTGTATTTTTTCCATGGTTTCAACACCGTACAAGGAACTCACTGATCTCATTAGTCAAGGAAAGACACCACTCATTTCAATTGAAAAGGGAACAGACTTAAACACCAGACCCCGACTACGGGTCTTCTCTCGTTCTAAAAATTCCGAATACATTGCTATTAGCCATGTCTGCGCAGATGGGCTCGGAAACCCCAAAGAGAATGCCCTGCCTCTGTGCCAGGTGTTACAGTACAGTACTATATAGTGAGTGCAGAGACGTCAAGCCCTCGACTTGATAACTCGTCGTTACCTTTTGGTAGCGCAATGGCATAGTACTGCACTCCTTATGTCGTTCCGTGACACCAGGTTCGACGACTTGATGCCCTTCTGAAATCATTGCAGAGAAGTTTAAAACTCTTCATGGTGAGCATATACTCGGCGTTCAACATTAGCTACCGGGGTAATTCATGCTAACTTCTCCAGTCTCGAAGTTCTCATCAATCTTCAGGTCCCTTGCTATTTTGGATGGATACACTTTGCATACCCGTCCGCCCAGAGGATACTTCTCTTTGTCTTACGCAGATTAACAATATGGCTTCTATATTTAAAGGGGTGACATCTAGCCTGGTATTGGATGCCGAACTTATGACGACTTCCATTAACACTAAGCCATTATTTCCCAAATCTACGCATGTTACAGACCACGGCCGGATCAGTTTGAGTACTAAGGTGCGTGCTCAGATCGCTTGCAGCGTTTGGATGCCGCGCTGTTGGACATTCCAGGAGGGCCAACTCCCGCCTTTGCTCGCGATAGCATTCATCAACAGTATGGTAGTATTGGGAAGAATTGATGGGTCATATTCTGAAAGGTTGTTCGTCTATGGAGCCTCTGGACAGCCAATCATAACTAGGCAAGATGGTGTAGAAGCAATACTTATTGAAGCAACCAATGTGTATGAAGTGCGACAAATTAACAGGGGCTCTTCCTTGGTTTGCGAGTGTGTCGACATAGCTCTCCAGGAGTCGCTTTACACCACATTCTTCCTCACGAAGGACTACGAATTTGTCACAGCGTGGAATGAGCTTTCAGGGCGATCAACGACTAAGCCTCACGACATTCCCTCGATCATTGCAAATGTTATGGATCTAAGCAACCGGCCGCTTCTTGAATACCATACAACTCATGAAATGTTCCAAGTGATAATTCTGAGTTTTCCCATTTCAATATTTTTCAACACCGGGCCTAGGCACGATCAAGATTGCGACCACAAGAACAGATGGATTCCACGAGGTGTTGGTGCGAATTTACTCTCTGCCAAACCCTGGATGAAAGTTCATCGATCACATCTTTCTTACCGGTACCATCCCAAAGAAAACGAGCTATTGGTTTACTCTTTAGACAGAGTTGTGTCGCTAAAGTCGCAAGTGTACTTCCGTTGCAACACGAGCGGCACCACATACGTCGTGGGCCCATCCATGTCTATCAAAGACGAAATGAACATTGACCTTTACAGTGCCACAATGATATTAATCGAGAACGCCAAATCCCGGATGAAGAAAGGCCAATATCGCGGAGCCTTGTTTTACCTCCAAAATCCCAAAGCCACGTCTCTAGAGTGGTTGGGATGGTGTCAGACTAAACCAGAGCTCACATACGTTCGTCCCTTGCATCTGGAAAAGGTCAAAACCACAGACCTGATGCCAGAAGGGGCAGCCCAGTTTCATATAATAAAGCTTGTGACGGCCGCATGCGAACTGACTATCAAATATGGTAACACTCACACATCTCAACATACACCAGATGCGGAGCTAACCTAGACGTAGACCCTCTTCCCAAGTTCAAGCCTTTAACGCGCAGAAGGTGGCTCAAACAATTCGGCTCGCTTGCGGTGTTTATTTTGGGTGTTATCTACGTCCTCATCTGGGCTGTTGGTTTTTATATTCGCTTATCCCGTCAAGTCGGAACGGTTTCCGCCTTTCTCGCAGCAAGCGGTGTTTGTCTCGCTCTGCTATTCGTAGGTTTTACCATCAAAAGATATTTGAAACGTTGGCTGAATTGGAGATATATACAATCATTTGAAGTTATTGCGAATAGGGAATCGGTTAAGACTGGGGTTTAGGTGTAGTTTGTTTGTGGGTCGAGTCAATCTATGCAGTTATTTCTAGCGAAGATGTCACCGTGCTGCCCTGCTGTACTTCAAAGTAGACTTATCGCACAAGGAAAAGATTCGAACTCTTGCCCTTTACCCTTTTATTTGGCTTTTATAAAGATATATACAATATTCCTATATATTGGAAATTAAACTCGATTAGTTTTGTGACAGAAGGAGTCTACACTTATGTGAAACGCAGCTCAACTCTGGTCTAACATGTGTGAAAAACATTTCTACAGTAGAAGTATGTAATAACTTATAACATCTACTAGATGCTCTCGATATACGAATCTGACGTAAATCGACGATCTGCAGAAGTCTCGTACTAATAGATCTCAAGAAGTCCCCCATGTACCGCACTTTAGGCCAAAGTAAGAATAATTACATGACCCAACCTGGACATAGGCCGTATAGACATTACGACATGGCCTGCGCAAACATATCATGTCTTCCATAAGGATGGAGGATAGTGCAACTACGTACCGAGTGATCATTCTACTAACATAGATACAGTTCGTCAGGTCATAAGTAGGTTTATCAATAGAAACACAAAGTGGCTGCTTTCATCCCTTCCCAGGAGAGACTCACTCGCTTTTCTTGTTGATTGGAGTTCCGGATTGTTTGTTAATTGCGAGATTGATTCGAATACGGGCCTTTTGAGGACAAGGGAATCACATATCAGTTTCGAGATGATTTGGTCATATATAGCCCTGATCTAGGGGCTTTTGCTAATTGCAAGGTGAGCAGCTGACGTGCATTTCAGGAATTACAGTCGCGTAATCAATCATCGTGCCTCGCGTGTCTAATGAATCTACCAATGTGTATTCATGAGTATTGAAATGTTTATCTCTCCTATTGAAAATGTGAAGGCTGTACTGAGTAAGTATGTAACCCACTCAGTGTTTGTTAAGCCACCGGTAGTCTGACTTGGATCTTTCGACCCCTTACAGGAGACCGGGGGTTAGTTACTAACTTAGCGCATGCAAGAGCGCCGCACGATTATTTGTTCAGGCAAGTGTCTGCAGGACTGATCGTCCAGAAAAGGAATTGCAAGGATACTGTACATGTAGAGGCGCTATAGCGACTCTCCCTAGGTAGTGGCGAATCTATAGCGATAGGTTGCACAGTAGAAGCGGTGGGAGCAAAACCGGGCCATGATTATCTGTCGGAGGATTGTCGTCTGGCAGAGACGGCCTCGGGGTGCCTGCCGATATACGAATCGATAAGAACAGGAGACGGGAGTGGATTCATTAATAAGCTGACAGCGACTGCGCCCATGACTCCGTTCGAGGGTTTGTCTGAGTAAGAATGGCCACCCTGGTAAACTGGAGGGTTGATAGGATGCGCCGTTGTCGGCAACATTTCTTGTGTCTCCAATTTATTTGGCTTGGGCTCTTGGGAGAGCTTGTACAAACAGAATGCGGAAAACTGCACTCACTCCCAAGGTACCTACTAAGTAAGTAATGTAAGATTGACTGGAACTGTTCGGGGTAGCAAGTAATGTCTTACTACCCTGGGTTAGTGGAGGCGACTTTGCCGCTCGGGTCACACGGGACACAAGTTGGCATGTCCATCGACTTGTCTTGATATACGTACTTCCAGATTCAGGCTCGGGTTCAAGGAGCAGCAGATCTTGCCGATCTTGCCTGGCTGGGGGATAGAGAAGGAATGGATAGCCAGCTCAGTGCCAGCTGTGTCGACAGAGCGTGAGGCGTAGCCTGCTCGCCTGCAGTCTCTCGAGTTCTCTGTCTTGTCGTTCTCTCCCCTCTTCCCATGTGTTCCGGCCACGAAATGTACGGACAGAGTACGGATAAGGGATGTGAATGAAGATCAGGGTCTAATCAGGGTCCCTTCAGGGTCCCTCCTTCATATCTCCCCGAGGAGCTAAGCATGTACTGTGGGTTACACAGGAGTGCTTGGTCTTTTGTTGATCAGATTACGCGATACTCTACTTGTCAAGTGCAGATGGTAGCGTAGACTAGGAAGAAGCCTGGCCTTGGCGGTGTGCCGGATCGTTGGAGTTAGAGCAATACCTAGAGCAATACCTCGCTGGCAATGGTGCTATTCTAGCTACTTCGTCGAGGACAGTCGAGCCTCGCAGTCCATTACCCCAATTGTCCGCCTTACCGAGTATGCATTGCACTGCTGCCTGCTCCAATCAGACGCGGCCCGTCGTGCTATTGCTCAGCGGCACCTCAGCAGCTTGCAGTTCTCGGGGGACGACTTGTATCTCCGACGAGGCAGACTGGAGACTCGTGACTTTTTCTGAGAGCCGGGATGGTGGGGACGTGCGATAGGAGGATTCTGGGGTATGAGCGATCCAGACTGCCCATGTGTGGTATTCGCAGAATATTGGCGGAATAATGGTGGAATATTAGGGCTCGTGATGCGAATCGCTAAGTACGGGAAGTATGTGGTCTGTGGTTATACTTACATGTAAACTGTCTTGTCGTACGACGCATAGTAGTAACGCATGCTGATGCATCCAAGGTAGTAGGCAGGACAGCCACGACGACATTAGCTACCGGTCTTGACTACGAGATGGGCATCTCGAGATCTCTGAGCGCCCGCGTCCGACTTGTGGCAATCCCCGATTGATTAGCCTCGTTGCTGCTAGGGCGTCGCATGACGATATATCGCTGCTCTTCAGTACTTAGCTATCAGTGGCGTCGATCTGATAGACGCTTCATTAGCGACGCCCCATCTCCTACGCACGATGGTTCAACTACTTACAGATACCTACGTTATATGGTGATGCCGGCAAAAGCGATGCTGATTGAGTATTGGCTCCTCGGCGTTACCTCGCAGCCGACGCATGACGCATGGCACTTCATCAGCCAGCCGTCTCGCGAACAGACTGCCGAATGAAGTCGATAACTGTGCGTACTACTGTATCCGTGTAGGTAAAAGGTAAGCAGCTGTGCAGTGTAATCAGGCAACCAGGCTAATACGGTAGGTTGGCAAGATTCCAAGCAGGCTGTTGGTAGGTAAGTAAGTACACTTGCCTACCTAGTGTACTATGTAAGCAGGCTCGGCAGGCAGGCAGAATTATTTCGGTATTCTATACTGCTAGGATAATTGTTTTAACCCGGGATTCGCAACGTATAACGCTCGCCCGCTCCGAGGGAACGATCGCCGGCTCTCCCGATCAAGAAGGCGTTTGGTTGGGGGCCTAAATCCTTTGAGCTGTGGAACAGGGCAACGCTTCTGTTGAGATTTGTACCATGAACAGCTGAGGCATTGCCCACTTGAGTAGTTATATGTACTTACTGTAGGTAGCTTTACAATATAAGTAAGTCTAACGATCAAACTTCAAGACACTTACTTATATACATCCTGCATTCAACGCAAACTGGGTATTTCAACTGAGCTCCTGCATACACTAGGTAATTCCGGACAGCGGGAGATGTAACGTACAGTACCTAGATGGATGCAGAATATATATCTGGGTGTAGTTTAGCTGTGTGGAATTTATTAACCTGGAGTGTCGATCTGGCCCCCATTCTCATTGTTGATCAGATAGGTAGCTGTTGAAAAGGGCGGGGGTTTAAGTAACTATTTGTTGGTGGGAAACTATTTACGTTACCTACTTAGCAGATACTTAGGTATGTATGTAGGTATTCACAATGCTTCACGTTCTCCAAAGCTAGGATGACAACTCAAATTGATACATCATTACCATTCCACACCTCAACTGCCATTGGAGACCACCGAAGAAGTGTGGTAGTAACATCCTCCCTACCTATTACTGCGTAAGCACACAGTAATAACCAAGTAGACGCCTGGAACTACACTAAGTAGGCTTCACATAGCACGGGATAAGAGAATGTTTCGCTGGACCCAGGACCCTGAATGTGAACACAGCCCTAAGGTCCGCCCAGAGCCCACCCTAGGTTAGATAAGAAAGAAGGGGGAGGGGACCTCAGCACACTAGGTAGTCTAAGGTAGTAAACGTAGCGTCCCCATTTAGTGTAGCTGGGGCAGACCCTGAATATCGGTCTACTGATCGGTCTCCGGCATCGCTGTTTGGGGCTAGAGAGTCCCAGATGTTAGTGAGATATTCTCTTTCCTACTAGGTATGTAAGAGATATATTCTCGAGAATACCTAGATAGTGTCGTAGCTATCTTGGTGCCTATCTAAGTATGTAGGATGGGTAGGGGGGGGCCAGTTATGAATACCTACCTAGCTTACATTAGTAGAAGTTTGACAGTTGGTCTAGGTCGAATTGTGCTGACTAGCTATTGAGTAGGTACCTAGGGTAGCTGATATACTTACACGTGTACTGCACGTGTACTGGGTGGGATGTGAGGGAACTGACTCTTGTTTGCCGCCTCACTTTGAAATCTAGGCAAGCCGAATTTTCTTGGGAGAACGATCCCCTATTCGGAGACAAACGACAGGATACGATATGGATACGAGCCTGTGCTGACAAGAGCATCTACCTATCTCACTTACATGCACGGTACCTAACTACCGAGTAAGTTGTGGAAGGTGAGCGACAGTTGCGGTAGGTAACCCGAGTTATGTAATACCATCATGACCCTGTATACCGGTAGTAGGGAAGAGCAGAGGTAAAGGATGTCGGTGCAACCTACCACGACATGTTCAGCAGTCCACGCACCTTGTCACGCACCTTGACGGTGACCTGTCGGCACTCACGTATTTTGATGCTTCGCCGTCGACGGCCGGTGCGGTGAGCATCTGCATGCCAATGCCAATGCTACATGCATACATGTATATTTGGATGTATTACATAGGTAGTAATGTACGGGATGGTATTTCTCTAGGTACAAGAGTAGGTAGGCGGGTGCGGAATGCGTGGACCCTGCTGATTGAGCCCCGGGGAGGGCACGGGGGACGCTAGGCGAGCTGAATGTGCGCTGCTAATGGCCCTGTATAGCGCTGTACTGGACAATCCGTAGGCAGTGTAGGTACCTCCTGGCTGTTATTAGCTGTTATTGGCTGCTATAAGTTAGTGCCATGTATTCTGTATGTACTACTTCGTATGTACCTACCTACTGTAAGCCTCGGTGCCCACAGTTCCGCCCACACATCCAACACGCCATCCCTGGCTGGCGCCGCCGTTCAGCATGACCATGACTACGACTCCATCACCACCACAACCCGTCGAGCCTCGTTTGCGCGCCCAGCCCGCTCCTTTGATCCCTATCAGACCCTATCTACGGACGGCCCTACCTTGCATGACTGATTCAAAGCCGCCCTGAGCCACTCACCTGGACGGCCGGGGTCCCTCCAAGGGATCCTCCAAGGGTCCATCCAAGGGTCCATCCGAGGGTCCATCGACTGCTCGAAATGGGTACCACTATCCCCACTCACCCTCCCACGGCCCAGGGTGTTCCACTTGACCGTCGAGACGGTCAGGAATGGAGTCAGTTTCCTGGCGGTCCCGGCCTCAATTGGCTTACCGACGTGCGCGGCACGATAGCCTCTCCTGCAAGGAGCGCCTGCACGCCTTTGAAGCCTTTTTCTGCCAATGGCATACCGAGTATATAATACGGCACTTGCTGGCCTCCCCGTGTCAGCAAGTCCTGCCATATATTTAAACCTCTGACCTTTGCTCGTCTCTCTCTGCTCTTCTTGTAGCTAACCCTCTTCCCTCCACGTTTCTCGCTACACCCCCCCTATAGTATGGTCTTTCCCTCTTCGCTTCAGCCTAGCTAGATCTCCTCGTCGTTATAGCCTTATGTGCTGTTTTATTGCCAATATAGTTGTGAGTGTTGCCCTTCACCCCCCCTCGCCTGAATTCTAGCAGTCGACAGCCTTCAGTGCTGTCCGTGGCCCTCTGCTTTCATAACTCCCGATCAATGGAATCTGCTAATACATGAAATAAAGTACATTGCCTGTTCTTGAACTGTCGAATCCTGTCTTGATCTGCCATCCCTAGCATAAAAATGGCTGAAGACACCATCCCCTCAACTATGGCTCGCCCCGCCATCCAGCGAGATTTGAGTAGATTTGGCTACAGCTCCTCGAGCGATTCCGACGAACCGCCCCAGAAAACAAAATCAACCACCACCAACAACAACAATCAGAAGAAAAAGAAGAAGAGGAAGCCACCACCACAGCAGAGTATCAACAAGATTTGGAGACGCTTTGCAACGAAAAAGTCCACCAAGGCGCTTTCCGTCTTGCCCTTTGATCCGGTCCCGCTGCCCAGCAACCCTGAAGGGCCCAATGAACTGCTCTCGGCCGGCTACGAGCGGGCTAGGGAGGAGTGTTCGCGTAGAGTCAAGAAAATTATCCAAGAATGCAAGCGAGTCAATACTCGATATAGGGATCCTGGCTTTGACTTGGTAAGGTTCCATGTGCAACCGCTCCCCAAGTTTTGGGGACGTCATTTTCTGAATGCATGCTAACGACAGGCCGCAGGATTGGGACCTGAAGATGGGCCGGGGCAATTGCCTCAATTATCTAGGCTCTAGCAAGTTTGACATGTTAAATACTCGCTATAGCACGACGACATCCGTTCCCAAGGCGGTGAAGCGTGTCCACGAGATCTTTGAAAAGCCCACGTTCCTGAAAGATATTGACGGGGCTGATATCAAACAAGGTGGCCTTGGCGATTGCTGGTACATTGCTGGTCTCAGTGCACTAGCGAACGTTGAAGATGCCGTCAAGCGCGTCTGTGTCGAGTATGACACTCGTACGTTGGAATCTGCCTAAAAGCCAAACCCGAATTAAAAGGAACATACTAACATGAGAGCATAGGCATCGGAATCTACGGCTTCGTCTTTTATAGGGATGGTGAATGGATCTACTCAATTATCGACGACAAGCTCTATCTCACCTCCCCGAATTGGGATTCTCCTAGCATGCAGCGTGATCTTATGAACCAGATTGACCGCGAAAGTCCTGAAAAGGATTATCGTAAGACCTACCAGACTGGCTCCAAGGCCCTCTTCTTCGGACAGTGCAAGAACCAGAGCGAGACATGGGTGGCCTTGTTCGAAAAGGCCTATGCTAAGGCTCATGGTGACTTCGGTTCACTAGCTGGAGGCTGGATTGGAGAAGCTCTCGAGGATCTCACTGGCGGTGTTACCACTGAGCTTTTGGCTTCAGATATCTTGGACCTTGATGAATTCTGGGAGAAGGAGGTCAGCAAGGTCAACCAAGAGTTCCTCTTTGGCTGTTCTACTGGCCTTTTGGATGGTGGTTATGGGGATCGGAATGGTATTCGTGAGGGTCATGCATACGTCGTCATGGACGCCCGAACACTGAAGAGTGGTGAGAGACTGGTGAAGCTCCGGTAAGACGAGAAAGCCTACGAAAAGCTACTCCTTCGCTAACAACTCATAGAAACCCTTGGGGCAAGCTTCGAAAAGGTGTCTGGGAGGGACCCTGGTCTGACGGGTCCAAGGAGTGGAACCAGGATGTCAAGGAGGAGCTTGGTCATCAGTTTGGCAACGACTCTGTTTTCTGGATACGATTCGAAGACATGGTAGAAAAGTATCTGCACTTTGACCGCACTCGTCTCTTCCGGGATGTCGACTGGCAGTGCTCACAGCGCTGGATTGGTGTAGAGGTACCGTGGAAGCCACAGTGGAATGAGAAGTTTCACTTCAAGCTGACTAAGGAATCACCCCTTGTCCTTGTCCTTCAGCAGCTTGACAACCGCTACTTTAAGGGCCTTCGCGGACAGTACACCTTCCGCCTTCATTTCCGTGTGCATGAGCAAGGTCGGCCTGGCAGTGAGGACTACATTGTTAGGTCTCATGGCAACTATCTGATGAGCCGCTCGGTTGCTATTGAGATCCCCTCCATGGAGCCGGGTGATTATTCGGTGTTTCTCAGCATCATCGCTGAAAGAGACACCGAGATGCTCTCTGTTGAGGATATCGTAAAGCGTGAATGCCGCAAGCGGGAAGAGAATGATAAGTTCGCCCAAGTCGGCTACGCATACGATTTGGCTCATAGCAAGGGTGTTGCCCATTTGGAGCATGTTGCAAGACTTCGCAAAAAGTCAGATCAAAAGAAAGCCAGCACGTCTCGCATGGAGGAGCGCCGTAAGATGTGGGAGAAGCGCCACCTCAACAGAGAAATTACCAAGAAACAGTCTAAAAAGAACCAGGAGAAGCGAGACCGGCGACGAGAAGTCGAGGACACTAAGAGAAAAGCGAAAGAAGAGGCTGAAGAAGCAGAGAAGAAGAAGAAGCAGGAAGCGGAGGAGGTCGAGCGCAAGAAGGAAGAGGAAGAAAAACCCAAAGATGCTGCTGTGCAAACAGATACGCCAACGCGCGGCGAGGATAAGAGCAGCCAAACAGGTGCTGGCGAAGCCGATTCATCCACCCAGTCGGACGAGGCTGACAGCAAATCAAGTGCAGCTGAAAGCGAGAAATCTGCGTCTACTGACGAGAAGAAGGATGAGGAAAAGAACGACAAGGATTCGACATCGGCTACGGGCGATGCTAACCAGCCTACAAAACCAGTATCCGAGGTTACGCAGAAGAAAGTCGCAACACCGACTTATTCGTCTGATTGCGATTCATCTGATAGCCCGGTTGAGGATTGGGAGCTTCTCTACTCATCAGATGACATGTCGAAGAAGCCTAGGATGGCCACGCCTGCACCTGCGGCAACTGCTACCACAGAGGTAGTGGAGAGTGATGGCGAATCTGGCCTTCCAGACCCTTGGAATGCTATTTGCATCGTTGGCTTCCGAGTTTATTCCAAAGACGAAAACTTGGATCTCCGCGTGGTCATTGAAGGCGGTGATCTCGCTGAGGGCGGTATGGGTCAGAAGGGCGCCGCCGACATTGACAACGCGCAGATGAACGCAGGCGGCGAGCGTGAAGAGAAGAAAGCGGCGGACAAGGTCACTGACGAGTTTGAGATCGTTGATGGCAATGCTGTAAGCAAGCAGAAGGTGGTGATCGAAGAGGACAACAAAGGAGATGAGAAGAAAGACGATGATCAGAAGGAGCAAGGGGAGGACAACAAGGATGTAAAGGGCGAGGATACACAACAGAAGACTGCTACTGTGGACGACGGCAACGTTGCCGATACCGAAGACGACGCTGATGATATGGAGGATGACGAGGACGATCTCGTGGACGCCGCCAAGTCGGACATCACCGACTCGACAGACTCGACTCCCATCAACACACCGGATTCGATGACGGAGTGTAGTCCCCAGTCGCGTCGTTAAGTCCCTGCTCCATAGTGGGACATGATTGCTGCATTGATTTTACGATACCACGCTTCTCATTTAGAATATTACAGACGAAAGGATTGGATTATACTAGGCTTAGTGGGAGATTATTTATTATATAGCATGGGCAGCGGAGTGTTGGTAGCGTGCGTCGATTTTGCATTTTACACGAAACGGAATGTGGGAGTTTTACAAGATTGTCACAGCATACATAACATCTCTTAATCAGGCTGCAAACACTGCTCATTCTTTTCATGATAGAGAGCTGGCCGTGGGCGATGACCTGCGTTTACCTACCTACCTACCTGTCTTCCTTGGAGCATCCCAGACCCACGTGATAATAATATCTGTTGATCGATTTGGCTGACTTATTCCGCTTAGTCAAAGAATAAAGCACTCTGATTGCCTATCCCTCCTCTCCATCCTAGGGATCAAAAGAGCCGCTTCCTTTCTAGCTCTTACTCGTGAGTTTGCTGCTCAGACTCACTTTCACGTCCATGATCTGCACTGTATATCATATAAGACCTTATTCAACACGGCTTGAATAACTTCCTTACTAAGTATGTCCTCCAGGCAAGCAAGTCTTATCAGCATCATGATTTCTCCTTAGTTCAAGTCTGAAAGGCCTTATCTCTCTCTAGTGGGGGGCTAGGCGGGGTGCGGAATTCTCACCTAACGCGGGGTGCTTTACTATTGTGTGTGTGTGTGGTGAGGGGTTGATTGCGAGGGAAAAGCCAAGATGCACCAAAGTGTGCTCTTTGCAGATAAATCCATGGGAATCGGGAATGGATAGATGAGTGACTATTGCAGTCGATAGATGTAGATTTATGCCCGTCACCAGTCTGGTTGAATATCGAGCAGTTCGCTTCATCCATTCTATCTACACAGAACTCGGGTCTCGCTCGCTGGCTTGTACCTCTCTCATCTACACATCATGCCTCTCAGATCGTCGAGATCCTTCCGCCTCCCTGCTCTGCCAGGACGTCTCAAGAGCCTGCCGGGTCCCGTGGTATACATAATCCTGCTCCTGCTCGCCGTCAACGCGGCAATCTGGGCCGCCGTAGCCGTAGTACTACACTTCAACCCGGCGCTCGTCGGGTCCGCAGTGCTCTCGTATACCCTAGGTCTCCGCCATGCCTTAGACGCAGATCACATCGCGGCCATTGACCTGATGACGCGGCGCCTCGTCGCCGCAGGCCAGCGCCCCGTGACGGTCGGCACGTTTTTCTCCCTGGGCCACTCGACCATCGTCATCATAACATGCATCGTGGTCGCCGCCACGGCAGGCGCCCTGCGCGACCGGTTCGAAGGCTTCCAGTACGTCGGTGGCATCATCGGGACGAGTGTGAGCGCCGCCGTTCTCATCTTACTATGCCTGGGCAACGGGTGGGTGCTATATCGCCTCGTCGGCACCCTGCGCAAGGTCCTCGCCGAACCTGAACCGCACATTGAGCCTGGGGAAGTCGGTGACGGCGAGTCGATGAATAGCGACGGCCAGGCCGTGCGAGACTTGCAGCTCGATGGACCGGGGTTTCTTGTCAAGTTGCTGCGCGGCTTCTTCCGCATCGTCGACCGGCCTTGGAAAATGTATCCCCTAGGCGTCCTGTTCGGCCTCGGCTTCGACACGAGCTCGGAAATCGCCATTTTAGGCATCGCCAGCGTGCAGGGCGCGCAGGGCACTAGTCTCTGGGTAATTCTCATTTTCCCTCTGTTGTTTACTGGTAAGTCGGAGCTTTTTAAGCTCTATTTCTGTTTTCAATATTACGTTGCTGGATTTGCTGCTTCGCTGGACACATTGGATCAAGTCTTTCTAACCGAACATGCAGCTGGTATGTGTCTAGTAGACACCTCCGACGGCGCACTGATGATGACACTATACACCTCAAAAGCATTCGCGCGCGACAGGGTCGCCATCTTGTATTACTCCATCGTGCTGACGGGAATCACCGTTGTCGTCTCGGCCTTCATCGGGATAATACAGATCTTATCCCTGGTGCAGAACGTCGCGGAGCCCCAGGGGAGATTCTGGGACGGGCTCAGCGCGATCAGTGACCACTTCGAAATCGTTGGCGCGAGCATTGTCGGCGTCTTTGTTTTAGCTGGAGTTGGGTCGGTGCTCATATATCGCCCCTGGAGACGGAGGATGGAGGAGCGTAGGACAGCGCAGAGAATATCGTCAGATGTGCCCCAGGATCCGTTTCGGGACTGTGAACGCGGCGTCACGGGAGAAGAAGGCACAGATAGACAAGCCGTATGACGAAACTACTTATTCTCATAGATACTCTCTACATAGGACCGAGCAGGCCGTCTAATCTAAGGCATTCAAAATGACTTTGCACATCTCTATACACTTCTCCTCTTCAAGCCGCTGTGCTACCAACTGCAGGCTGACGGGCATACCATGAACTGCTTCTCCATTATCTAAGTAATCAAAACGTCAGAAGGTCTGCCAAGTTAACGTGGGAAGGGGCGTGGTAAGGGTTTAGTACATTCGCTTCGAACCGCCTTATCATCGTCGGAAAACGGTGGCGGTGCATCATCTTGGTATATATCAACCGCTGCGTCTGCCGTGAATCCCGTGGGGAACGACATAGCAGAATAGTCTAATATGTTGTAAACCCCGGTGTATCCAACTGAGAATAGCTGTTAGCCCGTGCGCTCTTCCCCTCCTTTTTCATTCCCCTGATACTCAAAAGGTGCGATGAATGATCAACGAAGGCGAGGTAGGTGTTGAACTGACCATGTTTGAATTTCCCATTCTCAACACCACTGAAGGGTGACACGGGCGTCAAGATGGCGTCAATGCCCGCTTTCCGCCACCGGTCCAGGTACTCCTTCTGGAATTTCGTGCGCTCCAGATGCAGTTGCCAGTAGTCGAAGGCTCCCAGCTCGGGGATATTTCCAAAGTACGACATTTCCGGCCTCAGGGGCTCCCCTGTCTTCTCGAGCTCGCGGGCCACTGACTTGCCGCCATCGGCCACGAACATCCGTAGGAGGATCTTCAGGCCCGTTTCATGAGTTTCTAGAGACCACTCCGTGACTTCGTGACCGGCGGCCTTCAGTCTGTCGACGGTCTGTCGTAGCGCCCTCGTCACGGGAGGCGTGGGCAGCACGATGCCGTCGTGCCACATGACCCCGATCTTCAGTCGTTGTGGCAACGTGATAGGCCGCCAGGGCATGGGCAGACACCGCGGGTCGGCGTGCCAAGGCTCGGATCTGACTACCGAGCTGCTGTAATACTCCAGATCCTCGATCGTGCGCGTCATTGGGCCGTTGACCGATTGTACGGCCTCCTGGCCTGGTAAGCCCGAGCGACAACCTAGTGTGGGGAAGCGGCCGAACGACGGCCGAAGAGTGAAGATACCTGTGCACTATGATAATTTGGATGGCGTCAGCAATTGCTTAGATTTCCTGTGAGCGAGCAGGAACCCGAGGGACTTTGTGAGGGAGTGTGGGGGACGCCGTATCCTCACGACACGCGCTTATGGCTTTTACAGGCAACTATGCCCTCAATGGCTACGAGAAGGAGGTAGGAAGGAAATGAGGCCTAGAGGCAAAGCGTACGGCGGCAGGGATGCGCAGAGAGCCCCCTATATCAGTCCCAACACCCATGGGACTGCCCTTGAACATTATCAGCGCCGATTCGCCACCCGAGCTCCCGCCGCTCGTGAGCCGCCTATTGAGTGGGTTGACGGTGCGGCCAAAAGTGTTGTTCACGCTCTCGGCAATCATCATGGCTGTCGGCACGTTCGTCTTCACGTAGACGACAGCCCCGGCGGCGACCAAAATCTTGGCAAGTTCGGCGTCATCTTGCGCGGGATCGCCCACGTGGGACGTGAAGCCGACGGTGGAATCAAGCCCTCGCAGATTAAAGTTGTCCTTGAGGGATATGGGCAGACCGTGGAAAGGGCCTACTGGTCCTAACCCTTGGGCTAGACGCTCGTCTAACGCCTTTGCCGTTGTGAGGGCTCGGTCAAAACATGTCTCGGAAAGACAGTTTACCTAACAATGCGTATAAGCTCTCTATGTTTCTTATTCAAGATTGAAAGGATATGTATAGACTGATGTGTATGATTATCGCATACCAGCTGATGTGCTGCGGCTGCTCGCTTGCAGAAAGCCCTTGTTACCGTCTCCGACCTGAGACTTCCACTCGCTAGCTTCGGGAGCAGCTCCAGCGCGGTGGCATTGGTGATATCTAGCTCTTCCTGCGTGAACCAGCCAGAGATCTCTGGAAACCCCGTGACGTCGACCTGGCTCTCTGGGGGTAGGAGATGGTCTGGGATGCGCCATTCCTCGGGAATCGAGTTCAGCAACGCTTGGCGCTTCTGGGCTGCGATTGTCTCCCACGTTCCTCCCATATTTATTTTCTTTCCTTTTTTTTTTTTCCCTCTTCACTTTAAGTGAGCGTGAATGTATTTGATTGTTGTAAGTTTAGGGAATAACTTCTTATATCGGAATACGGTAGTTTCAATGTAGGGACATGGCGTGTTGGCCTAAGCAATGCATGGGCAAACAAACCGATGCATGCCCAGGAACACAAACGTAAATAGTTGTCACTTATATAAACGAGATCGACCGACTCCCCCGCAGTCTAATTTGTATGTGTACCTACCTACCTACATTCCTGATCCTACGGAGGACAGGGCGTTACTGCCCGTCCGCCGGGATCGGTGAAATTCGAGCTTCCTTTCTTCGTCTGTTGATCTGTTTACTATTTATATATGTAATACATAGTGTTGGACGGTCTCTGTTATTTCCAACGACTCGACCCCAAATCCACTTCCCCCTCACCTCACCCCAATCCCGAGCCCACCCTTACGTTGCCGAAAAGAGGCGGGTGCGGCGTATGCGGCGTATGACAGAGGATATCTGCCGGCTGCGGAGATAGCGTGTCTATGGCAGTGTTAGTATTCTAGTACGAATGGAGTAGGCTATTTGGCCGGTTATCTGCTCAGACTTTATGCTTGCAGAATGTAGCTTGCGCTTTGATCAGATGAGCTTATCAACAAATACGGGCTTGGATATCTTTCTCGGAAGGAGATGGCGTGGTTTAGATGATCAATCAATGATTACCGGGTTTGCTCGGCCGTCGAGCAGAAGGTAGCATAGGTATGTAGGTAAATCAGTACTGTAACCATCCATCTCCAAGCTGTCGGAACACGGATATGCTGCCATTCGCTGTGAAGTCACTGTATGGACAAGTCGTGGGACCAATCGTCGTCGACTGAGCCGATACACTCCATACAGGTAGATAGAGTAAATGTCAAGACGTGCGATTACTTAGGTATTTGGAACAAGTTAGGGATCTGGCGAGGATTAGGGATTCGTACCCCGTCCCCAACCCCGCAAAAGCCTATCTACACTTCTTGTCTACCTACACTATCTGAGTCTAGTGGACCGTAGCACAGATAATTGAAAGATACGATAGTGGGAGCATATGTATCTTACTTATAGTAGAACAACCGCTAGGTAAGCAAAAGTATACCCGAGGTCAGGTAGATAATCCGAGATAAATTTATTCGCATGGCTCCCATCTCCTCATCTGTATCAAATCACGGTTTACAAGCTGAGGAAAGATAGAATCCTACCAATCATACCCTCACCGTCATCCTATCATCCATCGCCAAGCATGTATGAATACCACCATTATTGGTGACACCATATAGAGCTGCGAACACACTCGTCACGTCGTAGCCATGCCGGCGACACTCAAGGAAAAATTGCGCGAGTACTTCCATACCGAGTACAGACCGGGCGAAAAGGCTTTGGTGCGCAAGATCGATTTTTTCATCCTCACGTTCTGCTGTCTGAGCTATTTCACAAATTACGTAAGTCTAGCTCCTACCCTAATATTCAATCATTTATGTGTATAGAGAGGACCTAGATCCTAGCCATGAGCTTCATCAATCCTGCCAATGACATATTCGTTGTAGGACTGAGAGGGCAAAATATGAAATGCTCAATACAGTCATAAACAAACAAACCTACCCCTACCTACATACTTACAAGACACGCAGCTCGACCGCTCCAACATAAACAATGCCTACGTCTCAGGCTTGAAGGAAGAGCTGAACTTCGTCGGCAATGAGCTGAACCAGATCCAAGCCGCTTTTACAGCGGGCTACGTAGTCGGCCAGGTCCCGGCGAACCTATCGCTGCACTATGTGCGGCCGCGCATCTTCTTCCCGGCGTGCATGGTGGTGTGGGCTGGTCTGACCATGGTGACGGCGTCGGCGCACGACGCCGCCAGCATCGCCGCCATCCGGTTCTTCCAGGGCGTGGCCGAGGCCACGACCTTTGTCGGCACACACTACATCCTCGGGTCGTGGTACACGGAGCGCGAGCTGGGGAAGCGCTCGGGTATTTTCACTGCTTCCGGGTTGGCGGGGACTATGATTGGGGGGTATATCCAGACGGGGATTCAGTCGTCTCTGCATATGCGGCATGGGCTGAGCGGATGGAGGTGGTTGTTCATGTAAGTCTTGACATCTTTGGTGCGGTTGACTGCCGCTCTCTTTCTCTCTACTATTTTCAAGGGTTGTATACCTATCTACCTTCTTGAAGTGAATTGCCTATCCCAGGCCACAGCCTGGCTTTCCCCCCTAAACCCCATCACCACACCACACGGCCAAGTCAGCACACTAACACATCCCTATAAGAATCGACGGCATCGTCACCCTACCAATCGCCATCTACGGCTTCATATTCTTCCCCGACACGCCAGCGACCACAAAAGCATTCTACCTAACACCAGAGCAGAAAGCCCTTGCGCAATCCCGCGTGCCGCCCGTACCTGAGCACTCCCCTTTATCCTGGTCATTCTTGCGAAAGGCGCTAACGTCGCGCTTCTTCTGGGGTTTCATGATCCTCTGGATCATCGCGGGCGAGGCCGAATCGTTCTCCTCCAACGCCCTCCTGGCGCTGTACATGAAGAGCCACCCCGTATACGACTACACCGTGGCCCAGCTCAACAATTATCCTACGGGCGTCCCCGCGGCTGGTATCGTGTCGACGCTCTTCTGGGCCACGTTGACGGATTTCCTGGGGGGAAAGAGGTATCTTGTGGGGTACTTCATCGGGATCACGGGGATCGTGACTTCGGCTCTGATCCTCTCGGCCTCGCACGGTGATAACCCTGCACGGTCTACGCCTACCGTGTTCGGCGCGTATTATTGGGCGGGCGCCGTGTATGCTTGTCAGGCGACGTTCTTTGCGTGGGCGAATGATGCCTTGAGGTATGATGAGCACATGTTTCGCGCTGTCGTGCTCGCGGGCATGAATCTTGGGAGTAATGTCATTAATGCGTGGTGGACGATTGTGTTCTATGGAGCTTCGATGGCACCCTGGTTCAGGGTAAGTTTTTTCTTCTTTTTTTTCTTTTATTTTCTTTGGCATGTCTTAAGTGGAAGAAACTCGATGAGTGTTAACTCGCTCATTCTCGCTTCTGAGCAATCCCCCCTTCGTCTCACATTCCTCTTCTTTCCTTGTCTATTTGTTTTAGCGTTCTTTCTGTTGATACAAAAGATGCACCTCTTCGTCATTCGGTTTATGGGTTTAGAAAAAACTGACTGGCTGACATTCGCATGTTTGTTAGAGAGGTATGTGGGCCATGATCGCAGTGTCTATCGCCTTGGTGATTTGGACAGCAGGCCTTTCGTATTTCACGGCGAGACATGAACGTGAGCGGAAGGTGAAGCAGCAGAGTCCCGAAGTGCAGCAGGACGAAGACGATAAGGAGAATATGGCGTGAAATTGCCTAGAATGAGATATTCTGGGCGAGAAATGTATGCTTTCTGGCTGGAATATCGAATCTCGAACTTGTCGAAATGATTCACAGTGGCCCAGACTAGTCAGCTTGTATCTACAACAGTCAGTCATGTCGGGCTTCATCGTCATACAATCTATCCGCTCAAGGCCTACCATGCGGAACCTAGACCCTGTAACACGTTGAGAACAGGGATAATATAGGCTTCCAAGGTATAAAGTTGATCAAGCTTGCAACTCAGAGTGACTGTACTCAAATCACCTTCTCGCGCGGCCAGTTGTGTAGGGACTTACAGTAGCACCGGTAGTTGGGTGGGCAGGTACCTATTAAAGGATAGCGGGCATAGCGGGGATTCACCCTGCTGCTAATGTCCATCTAGCGCGGAACGCACGACGAACCCCACAGTGGGCTTGCTTGACTTGACTTTATCACGACCATTTCAACGCTACAACCATCCAATCTACCCGGTGAACATACAGCTCGGTGCGAGCATAGTGTCTTATCTCGACCGCAGTGCTTACTTACCCACCTTGCCTAATGTCTCATGTTGCCTGATTACCTATCTACACCCTTAGGTTGCCTGCCTATGCGCACAGGCACCTAAGGCGTGACAATGAATCTCTTTCGGAACGCCTTCAAAGGTTGGACGCGTCGCGACGACGAAGCCACTTCTACCCCTTCGTCTACCCCTTCGTCTAACCCTTCGTCGCCTGACATGCCGCGGCGCACCCGCACCCGGGACACCCGGGACACCCGCACACCAACACCAACTCCGCCGCCGCCTTCGCCGAGCCAAAACCCGATTCCCACCTCATCGCCTCTTTCATCTTTGCCTACCGATTCCTCCTTCGCCACGGCTACAGCTGATTCCCCTAACGCCACTAATGGACACCCTAGCAGAGGAAGTGGAGGAGCAGAAGATGAAATCGAGTCTGGAGGGGACGAAGCCACCGTTGTTAGCGATAATGGCCGAGACCGCACTGGTGACGAAGGCCGTGATCCGCCACAGTACCATAAGGCAAAAAACCTGCCACCCGAGCTGAAGGAACACTGCCGAGTCTATCTCGAAGAAGCGCTCCGTATGTTCCAATTCTCCTAGACTACAACAGACATGCCTTATTCTCTCTCATCATCATTATTATCATCATCGTATTATGGTGGATGATTACTGCACCTGCTAATCGCCATCCTACCCGATAGCGCGACAGGCCATCTTTCTCCTCGACAGTCTTCTATCGACTCGGCCCACGGACCCCTACGTTCCAGCGTACTGCCCTCCTCCGAGCCAAATTTCCTTAATATGTTCCAATATCGTTCACCCAGACTTCACTACGCGACCTAAAGAACCGGACTGGCCACAGATTAGTCTCCAATCTCTGGCATACTTGCGCGACCTGCTTGCCGTCTTTGGCCCCCTTCACGCCGGCTTCAAGGAGTCCGTCCTCTTTGGCACCAATGCGACATCGGATCTAGACCCTGACATGAACGTCATGGCACCTGATGGTGATGGCAACGGCCTAGATGCAGACGAGCGCGGCTTGGTGCGCCTGTCCCCTCGGTATGGGAACGATAGTGTCTGGCAACGGGGCCGCGACTTCTTCAGCCTCGTAGGCTGGGCATTCAATTGTAGTGTCTTGTATCCTGAACGTTGGCAGTGGTGGGCTCGTTGGCTCGGGTTCATGTTGGACCTGCTGGAGAAAGATGTCGAAGAGCGGCATAGGCTTGACATGAAGAATGGCTCTGACGACATGCCTCTACTCCAGAGCTCAATCCTTGCGTCCTATATTGCTCAACGATCCGGTCGCACAGCTGACGTTACTATGTGGGCCATGAAGGCGCTTTTTGCGGATGGCGACACACCCTCGACATCTGTTTTTCAGGAGGTGTGGCCCCGAGAACACAAGAGTCGTTCTCCGCTACAGCAACGTACCCCGAACAAGCGGAAACGGGAAAATGTCAACATCGACAAAGGCGAATATGGGGGCTACCTGGATGATGAGTCTGTGCACTCGTCACAAGCCTCGGAACCGCCAACGCCACAAAAGAATAGGAAGGCCATGTTATCCTCTTTGCCGACCTTGGCAGACGCAGATATCCTTGAGACAGCCTATGGCGAAACCATACCGTTAAGGCAACGTTTGTTCTCGCTGGTAAGTGTTTATATATATACACAAGAATCTCACTCACCTTGCCCCAACTATTATTAAGCTTACCTTTGTCTATTCAAGATGTCGTACTTGTGTTATACCTTGAACGACACGTCTCCCATGGACTTCTCGAACCTTTATAAGAGATTCGAGCAAAAGGTCAAGGAGCTTCCCCTGCCCATCTTCTCGTCCTTCATCAATCACGCGACCTCTATGTTGCGCGTTGACCAGCAGATCGAGATGTTGCAAGGCGTGCTCTTTCTCTTCTTGCCACCCGGCGCGTTGAGCCCTCGCAAGGTCGACCGTGAGAGGTTTGAGGACGGTGGAATCTCCCCCGCCATACTAGAACGCTGTTTTCTACCGTATCCTGCCAATACGATCGAAGTGGAGGATAATGTTAAAATGTCCCTATTGCTCGAAAATCTGTTGATGCTCGTCTGGAGGCACATAGATGATGGAGATGGAGAGGAATGCTTTAGCGAGAATCTTACCCGGGCTGCCCGCACGGGAATAGAGGCGCGACGGGATAAGATTAATAAGAAGAAGACGCGTGGTGGGCGCGGGGCAGCTGCAGCAAAGGGGTTTAGTGATGTTGAGGGAGAAGCCAAGGCCCTACTCGAGGCGTCGGATGCTAGGCTTGCGTGGCTTTCGGAAGCGATTGTGGTTAGCACCAGCACTGCTGCAGAAGCAGGAAACGATGACGACGCTATGGATGAAGATGGATGAAAAGTTGATGCATACTTGCTTATGTGCGACTGGCTATGTCTAAAGGGGGGTGTACGGCGTTCTGGATGTGTGGAAATGAGTCGTTTATAGGCGGTCTATCTATGTATAGTCTTGGTGGCGTTCATCATGGTAAGCAGGTACTCGTCATGTTATGTTCAAAAGGAGGGAGTAAAGGGGTATACCCTGGCGTTTTCTTAATAAAGAGTGCTGTTTGCAGTAGGTGTATAGAGTTCGATCCATGGTTATCGGGGTGGTTGAAGTCGTGCTGGTAACTTATGCACCTACCTGGATTACATACATGATAATATACAAGTCTATTAAGCTGTTCTTTTGACTTTTTTATCCTACAAGATGTTATGGATCATTTTCATACATGTACTATTATCATACATAGGTTAGGTAGCCATTGCATGAGGCCGGGGCTGGTCTACTACCGCTTTCGAGCTGGCGTCGATGTAGGTGTCCAGGCTTGAGGCTGCCATGTCTCGCCAGGTGCGCCCCGTTGTTGCTGAGCTTGTTTCCACGGGTCGTTGTCTATCTCGGCCTTGGTGTTTGTGGATTTTGTTGTCTGCGTAGTAGGGTTTGGTTTCTTCTTCACTGCGGGGTCCCTACTTTCTTCCTGATTGGCATTAGAAGTCTGTGCATGGCCCTGTACGTCAGGTTTCGTGTGTTGATCCGTAGTCGTCGTCGTCGTCGTCGTCGTCGTCGTCGTCGCCGCCGTTTGTGTTGTTTGCGTCGTTGTTGGATAAGAAGGAGAATGAGGAGGAGAAGAAGGCGGCATGTCCAACAAACTCGGCTTTGCGGCCCACCGCGCGTCGGCGTCGGCGGCGAGGAGCTTCATGCGCGCCTGGCGCTGTAGCTCGGCGATTTGCTCCTCCATGGTGGGTGGTTCGAAGCGTTGGTGGCGTAGCCATTGATGCCATGCCGGCGGCACTTTTACCTCACTGTGTTGTGTTGAGCGCGGATAGTGGACTAGACGTCTGTGCGGCGAGCCTTCGGCAGCGTCGCCGCGGGGTTGACGGAGCTCGTAGTAGGTATTGCCTTGGGGGTCACTGCCTGGGCGTGTGTTAGTTATATCACTTGAGTACATAAATGGGAGTGGGAGTGATGGTGAGAATTGTTGTGTAGGGTGGTCTGTAGGGTGTTGTGTCTTTTTGAGAGTGAACTGACCGACGAAGAATCGTTTCCGCCATGGTAGGCGAAGGGATTTCCACTGGTACCATGCCCTGAGGACGAAGTTGGATTGTTGCTGTGACATTGTATGTGTATGTGTGTCACTGCGCTTTACCGTGGAATGGGATGTCTGTCTGTCTTGTCTTTTCTAGCTGCGAATTTCTGGTAGTAGAAATTTGGGAGTGATGCGATCATGTGCCAGTGTCTAGATTGTACTTTGAGGTGAGGTATCTGGTCTAGATAGCTCCACGCCGAATAGCTGCTGCGGCTGGCTTCGGGTACATGAGCTTCGGGTACACGTCGGGTACCGGTAGCTACCAGAGGAGCTCCTTACTGAGTACCTAAGGTACTTAGGTACCTACCTAGACAAGAGAGGAACAGGCGGGCGGAGAGAGACGTCATCTCAATCTTCCCACCTGGGCTGCGCAGGTTAGGTAGGCAGATATCTGGCAGATCATCTTGCACAGCTGTACTGCATTGACACGTTGGGGGTGCAAATACTCCCATCCTCCTCGCCTCTCTCTCTTTCTGTCTGGCCCCTCTCCCCTCTCCCCACTCACTCACCCACTCACTTAACTTACACAGTCAGACACGGTACACATCCCCGAAATCCTCTGGCCGCCCCCCTTTGACTCTTGACTTGGCTTTTGACAACTGTTTCTCGAACATATGCGCCGCTAATCTCGTTACCTAGCCGATCACCTATCATTCTAGAGAATCGACACTCGTCATCTTGTGCAGATTCGACAGCCGCTGACGCCACGCATTGCTGTCACTTCCCCTGTGGTGCAACCATCGTACAACTACCTATTGTACACCTTATTATCAGCTGCTGCTGCTGCTGCTGTTCGCTGTCTTGCTTCGTTGGTCGGGCCATTCAGGCACATTTACATTGCCGTCCAGAGCCCCTATTCCCATTCCCATTCCCATTCCCGACAACACCGAGAAAGATGGTACCGCCGACGGCGACATGACGACAACGACACCCCGTGCAATTCTGCAACTCTCGTAAAATAAAACCCAGTGTGTGTAAATACCTCAATGCGATCACCATCAACCTTCGTGCGAATACTCCTCCCCGAATACACCTGCTACCGACCAACTCTCTATCCCATCTCTATCTCATACTCAGCATCGGTGCCTCTGAGACCGAATAGCTACACAGCCATTAGTCAATCCATATTTGTCTAGCCCTACGTTACTTGGGTGCTTAGGTAGCTGTTCAACCACGATGGCGTCCGTAACCTCCTTGGATAAGGACCTCCGAAAGGCGCGCCTCGAAAAATATACCCCTGCCGCCGCGGCCGAGGCTCAATCCTGGATTGAAGGTATCTTGGGTTCCAAATTACCCTCTTCTGACCTCCTCGAAGGTCTCAAGGATGGTGTCGCGCTATGCAAGTAAGTCCTGGCAATTCTACATCATGGCATTAGGAATCGGCACTATGACGCATGCTCAGCTCTTCTTCAAATTACCAATGGTTTGAGCCGTCAGGCTGCTTGATAAGTTGCTAACGTCAAGAACTCTAAAGGCTCGTCAACTTGGCCGTGGCGCCATCAGGGGTCAAATTCAAGCAATCCGCCATGCCTTTCGTTCAAATGGAGAACATCTCGCACTTTCTCCGCGCCTGTCAATCCCCTCCTCTCAATCTACAGGAACACGACATGTTCCTCACCGTCGATCTCTACGAACAAAAGGACCCGGCCCAGGTCCTACAGTGTATCGGTGCCTTTTCTCGCGCCGCCCATGCTGCCAAGCCCGATGTCTTCCCTTCTCCTATAGGACCTAAGAGTCGTGGGCTGCTGAGCCCACAACCTACCGGAGGTTATAGCACCCCCAGAAGTCGAGGACTCTCCAACGTGAGTGCCACGTCGCCTACTTACGGTTCACGTGCTGGACTCGCAGCTACGAGGACAGGGGAATCCTCAGGTCGGTGGAGTCCAGCGAGAAGTCCCACAAGCGAACGAGTTGGCTCGCCCACTGTGTCTAGCTGGAGCAGGAAAGACCACGAGGGTGTCACTAGCCCGGCATGGAACATTGCCCAATACGGATACATGGGTGGCGCCAGTCAGGGCAATCTGGGCATCGCCTTTGGGGGACGACGACAGATCACCAGTGCCAGCCCTAGCGTACCATCTCGCGTAGACAAGGAACGTAAGCGAAAAGAACAAGAAGAACAGCAGAAGCTACAGATGGAGGAGGAAGAGCGCAGGCGTCAAGCGGAACTCGAAGCTGAGGAGAAACGTGCGCAACTAGACGAAGAGAAGAGGTGGGAAGACGAGACGAGAAGACTGCGGGCCGAGGAAAAGCGTAAGGCAGAGGAGGAAAGAATGAAGTGGGAAGACGAGGAACGTCAGTGGAGGATGACAGAAGAGAAACGGCGGAAAGACGAAGAAGAGGCGGAAGCAAGACTAGCCGAGGAGCGGAAGCGAGCTCGCAGCCCAAACGACAGTCGCTTACGTGGTCAGTTCCTCAGCCAATACCGAGCTGAGCAGAAGATAGCAGCCCAAAGAACGGGAGAAGGAGACTATGTGAAACAACTGAGAGATCTAGAGCTTGCACGTCAAAGGGAAAACGAGTACGAGGAAGAGCGTCAGAGGCGCTCACCGAGACGGGATAGGTCCAAGAGTCGAGCGCGTTCTCGCAGTCGGCCCAACAAAGCGGAGCGGCCACCTAGTCGACAGGATTCCTGGAGACCTCGTGACGAGAGGGATTATCTACGCACCCAATGGAGCCATCACCAAGCGCAGGCAGAGCAGCAGGAAACAGCACCTCAAGTGCCGCCCCGTCCTCTGCCGGACCCTACCGCGGTATCAGTTAAATCTCATCGTACTGGTGAGACACCATCAGCGCCGGCGGCCGCGGATATCCCAAGAAATGGGGAGGCTAGGCCCCTACCCGTTCCTGGGGCATCGAGCGGGCCCGCCCCTTTCGCGCGGCCACTTCCAGTTCCCCAGACCGCCAGCCGAACAGATCGTTTCCTAGCTTCAAATCCAGCCCCTGTACGACAGGCGCCGCAGCAGTCGTACTCACGCGAACTAGACGCCACATCAGAACACGACGCCGAAGACAAACGCCGCGCCCAGTCTCAGAACCAGACCAAGGCCGGCGGGTGGGCGAGCAAGTCCCTACTGGAACGTGAGATGGAGCTCGAACGCCAACGCCAGCGCGAATGGGAGGAGGCGCAGAAAGAGACAGCGCAGGCTGTCCGCTCTGGCGATGGCGTCGACGGCATCGGAGGCGGACTCGGCGGACGATGGGACGTTTCACAATGGGCTGGCTATACGGGTGGCGACTCCCAGAATAGGGGCTCGGCGGGTATCGGCGCCAGTAGGAGACAGATCGTTGGGCCGAGACCTCTGCCCCATCGGCCTTGATTTGACCAAAATGGTCAGTCTACGAAAGGAGATTGGATTAGTGAGAGTCGGGAGGTTTTAAGGCTGATTGACTGATCTAAGCCTTCACTTGATACCTACTTAGATAATATCACATAACTTGTATCTTTCTTGACCTGGGCGAGTAAATTTTTGTGTGGGTGTTAGCTCATAGCGGGATTGTATACTTAGGTATGTATGTATGTATGTGAGCGCTTCATCGTGAAATGTGGGTTTGGTATAATTATTGAATATTCGAATAGCAGCGCATGGTGTAATTTGGAAGAAGAGCTTTATTTGTGATAACTTTGACGCTCACGTGCTTGCTTGTATTGGATAAATATTGGTTATATTGGGTTGTATCGGATTACAGGGGAAGATGCTGTTGTGAGATGTTGTGGTAGTACTGCCTGAATAGGGGGTTAGTTTCCGATTACAAGGTAGTGCTTTTAACTTTTCTTTCTATTTTATATAGGTATGTATTCTATGATCAGTTAGGAAGAAAATATATTTCAGACCAGCGTTTTGCGACGTCGTGCAATCGTGTGTATATCAAATCTCTCATGTATGCGCCCATGCACATTCCAAGGTACCCCTTTTCCTTATCCAACTTATTCTGCCAGCACCTGTTTGACCACTGCAGCAATACCAACTGCATCCTCGAAGATATGCCAATGCCCGACATTATCTAAAGTTTCTACACGCGAATTGCGGATCATTTCTTTGTACACTTGACAGACCGCAGGCGTCGAATATGTATCGTCCTGGCCGGTGATGATCAATGTGACTGACACATCTAGTTTCTGGAGATCTTCTACATTTAAATTTGGGGCGTCTGCGAGCGCTTGACACCCTTTCGCGTAGCCCTCGGGATCCTGGCCTATTAGACTTAGACGAGCGGCTGCGACGCCGATGGGATCATGCGCGAGAGAAGATAGAGAAAATCCTCTGCTTATAACGTCATCCACGATGCCCGACATCCCCTTTTTCCGTACCTGCGCCGCGCGAGAGTGGAATATGTTGCGCATTGTCTTGGGTATGGCGAGAGGCGGCGGGCCGAGGAGTATCAGCCGTTTCACGAGACCTGGGTTGTCGAGCGTGAATTTTAGAGCGATTAGACAACCCATGGAATGAGCGAAGAATGTTGCGGGCCGCGAAGGCCAAATACCGGCCACGCGAGATATGGCAGAGAGATCGACCGCCAGCGAGTCGATGGTGATTTGGCTTAGTGGGTGTGTGGGACTTAGACCGTGGCCTTCGAGGTCGTAGAGATGTAGGTTTGCAAGGTCGGACAGAGAGAGAGTTGAGATGAGTGGTGTCCAGTACTCTTTTGTGCCGCCCAGACCGTGAACGAAGATCATGTTCTCATCGCTCCCCGATCCGCGCTTTTGATATGACATTGGTTTACCGTTAATCATATCAGTTAGGTTGGTGGCACCAGCTGTTCTGGCGCTGTTTGTCAACTCGAAGGCTGAAGGAGGAGATGAGCGAAATCTAGAGATATTGCTCGTCGCTCGCTGCGAGATCCTGTTCCGGAGCGTGCTGAGACCGGTCACGGAAATGGATATCTCATCTCCTGCTTTGAGGAAGACTGGCGGCTGTTTCCCGATACCTACGCCTGCTGGTGTCCCTGTGGCTAGGACGTCGCCTGGTTGCAGAGTCTGTCCCTGTGAAATCACTGCGAGAAGCTGCGGGATCGGGAAAATAAGGTCCGATGTCGTTGCGTCCTGGCGAGGCTCACCGTTTACGTGTGTCTGCACTCGCAGGGTCTGCGGAAGTGCCTCTTTTGGCACTGCTATGGGGCCCTATGCATGTTGTGAGAATCTAGTTCTTGCGCAAAATAGGTTAGGGGTGAGTGTGGCATGAGAAGGGAGTTCAGCCTTTCATACCATGGGACAATACGTATCAGCAGACTTGCCGAGAAAAAACTGTTTGTGGTCCCGCTGCTTCTCTCGCGCAGTCATGTCGTTGATGATGGTGTAGCCCCAGACATACTCCCACGCTTTCTCCTGCTCGATGCGGAGTCCTGCCTTCCCGATGATGACACCGATCTCACCCTCGTAATCCGCCGTCGAGGTGAAATCCTCGTGGAGCTGGATCTCCTCGCCATGCGCAATGATTGAAGTCGCCCTCTTCGTGAATATCACGGGATGGCTAGGCAGATCTACCTTGTCCGAACTGTCGTAGCCCGAGCTGTTGAACTCCTTCGCGTGCTCCGTGTAATTCTTACCCACGGCAAGGACATCACGGCCTGACAGTGGTGGTAGGATCTTGACTGAAGAGACTGGGATCGCGGATCCTGCGTTGGTTATCACATTACGAGACCCGACTTCGATTACCTGATAGAGGTTCTTTACTGGAGTTCCCGAATGGAAGCTTAGAGGCTGGATTGTGTCTTGCTCTATATCTAGGTGTCCAATCCGGTCGAGGCCCGTCTCTGGGTCCACGAAGGCGATGTAGTTTGTGAGCCCCGCCATTCGACTTGAGCATGAGTATAATCCCGAAATAAAGCTGCGAGTTTTCGTGAAAATGTATACTCTTTTACGGATTTTGAAGTGCGCGAATGAAGAGACTGGTATACCCAATGACGTGAGCCGAAAAACGGAGAGCTAATAGGGACCTTTCCGAGATTCCCCTCAGTTGTTGGATATGAGATCCACAATCTCCAACACACGCGCGGCTTGAGATATCGCACTTGTATAAAGAGGGAATCGTTTGTTTCCCCTAGACGTTGTCGTTATACTTAATGATGATGTACGTTATAGTGAAAGCTATCACTATGTTCGTTTGACAAGAACGTCGAGATTTCGTAGTTCGTGGTCTCTCTTTGATGATATCATGTCGTGTCCAACCACAGCTACACTGACCCGAGAGAATCAACTCGAGTTTTGAGTCGATTATCAGTTGATACTTTCTATACAGACTAACCAGTTTCAAGGCTGATGCCGAATTTTTTAGACATGGATCAACTGCTGGTTCTCCTAATCATGCAGTTTTATTAATATCTTATAGTTATACCGAATAGCGCTAGCTATATATTGCTTGCAAAATCAAGTGTTCCTGCGATGTAGTTTTTACAAAGTCCATAAGCCACTTCGCTTTTTCCCTGTGGGGTATACAATCAAGGCAGACATGAGCAGACCGACGGTGATGCCAATCGCAATTTGAATCATACTCGCAGCCACGTTAAAGACCTAAAAGCAAGGCTGTTAATAATCATGCATATGGAGAAGAGAGGCACAAGAGTTTGGGCGGGGGTATGCTTACAGCGGCGTTAAGCGCCGTGTTATCAGCCTAGGTTTGTGTTAGCTTCGATCTCTCTACTGAGTATACGGATTCAACTGGCGTGATCAGGTGATGAACGGCACTTACATCAGAAGATTTCTTATCTGAATTTGTCAGGTTGGCGGCGATTACCAGCCCGCTAGTGATGGCGCCGGTTGAGGCGAGACTACCTGGGACTTGAAGATAGACAGCGGGGAGTAGGACAGCTGCCGCTACTCCGTGTCTTATCCGGCTGTACAGGTTTGCTAATACGCCGATGGCGAACGCTCCGAATGTGTAGGCAATAGAAGGACTGGCGGCAAATTTCTTGCTAGTGAAGAAATTGACCGTGTAGCCAGCAAGGCCTATAACAACCATGGCTGGCATTTGGGTCCATCTGGCTTGGACGGTAAACGTGACGAAAATAACGTAGAGGGGCACAAACAGGAAATTCCAATAGGGGTCCAGAGGCTTATGGCATGTTGTCTCCATCACGGCATTTGAATCGATGGCACCGTATAGAGCAGTACCGACGGTAATTCCATAGATTAGAAACAGGGAGTAAATGATGGAATACACGAGTCGGATCGCGCCTGGGACCATCGCCTTAGAATGTAATTCTAACGCGGATGACAATACAAGCCACCCTGGGAGAATCATAGCAATAGAGCCCTGCGTAATGGCAGAGAAACAGAAGAGTTCCCCGTTACGGATGCTGCCAAAGGCACGTGCAAGGAAACTCAGTAAGATCGTCGCACTGACTTCGAAGACGGTGTTGTATGTGTTCGACCTCGGGGCAACGACAAGTTGCAGAAAGCCTAAAAGAATACCCAGGGCAAAGATAATTGGTAAGTCAAGGAGGCGAGCACTGAAGAAGCACGAAACGGCGGCACTCGCGAACCCGTACATGAGAACGCAAACCCACACCGGATAGAGGGGCTTTGCAGAAATTACCTGATCCAGCCTCGAAAGGGCATCATCGAGGCTTATGATGTCGTGCAGCACTTCTTTATAGATGGCATGAACATCCTTGAGCTTGCTGAGGTTAACGCTCTGGGCTGTGCGGACAATCTTCACCTCGGTTGTGTGTGTGAAGACGTCATCAAACGAGATGATCATGCAATTGGGGATGTAGAGAAACTGGCTATCAATCTCCAACACTCGCGCCGACATGGCGAGATATTCTTCCAGCCGATGGGTGGGTGCGCCGAAGAGCATAAGGGCGCGGCACATTTTCACAATGTATTTCTGACGCTTGAGGATGTCGGCGACATGTATCGTGATCTTTACTTCCTCCTCGCGATTCAAGCCCATCATCGACATTATTCTTCCGCTGGTGGTTCTCTTGTGAGGAGGTCGCTTTCGGACTCCGGATGGGGGGCTGGATGCGGCTGATGTTGTTCCGCTGGGATTCGCCAACTTCATAGATGCGCCGGCTAACCTAGCAATAGTCTCTTGAGATCTATTTGCTTTCTCATGCTCATACCATTTCCTTCGTGTCGGGGTTGTTGCGCCCGAGGAGCCTGAAGCTTCACCCGTGTATGACCGGTGGTGCTGGACCGGGGGGTTATCAGAGATCGGATTTCGATAGGCCTGAAGGAGTTGGTAAAAAACGCCACCTCTTCCATTTCCTGACGATACATGGGCTCCATCTATGATACCCGTGTCTAGTTCCGGTTGAGATGAATTACCTGCTAAAATGGAGTTAGAAGGCCATTGCGAACGAAATGATCTGATTTCATCCAGATATGATTTATTCGGATGTGGCTCAGAAAGCCCATACTTGTCTGGTGAGGCACAGTTCTACTTTGTGAAACTGACGTAATCAGAGGAGCACGGTGCCCGGAGTTCAATACCATACCTGAGATATTCTGCCATACGTTTCCTAGATTTCGAGTATGAGCTTTAAGGAGACCTTCAGCCTCCACTTCTGGTTTAGCATTTTGGTCATTCGAAGACGCATGATCATGTGCCTGAGGAGAAGCATATGAATTCGCGATGGGTACTTCGGAATAACTAGCGTCTGTCACTGCGTCTGACTCGATAGACCATCTTCGGCTGTTAGGGCTGTTGGAGTGATGCCACGTATCGAGAGCAACAGCGCGAGCACGTTCTGCAGCGGCCGCTGCAGATGCTCGTTTTTGCGGGCTGAGAGGCTCGTCGCCAATATCGCTAGCAGCAGAGTTGTAAGAGCTTGGATTCCTTGACAGTGCTGGCCGTAAAACCTGCGGTTTCGATGAGGCTGGCCGACGTTGCTCTCCTGAAGGCTCGGCGGCAGTTTCTGCGGCCAAGGCAGGTAAATCAACTTTACTGTTGAAGCGGACTTTGGGACGCTCCTGTGGTGTGCTGGATCGGCTCACCGGACTCGCCTTCTCCGTGCCGAAGTCCACAACAGATAGTGGTGAGAGGTCGTCAAGCTCACGGGGGGTTTCTGAGCTACCAGGTTCCATGACTCAAATTGTCCTGTCTCTTTCACTGTTCACACACCTTGGAGGATGTGGGTTTTTGAGATTAGATATAAAATATCCTAATACCAGAGGCTAGCCGGTCATACGGCAGGCTCTTTGGTCTTTTGTATTTAGTCCCTGGAAATCAGATCGTCAGGAACCAGTACAACCCACTAATACATCTCCGTTCACGCGCCGTTTACGGTATGCAGGGATCTAGCATACTAGACTTGGATGAGGAGCAGACCCATCGGGCCATCTAGACATTGTGGGCATTCGCAGATCGCTATGCCCAACGACGTTAGGAAAACAAACAAAGAAGTGACGAAAAAAGCTACTTGTAGGCATCATTGTATGTAATATTTACCTATTCGGCTGCCCGGTTAAGTATTGATGAGTATCGGTCCGGTACACCAGCTCTAACACCAGTTGAATATCATCAACAGACGTGATGAGCTTATTTTGGCGATGTTAGCTGCGGCAATCAAGTACTACGTCATTTCCATACGAGCAGATGCATCAGGAGCCGAGGAAACACGAGCAAAGGATCCGACTGGCAGATGATGCTTGAGATTTTCTAGTGGGTCAGCCTAGAACGCCTAGATCTACCTATTACCTATTACGTAATACTTAATACACTATTACAACGCCGTTACTGTATATAAAAATACACATGCGCGTACACGTGTTTCGTAACGGATTGCTGTATGGGGTAAAAATATTTAGTTGCAAATAGGTAGTGTCTTGGTGTCTGTATCAGCTATATTACAAGTTCAGTGGTTGAGGCGGAGTGTCAAATTTTTTGCTCGAGTCATTTGCCACGATGTATTTATAGGTCCACCTACCGTTTCACTCTACCGCATTAAGGATGTCCATCAATAAAACGAGCGATTAATACTTGTAACGCCCTTAGCCGTAGTAGTATCCTTAGCTCAGTATACGAGGTATTCGTTGGCGCAGCCTTTCTGCATGGTAAATTGCTACCATGGGGGAAAATTCCCATGAGGATAACTTCGTGCCCGATGGCTTGACAGATATCCACAAGCTCTGGAACAGCAAAGTGGAACCATATAGCGGCTCAACTGAGGCCGAAGATCATGTATATAAGGCACACGCCATTTGACGTGATCTGTTACGCGCCCGGGCGGGCCTCATGGCCCACCGAAGTACAAGAAGCTCTCCATATGTAATTCAAGTGCTGACCCGAGTTGCCATTTATGCGTATGACATCAAGTTAGTTGCTTTATTGAGCGGTTTACTGTTATAAATTCGAATTTTCTCTTCCAATATAGCATGGTTCTATTCAACTAAAGATAAGCTCCCACTGAACCATATAGTAAAATGGCGCTACTTACTTTTAATAACCCCAGTAGATTGTAATCATATTTAAAGGAGAAAAGTTTAAACTAAATTATTATATGCCTATAGTTTAATATAATATACCGAAAGTTGATATCCTATTTATAATATTTCGTATATTGTTTAATAATATGGGCTGTATAAGCATGGGTTAAATAAACTCACATCAAAACGAGCTATTTAACGTTATTATTATTTGTACGATCAATACTTATAAGAGTTTCATGTTAAGGCATCCAGCATTAATAATAGGATAGTAGACTAATATTAGATATAATCTAAGAATTTAATACTTTATAAGAAGTGGGCGGCAAAATAAGAGTAAAGCCTAGATGACTAACCAAATATTATAATTTAACCTACATTGGCTTGCCATTTAATCCACTGAAACCATATGTCCCTAACCTACAAAGTATGCTCGTCCAACGCTGGCAGCGACCTGGTCAACGCAATAAGCACAGCACTATGACAAGTCTCATAGGCCATCGATATCGATTTCTTCTTTTCGTCTGCGCACTCGAATCTTTGCGCCCAGGTTGGCATTTAGATTCCAGCCGTACCAGAATGGCTCAGGCGAGGTACCAGCACTCAATTCCAAGTCATACTTCAAGATCAGATGGCATATCGCAACTTTAAGCTCATTTGCAGCAAAAAAGCGCCCAGGACAGGAATGAGTACCATGTCCAAAGCCAAGAGAGTCGGGACTTGTGGTTACCAACTGCGCAGAGTGTTCGTTTCCAGCATCGTTGCGCATGTTGAGAAAACGGTAGCCGTCGAACTCCTTAGGCTCCTTGTATATACCATCATCAAGCCGTGAAGTGTTAGCAACAGCGCATTTCGCACCTTTTGGTATGATGGACCCGTCAGATAGATGAACATCAGCTACTGCGACGCGCTGCATTGTGACTAAACGAGGCTATTGTCAGTATGATATTGAGCAACGATTGGAACCTCCAATGTCCACTTACCCATTTGGATTGGCTTCATGCGCTGTGTCTCTTTCATGATACTATCCATGAGCTTCAGGTTGTATAGCCCTACTTTAGTCCATCCGTGTATGCGAAGAACCTCTGTGATCTCATTTCTCAAGGGCTGAATAAGCTCCGGGTGAGCTAGGATCTCTAGGAGTGTTTGCGAGAGCAGATCACTTGTGGTATGAATAGCAGCGTTCGACATAGCTAATTGAAAGTGGGCTGGCTCGTATGTGAAACGTTTCGCCTCCTCTTCGGCCCAGTCAATCGCATCGTCATAAACTGGAACCGGCTGTCCAGCTTCTATGGCTCTGCGCTTCTCCGCCTTGCGTTCTTCAATGACGGGTACGATCATAGAGCGTGCCCGAGCCTGTTGACGACGCAGAAGCCGACATTCTGGTAAAAACCAGTTCACAAGAGGCTGCAGTGGCTTAGGATATAAGCGCAACTGTTGGGCAGCGTTAAAGGCGGTCGGCGGGTATTGTGAGGTAACGTCTAGCCACTCGGGATTACGGCAAAGCTTTTCCCCTAGGAACACGCGCGAGGATAGTTGGGCAACAAGAGAAAGAGTCATACCCTGAAGGCCAACTTCTTTCCATTCTGTAGTGAAATAGTCAATGATGGTTAAAGCAGATAGTACGCATGTCTTGATATTACTTACCGGAGGGGTCTCCCAAGACTCTATATAAAGCATAGGCTGCCTCCTTGCTGAGAGGAGCGGTGATTTTATCTGTGAAAGTATTAGAACATGAAAAGTGAGGACTGTGTATGATAATGTACTATGACCTCACGTACTCAAACTCTTGGTGAGTTGCTTCTTCGCTACTTGAATGAGAACATCGCTCACTAGGCCCTTATTGAAAACTTCGAAGCCAGGAAGGGAACCGTGAAATTCCTATCTCCAGCTGTTAGCAGCCGAGATAATAATAATATGCTAAAGAGGTTGGCGATTCACCTGTTCTACGTTCTTCATAAAGTCTAGCTGGGGATGGTTCTTTATCTCCTCTGCAAATTTCGGAGGTAGTACAATCACAGTTCCCACATCAGCGATGACGGTATAAGGCCTGTCATTGTTTGTCCTCGAAGTGTCGTTTATTATCTCATAGCTTCGTTGGAGAAAGTCGACTTTATTTGACCCGCCTGTGAAGTCGAATAGCTTTGGTGGGTTGATAACTGGGGGATGCTTTCGTTTATTTAAGCTTGAGTATACTATCGCTGCTCCAATGAGCGCAATGAAGAAAACGACATATTGTTGTGCTTGGGTAAAGGTGGAGGCATGGAGCTCCGTGAGGAAAGGAAGTGAAGACATTCTGACATAAACCTTGGGCGATGGAACAACTCCCTTCACAGGTGTAGCTAAGGCAGACACGCAAGATTGTCCTATTTTGATGGCGCGCTGAGGACTTATATTCATATCAAAATTGAGCTTAGTAACAAAACCCCATTTCCGGCTGCCGGAGACGCTCAGGGATCTGGTGGTCTCCCCGAACATACCCAGTCATTTGAGCACGTACTATCGCATTACGACAGGGGGCATGGCCGAAGAGCGTTTTGTATCCATTCCCAATGCTATCTTGCGATGCATGTATCGTACAAGTGGACACACTCCTCCAGTAATGATGCAACTAGTTGTGTGGAATCACGCTTTACCCTGTATGTTTAAATATGCCAATAACGTACTTGACCTAGTAGGAACCCAACATGTGCTTGAGGATTCGGGAACAACAACGATTGCATCACCTTATACACTCTATTCAAGCAGATGAAAATGTTTCTTTCTTATCGCTCGTTGATATGCGACGCGTCTTATGGTAATCTAGAACAACGATTAGACTCAATCTCCAGGTTTTGCCCGAGAACTTGCTGTGGCATCCTTGTCGACTCAATACCGATGTCACCAGGCAATCCTTAATCCGCTATACGTAATTGGTTCAACTTGGCTTCGAGCGACTGCCGCAGGCGATCAGCTGTGGAGTATTCTGCGAATTCCGCAGCTTAGGAAGGTCGGGCATCTACCACATGCTAAGACCCCTACAACCAAGTGAATCAGAGTTAATCATCGGTCTTGGCGGTTGCATACTAGTCTAGGCATCTTTACACACGTGATCACAAGTCATTGTTGATATACTAATAGATATCTCACTTACATACATGAGAATATAAGGGATATGTTGCCTCTATGTTCTTAATTTTGTAAAGACGCTGCCCATTGATTCATCCCATTGTCTTATAATATTGATGCTCATCCCAGTCCCAATTGTTTCATCCCCGTTCACAAGTCGTCTTCTAACCTCAGCAATGAACTCATCTACACTTTGGGCGTTGGGATTGTTGTCCTTTTTGTTGTCATCTGGGTTCTCCCGCTCCCGGTGAAAGTCTGTCTCTACGGTGGGCCGGGCAATTTCAACAACCTTGACACCCGTTTCCTCCAACTGGGCTCTACGAAGAAAATATTCCCCATTAGCACCCCAAGTTCCTATATAGGAGGGGCTTTTTCGTACCTGAGGTTAATGCTCCAGAAATGGAGCCAAGCTTTCGTACCGTTATACACGAGATTGATGAGTGAGAACGGCGCAAAGCCCAATACTGAGGAGACATTGATGACTATAGCCTGGGGCTTCTGCTTGAAGTGAGTCATAAGATGAAGTGTAAGATGCATCGCTGTATACTATAGTTAGTGTTTTCGATGATTTGGATGAGGTGTAAGTGAACCTACGCCCGCGTGCGTTGATATCAATCTCTTGATCGGCCCTTTCTAATAATTCCTCAGGTGCCATGTCCAAAACGCTTAGTGAACGCTGCACGCCTGCATTATTGACTAGGCAGTCAAGTTCGGGATGCTCGGAGATCAGGTACCTGACAAAGGCTGGGATCTCTGACACGACGCCTGTGTCAAGGACGTAATCCGCAGCCGCTCCAATATCCTTGCATGCCTGCTTCAACTTGGACTCAGTCCGTCCGACTATGATAACCTTTTTGCCCTGTGAGATCAACTCATGGGCTAGCGCTTTACCGATCCCACCTCCACCGCCCGTAACCAGTGCACATTTGAAATCCATTTCATCGATTGTTCCGGATAGTATTAAAGATGCACGTTTTACAATACGCTGTCTTCTATCCCAGGGTTATAAAGAGACTATGTAACTCTCCGTATCTAACCATTTATCGCTAAACAGTTAAGTACTTTACTGATTAAATAGCCTTGGTTTTGTGACAATCTCATGCTGGCCAAGTCTGTATAACCTCGTTTTATCTAATCTTAATACGAAAAGTTTGCAAGGCCTACGCCTGTAGCTTTAGACGACGAACAGCATGTCCAACTGTGCGACTATAATATAGCTATGCATGTGAAGGCCGTTCATCGAGGTGTATGTGCAAGCATATTATGAACATTCGCAATTAGACTACCTTAGAGTTGCACCAGAAGTGGGAGCAAATCAGATTATTCTGCTATTTAGGATTCGCGCACCCAATGCGTTTAAATGTAAGAGCACCCTAAATCACATGCTTACTTTTAGGAGGTAACGGATCTTTAGATGTTCCACGTTATAAGAGATGTACTCGTTGAACATGAGATATCCACCCTTGTGATCCTTCGAGTCAACTGGTTTTCCATCGGGCTGAATAGTCCTCCGCAGTTAGCTAACATGATATTAAAGTAAGTTTTGGGATTAACTTAGAAGCAGACGTACCATTATGACACCCTCCAGTTGCTTATTTACACAACTGGCATCCTTCCATGCTGCTGGCCCAGTACGACCTACGCCCTTGGTCGCAATGCAGTTCTTCTTTCTTGCTTTCTCAGCAGCATCTGAGTCTCCGGATGTAATCTCATACATCGGGTTAGAGAGCTCAGCCTCAACCAACATTAAGAGACCAACGCCGCCACTGAGCGATGATACACAGTAGTTGGCCGACTTGGAGGACAAGTCGGCAAGATATACACCCTTGCCAAAAGCATAGCCATTAACTGGCGCCTCTATAGAAAATTGTTATTTAGAACCGTACCCAATACCCAATAGAGCGGCTATGGGAATAGACGGAAGATGATCGAAGGGGGGTTACTGACCAGGAGGTGCGATACGCAGACCTTGTGATAGAATATCACCAAAGTTTGTGGTTCGAGACCCATGCCAAAGCAAGAGTCTCCGAGAATCCTTGATTGACTTCGTGCTCTTTTCAAATCTATCACTCTCCCCGGGCCGCTCGACTCTGAAGATATCCTGTAGTCGATACTTCAGGCTGTGTTGCTGAGCACTCGAGTCGAGCAGGTATTTCTGAATCACCTTGTACTCTTGTGACGAGTGCTCGAGCACTGCTAACTCCTTAAGCTTAAGACTCTGAAAGTGTGCATCCAGCTTATGCACTGATGCTGCGTCCTTGGACTTGGAGTTTGAGTTCATGATTGTGTTGGCAACTTCCATGTCCGTCAGCGTGTCAAGCATTGCCACCTCCCGCCGTAGGATGTCGTCGTTGTTGATGAGTGGTGGACGGTCGCGACCAAAGACATGAGGAATGGTAGAATAGTATTTGTTTGTCCATTCTTCAATGACCTGCGACAGTCTCAGTTAATAAAGATATACTTCACACGTCAGGTAGAAACCACAAACCTCTTCTCGATCCCTGTTATATTTGTTCTTAGCCAGACTGGGATGCTTTATCAAACTCGATAATTCTTTCAGCTGCTCGAACCCCTTTTGCAGGCTCGACTTCCCCAGCTTTCCCAGCGGGAGCTTATCTTTGTTGTATCCGATTTCCTCTAGCACTGAGTTGAAGTGATTTTCGTTGAAGATGAGCTCCATGAGTCTCTGCGTTGAGATATCCAGTTCGCTCTTAGCAGAGCCACTGCTGCCGTAGCCCTCGTCAGACTCAGCATCAGCCTCCCCATTGTCATCATCATCGTAGGAACGCTCGACAAAGGTGTACTTCTTATCTTTAGGCTCCTGGCCCCTGTCTTCCCATTTGAGACCTGTCTTACTCTTGAACTTCTTGTCGTACTCCTCCTTTGCAGACTCTAAATCATCAAAGCCCATCGTCTTCACTTGACCAGTCTCGCCGACCCTAAGCCAATTTAGAAAACTTAATTATGATTCCGAGTGTTTTATACATAGATGGGATTTTCTATCTTACCTTCCCCATCGATTATGTGCATAGTACGTGCCGTTACTCTCATCAACGAGGAGCTGAAGCATATAAAACTTTGCATTTCCAAATGAGTAAAACTACCACCCGCGTCTTCGAAGTGACGGAATTGGCTTACTTTGTTGTTATTGCCAGAAACGTTGCTGAGGTTTAGAGATGCATCCCAAATGGTACCATCGTCGTCAATGTGAACCTGTACATCGCCTGCGACGCAAGTTAACACTGCTTTGTCACTGATTTCGAAGGCACAAAAGCGCTGTCACCTACCGCCTTCTTTGAATCCCTCATCAATTGGGATTGTAGGTTGGGAAGATTTGGCCCCTTCGGCTGTCTTCTGTTTCTTAGATCCGCCTGCCTTACCAGATCTGGTTCTTTTCTTGGGAGGCATATCGGTAGCTTGAGCGATGATAAATAAAGTAGTGAATCCCGGATGAGGAATGAATACATTCAATCGAATGCGTCAATGATATTATTTTGTTTGCTGGGGTTCTCCAGTATAGTCTTATACCTACTTGTTGAATGTCGCAACGAAGTGTGACGTCAGGTGAGATGCCAAGCAAAACAGGGTTCGTGCGACCAGATCTGCACTGACGGTAGGGGAGCCATCATCTGGGCAGAACCTGGAAATATGATCTCATTCTCCCCTGTTGCCTAAAAACATCTTCATAGGAGTTTACATGACGTTTATATACTACTTGCATAGCCTGCATAGATGTTTACGAATACTCCTCTAGGCGAAATCCGTTGATCGACACTCATTACAGGATCCGTAGCTGCTGGTTGACGTTGCGAACGACGCAAGCGAGGCAAGTAAACATCGTCACTGGCAGGCGATCGCCAAGCTAGGGGGGGACCGTGGAGACAGCAGCGGCTGTCAGAAATTAGGGTCTACTCTAGCCTCAATTGGTATCAGGGTTCTGCAGGGTCAAATTTCAGCATCATCTCACCTGTGTGCTGTTTGAAGCAATCCTTCCTTACTGGTTACAGCAATTATCTTGCGTCGCTCTATTTACTACTCACTGCAGGCTCGAATAATATCACGCTGTGTCAAAGAAAACTGAAAGCATTATGATTGGCTGCGTGAAGAAGGTAGAGTGGATAGGAAGAACCCAACTCTGCCTCCAGTCTGCTTCCCGATCGTGGTAGACATGCGGGGATGCATGCGCGCATAAGCAGCACCGGCTGGAAAAGGGACAATACATTGAGATCCAGTGCGTTATCAAGCATCTTTATTGTATAATTACTACTCGGCGAAACCCAAAGGATAACTCACCGAACATACAACTAGGAAGCAGTTGTCACTTTTAGTGCTTCATTACCTGATAGGCATATTTCCAGGCAGAGTTTCGAGCCCTAGATTGTAGCACATATTAGTTTTCAAATCTGGTAAAGTGTGAGAAGATCGATATGGCATACATGTGGAAGAGCCGACGTCCTCTTTGGCAAGTTGTGCCTTGGTACACGCAATAGCATCCTTTCCAGATTGTATCTTCAGAACTTTTGTGCAGTCCTCACTTGCGCATTTGGAGCCAAGTGCATCCATGGCACGCTGTAGGGCATCTCCTTTCCACCCGAATAGGTAATCTCCATGTGCTCCATACCCAGTTCTAATTACACGCAAGCGCACGCATGTTAGTGCTGGCCAGAGCTCCCGATAATAAAACAAAGGCTGCATAGACTCACGGATCACCGAAACTGTAGACAAATGGCTGTTTCCCATTTTTCCAGTAATCTGGGTTGTTGAATTGAGTTGTATCAAACATGATCTCATACATCACTTGGGGGATGCGGACCGGGTGTGTACTCGGACATTTGTCACCTGCCAACGCTGACCCAGCTGCGTATGCGACATGGCTTTTGTGGTCAGGGCTATCGAGATTCTTGCCGTCCCAGCAGGAGGGGAAAATGATGGTAGCGCGGATGCCACCGGGGCACATCTTGCTAGGAAAGGCTGCTGTATCGGAAGCGTCGCAGGGCGCGCCGTTGCCTCCCAAAATGCGTTCGCTGGCTTTCAGACAACGGTGACAGATATTTGCAAAATTCCCTGCTTTATTGCGAAGTGTAGGGTCTCCCGCAAGCATCCGGAAGCCCTTCATAAGTGAAATTTAGGAGTCTATGCGTGAGAGATGTGAGAAATCAGCACTTACAGGCTTAGGGACAACCGTCTTCTTATTACGGCCGCCGAACGGCCTCATATAGTATACTGTAAGCCCCCCATCCTGCTCTAACAATGTCCCGTTCAGACGCCCGTTTGCCATCTGAGGTACTCGCTTCAACGTCCCATTCTCAGGGGACCTGAAGTAGATCGAAGCAGTCCAATAGTTGCTGGTATCTTCGACATAGCTGCAAGAGGTGCAGGTTGATTGGGCGGGAGGGTCAATAGTATCGGGGTCCATCTGGGATATTGTCAGCGATATCATCACACATGAAATGGCATGTGGTCATACCGTAGTGTTGAAAGAGTTCCCTCCGACAACTTGATGTGTATGTGGAGAGGGATTTGATCCCGGGGTTACCAGGGGGTCGATCCTCTCGACGACAAGTTGGGAGCAGCCAAATCTCAAGAAATCCGCTGACCCTTGCACTTGCGCGGACACATTCTTCGCGAAGAGCACAGCAAGAGTGACGGTCCTCCAGAGCATTGTCTCGTCGTAGCCGTTCTTCGATAATAGAGCTAAGAAACTAGGGGATGCTGTATCTGAGAGCAATAGCAACGGTGGTTTGTGTCTCACACTAAACACATGAAAACCGTAACGATAGGTTATTGAACACGACCAAGACGCGGTTTCATACATATGCGTATTTTCAGCTTATATGATTTTCATACGAGACAAAACGTATGCACTCTCTACATGCCTGTTACTCATTTAGTAACCGGGTAAATTATCCGGCATATACCTACCGTACACTGTAGTATGCTCACGAACTGGCGCACTATATATATATTGAGCTCCGAATGGCTGACTATCAACTGCCGCGAGGTCGGCAATTATGCTGCCCAACTCTCTCTATTACCTGCAAAGTGGTAGTTAATCAAGCACCACCTCACTCGGGAAAATTAGGCATTGGGATTTGATAATAGAACAGGCTACGGCTTGGAATATATTTAATGCGAAATTTGTGCAATGTTCCTCCGAGTACATCTTAATTGGACATGCTAGTTCACACCAGCCATCACATCATAAGCTTCCTGAATTCCTGTCACACTAATGTCTCTCATCGGATCGTACTTTTCTAAGTTTGATAGCGGTGCATATTTTGTCACAGTACAGTACTATATAGTGAGTGCAGAGACGTCAAGCCTTCGACTTGATAACTCGTCGTTACCTTTTGGTGGCGTAGTGGCATAGTACTGCACTCCTTATGTCGTTCCGTGACATATTTCTCGCATAAGAAGAGCATTTCGTTATATGCACTGTATTTCACTGATTAGTATTGAGCTTTGATACTGTCCAAAGATGAAAGAAAACTTACATTTGCCGAGAGATACTTCCGCGGTGGCCAGCAGAGTCGCAGATCGCTGCTTTGATAGCGTAAAGTCTATTGCGGTCATCGAACTCCTCGACGGGCTCGCAAGGCTCTATCTCTTGTTGGTAAGCTTGTAGGTATATGGGAGAGCTGAAGTGAGTGGCGCATCGGCAACGCCAGGTTCCTAGCTCGATTTCATTGTGCGCGTAGATGCACTCGTCAAAGTCGAATGCAATCACAGCGCCGGTGTTCATGTCTGTTGCCACGTTTCCTTCCCAGAGATCTCCGTGGACCAATGTGGGCTTGATGGTACGGCCTTCGGACTGTAGTACCCCTAAAAGCCTGGGGATGACACCTTCTATAAGCTGTTTACATGCTATGTCAAACTCTGGCCAATGACCATTGACTTGGTTGTCTAGCTTGAGTAGGTCTTCCAGTAAATAGGTGAGTTGAACTGCCCAGCTTTCATGCCAATGCTTAGTTCGATTCAAAGTCCCGCGCCCAGTAATGATAGGATACCCGAACATTCCATTTGGCGACTTCGAGTTTCTGTGGAGTGTCGCTATGGTGGTAGCAAGCCCTGCAGGATCTGGAGGGTATGTATCGAGAGGCAATTTTCTCTTATTTACCTACTTTAAGGAAGTATCTCTTAATAGTCCCATCTTCCAGTACAGCCTCTATCTTAGCAGTCTTTGTGCAAGCAGAAAGACCCCAACTCTCTGCCGATACGACGCTTGTTCCTTTTGGTAATACTGAAATAGTTAGAGAGGGGCACACACCATTGAGGTGATGAGTGGGACCTTCTAATATTGCTTCATCCAGCGCGAAGTCGCCTTGCTTTGATTCAATCGGAGCTATCATTTGCTACGGGTCCCGGAGCAAAATTCTAAATAGGCATGTGATGAAACGGGGATATTCTCAGAACCGTGAATATTGCTGAATATGACTACTACCCCGCCATTTATTAAATCCATGCTAGTAATCCCCTCACCGATCGGGTTCTTATAATTATCTTTAGAGTGAGGCTAGATCTGCAGTTAGGAGATGATGCAGCTAACACGATCATTACGGGTGTATGATGTACATCGTACATCCAATCGGCATTCTTCTTTAACCGCCTCTTGATGTGATATGGCTTAGCAATTAGGAGGAGACATGTTCTAACCAGTCCTCGTAGGACGAGACTTTGAGAATGATTTTATCTCCTCTATTGTTCCCTTTATTTCGCGCTAAGCCAGTCAGCAGTCCTTCCCGTGCATAAGTAGAAACGAGCATCATCGTAAGAAATCTGAAACGGCTCGCGGAGATGGTATACCCCCCTGTATAGGCCCTGCAAACAATCCGGCGCTGACGACAAGGACCAATAGTTCAAGAAAGTGGTATCATGGAAATCGAAGAAGAACGCGGGAAATACCAGTCTAAATCGACAAGCACTTGAATCTACTCAGGACTCTATCCGTTCCTCATTAATTGCATCAAGCTCCTTGACCAGCATCTCCACAGGAAATCTGGGCATCACAACTGATCCAGGGCCTCTAGGTCTAAATATCGTGTATACTCCAGACCATGCGCACAAGGCCGATATACTTTTTGTCCATGGTCTTGGCGGGAGTAGCAAGTGGACATAGTCAAAAGATAGAGATCCGCATCTCTTTGGGCCCTTAACATTCCTCCCATTAGAGCCAGACTTGTGCCTCTCGCACGTCCTAACTTTTGGATATGACGCATCTTTTCGAAAGTCTAGTACATCAGTCTTAGACTTCGCGAAAGACTTATTATTTGATCTAAAATATACTAAAGATTCGAATTTAGCGGACCCAGAAATGGGTAACGTCCCGCTCATTTTTATTGTTTATAGTATAGGTGAGCAGACGTAGTCACATTTTGCAGAACGCTTCCAATGGTGCGGTAGAAAGTTTCTGACGAGGCTTTCGCATGTATCGGTATGCTGGGCTTGATGTTGAGCTGCAGTAGTTTCGTCTCTTGAGTCAAGACAATAGTTTGTGAAACGATCAAAGAGGAAGAGGGAGGCGAAATTATGAGGAAGCCAAGTACGAAAGCTAGTGTTGCGCAAAGCATCGCCCAACTCGTGTTTTTACGACGACTGGGCAAGCTGCTGAACAATGCGTCCCACCATGCATCAGCAGTCCAGGATATGGAAAGATCTGCCTGCGCACCAAACGGCGAAGAGAGTCTAGCAAAGGGCTCCGTGCGTTTGACATCGTCTAGGAGTATCGATGCAAGGAAAACGTATATGGTAGCGAGGAGTGTAGGCGCAAATTTGGAGCCGATTTGCACAATGCCAGATCCATCGTCCGTCACAAGCCCTGAGTTTCGCCACGAGATAGAGTGAACAACCGTCACCGCTATTCCCAGTAGGCAGGTAAAGACGAAGGTGGCGACAAGGCAGGGCCAACGGAGGGTGTAAGGCAGCCATGCTACAGCTGCACCACCGACTTGATTGCAAGACGGGTTTCGACCTCTTATACGAGGAACTGAGGTTTTAGACGCAATATGAGAGATAGAAATCAATAAGCCTTTTGCTTTTGTACTACTTGATGAACTTTCAGACATCTCGAATAGTGTGGGAGAGAATTATCAAAACCGCCAGTGAAGATTAGGGCATTGCGATGCTTTAGCTTGGAGAAGAATAGTACAACCTGGGTTTAGGAAATGGATACGCTTCGGTGATTGCATCGGTTAATTATTTAAGCTTGAAGTTAAAAGGATTAAATATTAAGATCTATATGCTAATACCATTTGCCGCTATATAGGTAAGGCAAAAAGTGAGATATAAAAATACGTTAGGGGTGGGTTTTAAAAGGATAAGGCTAAACGTACAGTAGGTCCCACACTAAACGTGCAGTATTCAGCTATTACCAGTTGTTAACGGCTAAAGCGCGCCATTAAAGCCGTTTTTCTTATACTATTTACCTATACCTACCTACACCTATATACCTACCCTGTTAGTTAACTTTTAACCTTTAACTTTTATAATTCTTTAATTTTATTACTTTTATAATAACTTTATTACCTTTAACATTTATACGTAATAAAATTATTTATATAAAGATTTTTAAACTTAAGGAAAAGTAAAACTTAGCAATTTTATTAATATTATATTTTTAAAATATATAGCTAGAAAAAGAGAGTAGTTAATAACCTTTAATAATTTATTATAGCTTAAACCTTAATTTTAATGTATTTTTTAATATATATAATATATAAATGTTATAGGTAGCTAAAGTATAGCTGATATTACTTAAGTATTGTACGTTTAATGTAGGACCTACTATACGTTTAGCCTTGTCCTTTTAAAATTTACAGCTAGGGCAAACTGGTTTAGGCTATCCCTTTAGGAGAACCCGACCGTACAGCAAGGTCGGAATTCCGTTCCATACAAATAGCGATGCCAAGCCCATACGAAGGGGTAGGGTCGAGTTTTTTTTTTTCAAAGCAGGGTTAAGTTTTTATATATATATAAATACTTTAAAGTAAATAATATATAGGGTAAGGGATATAAAAATGTTTATATATTTATTTATATAGTTAAGGGGCCCTTTATATAATGCTTTTTTATATATTAGGATATTAAGGCTTAATTTTTTTATAAATAACTTATATGCTTTAAGGAATTTAAAGTTATAAATATATATTATTTATTAAAGCGTTAATTTAAACGTTTTATTTTAAAGGGTTTAAGCTTATATATAAAGGTTAGGTAAATTAATATACTTTTTAATAATTTAAAGGTTATTATTTAAAATTATCTTTATTAATATATCTTTTTTTATAATGCCTTCTATATAGCTATAGGCTAACGTTTTAATATAATATTATAATTAGGGGTATAATATTAATATTTTTTTTAATATATTATTTATAAATTTAGGTATATATTATTTAAGCATTTTATTTAAAAATTATAATATATTATATTTTTATATAACGCTTTTTAAACTTAAGCTATATTGCTTTTTAATTTTATTAAATGCTTATTTATAGCTATTCTATATTATATTTTATACCTAAGGTATATATAATAGGATATATAAGGTATAGCTAATATAAAGGAATATAATAAATAGTTAATTAATATATATTTTCCTTACTTGCTTTTTTATATTAAATTGTTTTAATAAGCTTTTTAAATTAAGTAGTATAAATATTATTAATTATTATATTAGTTTAATAAACTATATTATAAAGGTTAAAATAAAGTTATTTATATTTTATATTAATATAATAAAAAATGGGTTATATATAAATAGGTTCATTAATATAAATGGATAAATAGTTTTTTAAAAAATAATATTATAAAAGTTAATAGCTATAATAAGATAGGATTATAAAACTTATACTTTATAATAAATGTTATAATAAATTAATATAATGGAATTTAATATATTAATTAATATATTATATAGCTTACTTTTTTTTACTTAAAAGGTTTATAGGATAAAAGGTATTATAAGTAGTAATCTTTTATAGGTTAAGTTATTACTTTTACCTAAATAGTAGGTTTTAATTAAGTTTAGTTTAAAAATTAATAATTTAAATTATAATATATTAAACAATTTTACATTTTTATTAGGAGTTTATATATATTATTTATACGAATTGTAAGCTTTTACCTAATATAGGGCTGGTTTTTTTACCTTTAAGCCGGTAGATTTTTTAATAAGTTCTATTAACCTAATATTTTATAATAGGTATTATATATAGTGGTAAGTTATAAACCCTTTAAACATAAGGGAGGTACCCTGGATATTTTCTAATAAGCAGTTAGATTTAAAGAATAGTAAAAATAATAGGTTTCTAACGTTTAATAGCGGTTACGGTTTAATTATATAAGGTATATCGTAAAAAGCAAAGTTTATCTATATATCCTTTATATATAGGTAGTCTACCTTTATAGGGGTAAAATATTTAATATAGAATTTATATAGTGCCCCCTTTACTAATAGATTTAATATAATATTTTTTAATTTATATTCCTATAAGATTAAAATAGAGTTTTTAAAATATTTAAAATTATATTTATTATATAATAATTTAAAATGCTCCTAAAATAATAAAGTATATTTATATAATATATTATATTATAAATAGGTAAAGTATAAGGTATTATTAATATTTTAATAAATATATTAAAATATATTAACTTTAATTTAAACTTAAATAAAGCTTATAAGGTATTATATAATAATATTTAATAAATATAATTAATATAATACTGGGATTATATAATTATTTATAAATTGTTATTATATTTTAAATAAAAGATATAAGGATATGTTTTTTTAAATAAGTATTAAATATAGGAATATAAAGTAAATAATATTATTATAGCTAAACTTAAATATTTTAAAGAATATATTATATATTTTATATAATATAATAAAATTAAAGGAGTAATAAAGGTTATTTATAATTATAAATTTAATAAAAGGTAAATATAAAAGGGAAAAAATATTATTAGGAAAGGTAGCTAATAACCGGAATTTAAATATAAAGCTATTAATATTATATATTTTTATAAAGCTTAATTGTTTTATAATATAATTATACTTTTATTATATAATTAATAGGAAGAGTTTTAATTTATTAATATTATTAAATTAATATTAAAAGGGGTAGCTTAATATATAGCTATTAATATAGTTTGATAAAATATTCCTAATATTAACGTTAATTAATAAGTTGAAATATTTAATAATATGCCCTTTAAAAATAAAATTAATAATTTACTTTAATATTTAACCTTTTAAATATTTATTTTTATTTATAAATAAAAAGATGGTTAATAAAGGACGTTAAATATAAGTATAACTTTAAAAAAATAAATATTAATTTAAATTAAATATTTATTTTTTAAAGGAATTAAAGCTTATTATAATAATAGTTTTAATTAAATATAATAAATATTTAACTTTTAATATATTATTATTTTATATAAGGCATTATAAAAAAATGCTAATTTAATTAAGGATATTATTATTTATATCCTATATTATATATTTTATTATAGGAGGTATAAATATTAAGGTTATTATTTATTTTAAAAACTTTATCGTTTATATTTATATTAATATTTATATTTTTAATATTTAAAGTAATAATAGGATTATATATAATAATTAATATTATTTTAATATTAATAGCTATAGTTATTTTATTCTTCGTTATAATATTATTTTATTTTATATTACTTTTTTTACTATTATTAATTATTAATAATATAAATCCTTTATAAATAGGAGAAATATTATTTTTAAATTTAGGCAATTTAAATAGTTAATAAGGGCTAGGGTTTATAAATCTTTAAGTAGGTTAATTTAAAGGGGCAGCAATTTAACTTATTTAACTAATCTTTAATAAAAATAGTTAAGTAATAATATTTAACGGTTAATCTTTTATTAATATTTATTTCCTTTATTATATATTATAATAATAATAAAGAAGATTATTAAAAGGGAGCGGTAAATAATATATAAGTTTAATAGCTTTTACTATTAGGCTTAATTAGGTAATATTAATAAAGCTTTTTATAGGAGGGGTAAAGTTATTAAATGTCCGTTAAGAATTAAGGGGTATTAATAAACGGAATTCGTTATTAAATTATAAGGATTCTGCTTTTAATATAGTTTTTCGTTTTAAATATACTTTCTTTTACTTTTAATAGCTTTATTTAATATTAATTAAAGGTATTATTAATAAGAATTATATTAATAGAATTTTATAAAAGAGTATTAATATAATAAAAATATTCTTTATATTAAACTAAATAGGTAATAAAGTAAATAAGGAATAGCTTAATAATAATAATTTATATAAAACGCTTTTATAAATATTATATTTTTAAAATAGGAAAAATATAATTTATATATTCCTTTTTAAATTTATTATTTAAGATTTATATTTTAAAATAGTTATATTAATAAAAAGGTAGTATTATTTTATTTAATAATAAATTATTTATATATAATTTAAATGTTAAAAGAGTTATACTATTATAGTTTATTTTATTATAAGTTATTTATATAGGATTTAAATATTAAAATAATTATATTATTTTAAAATTAATTATTTAATTATAAGGATAAATAGTATATTATAATTAGTTTATTCTATTTGGGTTAAATTATTTAAAGGTTAAAGTTTTTACTATATTTAAAATTACCCCTTATTATAATGCCTTTTACAATTAAATACAGGTTAAATAACAAAACCTATTAAAGTAATAATAAAGATTACCTATAAAGGTAATTAGAAAAATAGTATATATATAGTGCTTAATTATATTATTATCTTTTATTTCTATTTAAAGTATTAAAGGACTTTATAATAAAGTTAAAGCTAAAGCTATATTAAATAATAATTATAATAAATAAATTTATATATTTAAAAGATTTAAAACTTAAAAATATTAATATAATACCTTAATTATTTAACTTATATAAATATTAAGGCTTAAATGTTAAATAGTTAATTAATAGCCTACTTTTAACCTATTAGTTATTTATTTAAAGGTAAGGATAGCATTAATTTTAATTAATTAATAATGCTTCTAATATATTAATTAATAATAAAGAACTATTATAGCTATTAAATAAGGGGGTAAAAAAGAAAATAAAGTTAAATAAAATAATTATAATA